ATATAGGATTATATAAGACAGAACATAATATAAGTATAGGAATAATAGAAAATATAAATAAATAAATATTAATAAGAGATAGATTTTAATATTAGAGATAAGATTATATTAATAACTAAGTATCTTAATAATAAATAATCTAGCTAGAAGTTTTCTTATTAGAACTTAGATCTATTTGAGATTATTATAAAAAAAAGAAATATATTTAAGTTAAAGCTCTCTAAATATTTTTAAATATATCTAGTTTTCTTATTAAATAAACTTTAAAAGGTATACTCAATAAAACTGTTACTAAGGTAGATTAAAAACCCTCTACCATTAATTAAAATTAATAATTATAATAAATAGGAAGTCAAATAAATTCTTAATACATAAATATATTATTAAAAACTATAGTATTATATTCAATAGCAAGGCTATAATAATAATATAATATGATATTCAGTAAGAAATTTTAAGAATACACTAAATATCATAAAGACATTTTATGATTTTTATCTAGAAAAACCTAGACCATTATTACATTTAAAAAATTAGCTATATACAGTTAAAAAAAATAAATTCTTATTTAATTATAATAAGAATAACATACCATTATTAACTTAATATTTAAAGCAAATATTATTTAGAATAAAGGATAATATAATAATCTAATACAATTTAGCTTAGCAGCATATAGTTACTATAAAAATACCTACAGACCACCTCCTATAAACAAATCACATACAGGGAAGATGTAGGGCTAAATATACCTTATAAGAATTACCCTATATTTTAATTCACACTGCAGATTGCCAGAGGATCTATATAATATTAAGAAAGATAAATAGCTTTTACCAGCTAGTATTCTACATTATTAGAACCTTTTAAAAATCTAAATTACTAGGCACTAGCACACAACGGAGATAGCCTACAGGTATCTAGAATGGAAGGAAGTATAAGTAGAAGGAAGAGGGCCAATAGTTATTCTTTCCTCTTCTTCTCTCTAGTTTAGTCTCTTCGTGTTTAGCGACCAAATAGATTTGGCATTGCATCGTCACAATTATATTATTAATTATCACTATTCTATTTATCTAGTTAATTATTAGGTTCTATGTGTATAACCATATCATTCTAAATATAGTATTATAGTATTCTCTTGATACTGGTGTGATATTGAGTGTGATTATTATAGTATATTATCCTGATTTTATAATAATATTTGGTGCTTATTTCTTATAGCCTTAGCTGATTATTTTTCTATTAATTAAAATAATTATTGTTTATTTATTTATCTATATAATAGGTATTTTAGCTTCTTTTATAAATTCTTCTTTAATATAGTTGTAGGCTGCTTTTAAATCTAATAAGATTCTTATATCTTTTCTATTAATTTTTGCTAATATTATAACTATTTGATTAATTGCTTTTAGCTCTATAATTATTATAATAAACTCTATTATAATCATGTGTTTTTTTTGAAATTGTTATCTCTATTTAAAAAATTTCTTTGTGCTAGTTATATGCTATTTATATAATCCTTTTACCTAACATTCTATCATTATAAGGTTATTATAGTAGAGATATGCTGGTTCTTTATAAATATATTAATATTCTAACTACTTTTATGAGTATTTTAGTTTTAGTTCTAGAATAATAGATAAAATATTTAGAAATTATTCTGATATTGCTTTTAATCTAATATAAAGTTTACATAAGTTATTATAACATATTATCCAGTGAACTTTGTAATATAGATTTTTTTTAATAAATAAATAATGATAATAAGAATAATTTCTTATATGCCTATTTTGTCCATTATAAAAGTGTATTTCTCTTTTATGTAAAATATGCTTATATATTGCTGCTAGAGATAAATGTATTTATCTATGCTTTTAATATATATAATATATCTATTTGTTGTATTTCTTATATTTCTTAATATAATTCTTTTATTTCTGTTAAGACTCTTTCTAGTAGGTTATATTAGCTGATATATAATTGTATAAGTTATCTCTCTGAGGGTTTTTAGTATTTTTCTATACTTCTGTTTTCCTTTTATTCTTGATAAGATTTTCTATTAGTTCTTGATATAGATTCTTATAGGTTATCATCCTTAATTTATTATCTTATAATATTGATTAAGTATAAAGTAACTCTTCTAATAGGAACTCTTTTTTAATATCTTCTATATTAGATTCTTTTTCTATCTCTTCTTCACTAAGATAACCTTCTTTTCTAGGTGATTTATGAGTATAGCTTATCTAATTAATTTATTTTCTATAACTATAAGATTAGCATTCTATTCTTATATTAATGCTTACTTATTTTATTTATTTAATACTTTTTTTAAGACTAAATCTTTCTTACTTTTCTTCTTATATATTTTAGTATTATATCTTGTTTTTATTTAAATTATTAAATATTCTTTTTAACTATATTAATATATTTTCTTTATCTACTTATCTTATTTATTCTACTTAAATCCTTTTATAATTTATTATTTATTCTAGTTGTTATTTTTCATCTTTAATTAACTATTTTAACTTTTTATTAGAATTAATCTTATTATTAACTATTCTATTAATTTTACTAATATTAACTAAAACCAGTAAGATTATAATTATAATTTACTTTTTTAAATCTAAAGTAACTAGTTTCTAGTTTTTTTTTAGCTTTTAATATTTATCTGCAAAATAATCTAGTTTTTTATAATTAAAATAAGCTTTATCTTTTCTTAGCTTATTCTTTTTTTCTTTAAATAAGATTATATTTAGCTATATAACTATATTCCTATTATAGTTTTATAATGAATTTTGTTATGTCATTTAGTTTGTTTTAAACTATAAGAATCTTCTATATTTTTTTTATTACTAAAACTCTTATTTCTTCTATTTAATCTTAAATAGCTTATTATTAATCTTAACAGCTATCTTAATAAAGTTATTAATATCTATTAATCAATTTATCTTAATTAATTCTATCTAAACTTCTTCCTTTAATATATTTTTAAATATAGCAATTTATATTATGTTATTATATCTTAATAATGCTATTATCTTTTAAAATTCTATTATTAATTTCTGAGCTAATCTAATTTATTATAGATATCTTAATTTTTATTTAGTAATATATATTTTATTAATATTTCTAAATAACTATATAAGTTATTCTTTAAAGCTGGTATAATTTGTAAATATCTTAATAATAATTATATTCTAGTTTTCTTATGCCAAATTATAAAAATTATCCATTATTAGCTGTATTTAATTGGCTGTATTATTAGTAAGACAAATTATAATAAAAATTATTTTATTATAATCTTATTTAATCTTATTAATTTTTATATATATACTTATATTTATTAAAAATAATTTAAATTTAGAATATATTCTATTAAATTTTATTAATTTTAATAGCTTAACTTTATTAGTAACTAATAATAAGCTTAATATTATTTATACTTTTAATTATTTAATATAATCTTTTTATTTAACTTCTTCTTATTTAAGTTGTTTAGTATATTTCTTAAGTTAATTTACCTAATTATCTTTAACTCTTAGCTTATTTTCAAGTCACTATACATATTTAATTATCTAGTTAAACTATTCTTTAAGAGTAATATAGCAGGCTAGTATTTTATTATTCTTATTATAATATACTACTATTATATATTATTACTATCTTACTATAGCTTAGACTATTTATTATAGTTATTATTTTAAAGCAGATAGACTATTATTATCTATTATCTTAAATATTTAAATAAAAGATTTTATTTTTTATATTGAGAGTCTTAAATTATTAGAAATTTTAATTAATTTATTATTAAATATAGCTAGAATAACTATTAATAAGTAAAGTTAATAAGCTTCTAATATATAAAAATTATAATAAAATAAATAAAATCTTAAATAAGATAGAATATCCTAATTAATAAAAGATTATATATTTAAGTTATCTTAGTTAATTTAAAATGATAGAAGAAAACTAAATATATAATAAATAAGTATTTTTATATAGCTTTCCTCTATTATAGCCTTTATAAAAATCCTCTAATTTCTCTAATCTATAGATTATAGCTATTATAGAAATCCTCTAATTTCTCTGATGCCCTAACCCTAAGGCTTTGTGGGTAATCCTTTGTTCTGAAGTGCATTAGTCCCGTAGTGACTAACCTGATCCATTGGCTGTGACGTTCTGATTCTCTGACAATATAATAGTGAGCCATATAATCTCTAGATATAAACTATAGATAGATTTCTATCTATTTTATAAAAATAATTATTATTATAAATTAATCAAAGACTATAAAAGAGATCTGTTTTAGCATAATATTATAAAAAGGATAATTATAAGCAGATCTAGTCTCTTAGCAAAAGATTAAGACTATAGAGATAAGTATATAAAATTTTAAGGTATAAAAAATGTACTATAGTATATAATGCTTTTAGCATCTAATAATCTTATTTTTATTAACTATATTAGCATCTTATATAGATAATATTATTTAAGAGATTTAATTAACTATATCTTTTAATATAACTAAGACTATTATCTTATTATAATAATAGATTCTAGATCAATAGTCTTCTATAATCTTTCACTTAGTAATTATACATATTATATAATACACTAATTATAAGAGGTTAGGCTATAGTATATTATTTTCACCTTTTTTCGTTTTTACTTCATTCGACTTGAAAGTCCGAGCATTGGCTAGGCGTCTCATTTACATGTTAGTATTGTTTTGACTCCTTAGCAATATGCGTGGTTTTATAATTTGTTTTTTTTTTCTTTTTTGACCGGCTTTTTTGCTCCAAGCGAAATGCCATATTTTGAACGATCAATAAATAAATCAATGACCTAGGCAGCATTTCAGGTCGTCGACATACCATACATCCAATTCGATCACGTGACCGATGTTGAAGATGAGCGGTGACGACTTCCGCTGGGATTAATTTAGCTTGGATGCCTTTCCTCGTACTTTCAACAGCCAGACAGAGTCCTCTCTTGACAGCATGGCTACCAACGTGGATGCCAAACTGCTAAGGCAGACAAAATTTCCACCGGAATTCAGCAAGAAAGTGGACATGAAAAAAGTGAACATCGAGGTCATGAAGAAGTGAGTAGCAACTGACTGCGTGAAAGCTCATCCAGCAAGTACTTATTGCTTTAAATTCACAGATGGATTGCGGGAAAGCTATCAGAACTGCTTGGCGATGAAGATGATGTTATAATTGAGCTTTGTTTCAACTTGTTGGAAAGCTCACGTTTTGTGAGTGATTTAGGTATTTCTTCGCTCACCTGAGTGCATGCATGCTAACACATTTGCCGCTGCTAGCCCGATATCAAAGCCCTCCAGATTCAGTTAACCGGTTTTCTCGACAAAGATACAGCCAAGTTCTGCCAGGAATTGTGGAACCTATGTCTTAGTGCTCAATCCAGCCCCCAAGGTGTTCCCAAGGAGCTACTAGAGGCGAAAAAGCTAGAGCTGAGGCAGGAAAAGGTGTGTGGGATGATTTCGATTGATTCCTGTACAAGATAAGACATCATTATTGACTAATTTCCATTTAGCTGGACAAAGAAAGGGCTGCCGAGGAAGCGCGTCGGCGCAAGGAACAAGAACGCACCCGCGAGAGAGAATTAGAGAGCATCAGACAGAGAGAAAGAGCCGATCGAACCCGTGGTTTCCGCGATTATAGAGGAGGACGGGATTATGACCGCAGAGATGCCCGGTCGCCTCGGCGTCGCAGCCCTGACCGGCGCGGTGGTGCACCTTCGCGCCGAGAGTTTGATTCCTACGTACCGAGAGGCGGTCGACGTGATCGCCGGAATTCGAGTTCAGTATCTCGCTCATCGTCTTTTTCCAGATCCCCCCCTGGCCGCTCATACCGCTCAGATCAACGCAACAGGAGACGGCCACGATCCATTACCAGGTCACGGTCTCCAGAAGGAAGGGGATATGCAAGGAACAAGCGCCGAAGCTCGGCATACGGTGATGAACGAGAAAGATCTGCTGCCCGCAATGATTCGTCACGCTCACCTAGTCCCAGAAGATCCCGCCGACGCTATTCGTCCGTCTCTTCCCGCAGTCCGTCACGTTCTCCTGCGCCACGAGCTCGCAGAAGAAATTCTTCTTCACCAGTGTCTCGCTCGAGGTCTCGACAACCGGCTAACAGGAACCGTAGGAGGCGGTCGTCTTCTCGTCAATCGGAAGAACCAAAAATAAGTAATAATGCTGCTACAAAAAGCCGATCGTCCAGAGACAACCGCCGATTGAGTCGTAGCCCTTCGTCTAGGCGCTCCCGGTCTCGCAGTATCGTCTCTAAACGCAGTGCTTCCCGCAGCCCTAGTCCCCGAGGTGACAGGAAACGACGTCGTTCACTAGAGCGGTGGGCTCCAGCGGCCAGACGGCGACGCAACGATTCACCGGACTCTCCAAGCTCAGAGAAACACGCAACTTCTGCGGAGGCAGAGGATGTCAAGATGCAGGAAGACACTGAAGTAAGTACTACTTGATAAGACTTGATGATGCATTTTGTCGAATATACACAGCTATTTCCCAGTTCCTGTTCTGTTGATATGGCATCATTGTGTAAATTGGCTCATATATTTATCATTTGTTTCTCCCATTCAGGAAAACTGATTTGCAAACAACCAATGCAAAACAGGCCAAACCAACACGGACAAACAATAAATCGCGCCTCTCCGCAAACGAGCTCCGAGAGAGAGTACTGAAAGAAAAAATCAAGGCCATGCGTCGTAGAAGCTCGAATGAGAAAGCAGAGGACGTCGCCTAGGATGTCGGTAGGTTTTTGGCTTATCTGACATAGATAGCAGATACCTAGAGGTTGTTGCTTGAGGGCCGTACCATTTCCTTGGTCACTATCTCCATCCCATTCATCTCACAACTCATTTGACTTGACCTATTCTTTCAGTGGATACGGGGTAGCAGTGCTCGAGGAGAACGAGTCCACTGTGTACCTGCTCGCTTGGTTCATTCTATATATACTTAGGGACTAATTGATGGATGCATTTATATGGTGAACAGAACACTCAATATTAGGTTGATCCCAGATATTATTCCCTGCTAATCTACGGCTGTAGTCTAACTTATTACACTTGGAAGTTGGTAGTAAGATGAGCGAGGAAAATAGATTAACTCGACAAGGCATGAATGCTCTCCTCCCATCGCTTACCCTTTGAGACTTCCTGGCCACTCTCGAAAACTGCCCTCGGAGTCAAGTCTTTGCGTTGAATTTGTTTGCGGGGTAGTTAGTTCTCGAGTTTGACCATATGCCACCAGGGGTTCTCCTTAGGAAAACAATCGAATTATATAAAGCTATAACTTCTATCCTCGTTTGCCGAAAGTGACATGGTTGAAACATAGCCATGTCAGCGAGGAAATCTTGCAAATCGCCTTCTTGATCAGATGTTCCTTCTCATCTTTCATCATGGCCCTCATGAAAAGGACCGGGCTTTGTACCATCCTCCTAACCTCCGCAGCGGACTTGGCTCTATGCACACCGCAGGAATTATCAGAACAGTGGAAACTGCTCAGCCTCCCATCTTACCCCGTCAATTGACCTACTCTACGATGCTATTGTTCCTCGATGTCTCAGCGGCACTGGCCCAGTACAACAGCACTACTAGCTTTTGCAACGTGACTGTGACCTACACACATCCCGGCTGGAATGATACAATCCATCTCACCAACAATTTTCCCGAAAATGGCTAGAATGGACGTCTTCAAGGGAGGACATGAAAACAACCAGTATTCATCAGCTGTATGGGCGCAATTGCTAGATGGACAACTGAACATCCCACTATTTACCGATTTTGCGTCCGTTTCTTTGAACGATATTGCTGTGATCGGCAAGCAAATCTCCAGTCGATATTACGGCTACGGGCCGAGTTATTCCTACTGGAACGGCTGTTCCACTGGAGGACGACAAGGCCTCATGATGACGCAGAAGTATTCTCAAGTATACAACGGCATCTACACAGGGTCTCCGGCGATCAACTGGCCTGTCTCCGTACTGAAGCAAGAGTCTGATGAACCAGCTCAACCACTACCCGCCGCAGTGTGTCTTCGACGCCATTAGTGACGCTGCGGTAGAGGCCTGGGGATCACTGAATGATAGGGTTATTGCGAAACCAGGACAGTGTTTGTTTGACCCTGCTATCATGGTCGGGCAGAGAGTAAATTGCAACGGAACCTTGGTCAACATTACCAGCGACGATGCCACAATTGTTCAGAAAACATGGGAAGGTCCTCGGACTGCAGACGGCACTCCCCTCTGGTGGGGAATCAACCCAGGGGCTCCATTTTAGGGGCTTAGTGATACTAAATGCACAAATGTGAACAACTGCACGGGGAAGCCTTTTGAAATCAGCACCAACTGGATTCTGCTCAGGGTGTTGGAGGACGCGGGTGTTGATTTGAAGGCACTCACTCTTGATGAATTCGTGGGAATCTTCTACCAGGTCCTGGTGAAGTACAAGAGTCTTATTGGCACAAACAACATCGATCTTCACCCGTCCCACTACGCTGGCGGGAAGATGATCACCTGGCATGGGCTTGCGGACCAGCTCATCTTTCCAGGGGGCACTATTGATTACTATCGCAAGGTCCTGGGGTTTGATGACACTGTTCATGGCTACTATCGATTCTTCTCTGCACCTGGGGTAAGCACTGTGGCAATGGCGCGGGGGCGGTTCCGAGTGATCCCCTCGCAGCTGTCGCTGTCGTAGAGCAGGGCGTCGCTCCGGATACGCTGCCTGCTGTCACCACGGACGGCACGAGCCAGCGCAACCTGTGCATGTATCCTCAGCTCTCTTTATATGTTGGCGGTGATGATACGTCTGCGAATTCGTTTTGTCTGCAGATTGCCTGGAGATGATGTCGACAACATCATCTCCTACACGGACTTTGTCCTGAGTTCAAATGGAAGTGCTTTCCAGGTGGGTTCTCAAATGTCGTGACTACTCTATATTACCGTAATCATATACTACAAAACTTTGCATACTCGTTTCATGTCGTAGGAAATACTTGAATAAAGTTAGTAAAATGAGGTAAAATCACGGTAATCGTCGATACCCGAAGGATAGTTATTGTCAAGTCCTCGCCAACTACCTAGGTACCTATGAGTAGTTACGCAACACTTGATAGGCTTTTTTATAAGCCGATTCTGACTATGACTAGGCAAACCTGCCCGTCGGCATCGAAGTCGGCAGTTGCTCAGCAAAGCGCAGGCTAGACCGTGTCTGAGCCTAGGCACTGGCCCCGCATAACCCCAGACCCGCGCGTGCATCGGCTGTGGGGAAATTTTCTTATAACGACGTGTGTAAATAGTACGGTTGATTAGCGTGCCTATATAAGGTGTACGCTTCCCCCGATCCTTACTTCTTGAATACCAGTCTCCTGCTAGAGTGCTACGCTCCTAAAATAATCCGGACAAGCCATGGCGGAGAGGGTGAAAAGCGACGTGCACTTCAGTGCCTCCAAGCAAGAGCCTGGCTTGGTTGAGAAAGCTGAAGTAGTACATGGTTCTCAAGAACAAGAACCAGAACTGACCCCCCAACATCGAGAATATTTGCTCGAGCGTCATGGAACCATCGACCTTGATCCGTTACCTAGTATGGATCCCGCCGATCCGCACAATTGGCCATCATGGAAGGTGAGATAAAAATGTCTCGGCTACAGTAAAAAGATGGAATATGTAATCCATTATATTGATTCGATATTATTGCTACAGAAAAGTGCAAACCTCGTCCTCGTCGCCTTCCACGCGTGCATGAGCACTTTCACCGCCGCAGCCATCATCCCTGCTTACGAGGACATTGCGCTTGACCTAGGTATCTCCATCCAGCGCACGAGCTATCTAACCTCTTTACAAATCGCTGTGCTAGGTGGTGCCCCTCTCTTTTGGCGCCCGCTATCGCAGCGGTTTGGGCGTCGACCTATCTTCTTGCTCTCACTTCTGTGCACTATAGCGTGCAATATTGGGTGTGCAAGAAGTCCCTCCTATGCATCCATGGCGGCCTGTCGCGCACTGGGGGCATTTTTCGTTTCTCCTGCTATGGCTATTGGTAGCGGAGTTGTCATGGAGACATTCTTTAAACGACAGCGCGCACGGTATATGGGTATCTGGACAGTCATGGTTACGCTAGGGGTGCCCATGGGTCCCTTCATTTTCGGCTTCGTTGCTCAGCGGGTGGGATATCGTTGGATATATTGGGTGCTGGCTATCATAAACTTCTGTCAGCTCGTGTTATATCTCTTCTTGGGCCCGGAGACTCGCTATCTGGGTCCACACTCGGGTTCCTCCTCCTTCCGCTCTGAGTATCTGTCCATCCATCGCATTGATTCTACCCCGTTCTCGCTGGGGGAGATTGTCCACCCTCTGCGGCTGGTGGGCTCGCTACCTGTGCTGATTTCGACTGCAGCTTACTCAATGGTGTTCCTCTTTGCAAGTGTGTTGGGCTCAGTGGAGGTGCCGCAGCTATTACAAGTCAAATTTGGCCTGAATGCACAGCAGCTGGGCCTGCAATTTCTCGGGCTAGTCATTGGATCCATCCTTGGAGAGCAGGTTGGCGGTCATCTATCCGATATGTGGATGATAATGCGTACCAAACAATTAGGTGCACGGCCAGCACCCGAGTTCCGTCTTTGGCTGAGTTATATCGGGTATGTACTGACTATTGTTGGCATGGTGATATTTCTCGTGTGCACCCAGACCGCTCCCGAGGGCCACTGGACCGTGTCACCGGTTGTAGGCTTGGGAATTGCCGCGTTTGGAAATCAGGTTGTGACGACCGTTTTGACTACGTATGCAGTTGATGTGCACCCGGGGGACGCGGCGAGTATTGGGGTATTTGTGAATTTCATCCGTTCTGAGTGGGGATTTATAGGGCCGTTTTGGTGTGTTTCTCAAGACTGCCTTCTGAATTGGCATTGGATAAGGGACGTCGTTGCTGATTGTATTACCTTAGGTTCCCTCGCATGTTCGATGAGGTGGGCGTGGCGGCCAGTTCGGGGGTCATTGCGGCTTTGATTGTGGGAGTCTGTCTGGTTCCTACTGTCATGCTGCACGCGACTAGGGGGAGATCCACACATGTTGTGAAATAACTGGCCATAAATATTTTATGCTGTGGTTATTGGTATTGTCGAGCCCGAGCAGGGACTTTACAGGGTTCAATTGAGCACAAGTTTGTTCGTAGACAGTAGATATCATACGGTATGACTCTTCCTAGCTGCTTCCAATCGTATATCTGTTTTTAATTCAAATATGCAACAGCCCTGCTAGCCTTTCATAACTTCTCCCCGCTTTTCTAGATGGATTTTCATTTCAAGCGGTCTTGGATGGAGCGCCGCTTCATTATTCCATTCCGTCAGTCAAAGAGATATCCATCACAGGCTGAGCTTTCGATTTTGCTAAAAAGAAATTTTGTTTGCTCATAAATGATAACTAGTCTAGAATAAGTTTGATATCAAGTCCTACCCACTATTTCCAGGATATATATAATAGATGAGTATGATGTGTGACATTATCTTTGTTCCGGCTTATCCACGATTGCTGAAACGAAATGGTTGCTACTTGAAATGAGGAGGATCTACTTGTTGAGAGAATCTGAAGATTGGGAAGGGTAATCAAGCAGGCGGTAGAAATACGAAGTGTACTATAGAGTAGAAACTATACATTTTTGCATTCATATGAAGTAGAGATAAGTGTTGCTCGTACGCTCAGTCAGATTTTAGTAGGAAACATTAGATAATAGACATTGACTACCTGGGCAGTTAACTAATAAGACGAAATGCGGTCCTGGTATACGTATACCACGGTATTCTATACAAATAATACATAATATGAACAAGCAAATTGAATGAATGACAATCGATGTGCCGAAAACAGATGTTCATGCACTCGTATCAGCAGTGACTTCTTCAAGCGTGAGACACAAGGGCTCTCTTGGTGCTGTTGTTCTTGCAGTCGCAGGTTTCGCCAGAAACCCACTTGCCGAGGATGATTTGAATGTCAACGGAGATATCGATGCCGCTAACGCAGCCGGTCAGGACACCAACAAGTTCAGCAACGGCGTCGACAGAGACGTTGACAACAGCTTCACCGGCAATGGCAACGGCAATGACGCCCTTGACAGTGGCGCTGAGGGAGGCTGCAATATCACCGCCAATCCAGGCAGTGAGGGTAGCAATGTCGGCGGCAGCGAGGACAGAGACAGTGTCAGCAAGGTTTACGCGAACGTTCAACCAGACCAAGACAACGGCCTTGAGTTGGGCGGAGAGAGTGCAGCTGGAGTCAAAGAGCCATGCGGTGAGCTTGATCACGGCGTCAACGTCAAGGGAAAGGGCAGACTCGGCACCAGTGCAGACTTCTAGCCAGGCCTTGATGTCGGCGTCCAGGTCGGTTTGGGCGGAGATCCAGGCCTCAAGAGAGCTGATGTAGGAAGCGGAAACAATGCCAGAGACATCAACAGCGGCATCGATGGCGGCGCCAATGGAAGCAGAAATTGAGGCGGCAGTGGAGACGGTTCCGAGAGCTGAAACACCAACACCGACGGTACCACTGAGCCAGAGCTTGATGGCAGCCTTGAGAGAGGCAGAAAGACCGCATGAAGCGTCATCAAGGTAAGCGGTAAGAGCGGCCTTGACATCAGCAGATAGAGAAGCAACTAGACCACCGGCAGCGCAGATGTTAAGAGCAACCTTGACCTCAGCGTCAAGATCAGCGTTGGCGGCAATAAAGGTTTCAAGGGTAGCCTGGAGAGATGCCTCCAGAACAACACCGACAGCAGCACCGACAGAAACAATGCCCTCGACGTCAACGACAAGGTCACCCGCAGCAGCGATGGCAATGGCGAAGGGAGTCAAGAGGGAGATTTCAGCGATAACTTCGACATCCAACTCGGCGGAAGAAGCGCCATTGCACCAATCCTTAATGGCAGCCACGACACTTGCATCCAGGTTCACGGAGGCACCGCCGATCCAAGTAGCCAGATCAGTTCTGGCACTGACATCAATAACGCTGGCCTCTAAGCCAAGACTGGCTCCGACCCAGGCAGCGGCTCCCTCGGCAGAGAGTCCGTCCAAGGCAGCAGCTGGGTCGAGCAGGTCGACGGCTGCGGATAGCAATGATCTCTCAAAAACAGGAGCAGGGGCGTGGGACATGGGGGCAGGGCGAGCGATGGCACAAGTTGCCAAAGCCGAGATGGCGAGAGTAGCGAAACGCATAATGAAGGTAACACTAGATATTATCAATTAAGTAGATAGTAATATAAGAAATGATCGACGGGCAACAGCCAAAGAGCGAATTGAACTAGACGGTCAAACGAGTGAGGTCTATAAACGAGGGAAGTTTACTACCTTGATAGGCAGTAGAACGAGCGACTTGACAAAAGAGTGTGTGAAGAGGAAAGACAGAGAGGAGGTTATTCAGAGCGAGGCATTGTCTATATATGTTGTTCAGGGGATTCCATGCCTGGTCCTTCAGACAGAATTCTATTACCTGTACAGGTTTGGCAGAGCACGGAGCATTACCGTAAGCAGAAAAGTAGGGCTAGTCGGTTGGCGGTGGGGCTTGTTCGACACCCGTATTTGGAAACCACGAGTGGATCTTAATTCTGTTTATTCCATGGGTTTAAATGATAGTGTGGTTTCATACTCTGGGACTGGCCCTATCAGAGCGAGTGGATGCCCGGATAGAAAGAAACTGAGGATCTCTTTTCTCCTGATTGACTTGCAATTCCATATGGACTGAGACATCTTGAAACTGCCCTGCAGGGTTGAGCAAACAAGATTTAAACTTACAGATGAGAAGCAAGAATCAAGCGTGTTTTGGCAAGGCGGGTACGGAGTAGATGTTGTGTTCCATGTCTATTGTCTACTGTTGAACAGGTCGCTTCTCTCCAGTATGTATCAGTATCGGTAAGCACTATCAGCGAACGAGTTGAGTCTTGCTGGACTCAATTCTTAGGAGGCAGCCCCGCCCAAGGCCCAGAACACGCTTCTTTGCTTTTGTTCTGCTCTCAATTGCTACTGAGAGTGAGTGCTGGCTCTCGGAAGATTACTGATGCTGGCAGACCATTGGAATCAGAGTTCCCTTGGCTGACTCGCCGGGGAAGCAGGACCTTTGTCGATGCAGCTCAAAAGCACTTCCGGCGCACAACCGTTCATGGCATTGGTGGTGCCTGAGGCTTGCGTGGTTGAAGTGTAAGTGAGCAAACGCACCAAAATGCGACAGACTCTAACGCCGGCCGCTGCCGCCACAGAAAACAGTCTTGAGGCGCTTTGCTGTATGCGGCTTAGATGCCGATGGGCCTGGCCTAAGGCATGACTCCGATAGGCTGGGCGCGCGCTCGTCGTACCTGCACCCGATTATTATCAATATCGATAGCCTATAGTTATAAGTTATAACTTACTACCTATTAGGCGGTCGTGTGGACGAGAAGCTGATTGGTCCCCTTTTTGCGTTTACTTCTCTCCAGTCTTGCTTCAAGCAGCGAACCCGAAGGCACTTGCTCTGTACAGAGTATCGAATATTCGCGTACAGAGTACGGAATATTCTTCGGCATTTGCGAGCTGTCTGCCTTCTTAGTGCTTATTACTTACCAGCACTCCGGAATCCGTCCGGACCTTGTACTACGTACTGCGTACTGCGTACTTCACGCTGATGTCGATCTTGTGGGAACGGACCAGGACCAACGGCTTCAGTAGCATTTGTACCATGTGGACCGCCGATTGCTGCTCGTTTCGACTTTTGAGCCCGTGTGGGCGAGCTACTGAGCGTTGTAGCTCTTTAATGGCTACATTTGAGAGCTAAAAAGGCAGGCCGTATGCGATTGTGTACTATTTTCGGAAGAGTCAGGCGGCATAAATCTCCGTCCTCATGAGGACGTGGAAAAAGTGCGCTCAGTCCTGCGTACGGATCCTTCCGGCTCAGTGACAAGTCAACTCGTGAGTCGCCAACGGCTTGCACGCTAGGGACAGGCTTCGGATAACGGAGCAAAAGGGATGAATCAACTTTTGCTAGCTTTCCGAGTTTCCCATTGTGCCGTTAATAGTACACTGAAGTGAAAGCGAAAGAAATGTGGGCTTGCTCAATAGTCTTCTTTTTCTTGTCATGGCGTCCACTAGATTGTGACTTATCAGTCGACATTCGTAGGCAGCGTGCAGATCAAGTTAAGTCAAGAAGAGATACGAAAAAGCAAGCGACGCGAGCGGTCACGTGGCTGGGCCCAGAACGACTAAGCGTTTCCATGACAACATTGTTGACGCCTCGCAGCACGTGACTCGGGCGGCGCGCTAAGCAACATTGCGGGTTTCGACGTTGTTTGTCCATCGCCGGACCGCATAGCATATATTCTTAGCACCGACTTTTGGATACTCAACGGACAGCGCATTGGGGCCTGTGTATTTGGACTATGCGATAAAGGCGCAATTGGACGCGCTGAGATACAACACAATGGCCACCGAGGCTTCGCCAACTCCTATATCATCTGCTCACAGACTCGGCGGTGTGCACCATCGATTATCCCGGTCCTCACTTCTATTGCGACAACAGCAGAGCCGTACTTCACCTGCGACACAGAACGGGGCTTCTGTCAATGGACATGACACTAAGAACTACGATGGTGAGAGCTCAGACGATGAAGTGGTTCCCGAGCCCAAATTCAGTGCCTCGGTCAAGGCGCTATTAGAAGGAGAGGTTATGGATCCTTCACCACATCAGGAGACCAGCGCGAAGCGACATAGTAGTATCGCCACTAGAGACTTTGCATCTATGCGACCGGAAAGGCACGTCCGAGTGGCCTCTCCTCATGATTCATCAAATGGCAGTCCCGCTCCCCGGGTTGTGCGACTTAGCTCTGTCAGAGTTTCATCGTCCAAGGCTGAAAACTCCAATTCGGATGAGCAAAGCTACTTGAAAGATATGATTACGCCAGCTCCGCGAACACGCAGTGTTCGCATTACTGGCTCCAGGAGTGCTACACGTTCTCCACTTTCCAATTCACCAAGCCACAAGTCTTCCGGCAAGGCAGTGTCCAGCGGCCAGAAGTCTACAGAGGCTCTGAATGACGACGACTATGTCCCACGCCTGGGAGCTTCTTCAGTTTTGAGATCTCGTGCTGGCGAAGAGGCTGGCATGCATAGCTCTCTTCGAGTAAAGCGAGTTGGTAGACTTACCGGTTCTTTCTTGAATGGCCCCGCTAGACGGGGTGTTTTGCGCAGGCAAAGTGAAGAAATAGAGGAGAAGCCTGAAGCTGATGGCCAAAGTCCGGAAAGAGACGCACCAGAGAACCTAGGTTCTCTGCATTATGCCAGAGAAGGGAATGGCTCATCCAGTCGACCCGTTAGAACAGCGTCTTCACCGAAACTATCTTGGATAGACTCCGATCCACGAATTTTGGAAAAACCCGCACCAGCCGTTCCCCGTTCTAATGTAGATATGCCCTTCTCTAGGGCAGCATCACCCAAGTCCTCTCGCTCCAGATCCACTCCAGGGACAACCTCAGAAGGCTCTGTAAAGTCGGGAAGTGGAAGTGAGCAACCTCAATATCGTGTACCACCTCCGAAATTGCCTTCCGCGCAAGATCAAGAAAATGACCCTCCCCCTACTTTTAAAAGAGTCAAATCATCGGGACTCAGTCTTCTGGACAAGCCCGAAAAATATTCTGTTATATGTGACGATGATAACAAGGAACGGGAACAACAACAACAACAACCCGCAACAGTATCCCCTCGGAAACCATTGACCTCACGAAGTAACAACACACCACGTAAAACAGCTCCGCCGCCACCAAAGATGTCTGTTTTGGAAACAGCTACAGCAACAGGGGGCGCAGCAACAACTACATCACAGTCCCGAAAAAAGAGAAGTCAAGTGGTAATTAACCACAAAGGGTTTACTCGCATGGATTGTGTCGGACGCGGAGGCACCTCTCGCGTTTACCGTGTCATGGCTGAGAACTACAAAATATTTGCTCTCAAGCGAGTGAATTTGGAGGATGTCGATCGGGTTACTTTGGCAGGCTACAAGGGCGAGATCGATTTGCTCAAGAGATTGGAAAATGTCGACCGCGTTGTGCGACTTTTCGATTGGGAAATCAACTCCGAAAAACATGTTCTCAGTATACTGATGGAGATTGGAGAATCGGACTTGGAAAAGATTTTGACTTATCGGTTGAACGCGGATGATGCCGTGTTTGATCCAAGTTTCACACGCTTCTATTGGAAAGAAATGCTGGAATGTGTTCAGGCAGTTCACAAGTTCAACATTGTTCATTCAGATTTAAAACCGGCCAATTTTCTCCTTGTTCAAGGACGTCTGAAGCTCATTGATTTTGGTATAGCCAACGCGATACAAGATGATACCGTCAATGTGCATCGCGAGCAACAAGTTGGAACCCCTAACTACATGTCACCGGAGGCGCTTATTGATTCAAATGCGTCATCCGGTTTGCCGGCAAGCGTTGGGAAGATGATGAAACTCGGCAAGCCAAGCGATGTGTGGAGTCTAGGCTGTATTCTGTACAAGATGGTTTACGGGCAGCCACCCTTTGCGCGAATTGCCAAGTACTACGAACGGATCATGGCCATTCCCAACCCCAAAGTGCCCATTGAGTTTCCCCAGTTCGCCATTGGCGGCGTGACAGTGCCTCCTGGCTTGGTGCGAACCTTGAAACGTTGCTTGCAGCGAGACCAAACCCTTCGCCCGTCAATCGATGAATTGCTCAGTGAACGAGACCCGTTCCTATACCCGGAAGCTCAGCTCGAAGGAACAGTTCCCGTGACGCAAGAAATGATTGCTCGCATTCTGACCAATGTTGTGAATCACTGTCGAGTTCGCGGTGTACCTAGAGAGGAAGAATTGGCCGCATGGCCAGCTGGGTTCTTCACCAAAATCAAAGCGGCAGTTGAGGAGGAACATAGATAACAATTTCTTTTCTTCTCACACACCTTTCTTCTTCTCATTCTTTCCCTTCTTTTTTGGATTAACTCTCCGTGTAACACTTTTTGACTTGTTTTTTGCGTTTAAGCGTCGCATTACCCTCTCATTTCTATTTCCCTTTCCTTTTCATTTGTTCTTTTCGGGCAGCATGGATTTCTGCATACCGGCGGCATAGTTGGAATGTTTGGCGTAGGCTTGTTTGCTCACTGTGGACTACTTGATGATTCTATTCTGTGTTAATATTTACGAAGCTTGTTGGCCACACAGGGGTGTCAGCTTTGCTTTTTTTTTTTTTTTTATTTTAATCTGTATGAGCTACGTTTGTCTTTGTCATCTTATTCTGTTCCTGGATTGTTGATAGGTCAATCAATCACTCACCTATTTGAAATAACTCGCTTGCCCTAATCGTATCCATTTTATTGCAAGTCTTGGTATATCCTCCGCAAATCGGCACACTAGACATTATTCCGCGGCGGTCTATGACTTTACCGGCCGGCGACGGCAAACATACATCTCCGCATCCAAGGTACAATTTCCTCGGTATCTCAGTTTGTACCTTACATCTACCAATTCACAAGCAAGACTCAACCTTCTCTCTCGCAATGGCGTCCTCGCTTAGGAACACCTGCCGCAAAATCATCTGCATTGGTCGAAACTATGCGTACGCAAGGCAATCAAGACCATCTAACTTAGTACCGTACTGACCGTCAGTACCATTATAGAGACCACATTACAGAACTGAAAAGCGCAACGCCCAAACAACCTTTCTTCTTCCTCAAGCCTACTTCCTCGCTTCTCCTGCCCGGCCAAGGCCCCGTTCTTCTTCCCAAGGGCGTCAATGTGCACTATGAAGTCGAGCTGGGTCTCGTCATTGGAAAGACTCTGCGCGATCTAGACCCGGAGGACCACAAGACTGCTCTCGACTCTGTGTCTAGTTAGTTTTCCTTTTTTCTCCCTCATCTCTCTTGTTTCGCCTGTTTTCGCATACCGACAATAATCTGACTTGGGCAACTCCGTCGCGCAGACTACCTCCTAGCAATAGACATGACAGCGCGTAACGTGCAAGACGAGGCCAAGAAGAAAGGACTCCCCTGGTCAATCGCCAAGGGCTTCGACACATTCTGTCCCATATCCGAACTGATCCCGAAATCCGCGATTCCGGACCCGCACAACGCGTTTTTGCGACTTTCCGTGGGCGATGAAGTGAAACAGGCGGATTCTACTAATTTGATGCTTTACAGGATTCCGCGCCAGTTGGCGGATATTTCGCGGGTGATGACGCTCGAACCGGGTGATTTGGTGTTGACTGGCACGCCCAAGGGTGTCGGACGGGTTAAGAATGGGGATGTTATGAGGGCTGAGATTGAGGTTGATGGGAAGAGGGTGGAGAGTATCGAGGTTGCGGTTAGGGATAGGTTAGAGGGGAGGTATGAGTTTAAGGAGACTTGATCTATATTTGTCAATTGAGCTAAAAGGGGTTTCATGATGAATGAGTTATTATTGTACATATAACGTGAGGAACTTCCCATGTTTATACTACGGGCGCCTCAATCAAACAGAAGACGCAGAACAAGTTATACCTGTTCCTAGGTATCAGTTGGGCCAAAAAGGGTTTGCAATGGTTGATTTATATATAAAACGTGAAGGCCTTCCCATGTATAGGTATACCACAGGTCACTAGAAGTATGAATAGCGGGCATTAGTGAATATGAAGATTTTAGCTAGTATGGTTGTGACATTAGGTTATTGTAGCTCGTATTGCCGCTAATTTTCACCTTTTACATGTCGATTCTAGTTGTGCTTCCATTGGTGAAGTTCGTTGTAGATTGAGATACATTTTTATAAGCTTCAATATTTTGTTCTAAGACGATAGGATCATGGTATATCATGACCACATAAGTCAAGTCACAATTTAAATATTGAAAAATCAATAGATTCGTCAATCCACATCCCCATAAATAGAGGCATCCCCCCTTGTATGCGCATTCCCTTTTGTTTTCGACCTAATGTTGTATATAGGTTTCCGCTTCTTTCGAAGAGCACGAGGTTTGCAAAAGATCTCAAGGTTAGACCAGACCCAGCCGAATTCATTCAAGTATTCTTCCAAGGATGTTTTGAACCCATCGTCGCTGGTGATGCCGTCAAAAAATGCCTCGACTATATGGCCCTCTTGTTTCCGCCGAGGTAGTTGACAGCGGAGCTGGGAAGTGAAGACAAAGTAGTCATTGAGACTTCGGGCACCTTGTCGTATCTCTCGGGAAATAGCTTCAAGCTGCAATGTATGGTCATTTGCAGGCAGAGGCATGAAGTCAGGCACGTATGAATCAGTCAGTGTGGAAAGACCGGCTTGGTCAATGATACTATCTGGAGTGTTTATAACCTCTGTCAATGCTTCCATTGATTGTCTGGTCCGAGCTATTTGTTGATCTTGTAAGCTGATGTGAGCAGAATGATGCTTGATTACGTGAATAAGTAGCAAAACCGACCTTTCTGTTTCTTGTATTGCAACATGACAAGCAATCTGGGCTTTGTTTCAATCTGCACCGGTTCTGGCTCTGTCTTCTTTAGTTCCAAATTGTCCTGCCTCGATTCCAACGCCGTCTGCCTCGGCTCCTGATGTTCGATATTTCGAGTTACTCCTGTGGTGACCTTGGCGATGTCTGCCTTGAATTCAGACATTCTATTCGACAGCTCGGATACCTGAAGCCCCATATCTCTGACCCCAGTCTCTAGCTTCTCCGTGGCATCTTTCATGGCGCCATCGTTGACAATCGCAGAGATCTGCTGACTGATGTTCTCAATCCTGGTTGCTAGTTTGGTGCGCATTAGAGTCACTTCATTCTTCACAGTGTAATTCTCCGCTTGCAGACTTCTGACAAGAGTTTCTAGGTTGGCAAGGTTCTGTTCGTGCGTTTCGGTTTTGTTCGTGCACGAGACTAGCCGGAAGTCCATACCATCGATGCGCTCCACAAGATGGACGTGTTCTCTGCGTAGTTGGTAGGCCCAAAGGAGCGAGGTTTTGGACGAAGAGCCACCAGCGGCATCGCTGCGTTCGGACTGCGCGTTTGCAGGCATGGCTGATGGCTGATTGGGAAGCAGGCAGTCTTAGGGGGGGATTCTTGAGTGTTGTCATGAAGTTGATGGTGTAGCTCTGTAGGAAATGGCAGCAGGAAGGAGCCAGAGACAGGAAAGAGCCGGGGAGCTTACCTACTTGGGCAGTCTACCATCTACTTCGACCAAAGATTAACAGAACAGAAATGGCATTTACCTCTATCTCTTGCTAACAAGCCGGTATACAACCACCCCGTGTCATTATCGTCATTCGTCCATTTGCCCAGTCTGCCTCCTCTGTCCATCGCTCCTTCTTTTGAACAAACAGGAAAAGACAATGAGGAAGCTCAGGCAACATCGCTCATTACTTTGTCCGACATACAAGTATGCAAAAAGGACATACCCTATGCAAGAACAAAGCCAGGATACATAACGGCAAAGAAAAAAAGGAAAAGAGAAAGAAGAAAATAAAGACTCAACGCAATCCGTAAATGTCTGAAACAAGAAGCATGAATAGCATAATGTTCAACGGTGAGAACAAGGAAAGTTACATAGGAAACATGAAAACCTGACAGCACAATATTACGACAACAGCTATTGCATACCTTTGCAACAGCAAAGTCTCTGTGCAGGGTTAATCGCATAAGAAAAAGCCACTTTTGAAAATATTTTCCAAAACCAGCTGGATCCAGGCCAAACTGATTCGGTGTCCCAATTGGATCATTCAATCTAATCTTCAGGACACGACAAGAATGACAAAAGGTTATTTAAATAAGGTCTGCAAGATTAGTTAGCTCGAAATTCTTCTCTTTCCTCTATATACAAGGGGGAACTATAACATACCAGCAACGTTCATCGGCATCTCTTCAATCTGGGTGTTGTAGAACTGCTCGATTTCACGCATCATACGAACATCGTCGGCGGTGACGAAGTTGATGGCAACACCCTTACGACCGAAACGACCACCACGACCAATACGGTGAATGTAGTTCTCGCGGTTGGCAGGAAGGTCGTAGTTGATGACTAGGGAAACCTGCTGGACATCGATACCACGGGCCAACAGGTCAGTGGCAATCAAGACACGAGAAGAACCTGAGCGGAACTCCTTCATGATAACGTCACGCTGGGACTGCTCCATGTCACCGTGCATGGCAGAGACAGTGAAGTCACGGGCAGTAAGCTTGTCGGTGAGCCAGTCGACCTTGCGGCGGGTGTTGCAGAAGATGACGGCCTGGGTAATGGTGACAGTCTCGTACAGATCGGACAGAGTGTCAAGCTTCCACTCCTCCTTCTCGACAGCAATGTAGAATTGCTTGATACCTTCAAGGGTAAGCTCGTCCTTCTTGACAAGGATACGGACGGGGTCACGCATGAACTTGGTGGTGACCTCAAGGACATCCTGGGGCATGGTGGCGGAAAGCAGGACGACCTGGGTCGACTGAGGAAGGAGCTGGAAGATGTCGTAGATTTGTTCGGTGAAACCGCGCTAAGAAGTTGAGTCAGCTGACGAGTCTTATATACATACGTTACTCGGGTCCGTTTGAACTTACAGAAAGCATCTCATCGGCCTCGTCAAGAACGAACATCTTGATGTTGTCGGTTCGGAGGACACGACGCTGGATCATGTCTTGGACACGACCAGGTGTGCCGACAACGACCTGAGGACCATCCTGGAGGGCCTTCATGTCCTCGCGGACATTGGTACCACCAATGCAAGCATGGCACTCGATGCTCATGAAGTCACCAATGGCAACAACGACCTTTTGGATCTGCTGGGCCAATTCACGGGTTGGGGCCAGGATGAGGGCCTGGCAGGCCTTCAAGCTGGTGTCGATCTTCTGGAGAGCGGAGATGGAGAAGGTAGCGGTTTTACCGGTACCAGACTGGGCCTGGGCGATGACATCGTTGCCTTTATACCGAATTAACAACTGTGCATAAGCAATACTGACGACGAAAGGTTTTCACATACCCTTGATGACCGGCATGATAGCGCGCTGCTGGATAGCAGATGGGCGCTCGAAACCGTAAGCGTAGACACCTAATCTGCTGTCAGTCTTTCGGACTCGCCACCTGAGACTTTTTCTTCCTTTTCGGTCGAGACTTACCGCGAAGAAGCTCAGCCTTGAGGTTCATGGCATCGAAGGAGTCGGTGACCTCGTCATAGTTAGACTCGATTTGTCCTATAAGGTAGCAGATGAATTAGCCCCCGGAGCTTGATAGATGTTGGCGCAAAGGCGGGCTGTTAAGCGACAACCACAAGAGCGCATCTAGTGATATCATCGCCAGAACAGAGAAAAAAGAAAAGCCCAGCACTCGCTTAGAAAGTAACGCAGGGAAGTACGAGATGAAGCATACCCTCAGGAACCTCCTCTAAGCCGCCTTTGGAAGCCATGATTGCGAAAGTAGACAGGGGTGATCACAGGCGCTGCGCTGTGATCGGTTTTGACAGTGGGGTTGACGTTGGCGAGGCCGAGAAAAAAACCACAAACAATCCCGCGGGATGTAGTAGTGGCTACGACGCTGAGAATAAAATAAAGGAACAACTAGAATCACGGCTCTCGATCAAGAGAGCGCTGCAAGATTCTAGGGGGTGTGTGGTATCTGAGATGTGATATGGTCGTTGAGAAAAACGTGGAGAGGAAGAAAGAGGAGAGAGAAGAGGAAGCAGCCAGTGGCTCTTTTTTTTTTTTTTTTTTCTTACACGCCGTGAAATTTTCTATCTTAGCGCGAGGCAACTGCGAGCCTGCCACTTTCCCTCGCTCTGCCCAACCAGTGGCCGCAAATTGCTTTCTGCTATGTTCTGCCGCCCTGCGCCCGCTGTGCTGATTCGCTGAAATCTCTTTAGGGGGCCCATCGAGCGAGGGCATCCCTGAGTTTTCATTGGTCCAGCAAGCAGCGTCTCCATGCAGGTTCGGCCAATCAGCGCCGGCGGTTCCCGCTTTGGGTGACGTTAGGCCGAGTTAGGGCTAATTTATTTTGCTGAAGCATCCAGCAACGTCCATGGCTTTTATGGGCAAACAATAAGACTCGTAACCAAATATGGAGGATGCTCACAAAGAAAAGGCAACGCACAACAACAACAACAACAGCAGCAACAACAAAGAAAGATGACAGCAACGGAAGTTGCCCACGTCGGGGCCATTGGCGACTCGAAGGACCGGTGGGAGGCAATTCCCTGCCATCCGCTGGGCGTCAAACCGAGTGGCAACGCTTTGGTTGCAACGTCGAATCTCCGCGACGCAGTTGGAACCCTCAATGCGCTGCCTGATGAGCTTATCTTGATGTGCCTGGAATTCCTCGATGCGGCGAGTCTGTTGAGACTCGGCCGTACTTGCAAGGCATTGTATGCATTCACACGCTCCGAGGATTTATGGAAGACCTTTCTTGTTGGGTAAGAAGATAGTATCATAGATAGCATAACCATGGAAAAATGAATGCTCAGACTGACGATTCGTAGGGAATCTCGTCAGAAGCTGGTTTGGCGGGGGACGTGGCGGGCTACCTTCTTAAATCTATCGCCATCGCAAATTCCAACAATAGACTGCTCAGCCCTGTTTTCTGATGCTCTTCACCGGCCCTTTTATTGTGCGCACATAGCCCTGGAGCCGTATGTCACGGGCATCCCTTCTCACAATCGAATCCCTCGGCTCGAGGACCTGTCGGCGGAGGAGTTCCAAGAAAAATGGACTGACCGACCGTTCATTTTGACCGGGCCAGTGAAAGAGTGGCCAGTCTATCGGCAGTGGTCTACAGACAAACTTCTAGACAACTACAGCAGCACAGTCTTTCGTGCAGAAGCTGTAGACTGGCCTCTGAATACCTACGTAGACTACATGAAGAACAATGCTGACGAAAGCCCGCTGTATCTCTTCGACCGCAGCTTTGTCTCAAAGATGGACCTCAAAGTAGGGCAACCGTCAGTTATACCCGATGCCGCGTACTGGCCACCGCCGTGCTTTGGGGAGGATCTCTTTGCTGTCCTCAAATCGGATCGGCCTGATAGCCGCTGGTTGATCGTAGGGCCTGAACGGTCAGGAAGTACGTTTCACAAAGATCCAAACGCAACGAGCGCATGGAATGCCGTGATACGTGGCTCCAAGTATTGGATTATGTTTCCATCTTCTTCGCCCCCTCCAGGTGTCTACGTCTCAGTCGACCAGAGCGAGGTGACATCGCCTCTGAGCATTGCTGAATGGTTACTGGGGTTTCATGCCGAAGCCAGACGCACACCTGGCTGCATCGAAGGTGTCTGTGGAGAAGGTGAGGTGTTACACGTCCCATCGGGCTGGTGGCATCTGGTAGTCAATTTAGAGCCTTCAATCGCGATTACACAGAATTTTGTGCCTAGAGCGCATCTATCCGCGGCCCTGGATTTCCTACAAAACAAAGCAGATCAAGTCTCTGGGTTTCGTAAAAATGTCCACGACCCTTATTCGAAATTTGTCGAGAAAATGAGACAATCGCACTCAGAGCTTCTAGAGGCAGCGCTTGAGGAATTGCAAAAGCAAAAAGAAGGCAGGAAACGAAAATGGAATGAAATTGTGCATGCTCCTCCTGACAATGGTGACCCGAGTGGAAAAACCGGCGAGTTCAGCTTTGGTTTCGGTGGTGATGATAGTGATATCGAAGTTCCTTGATCGTCTTACTCTGTACGACATACTTGCAGATATCCAGGGAATTTATACAAACAAGCGGCTCCAGTCCAGATTCTGTGCAGAACTTCAAGAAATGGATATATCCCTGCAACGAACATATGTGTGCTGCATATTAGAGATGGTCGCCGAAGTACACTTACTGTGGGGCCCCTGAGCTCTATAAGCCTTCTCGGGTTCACCTGTAACCTTTTTTACCGGCAGTGGAAGTTGATGGCGCTAAACATATCTGTTTCAAATCTCCCAGAGCGTTTCTTTCACGGTACCATCTTCGTCTACATTTGGTGGGAATGGCCGTGGCATATTGTGGGCTTTTTGACGATATTTTGCAAACCTTTAGCCTATGGTAACCATAGGTTGCCACGCCAGGTGACCTTTTCAGTAGAAAGTCTGCTACTGCGACAACCTAGAATAAAAGTGAAAAAAAAAGGGCGAAAAGTACCACATTAGCCCCAATAAATCTACCGAAATTCAAGACCAAAATTGCCTACATTTTCTTAGTAGCCTCATCCCTAAGCAGGTTGGCGGTTATGTTACCCCAGGTTTGGACAACACCATGGGCTGGCACAGTCACTAGATAATCAAGATAAAGTAAGCAGTTGTCTAAAGAAATCAGTAGGTAGTAATGGAACGCATACATCAATCGCATACATCAATGCTGCCTTGAAAGCGTCACGGATTTCGTCACGTTTTCCCCGTGGAAACTTCCAGTAAAAGTCGTAAGGAAGACGAACACCAGGTATCTTTTCTATGATCATAGATTATAAACCCACCAGGAACAAGTCCTCAGTTATCCTGTTCTTCTCTTTTCCAATTAATCAAAGACGGACTCGATTGACAGCCCATTCTCGTTAGAGTAACCCCCAACCGTCAGGTAAGGTGTGTGCCCTGTACTCAGATGAAGAGAGAGGATGATAATCATATTCTTTTCGTGCTCTTCGCTGAGCATGATCATTTCCAGTTTCCATGGAGCTGGATGTTGAGAGACACGCTAGACCGCTTTTGGAATACGACCTAGAAAGAGATCCCTAATGGAAACAAGCCCCGACTCGGAATGTATGCTTCTAAGCTGCTTATTGAGTTGAGTGTTTATTTATATGTAGGTGAGGTGAGTTTAGGTGCCAAAGAAACTGGTGGCTCGGCGTTGCTGAAATGAAATATGCATACTGATTTCTTCATCAGTATCAAATATGTATGCTATAACAACATCCAAAATACTCGGATGAACCGCAGTCTACTCGCGATATTTCGCCCGCGTCGATTCTATACATTCAATACTTCATACTTCAGTGGCACGCTGCGGATTTCGTTGCAGGCGCATCGCCGCCAAAAACAAGGTATCCAACAAACGCGCCGACAGCCACAGAAAGCATAACCCATCCATTATATGTCATGAAGAGAAGCCTACCACTGTCAGTGTCTCTTTTCAAGGGCAAGCAACGACCAATCTCCAGGCTAGGACAGGAAATCACTCACATGATGAAAAAACTATAAAACACTTGCACCGCGTACAGTGTCGCCATGATCAACCGCCCCCGCCGCTCCACCGCTTGCTTACTATCCCTGCCTACAAGCAGTGAGTTCGTGAAACGTGCAAGACCTCCTCTTCTGGGTTCTTCCAGGGTTGCATTACCCGGTGTAATTTCAGGGCCAGCGTTCTCATCGACTTTTAAATATAGCCGAGCTTCAGCAATAGGCTGATGGGGAGGAGAAGAGGAGGCGGAGGAGGAGGAGGGGTGGGACAGGTGTGTTCATTGTTCAGAAGGATACAGAGACCACGTACCAATCAAAACAGCAGAAGAAAAGCCCTTGAGTCGCTGAGCATGTGATGCTTCATAGAGACGAGTGAAGCTTCGAACAGCCTCGTAGCCAGAGGTGAGCAGGATGATTGCGAAAAGGGATGCGATGAGCGAGCCGGTGCCTTGTATACGCCACTCGGGGAAGATTATGCACATGTTTGTAGTGGACCAAGTGAAGAGCATCTGTTTATTATTAGTTTCTTGCCTTTTTTTTTGGACTGTTTTCAGATAAAAAGAATGACATGTGTATATCCAGACGTACATTCGTAACACATTGTCCGCCGCCGTGGCCCATATCTCCGTGGTCCATGTGTGAGTGATCCATTGTTCGGTGGATTTCGGTATCAATGGCAATGAGGAGAAGTTAAGGGTAGCAGTTTCCTTTACAGCACCACAGCTTATGCGATGCAGCTGATCCTCAAACCAAACGAAGGAAAAGGCGATGTTGTTGTTTTGAGCAGATCACCCGCTGTCGTCACCTGCCGACGAGATAGCGAAGCCGGATGCAAACATGACAAACACAGCTTTTACAGTTGCGGACATCGAATTGTTCTTAGCTTCTCCAAGCATAATAATAGGTTCGCAATCATAAACCACCTTCAAAGAACACATTGCCAACCTATTTCTCACCGCGCTCTGTTCGTGATTAACATATACATCCTACTTCTCTGACCTTCAAAATGGCGGACACTACCTCGGCCACTGCGCCGAATGCATCAGCGTCAAACAACGATAACGCAGCAAGCACCAATAGCACAACCGCAAACAATAACAATAACAATAATAACACAAATCAATCGCAACAAAACCCTTCAAAAAATCCAGGCGCAAACCCTGCCACTCCTTCGGCCGGCGCGCCTGCAACGGCAGCAAACGAGAATCGCGGATTGCCCTATTACGAAAAGCTTCGACGTGAATTACGTGATACTCTACAGAAGAAACGGCTTATGGATAAAAGCATGGTATGTTTGAATTACAAGAAGGCGGAGAGAAAAAAAGAATGGACGAAAACAGAAGACTAACATCATATTCTCAAAAAATTTTTTTAAAAAAAAAAGATACAACTAGAAGACCAAATCTTCCGCTTTGAACAATCCTACCTCGAAGACACAAGCGCAGGCAACATAATCAAGGGATTCGATAACTACATCAAAGGCTCGAGTGGCACCTCTGGACTCAGTGGAGGGGCAGGCACTCTCTCATTATCAGGCGGAGCAGGAGCGGGAGGAACAGCGCGACGAAAGGCAATGGTTTCCGATAATGATCGGGTATTTAGTAAGAGCTCGGCTTCTTTTATGAGGGTATGTCTGTTGGTTTCTGTTTGTCTTTGATTTTTCGTAAATTACTGACTCCCTTCAAGGACTCGCCTACTCCGTCTTCAGCACAAACTACACCGTCCCATGCCCCGACCCCAACATCTTCGCACGGCGGTCCTTCGTCTACTTCTAATAACGCCGCTGGAGGAGGCGGTGGTGGTGGCGCCAAGTCAGAAGGGTCAAAGGGCGGTTCGTCAAAGAATAAGAAGAAAAATAGTGCATCTACCCCCGGAGCTGCGAAGGATGAGTCGGATGCTGATGTTGATAATGGCTCAAGTAAGCCGGCCGCGAAGAGGTTGAAGATAAGTTATGGGCGTGATTGAAATGGTTTTTTTGGGGGGTGTTATTCTTAAACCAAGGGAATTGTGTCGCGTTCCAAGCATCGGGATTGGTCATGTGTAAAATTATCTGGTTGGAATGGCGTTTTGAAGGTGTGATTACTCTTTTACAGAATATGTTATGAATGACGTAGAGCATGAAGTTCATTTGTATGCCATCAAAACTGACGAACCAATACATAGGTACATAAACAAATAGCAAATCAAGCAATAACAAGAATGAATTGCTAGTTCTACAGCTGCAATCTGTACGTAGCTACCTCAAACGGTCTCAATTCAATATCAACGTGGTTTTGGTTCCGAAGGACATTGATTGGGAACTCGGCTTCGTCATCTTCCAAAATATTCGTCTTCCAGACTTTCTTGACAGGCAAAGTGGTTTCGATCCTGCCACGACTCTTGCCACCTAGGGATTCGTAGATGCGCACAATAACACTTCGGCCACTTCGTTTGGGAAGCTCGCCGCGTGACACATCCTCATCATCTTCGCCTCGTTTTATAGTATCCAGAACCAAAGATTCCGACCCGGAGAGTCTTATTGCCTTGAGTCTATCGGATTCGATTTCGCCCCATTCCGATCCTTGATACAGGGGCGCTGAAACAGCCGTCAAGGGTTGATTAAAATTATAGGCGGTGCGAATGGTGCGGTGATCGAGAGGTCCGCTGTGTGGCAGTATAGCATAGCGAATATGATGACGGCCCATGTCGGCATGTCCATCAGGAGCCTTAGGTGACCTGAGCAGTGACAGTCGCATCAGGTTACCGACAGTGGCAAATCCATATTTGGAATCGTTTAGAATCGATACGCCGTAGCCGTACTCAGAGAGATCCGCCCATTTGTGCGAGCAAACCTCAAACTTGGCCATATCCCAGCTGTGGATTTGTTAGATCATACCAGCATGCGCATAAAATTTTAAACAACGTACCTGGTGTTATAATGCGTCGGGCGACGAATGATACCGTATTGGGTTTCGTATGACGCTTCGGTGTTGCGAATATCTACAGGGAACTCAACCTTGAGGAACTTTTTGTTTTCGCGCCATTCTACTTCGCTCTCGAACTCGACAAGCGAAGGCCCATCGACCAAAGACGCTTTCAGGCTTATGGTAGTCTTGATCCAACTGTTCTCACTAATTCGAGTTTCGGTCACGACACTAACGCAGTGGGGAGAATTCTCAGCAATGGAGGTGGTTCCAGCCTTGAGCTCCTTGCGTGAGTCGAGATGGAAAACTTCCACATCCCAGGCTTGCCAGTTCAAAGGTTTGTCATCAAAAATAACGAGTTGACCGGCTTTTCCTCCTCGGGAGATGACTTCTCGCTCAGCTTCGACATCGTACAGCGAGATGATTACACCATGCTGAATGTCAACTCTCAATTTGTCATTGGCCAGACGGAAAACCCCTGCCCTTACTTCTTTGACAGAAACCTGTGGCAGTGCTGTAGGATGGAGTTTTTGGGTTGCCATTATTCCAGGATGGCCACTCGCTAAAGCATAGCTTGAACCTTTGGTGTCGGAGACCTCCTCAGGAATCTTAACAATTTCCTGACGATACCATGGCAAAGTATTTAAGAACCTGGCATCTCCCTTAGATTTAGGCTCAGAAATACCAAGAGCTTGTAGAGCTTCTCGCTTAAGCTTCTGTCCGGTAGCAAAGACTTCAGCATATATCTCATCCGTATCACGATAACACATCTCAATGGAGCTACCGGGCAAACAGTCATGGAATTGGCAGAGCAAAACTGACTCCCACATGTTGTCAATGTCTTCTTTGGGATATTTGTACTTGCTGTTGGCAGTCTCGAGACTGGCAAGTGTTGCGAGAAACTCTATTTCGCGAAGTAAAAACTCGGATGTTCGATTGTTTCGCTTATTATTGGCCTGGGTGGTGTAGGTACCACGGTGCAGCTCAAAGTAGAGTTCACCATACCAGGTGGTAAAGTTCACGCCTTTTGCGACCTTGTCTTCTAGCTGGTCGAAGAATTCATCCACAGAAGTGTTCATTTTGACTCGAGGGAGCAAGCCAACCTTGTCAGATAGACCACGGCATCGACGTAGTTTCTCCAGGTGCTCGAAGGTCGGACCACCGCCTCCATCTCCCTTGCCAAAAACCAGGAGCGATGTTTTGTCTTGATCTAAGGACTTGTGTTGAGTGATGCTTCGCCTCACATCGCCAAAGTGGGCGGACGCAGTATACGTCTCAGCGGGTGTCATATGGCAAATAACCTGACTACCATCGAGAGCCACCCAGTTAAAGGTTGTGTGAGGGAAATTGTTGATGTTATTCCAGCTTAGTTTCTGAGTAAAGAATCGTTTCATACCAGCTAGTTGGCATAGCTGTGGTAGCTGAGAAGAGTATCCAAAGGTATCAGGCAGCCAGAATGTGCGGCATCTTTCACCGAAGTTGCTCTCGAATAAGCGCTGTCCATACAAGAACTGTCTCACGAGAGACTCGCCGCTGGGAATATTGGTGTCGTGTTCAACCCAGCTACCACCGATGGGTTGAAAGCGCCCTTCCTTGACATGGCTTTTCACACGATCAAAAACAGATGGATAATATGTTTTGAGCCATTTGTATTGCTGAGCCTGAGAACACGTGAAACGGTGCTCCGGATAACGATCCATCAAGTCGCACTGGTTTGACCAAGACCTAGCGACCTTGCGCTTAGTCTCTGCAAATGGCCACAGCCAGCAGGTGTCAATGTGACAGTGTCCGATCGCATAGACAATGGCCTCAGTCCCTGTGTCGTATACCTTGTGTGAGTCAACTTTATCGCCCAGATATCGCTGAGCGACCTTGCGAGCCTCCTTGATGGACTCCTGGCTCCCACCGCCTGCGATGAAAGCATCCATAATAGCATTTCCGACCATGAGCGCTTCATGCTGTTCCCAAGAGTCTTGTGGAAATTCCCTTGCGGCATCTTATCAGGGCTAATTAGCAAATAAGAACAAATGAAGAATGGGAAATAAAGTTCGGTAACTAAAGGCAAGGCTTACCGCCAATAATCCAAAAATCATAGTACAATGCCCTAGCCTCCAAATTGACCGCGACAATCTGGGCCTTGGACAGAGTGAAATATCGGTTCATATCAGGAGGCGCATTAGAGCTGCCATTGCCGTTTCCGAACATTCCGTTGCAAGCCATTTCAATGTAAAAGACATGCTCTTTGCCATCACGGAAGCTATCCGGGATGATCCATTCGATGCGTTCGCCGCCACCGGTTAAGCCCTGTAACGGGTGGCCATCCTCGGTCCAGACCAAGCCTTCGTTGCCAGCATCCCAGTGAAATTCCAGTCCCTCTTTCTTCCGTAAATCTTGGGGTACTGTCAAGTGGATTCTGAACCAATGCGTGGCCCAACTGGGCCCAAAGGCATTGCCGACGCTGGTTGGCTTGAATTCGTGCGACGTTGCCTCCTCAAAGGTTGGTCGCGATAAGTCCGGTGGGGAGTAGACATATAGCTTGACATGGCTCTCGTCCGAGACTATGGCATCGTGGTACTTGCTGCGAGATGAGAGATTCCATCATTAATACAGCCATTTCAACCATATGTGAGAGGAGGCTTGAACCTACCCTGCAAGCCCATCGTTCTTGTACAAGCCCTCGTCGGTGAACTGGCGCAGCCTGTTCAGGTAGATGCTCTTAATATGCTGGCCCACGGGGCGCTCGACCAGCTTCGGATAAGAGCTTTGAGGAGCTCTTAGGTGAGCCTCTCCACCCATGGCGAGAATGATCAACAGAGCAACAGAGAGGTAGAAGTAAATTGCAGTACTATGCAATTCGAAATAAACAGCAACACGATGGCGATAAACGAGGTATGTTGTGTTGTTTGTCTCAAGTCAAGGAAGGCGGGACCTGGAGTACGACGTAGCTCCTCACTTGCCTAGCCGTGATTGGTTGGCCAGCGCGCGCTACTAAACCTTCCCCATATCCGATGACGCCCGCTTGCGGAGTAGCCATTGCCGCCTGAGGCAGCGCATTATTGATGCCATGCCGTGACGTAATAGGGCGACGTGTTCTATTTTCGCAGTATACAGCCCGACATGACTGCTCTTTCAAACCTGATAGCAAGGCTAATCGAACAGTATGTCATCTAAGGCTCGTTATGTGCATACTCTTTGAAAGAGTGTCGTTATATCTAGGCAAGATGCTGGACAATTGTTTCAGGCTCTACATTTCTCCAAGTGACGATATGCAAGGGGCCTGCATTTGTGCCAACCACGGCAACGCCGCCAGCCGAGATATGCATGGAGGGCTCGCAGCAAGGGCTAGTTATCTAGTGTGTTGATACGTAATATGCAGTGCTTAGTGTTGTGACTGATCCAGTGAATTTCGGAGGAATATCTATGGGCTAGACTAGACCTTCGGAGAAGAAGATATGTGATATGTCTACTGGGCTCCCTAGGGACTGGTGTAATAGATCCGTTGTTCTTGATTAAAGCTAAATACTAAGAAGCATATCCCCGGCCAATTAGACGATCGAATTGAAATTAGGAGCCGAAATGCTGTGTAGACAGCGAGGTCAAGTAAAAGTGAGAAAAATCAAACCCAATGACTGTCTGAACCGCCGGGATATTTATCATTTGGGCCGACGACGCGGATGTTCTTCTTGAGTTCAGCCCGGCGCCGCGCTGCTTGTATCGCAGCAAGCTTCTTTTTCGCCCCGTCGAAGGCGATGAGGACGTAGCCGCTCTTTGCTCGAATGGCTTTGGAGTATTCAAGTAGTGAGACCACAGATGCGTCGAAATGGGTTTGTATGGCAAGAACCGGCTTTCCGGCCACTTTGGGAAGAGCCTGAATCTCAGGCTCTGGTTCAGGCTCATCAGGGTCGCGGTGAGGTTCGTGGTTATCGTCATGGTCATGGTCAATCGCTGGTCCGGATGCTGCATCGCTCAAGTGCGCGTTTACAGGCTGGGTGAAGCTTTTTGCCAACTTTGACCCTTGCATTTTAGTCTCTAACTGAGACACCAGGTTCTGAACAGATGTAGAGGTACTTTTCCATAGCGATATTGACCCTTCACGGCTATCGTGGTCCTCCTCATTAGACTCAGGGCGGCTCCAGGGTGACATCTCTCGCATGCGCTGCCGCACCACGGCTATACCGCGTTTGACGTCAGAGCTATCGATAATGCCGACGAGCGTTGTTGTGTCCGAGTTATTCGTAGCAGAAGAGTTGTTCCGGGATCGCGGGGGCATTGATATGCCAACTTCTGTTTTTCCCTCTTCCTGACCGGTCCTCTTCCGCAATCGCAACTGCGATGTCTTGTTCACTAGGGTCTGCTGTATTTGAGTGGCAACTGGCTTGAGGTTGATGCCAAAGACCTCGCCTTCATGATAGAACTGCTGCCGGCTGAGCCCTCTTGGTGGTTTGGGTCCAGTGATGTTTCTCCGTGATGATTTGTGGGTACTATTGGAAGTAGTCGATGATATAGGTGAGATGGACTGCGATTGCGGCGGTGCAAGTTCTGGGAAGATGTCCCATTTCTTTTCGCGAAAGTAGTGGTTTGCCTTGGACAGATGCGTGCCCACGCCATATGGCTCTTCAGCCAAGAGATTTTTGAAGCTGAGCGAACCTCCCTCTTGAGTACGGACCACCGAGTTTCGGTGCGCTATGTTTCGTCGCCGGTAGAATCGCCCTGAGGGCTCTGGAGATTCGGATTGTGCGCGTTTTCGGGCGGTCGCATGATCGTCGTGATGATTATGATGAACATCATGGTAATTATGGCTGTGGTAGTCAACTAGCACGATTCCGCCGCCGCTGTCTTCGCTTCCCATGCTGGATGTTCGGCCTGGAAGTTTTGGCAACGGCTTCTCTAGCCAGGGGGCAGAGCGCTTCGGCGGAGGAACACCTATCTCTAGACCTTCCAGCGACGTAGAGACAGCCATCGGGGGGGAGCTTTTCTTGTGATATGTTGAACCCAGGGCCATGGTGCTTGTCAACTGCCACCTGGCGAAGGAGAAATGCAAGGCAAAGCAATTGGGTAGCGTAGTAGCTATGAGTTATACGGAATGAGTCAAGCATGAAAGTAGCAGTCACAGAGCATTTAGTCCTTATATCAGATTTCGGTATGGAGTACTACTTTGCGCTCTGAACTGTCGTCTTGGCCCATGCTGGCAACAAAGACATGGAGCATGGATCGGCAACAGGACAAGAATCTCAGGGCAATTTAAATTCTACCTCAAGAACTGCTGTTGCGGTGCATTGATAGTGCCATGCTGTGGCGGGCAGACGCAGCCAATGGTGGGACAAAGAACGGCTGCATCTGCATGCAAGGGGGAAAATTTCACTACAGACATGGAAGTATTCTCTCCGGAATGTTTGTTATCCATGTCAGATTTTGATGCTATGTGTCTCTTTTCTCCCCTCCCCCTCTTCTCTCTTGGCTGCATCAAGGGTGAAAAAAAAAAAAGGGGGGGGGTGAGTGAAGGAGAGAGGAGAGAGATACGCCGAAGCTTCTCTTAACTGAGCTTCGCAGCCTTCTGCATGGTTTCGCGAGTCAGTTCATCATCAGGTCGCTTAAGCGCACCAAGTCTACCGATCCTCTGCAGCTTAGCAATCATCTCCTCGTCGCCAAAATGGCTGTTGTGTTCGAACTCCGGCTCCTCGTGGTACGCAAGCCGAGCCGCATCCACCAAAATACGCGCTGTCATGCCAAAGACTTTGTAGCGGGTCAGCTCGCCAGACCTTTCCCGTTCTTCTAATTCGCTGATGGCAGCCTTTTGATTTTGGCTCTGACTGCTTGTTGGTTTAGGTTTAGTAACGCTCTTCTCTGAGGTGGGAACATAGAAATGATGCACTGCAGAGCACCCCCCCGCCGCATATTAGCTTCGCATACAGTAAGAAACATCAAAGAACGAAGCGGACGCACAAAGGGAATGGGGAGGGGGAGGGATACTTCGCCAGTCGGACTCATGCCATGTCGTCCACGACCCCCGATACCAATCACCTGATTGCTGTCGCTCAACATCGTCGAGACAAGATTCGTCGCTTGTTTTTAAGAAATTATGGAATCGCGCCGTGAAGACGGCTGCCACTTCCTTTGCATCTAACCGCGGAATCAAGGCAACCTCCGGATCAGCGCTCTGGCCTGTCTTCTCATTATATGAATGTAACAAGGCCACGCAAGGTCGGACAACAAGCTCGTTTCGAGCCAGGTTGGCGGGCAGTTCGCATAGATGCTCTATCCAGAACGGCGGGAACAACGGCTCGCCTATATTAGGGAGGCCGGTTTCCTCTGAAGCCTCTCGGCGGGCCGTCTCGAAAGCAGTCTCCTGGTCCGAGTCCGCTTTTCCTATACGGAGTAAAGACTTGAGTGTTTGTGGGGGAAAAGAAAAGAAAAGAAAAGGTTAGGATGCGTACCTCCTGGAAACGCAGCATGGCCAGCAACTAAAAATATCAGCCCTCGGAGCATATACAACGAATTTTCTTCCTTTGTTCATAGGACCCGGCCCCTGCTAGGAGCAGATAGATAGCACTACTTACACGAACTAAGAGTCTTCGCTCGAATAGTCAGGACCGTCTTCAAGTCCCCGTCGGGATCAGCGTAGAGCAGAAGCAAGACAGCAGCTCTCCGACTAAGTGGTACTGAATGATAATTGGTAGGCGGAGGCTTGTACTCGCGCAGTCGAGCGATTGCTTTCTAGTACGCGCATAGCGTCCCACGTAGCACAAGTCAGTTACAGATATCATCAGCTAGGGTTTCGAGATGTAGCACAAATTGTGGGTGGTAGCAATGCATAATTCAATGAAACGATTGTGGGAGGAACATACCTCTGAAGCTGGGGATAAGGGCGCCATTTTCGCACTCCGTGTTGTCAATGACAATCCCCGTGAAGACCGAGGAAGTGGACAGCGAATGTTGCCCTTTAACAGACTAGTATTCGTGGTAGTAGCTGCTCGAGAGCCCCAGCATGGCGTGTTCATTTGCCTTGGAATGTGCTTGTCAGATGATACTTAGGTAGAGTTGTGTACATTGAAGCAAAAGGTGGTGATGGCAAGAAAGTTTGGGTGATCGACCCCAGCGATCCACCACTTGCCGAGGCAGAAGCGTCAATAATAACTCAACTGCTGGTAACCACGACAGAATCAATGTGCAACAAAACCCAATGTTTTTCTCTGATATATTATATTTCACTAAAACAGACAATATACTACATTGACGACATAGCACAAAAAAAAAAGGGCAAAAAAGCGGAGAAACCGCCGTTTGTACATGCCTGACTATGGCGTAGTCCTGTCGTTGAGTAAAGCCGTAGACCACGCCCAACAGTAATCATCAAAGTTCGTTCTATATTTTGGTCCTTATATTCCCCAGACAGAAAAGAAGATCCAAGCCATTTATATGAAAGGCAAAGGAGAGAGAGAGAGAGAGAAAAAAAGTAAAGTAAATGTACAAGCGTTGCGCGACGAACGGTCTATATTAAAAGATTTTTTCATATCGATGTTGTAATAGAGTGGGAGAGGATATAGGTTTATGCATGAGCGAGCATGTCTTTTTGTGTGTTTTCTAAAACAGATTGACCGGAGATGTATATTTTTTTTCTCCCTTCCGTTATTTCTTCTTTTCGGCGTCTTCCTGTGTAGACCCATTTTCGGCGCTGACTTGGTCGGCTTCAGCCTCTTTAGCTTCAGCTGCCTGCTGGTCAGCTGCCTCGAGCTTGGGCTGATCTTCTTTGTCGTCGATATTTTCGGTGTCCTTTGGCGCAGAGACTCCCTTGCCTTCTTGCTCTGTGTTTTGCTCATTTTCTTCCTCAATCAGTTCCTGTTGTTCCTTGATAACCTCAAGACGTTGTCGGTTAGTAGCTGCGCCTTCAGCGTTGTGAACTTCCAACTCAATTTCGTGGAATAGTTCCTCGGGAATACTGGACAGAACAGAGCGGAGAGCGTCGATTTGAGATGACAGCTCTGGATCGGCAGACTGCTGAGTGTATTGAAAAGCGTTACTCAAAACTAGCAATGTCGAAGGAACTCCTTGTTTGAGACGTAGGTCTAACCACATCGATAGATCGTCTCGCAGACGTCCTGGAGACATTCCGTGTGTGCGTAGGCCGCGCGATGCGCAAGCCATCTGTAGTTCGGGAACCGAAAGAGAGTCCACGCCTTCATAAGAGATTGCTCGATCATCTCGCTTGATCTGGCGCATTCGGTGACGAATATTGTATCGCAGCATAGCATCCGTGCCAAATGTGTTCAGGTTCATATATTTGCACATGCCAACCAACTGTGGTCGGGACAAGTTGTCCAGTGTCAAGTCATCTTTGAAAATTTTAATGACCTTGATGACATCTTCGTCTGAGGGCCGTTCGCCTGTCGAGCGGATTTTCCGGAAGAACTCTGTGAACTCTTCTTTCTTGGCGTTTTCGGCGCTCAACGGCAGTCCAGTCTCCTTCAAAGTGTCCTTCAAGAATGCCGAAACCTCCTTCCGAGTACCCCGCAGAGTTTCGGCTTTTTTGTCGCGCGACTTCTGTCCTTCGTAGGTACTGGGGAGCATGTTGGGGAAGAGTCGCAGAGCAACAGGGAGTAACAGTTCGGCAAAAGGAACAATAACAAATACTGAAAAGGGCACCAAGCGTGCTAGATCCTGGACAGTACGTTGCAACTACATCAAAAGTGAATAACTGTTAGAATAGCTCCAGAGACACGGTGACGCATTGTGTGCATAGCATACCTGTCTGTTCTCACGACGACTCAACTCATAGCCGGCCGCCATCTTCATCGCCAGCTTTACGCTAATACGGGCTTCCGTCGCAAGCAATTTTGTCCCGTCCCAATAATGTTGGATCTCGTGCTTGATCTTCTGTCCGATGGTCATCTTTTTGGTCTCTTCTTTCTTCTCTATGGCTCGCTTCTCCGGCTCCACTGCAATTTTAACACCGCCCTCGGCATTTTTCTCCAGCGAAGCAACTGTCTGCTGAGAATTTGGTGTCGCTGATGATGAAGACTCTTGGGAAGATGCGTTTTTGCCCGCCGCTTGATCCTTTGGTTGCGAGGAGAGAGGCTGTTTGGCTTGGTTGGCGTCGAACCCTGGGGGCGGTAAAGGAGTCCCGGAGCTGGACGATGTGGAAGTCTCGGTCGCATATGTTCGCTGGTAAGGAACAAGCACTGCCAATGCATTTACATGGGTGGGAAAAGCGCGACTGTTGCGTTGTAGTTGTGCGATCGACCGGGCCGCAAAGACGCTGGGAAAGTTCGCCGGCGCTGAGTGATAATTAGCATTTGAAGCAGAAATTTCACCAAGTACAGGCAGGCAGATAAAAGATAGATATCACTTACTCGCTCGATAAAGACGGCTCGCGGAAACTGAATTGGAAAGCCTTGCGGTCCTCATGATGACGAAGCTTGATATGATAATCTTCAAGTGCTGCGGAAAACGGGCTCGCACTTGCGAGCAGGAGTATAGATGTAAGGCGACAAATGGAAAGGGAGAAGGCGGACCGGCACAGTTATAATGTTCCTCTCCAAAGCAAGAGTAATATATACCTGAAAAAAAGATGATTTTAAGAGCACTTGTAGATATTTCAGAGACAGAAAAAAGGTGAGCTTTGATGTCAAGCTTACTTTACTTTCTATTCCGGCGGACAGCTTAGACTGCCGTCACGTGATATGCCTGCTTATATAACTTGCTGCCTTAGGCCAGAAATACTAGCCCTAATTCATTCCAGCCTGGTCATTTTCTTCGACATGCATACTACATAATAATGGTATAGAGGAATTTAGTAGGTAGTAAAATGGAAAAAGTTTCTTCATTCTCATAGACTTGCTGAAATTAAATGAACGTTCATTCATGATATATGTGGCTTTTGTTTGTCTGTTAGTGTCTATAAAGCGATATAGATTCGCATGCCAGTGGCCTCCACTCCTGAATTTAGGTACTTTTGAAATCAGCGGTACCTACCTGGGTGGTGTATTCTATATTATGATGAATTCCATGGCGGTTCTTAGTTCTTATATAATCCGTGCTTCACTCAAGGTAAACTTGTTACCAGAAGCTGTGCAGTTAATATTTCATAAAGGTTTAGGGTTTGTCAATAATTGAGATTGGTTTGTATGGTGCGATTTATCCTAAATACAGCTCAGCTCCTGCAACCAACTTCCGTAACGTGGAGATAGAGATATTACATACATCTTTGGGAGATGTTCCGTCTGCTTCCCTGCAAAGGTTTTGGGACTTGACGTATCCCACGAAGTAAAGGCCGGGTGTTCCTCGTAGTCGCGCCCACAAAGAGAAAGGAATCGAAAACAGCATGAGTGTTGAATCACTGGCGAAAGCTGCTTCTGCCCCAACACTTGCGTCAACAACCTCTATGTTGGATAGTTCCTGAGGCGTTGTGCATTGAACAACTCGACAAATTTTTGAGCATCTGGTAAAACATCTCCGTAAAAAGACACTGAAATAAGGACTTTTGCTACAGGGCCGGCCCTCGTGTCTTGTTGTCGCTTTGAGATTTGAGCCGTTTCAGCATCCGAGAGTAGCGGCCGCAACACGATCGGACCGCGGTGATGATCAAATGGAAAGTAATTTGGAGACTGGTTATCGAGGATAGGGTCCAGTTGAAGTAGATAATACAGCTTTGACGTAAGCAATCCATCGGGATCCGATGCTTGTTCGTGCAAATGTCGGGTCAAGGAATGTGTAAAGGGCGAACCAGAAATGGAGCCAACGTCTGGGCCGAGAGCAATGCTTTCGCGACCACACGCCGCAAGTACTTCCATTGCACCCTCCTTACTTTCACTTGTGATGGCACCGGCAGCGTTGCAACAATCCAAAACCAGTAGAACGTCAAACCTGGCTTTTTCCAGCTGAGTTTGGAGGTCGTACCAAGACAGCGCCGGAGATTGCGAATCAATTGTGCCGCGACTGTGTCTCTACTTAGTATTCATGTAATCCCTTGAAGAAATGTTGAGAAGAAGACTAGAATACATACGCTGACCAAATCAGCTTGCCCTTGTTGTAAACGCCATGACCGTTGTAATACACAATGAAAAGAACTTTTTTGCCCGCTCGATGCTTCCTAGTCAGGTCCGTTACGTTGTCAACAAGTATCTGCGCGAGTTCCTGTTGTGGGTCGTTGGAGGGAATCAAGTAGTATTTGGCATCGTAGTGATAGGTGTTCTTGAACATCTCCATCAACTGGCGGGTCTCATCAAGGATGTAAGAGCCTGTTCCAGAAGGCTTTAAGCCTATGTCGTTGTCTTCCCAGTTGAGCAGTAACACCTTCACTTCTTGATAATGGTGGTCTTGTTCGGCCTCTGATTTCAGTGCTGCATTCACTCTGTTTTTGAAGTCGGCGAAATCGATGTGAGCATTTGGTATCGAAACGGGAAGAGCCTGGCCATTGCCCTGTCGCGGCAGTTTGGTGTTTCGGAGACAGTGTGGACAGATGGACGGGTCAAAAAGTGAAGATGGCGGATCGGGTTTGGAAGTCATGTTCGAGCCGGCAGCTCTATGGTGGTGGTAGAAATACGGAAGGAGAGGAAGGGGGAACAATGCTGCACTGGCTGTGCCTCTTCTTGCTTGAACTACATGAGGTCAAGAGAATCTCGCTATTTATGCTTGCAATCCTTCGCCCAAAGTTTTGGGCGCGCTATCTGCCATGCAAAGTCCATACAAAAGGCTTTATATCACAGGCCGTGGGCGTTTCAACTTTCTCCAGGCTATCTTGGCAGACGGCACAGTAGGATTGTTCTGGTTCAGATTGCTAGACATGTCTATGCAATGATCCGTTTCAGACAACCACACCGAAGGTGCCTGAATGGAATTCATGAAAGAGCTGAAGGGTAGTTATCTGCTGTACATGGTGCAGTCAAAGTCTAGGAGTCCTGATTAGGGACTTCGTTGGTGGCTTATCCATCATTCATGTGACATCACATATGGGCGTTGAAGGGACGACTTCTGATTGTTTGAATGCTTGTATGAAAGGAAATGTAGCACCTGTCATAATTCAGCAATAAGGAGACTGCATTCCTCTAGCGCATATACCAACACAAGCTTTTTTGTTTAACGTCAAATATTTGCTGGCCTATTCTCAGTAAGGCTCTTGCACAAGGAAACCTTGCATTCCTATGCAACAAGTACCACATGCCCGCTAGACATGGTGCATCTCCATTCTGATGTATGTATTAAAGATTCGGATATATGACTAGATCGTAAGATAAGAGCATGTTCATAAGGAGAGAGAAAAAAAAGCAAACGGCAGAAAAGTACCGGGACAGGACAACAATGAGCCTTGCAGACGTGTACGTGTGGTGGTATCATCAAGAAAATCAAATATCCATAAAACGCAATCCTGATTTAACAAGGATGATAGCTCCAGTTGACTATCTGCTAAAGTGCGAACGAAGTCATTAAGTTGAGGTCATGAATACAAAGCCCCTATGCGGTTCGATCCCGCAATTCAGAGGCTGTATCGGGTGCACGAGTCTGAATACCGGTGGTTTCAGACAGGGCATCAAGAGTTGGGATGCGCTCCAGGCTGGTTTTGTCCGCTTCCTCTGCTGGCGTGGTAGCCAGATCGTTCAGCAAGCGGGAGCCCTGGTCCGTTGCGAGTGCGGGGAGCCCAGGTGTAAGAAGCGGACTAGTAGTATAATCTGGGCTAGCTTGCCATTTGGCAACATCCTTTTTCAACTGTTCCAACTCTTTCTGGAAACGCTTTCCGAAAACATCGATGTAGTAAGCCGCTCCGTTGTGAATGCTCCAAATAAACACAACCACCATGAAAACAGAGCTAGCCCAGCGGTACCAAAACCAAAGAGGGCATGGGATCATCGTCAAAAGCGCGTACAGATACTGAATCAACATGAATGCCGGCTCCTGAAGGATCTCAGGCAGACTAAGCACAACTTTACCGATCCAGGTTTTGGCGTAAGAACGTCGGAGCCAAGTGAAGCTGGTAGGCCGGCCCGCGGCAATCTTCTCCGCGCGACGAACGGTAATCATTCGATGGTAGGATAACTGCCAGACTGCATATGGAATAGAAGCCCAGAACATCATTGCTGGAAGGGTAAAATGCTCAGGCGCGCCTGGCTGACTGAATTTAACATCATAGATGGCTGGGAATCTCTCCCTGAGGAACTCCGGAGACGTCATATGCGCGAGGCAGTGGAAAGTAGCCGGTGGCATTATATGAATGAATACACTTGCCGAACGATCAATTTTGTGCCTTTATTGTTTCTTGTTCGAACGGAAATCGAAAGGCTTACCTAACAACTTTGTCCATGCTATGAAATACCAAGGAGTTGCGCCACATAGCGATGGCGACGGCATTGTTTCCATAAGACAGGCAGTACGTTCCGATCAGAAGTCGCTTCGATTGCGGGAAAACCCAAATGCTCAACATGGCCAAAAAATTCACAAAGTAACACAGGTCGGCCAGAAAGTAGTGGTAGCCACGTTTGTGGTATGAGTAGAGACGGATAGGCATGAAGTAGGCAAGCTGAGCAGTGTACCACCAGTAAAAGTACTCGGGACATGCTCCCATAATGTACCCACTGATGAAAATGTTCATGACACCGGCAATGAACGATATTTTTTCTCGAAGGGTGACTGTTGCTATTGCGTTCCATTGCTTTGTTAATCGATCGACCGAGTGCCGCATGCTATGTCGATACTTCTCCAGCTGCTCATCAGCAGTCGGAACTCGTTTCCTCCATTCATCCACCACGCGATCCTTCGCTAAGCCAGAAACAGATCTTAGCTTCTGACGCTGACGGCGTACTCGGTCCCGTTGCATATGCAGCGTCTGGTTCCATTTCTCGAGCTTCTGGGAAAACGAAAAGGTGTCCAACAATTCAAAAAAGGTCAGCCTGTCCAACGGCGGGAAAGTCTCCCAATCTTCCTGGAACGAGCTGCTATTCGAGAACGAGGGATTCCGCGACAGCCTTCCAGGCGTTGAGGTGGGCGACGCAGAGCCCTCGATAAGAGCCGAGATGCCATCTTCGTCGGTCGCAAGGAGGTCTGGAGAAAGAGGAGCAGAGACAGTTTCCTCGGATAGGGCCGGAGCAGACTTGCTCTGCGGGAACGAATTTGTGCCGTTTTCCATCGCGCCCTGTTTCTGTTGGAAATCCAGCAGAGTCCGGCTGCCTCGCGAGTGAATAATGTAGGAACGACTGGTAAAGCGGCCTACAGTCAGCATGGTCTCGTGATCTTTGGTGCTATTGCGCGCGTGGCATTGAGAGGACGTCCAGGGCCCCAATATCGGGGGCAACTCTCCCAAGAAGAGAAGAACACGAAGTTATCCGGATGCCAGTGCGGTGGGAGAAGTCTGGATGGGCAGGTACTCACCACAAGTGACAGACACGCTGTAGCGTTTGCGTTATCCAGAACGCAGCGTGGATGGTAGGTTAGTTGGAGATCGTGCTTGAACGGGCGGCGATGGTTGGCTGAAGCTCCGTCCGAGCTCCTGCCTGAGGCTCCCAGGCAACTATGTCCCAGCATATTCTCGAATACGGCTTATGCTTTTGGCTACTGCTTGCTCTCATCACATTATATCATATCGTATTATATAGTAAGATGTATTTACAGCATCCCATGCACACACACGCGTAACTTTTGACGAAGAACACCCGAAATACACGATTAACATGCTGATAATGAGCAATGCCGAGCCAGGAACTGCCGAAATCTATAAGAGAGTGCCGCGCGACCAGAGGAAAATTAGGATTAAAACAGAATAGTTATAATAATAGTAGTAGTAGTGTCAATAATATGCGAACCCAAGATGCAAAATTCGGCGGATTTCAAATGGTCTCAGAACGGAGGGTGATAGGGAGGAGCTGGAGCCTGAAGCGCAGGATTCCACATAACGCCAGTGGTGACAGGTGCAGAGGCGAGCATGGGCTGGTTGAGGTAGCTCGAGAACGAGGGCCGATGGTGGTTAGGGGGGGACACTTCGACCGAGTGAGGAGACGGCACGCCCGAAGTTGCGCTGCTGGGATACTCTCGTGGACTGTATGGCATGCTGCTGTCCCACGAGCTGGCGCGCGTCGACGAAGAGCCGGGAGGATGGCTGCTGGTGCTGGTGCTGGTGCTGGTGCTGGTGTTGTTGTTGTTGTTGTTGTTGCTGTTGTTGCTGCTGATGCTGCTGCTGTGGGAGTACGGCATCAGGTGATCGTACGTGCCGGCCGTCTCGCTCCGGCCGTCGCTAGAGTCCATCCCCCACGACGACGGCGCTTCGCTGCTGCGCATGCTGGAGTCGTCGTTCCCCTCGAATTCAGGCCCTGAGAGGTGCACTTGTGCAATCGGGACCAGCACATCGCCGGCTGCTCCCAGTCAGTACCGCTGTGAGAAGAGTGCAGGTGGTGGTACTCACGTATCTCGCCCCTCAGATACCGCTCCTCCATGTGTCGGACGCTGTATACCTCGTCCAGGATCTGGAGCCGCTCAGGCGGGCTGATGGATCGGCGCACATCTTGTCCGGCATCGCGCAGCCTCTCGGCCGTGATGTCGTGGCTTTCACGGAGCTCTCGAAGAATGTGGATGAGCAGTTGGATGCGCTCTATGACCGGCAATCAGCATGCAGCACTATCATATGAGCTTCCGGACAACAACGTACCTGCTTTGAGAAGATGATCTGGTTCCTTGTGAGTGACGCCAGCGGGCCACCATGGCGGCTTCGTCATCTCCGGATCTGCACGCCTCTCGCCCCCTGGACTGGAGGATGCCCGTCGTCCGTTATATGGATAATTGACCTGTTTTCGCGGCTCAACAAGCTTGATGAAAGCCTTGGCTATAACTCTGCAGTTCAGTTGTTGGAAGCCCTCAAAGGCCTTCTCATAGTACTTTTTCAGGCGAGCCTCGTCATCAACACGGATGACACAGCCTGAAGCCGAGGGCAGATTTAGAGCGTCCCCCCCGAAGTCTGCAGCAATCGAAGAGTATGGCAGCCCGAGTTCTCGGCGTCTGCCGCCTCCCCGTCTTTGGCGTCTGTTTTGACCGACTTGCCAATCACACGGAATCAGTGGCGTGGGACTTCCACATATCGGACTCCAGCTTCCCCTTTGTCTTGTTCTTCCTGCCATGCTGGGATATGCGCAAGGGCCTCGGCTACGTTCGGGGCGCACCGGCCTAGCTGCAACTGCTTCCACGTAAGTCAAAGGCTACAACAATCTTGTGCATGGGGTTGCTGCTAGTAGGCACTAACCAGACAAGTTCGCAAGTGACGGTGACCTCAAGGAGACCAACTCTGCAAATCTCTCCTGGATATCTGGAGTAAAAATAGCTCTTTCTGAATCCGCAATTGACGGGGAGCTCTCGAAGGCAATTTGGCCGTCTTGGTTACTGTATATCATGGCGAAATGCGGGTAATGAACTCCAAACCCTCCTGGTGTAGTGGATGTGCTGTGCTGTTGATGGGGAATTGGTTTAGCCCGGGGATCCCGTAACAGGAGCAAAGAAAGAACGAACCAATGCCGTCTGATGCGATGCCGCAACAGTGTTGTTGTATGAAAGCAAAGTGCGATTGTGCTCTGTGTTCACGCTATGAGACTCATCCATTCCGCTTGTCAACATCAAATCATCAGACTGATCTCATCACAGAGATAGACAGCTTAGACGAGACCAACGGAAGTCGCGAAGTAGAAAAGTATATGGCAGAAAAGACGCTTCACTGGAATGAACTCCACGGCAGCTTCAAAACATCGACGAGAGACCGATAACAAAAAGATGTGTGGTAGTTAGGGGGCGAGGTTTCATATTAAATGTCTGCACCTTGTTGAGGTATGACAGGATGCCAGAGCAGTCGATTTGCATCAACGCAATGGTCTTTTTTCACGATCGACGTAGCCGGAAGAGTACCATGAAGACAAGCATCTAGATTGATAGTCCCTTTGATTGATAGGTCAGTTTTAAGTCTGTGCACCGGGGAAAGACAATGGCTAATCCGTGTTGGACGTTTAGACCCAAGCTATCTGTCAGTCCAGCAAGGAGGCAAGCCATGAGTCCCCATGCGAACTCTAAAAGCCATGGGCTGTGCAACCCATTCTAGGAACCGTTGATTGACCTTTTTTGGTCCTAGATATGTCTACCAGTGCGGCGTCGGCAATCCACTCACATCTTCTCCACACATAGGGGAAAAAAAAAGGGTACCATCCCTATGCTTAGAGCGGATCTCGCAAACGGCATTTTCAAAATGCAGTAAAGATATTGACTATCGTTCTGGAAGGGAGCTAAAGAGACACGTAAGTAGTACATTGATGGTCTGAGAAAGCGGATTCGGGGAAGCAGGCATATTCATCCGTTCAGACGCCGGAAAGTTCTCTGGAAGTTCCCCACAGAGGAGTGCTAGAAGGTCTAAGCTGAAGGGGCAAAGACCCTGGGCTATAGTAGCATTTGTCTTGAAGATTTAAATGACGGCGACGCATCGACCCGCCACAGCCTCTCTAGCCTGAGTAGTAGCCTCTAGGCCTGACTCCCTCAATACTAAGTAGATAGTGGGTACTACTACCTAGGTACTATAATGGCCACCATTCCCATTCTAAGCTTAGGATATGCTCGGTTTGCAATGGAGGGAGTCCAGTTCTCGGTCCAAAGAAAGCCACCACCGCCCTGCCCAGGGACTTGTGAAAGCTACGGAGTAATTTACGTAGTTAGCTATGTAGAACGTTTGCCAGATCTGCAGTCCCGGCAAAATGGCTCCGTTTGCATCGCCAATCTGCGTCTCATTCGGATGCTCAAAAGACTCTGTTAATTGTTCCGTGATAATGATAACGAAATGAAAAGACTCCCGCCAATAAGTCCTTTCTCGGAATCAGTCGGGATCCTGAAATACATTCATATCCATGTAATGCTATGTATGAATAATGCCGCATTAGCGAACAGACGGCATATAGCTAGGTGCACGCGAAACATAATATTTTTGCCAATGCTGGAATTACCGCTACTCGTTCATTCAGCATCAATGAGCTAGTTTTTGCTTTTTTTGGATGCGTCCCCGATCTAGTCCGTATTTATGCAAGGCTAGGCGACGATTTAACCATTCGCATTGGTCCAAAAGAGAGAGAAAAAAAAATGGTGAAAATAAAAGAACAAGCCTATCAATGGAGAATAGCTCGAGCTTTACTCTATACGCATTGCTGTCTACAGGCTTGATTGGTCATTGAGCCGAGCGAGGACTCGAAAATTACACTAATGCTGCTTGGTAGTTTGCTAATCCGGTTGATTCCTAGGTTTCCCGGAGAGAATGTTTTGAAACGCACTGCGTAAATGTCTAAATTTCTAGCATGGCTATGCACTGTACAGGCCGAAGCGGTGAACAGGGTGTTAGCTAGTAAGTAAGTGTGCTGCTCCTCGTCTTTTTTTGGTTACCTAGGTACGTACGTACTTGCATAAAGATCTAGGCATGATCCTTGTAGTAGCGTGCATCTATAGTCATACTATGGAGAGGTCTTTCCGCGATCTGATCATCAGGATCATCACATTGCCGTTAATGCTCAATGGCCAGTTGCCATCGAATGTACGAGAGCTAACTACGTACATACGTCGTACCTACCTACTTGACTAGTTATTATGGCAGTACGTTACGCCATCATGTCTTTGAGGTGCAGAGAAAAGTTTGAAGCTCACCATGACCTTCGCGCTTACAGCAAAAAACAGTGGCTATCTGCATATTGGCCTAAGTATTGCTTATAGATTTGCAGTATGTAGATTTGGGCTTGATGTAGCTGTCGCAAGGTGATGTCATCATTGAGTGAAGCGAAGACTGAGGCGAGCAATTAGCAATGGAATGCATATGAAACGCAAGAGGCTTGCATGCAAGTTGAAGACGGGCCTAAAAGGAACTGCGGTAAGCATTCAAACGTCGTATCGGCCTGCACAATTTGTATTAGAATCTCACTGAGCGAGTGTCCTTGAACAATCAAATCAAAATGGACTTGATGAATAGCTGCTATGTCAGCCACCTCAATGTACACGTGTGCCGACATGAATCTACCTGATGGAACTCTTCCTTTACGAACTAACTACTGTATGCAAGAATTATCATGAATCTCGGAAGATAGAAGAACAATCGCCAAGTCGCTGGGGAAGTTTGTTGTTTGTTTGTTTGTTCCCCCCTCCCTTTAAGACCATAAACAATCTATTGATGTCTGCAACTCAATCCAATGGATATTGTCCAGAATTGAATGTATGCATATCGAGCGAGGGCCACGAATCCTTTGGTTGAGAATGCAATCTAGCGTTTTCATTCTACTTGCCACGCACGACATTTGGCAAGAGCGCTTGAGTTGATTAATATCCGATTCGCTGCGAGAAGGAAAAGAAATGCAATAGTTTCCTACGTTGTCCGTCCGCCCGTTTATTGATTGTTTGCTGATTAGCATCTTGCTGAGTTGTGCGGTATTATGTAAATACGCACGAATTTCAATCTATTGACGATTGACCGCCGTCGAGATACACTGAAGATTAGACGTGCATTGATAATTTGCTTCCATTGGCTCCGATTGTTATTAGCAAAGTTGCAAAGTTGCAACCCGGTTTCCGGAACATCAGCTTGCCTAGATTCATACGGAGCATTAGGATCTAAGACTCTGGGAGTAGAGGGGCGGACTAAGGCTAATGATGGTTAGATAGTTAAAGCTTCCCCGCCTGGGCCCGCCAACTATAAGGCCCGGGCCGCAAGCCCGAACCACCCAATGAATGCCCGAAATTAGAAAAGCCCGCATCAATCGGTAACTACCATCCCGTCGTTAATACACCACACAACGTAGCGAAAGCGTTGTTGCCTACTCTGATATCCGGGCGCCATCGAATTCTTCTTCGGCCTGCTCGATTGTAAATCCGACTCTCAGCTTGGGCATTATCAGCCATGTCATCAAGGATAACTAACTACAGATATTGTATCTACTAGGTATGCATATTGTACAATAGCAAAATTAAGCGAAGGCTGTCTGTCTCACTTTTTTCTTCCTTCTTTTTTTGTCAATCTCTACTCGCCTCATTTTTTGCCCCTGGTTGTCTATTAAGATAAGCGAGCATCAATCGGTGCGCTATCGAGGCAGGATGCATACGTAGTGATTTTTTCTGCCTTGGCTGGTTGCGATTATTGATGTTGTTACACGGCTTGATATGCCTTTCTAGGCTCAATTCTAGCTCGGATAATTCTCTCTTCTTGGGGAGTTTGTGCATGGTCTTGGCTTGCTTTAAACGCATAATTGGCTGGGCCTGTTTGAAGAGAAGGAGCTTCGAGGAAACCTGCCTTTCCTACTGGACGACGTATGTCATCTAGCAATTAGATCTAGATTTGAACACTGACTCATGGGCTCATACGGACTTACTTTACTAGGTGAGAGTACCCCTAAGCTAGTCTTGTCTTGTTCAAAACTGTTTCATAATATCACCGTGTTCATTGCCCATATTTGATCGCCACTCAGTACTTACCAGGATCTACCTTCTTTCTTTATTTTCAGGTAATACAACCCAAACAACCTTACTTATCGGAGAACTGTTCCAGGAATCCACCCTTCTACTTCGTAGAGAAAAGGCTGAATTTTGCTACAAAATGGTGCAGGAGAAGGGGTCTGACTTTTGGTATTAAGGGAAACAGGTTCCATGATGTGATGTATCAATCGAATAGGTTGTTCTCTTCTGGTTTTAGGAAGATCTACTTCGGATTTCGGTGTGCACTGTGTATTTGACCTAACTTGCGCATAAACACATGAACGGTTCCATATCTTTACCTTGGTAGGTAGACCGTACTACTCTATAACATACGTACTCCGTGCCTACGTACATATGCCTACGTATGAAGCGGGACTTAGCCATTAAACCTATTAGGCGGCTTGCTAGTTACGGTCTAGGTTTTATTTTGAAAGAAATAGCCGCAAACATTTTGGTTTAAATTTGTTGGCAAATTTCATACACGGTATTACATACCTAGATATATTTTCACAGAGGTACCAAGAATGCAGTTTCATGGCACATTGTCTTGATGTACCTAGGTAGATACATCTATAACTCCTACCACCTAAATTGAACTACCAGGTACTATGTAGTAGCAGTCACATAGTGATTATTGTGAGTATGTGTTTCAGGTATTTAGTATTAGAATAGCATGTCAATTTCCAAGGTTCTATGCACTCATTCGTGCAGCATTTTTATACTCGGTTGTTGGGTAGTTACTCTAATAGGGAGGGATCTGCTTTCCGAGAGAACAGATTTAATGCATTAAACAAAAGAAAAGAAAAGAAATAAGCCGCGGAACTGTTTTGGGAGGGCTCATATTATCCCAGAAAACTGTCAAGTCGTATCAATTTCTAGAATAATCTATCGTTGGACTTGCTTCTACGTTCTAGGGCACGAAGCCCTAAAACGGGGTAACTGGATGAGCGCTTGATGTAGATAAAGATATATTCATACACAGTACAACAGCACATACGATATTAACTCATTAGAGAGCTAACATTTCACAATAAGCATTTCAATCTTTGCAGCTCCAGATTTCAAAGCTCATTTTCGTCCGAGTCAGCCATCACCACGTCTTGGCGAACCAAACTAAATAATCTAAGTCGATTCCATCCACACGAGGCGAGAGCAACGAACTCATCGAGACACGGAAAAAAAGGAAAAAAGGAAAAAAGGAGAAAAGGAGAAAAGGAGAAAAGGAGAAAAGGAGAAAATAGGATACATGCGACTTTGTCGTCAAAGCGGCTTGTTTGATGCGAACTATAAAACCAACTGTTTTCATATCATGCTCCTGCCACCCGTCACCGACACTTTGTAATGAGGCAAAAAACGAGAGATCTGCTTTTAACACTAAACGATACTATAGTATCAGCTTACAAAACCCTTGCAAGGGGGGACAATAGCACCACATAAAAGAGAGAGAGAAAAAGAAAGGCGGACATGTGGCGTTACCTATCTGCAGTACTTGGATCGTTACATATCACAAAATTTTTAGCTCTTTACTTAACTAACTTGGAGACTAACGGTTACACAACCTTGGAGAGCAGGGATCTACGCCCTTGTCTATCCAAATTCACAAGATCCAGGAGAATGGAAGGAATGACACAAGTCATCTTTTTCCCTTCCCCCTTTTGTTCCTGCTCCGGTCCTTGTTAGGGTTCATGTACGATTGGAGGGGCGGGGGCGAAGAAGACTTCTTCTAGAACGGCCAGTTAGAAAACTAAACCAAATTATGAGGCTATTTTGATAGCCCTGCTAGTCTCTATCCACCTCTTACGTGTACATTATTAGCCTCGTTTTTCTTTGCCCCCTTACATATTAGATGCTTGTTCTGTCCGGGATGTTGGCTCTGGTGTTGATGTTAGTCATAGACTGAGAAGGTTGAATGGAGCGTGTACCTATTACCTACCTACGAATTAGGTCAAGGTACGTAGGCTGTCTACATAGCTAGCTAGTATTCAGAGGCAAGACAGAAACAGAGCCTTCTATTTTCTTCTTTTCTTCCCGACGAATGGACTGTTTCAACCTTGCCTTCCAACGAAAGGTTGTCATCGTCAATTGTGCGGTTTGTGGCACAGCGAATTGCATGCTACATAATACATAGATCTACCCAAGAAAAAAAAGCAGAGAAAACGGAGACTCCAATATTCAAGTCTTGCATGCATGAAAAAGAAAAAGAAAGTGCAAAAAACCCACTTTCTTTTCTGGAACAGGCATAATCCATTCGATCTGAATGTCCATTCGGCTAATCATGTGAATTGGGTTGTGTAACTACGACTGCAACTAGCTACAGCAGGAGCCAAAGCACAGAGAAAAAACGGAGAAGTTGATTGCTAGTTTTTGGAAAACATGTAGTTCTATTTGACATAATGGCTTCGATGATATCAGTTACTCCTAAGGTATAACATAACGCGAGGGGAAAACATTGTACGAAGAAAGAGAGAAATGACTAATAAATGTTGAATATTAAAAGTAGCAACACCCTTAGCTAGTACGGAACCGGAAAGAAAGTCGTCTCGAGTCTGCATTCATTGTAGCCTGCCTAGCTACTGGTATTTGCGTAGCTATTGCGGAAGTTAGCAAATGGTAATCAAAGCGAAGGGGGTCAAATCTTACATCTAGAGTAAGCGAATTACTGCTATTTTCTGTCTGATCTCGGTAAATTCCGACAAGCGCCTCGCTCAGTTGGAAGAGTCCCGTCTTCAAACTGATGACAATGAACTGCATGCCAGGAGCCGCGTGATCTCGGATGTAGTTGGCAATACGAGCCACGTTGGTATTATCAAGGGCAGCGTCTACCTCGTCGAGAACAAAGAATGGAGACGGTTGGTAAGAATGCACTGCAAAAAGAAGAGCAAGAGCGGCCATTGTCTTCTCCCCACCCGACAAGTGTTCCATGTCGCGGAACCGCTTGAGTGGAGGCATGGCATGGTATTTGATACCGTCCAGATACGGTTCATCGGAATCTTCAATATCGAGATAGCTGTGATGTATATTAGTGATTGGCTAAGGAGACACTGGTTCGTGGGGAACTCACGCTTGACCTCCTAGTGGATAATTGGCACTTCTGGTCAACTCCCGGTAAATGGGTCCAATTTGCTCGGAAATATGTGAGAATGCCTTGTTAAACAACTCTGATCGCTTCTGCATAACGTCTTCGAAATCGTCTTTGGCCTTCCTAGCTCGTTTTCTGGCATCCTCAAAGTCCTTTTCTGTGCCACGAAGTTTGTTCTCGACATTTTCCAATCGTTCCATGGCTCGAGTGTTGGGTGCCATTTTGTCAAGCTCGCTGTTGAGAGCACGAATACGTTCTTGCAATTCTTCTTCAAGCTTCTCTTCAGCAGACTGTCTAGAAGTTAGCAGCCAAATCACTAGATATATTGGATCCAATACACTCACTTCTTTCAATGTCTCACCCAAGGAATCAAAGTCGACGTCGATACCGTAGTCCTGTACAGCTGGAGCCTCCAGTCCGGTCATAGTCGTATCCTCATCAATATCCATGGCATCCGCGTCCGCATTCTGCACAAGATCGTCAATTGGCAGATTATCCAGGGGTGCCGAGTCCTCAGAGAGTGGCAAATCGATGTCTTCTAGTTTGCATCGTCGAAGAAGAGCATAGCGATTGGAAGAATTCCGTTGAATATCACTTTCTAGTGCGCTTACTGCTCGGAGAGTGTCTTCAACATTCTTTGCACGCCTTTGAAGCTCTCGTCGATGGCCAGCCAACTTCTCCTGTGATTCCGCATACGCATCTTTTTGCTCTGCAAGACGTTCATTCAGAATCTCAAGCTCAGCTTCGAGTTCATCCAGACTGTTTCGAATCCTATCCTGCTCGGCTTTGAATTCTTTAATTTGCGCCTCATCACGCTTATATTGTGCTTTCAGACCCTCAATTCGGTCATCGGTGGCTTGTAAGCGTTGCTTCTCAAAGCTTAGCTGGTTTTCAACCTTGCTCTTTTGAGTGGTAAATTCCAGCTTCTTGCGAGCAGCCTCTTCTTGTAGAGAACCCTGCTGAGCTTCATAATCCCGAACACTCTCGTACCCAAGGCGCCCGCAGAAGTTGGAATAAATTTCGTCCTCAACATCAGCCACCGACTCTTCTGAGGATTCAATAGCTTTATCCAGTTGGTTCATCGCTTTCTCTCTTTCGCGCAGTTTCGGCTGAACTTCCGCCACCTGCTTCTTAGCAAATTGAAGTTCGCTGTCCTTGCTCTTCATGTTACGCTCAAGAGCTTTCAATTCCTCCCTAGCATAAGCCAACCGCTGTTCGAGGCCTACAAGATCACCTTGCAAGGTTTCCTCGTCTGTACCTCGACGGTGACCCTTGGGCAACGCGGCAAGGTCGGCAAGTAGCTTGTCTTTCAATTTATGAAGATTCTCCAACTCAGAGTCGTCCCATCTTTTCGAACTTTGATGTCCAGGTCCCCGACCACCAGTCATAAGACCCCCTTTATGAATCACCGTCCCATCTAATGTGACGGCTTTGGCGTCGACGCCCTTCTCATAGCATAGATATTTAGCAGTATCCAGGTCATCGCAAACAATGGCATTGCCGCAAGCGTAGCTGATAGCACGTGAAACCGAATTCTCGTAGTCAACTGTCTCAATCGCTGGGCGCATGCTACGATGCATACCCTTGAGGTTAGAGTTGAAAGCGTTTACCTGGATTGTCTCTAGCGGGATGAAGGTGGCTTGGCCAGCTCGTTGATCACGGAGATGCTGAATGCATTCCTTTGCCGTTTTCTCATTATCTACAACAATAGCGTCGAAATGGCGACCCAGAACAGTGCTGACAGCTTCTGCATACTTCTTTTGCTTGGGCTGACACAGATCGCTGACACGACCCTTCACACCTGGAAAGATACGTTTCAGTGTGGATATCATTTCTTTCATCCTGATCTCTTTCTCGCTTTGCTTTCTACCATCGTCCGCTTCGAGAAGCTTTTTCAGGACAACTTGAAGCTTTTCTTCAAGTTCCGTACGCATCTGCGATACTCGCAAACGTTCCGAAGTCACAGCATTGAGTTCCTTCTTCTTGCGGTCGATCTCCGTAGACGTATCTTTGATGGTGTCGGTAATGTCGGACTTGCGTGCTTTTACAGTCTTCGCTTCAGCTTCCAGATTCTGAAGCTGCCATTGCGCACTCTCAAATTTGCTGCTCAAACTGTTCAATGTTTCGGCATCAGTCTTCCTTTGGCGTCTGAGATTGTCGAGTTTTAGCTGCTCAGCTGAGGAACGCTTGTTGACTTCCTCTTTGAGTTTGTTGTATTCTTGGAGATCGGCTTCACTTAGTTGTCCGCCGGTCTTGCTCATCGTTTTTTCCCAGTCAGCTTCCCATTGAGCTTGTGCCTTTTCTATAACTTTTAGATCTTTCTCAAGGCGCGTCACATTTGCTGCTTGGGTTTCACGCTCTTGGGCGATATCAGAGATCCTCGACCCGTACCTCTGTACCTTGCCCGAAGTGATCTCAATCTTTTCTTCAATAGGAACAAGCGAGTTCGATGCATCTTCGATATCCTTCTCTTTTTTGACAATGTTGCGTTCTGCGTTGTTTACCTCTCTGCCCATTTTTGCATGCTCCTTCTTAGCTTCCTCGAGATTCTTCTCGTATTTCTCGACGCCTCGGCGATATTCTTTGAGTTCATCCTGGTGCTTCTGTATCTCTGCACTGGATTCATCAATCAACCGTTGGAAATGGAACAGCTTCCAAAGAATGTGAGTGATGATTGCTTGGTCCCGTTCTTCCGCCTTTCGCGCGTAGTTTTCGGCCTCCCGTTTTTGTTCTTGGTATTGCTTGATCTCCGAATTGATTCCGCGACGGCGATTCAGCTGGAAAGTTTGTTGCTCTCCTGCTTCTTCCTGTTCGGCTTTTAGGCGCTCGTATTCAGCTTTATACTCCAGGCTTCCGGAAATTTGCTCAATCAGCCGAGTCAGGTCTCTCGGCGACTGTGATGCAATGGCTTCAACGTCCCCTTGGAAAACAAGGAAGTTGCGGGCTTTGATGAGAATATTTTCAGCCTCTAATGCTTCGTTGTATTGTTGCGCAGTCACGATTTTGTTATTGATACGATATTCACTAACACCACTGCTGGTAATCGACCGCTTCCATTGCTGCTCTTCGCCAGCGTCGTCTTCGTAAACTGCCATCACCCAAGCCGAGCGTGGATCGCCGCGTTCGCCTTGAGTCTGCGAGTCGTCGACATCAGATCCATCTTGCGCGTCATTTTCGTTCTCTTTCGCCTGAGGTTCAGTGGCGGATCCGTCGTCATTGACTTTGGAGGTTCTAAGGACACGGCCACGGTACACAAGATCTTTGAGGTTGGTCGATCGAAGATGCGACGACTTTATACCGAGTACGAACGATATAGCATCCATCCTGTTTATAAAAAAAAAACATTAGAAATACCGTAACGACCGCACTAAAATTATAGAAACTCACGAGTTCGACTTGCCCGATCCATTGGGGCCGATGATTGAAGTGAAGAAGGCATCACCGAAAAGCAAGACGTGGTGGCCCTTATAAGACTTGAAATCTGAGAGTTGGGGTCAGCGCAATCCAATTGACACAAGAAAGAACATGACATACTAAACAGCTCGAGTCTGACGAGCTTCCCCATTTTCACAACAGAGCTCTGGGCCTTATCAGCCCGTTGCGCGCGCTGTTAAGTTAGGATTTAGTAAAGGTGATGGCGTTCAATGCTGAGAGGGGTTCGCGCTCTCTGTTGCTTCAGGCTATTTAGTCCCCATACGCGCCTGCTCCGCGGAACGCGCTTGCCTGGCGTGGAATCACGTGGCACATACTCGGCCCGCCCTGTGATTGGCCAGAATGGAGGCTTACAAAAGAGTCGTCTATGATTTTACGAATATTGAAATAACAGGCGTAAAAGATGCTCGAAATGCTTTTTTATTGATATTGTGGGCAATATCTAAGAGTACTGAACTTTATACATGGTATCTCGACGAGCAAAGCAACCGACTGAAACATCGATGAGCATCGCTGATGGAATGGAATACTAACACAAGCCAGTAGAAGTCTTCTGGCAAAGAAGAAGTAATGTATGTGTACACAAATGTATCAAAGTTATTCAATGCGTGGGAGCACTGCCCGTGACACTGCCAATAGCAAGTAGATCCTGCGAGACATAGCCGTCGATTCCCACCCGGAAAGCACCTTTCTGACCTTGCATCTCCATCATGATAAAGTCTTCCTGGGTAAAGATTCGACGAATAGCAATGAAAATCTTGAAAAACGCAAAGCTCATCGCTTGCAAGGGGTTTCTGAAGAATGATATCTTGAGCTCCTGAGCCCCGGGGGCTCCGATCTGGTGAGAACCCATGGTAATTTTCCGGGAAAAGATTATTTGCTGTGGTGCCACCGTGATTGTGTATGGCTTTCGAAACGGAATCGTCGATCGAACAGTCACATTGATGAGAGTCTGGCCGTTTGAGTTGACCGCAGTGATGTTCTTGATCAACCTCGACGTCCTCGATATGAAGACTGTACCCATAACGCTCATGATAATGCATATGCCGACATAGAGACTTTGCTGCCACGTCGCTAGTTGCACACCGGAACTTTGTACGCCGATGGATGAATTGATAATGGCATATCCGAATGAAAAGGCGCCTATGCCATATGCGCCGAGTATGTAGGCACGCTGCGACGAGGCTTGGAAAAGAACGACTTTGCGCTGACGAGTCACTTTCCTATCTAGTTCTGCCAGAGACTCTGATCGTCTGCCTATGAATCGAAGGTCTGTTGGAGTATTGCTTTGGGCTGGCTTGCGAGCGGCTTGCTTAACGGTCGGTTTCACTTTCGACTTGGATACGGCTTGTCGCGCGGAGGACTGAGCGAAGCGAGCTGCTTGGAATGTAAAGGTTCGAGACGACAATAAGAATGAAGTGCTAGGGCAGGCTCGGACGCCTGATGTGAACGTGAAGGATCGCATGAACATCGTGTCGTCAAATTGAAATTGAAAAGTATTTCGGTCGAGAGAATGTAACAATTGCTGCGCGGTTACCTTAAGGTGTGAACATGTCTGTGGTTTAAAAATCACTGAATCAAACACTAATTAATCAAATGTATTATTGAAATATACATGCATCATGTATCAAGGTAATAGATCGCTCACCTTGTCTAGATCAATTGGCGCAAAAACGCAACTAGTAGTATCGTACGACGGCCAAAAAATAAACGGTGTGCTTGATTGAGGCTTTGGGTCCTGACGGGAAGACAAGCTCCTCCCATCCCGCTAACGCTCACCGGCCCTATCCATCTCCGGAGCTTTTCTCAACCTCAACCATTGCGAAGAAAAAAAAAACCTCCTTCTTCAACGACGACCCTCTCAATCGCCATGCCTGCGACCAGCTACTAGTTACTTGTATCAACAAGAGGCCGTAGCTTTCATTCACCCGTCCGCCCTAATTCCATTCAGACACGAGCAGTGCGTTTCGGCAGACTGTACTAGAGACCAATGGCTGCGAGCTTTCCATTGAGGCAAGTCCCTCTGGGGCTTCTTCGACGACAGCCTAGGGTCAATTCCATAACGAAGCGTACGTGATGTCTTTATATGCAAGATACCGATCAGTCCGGCAGGCTAACCTTCTCTCTCTCTCTCTCCACGTATACTATGTAGGCTTCCAAACCAACGCCGCAACTCACGCGCAGAACGCGGGATACCCTCTTTACCCATCCGTCAGCCAACTCCTACTTCAAAAAGGCATACCAGAGTCCGAAATCTCCAAGATCCCCGCCACAGGACCCAAGGGTCGTCTCCTCAAGGGCGATGTCCTCGCATACATCGGCGCCATCCAGGCTGGCTACCCAGCGGAGCAAGCCGCACGCATTGAGAAGATGGGACATTTAGATCTCAGCAATATCAAGATTGCTCCACCTCCCCAAGCACCCACCGCCAAGGCCGAAACACCGGCTCCCTCAGAGGAGATAATCCCGGAACTTCCGTCAGACATTTCGATCGCAGTGTCGATTTCGTTGGAATCCGTTCTATCAACCCAGAAACGCATCAAGAGCGCCCTTGGCATCACCGTGCCGCTGTCCACATTCATTGCGCGCGCTACTGAAATTGCAAACGACGATTTACCGCGCTCGTCAGCATCCAAGCTATCGGCGAGCGAGCTGTTTGATGAAATCCTCGGTGCTCCCGTCGTCAAGAAGTTTACACGTGGAAACTACGTTCCCGAAATCAACACAGTCCCCTTTGAAGAATTCGAAAACTTCAATGAAGAGATTGTTGAAGAGAAGGAGGAGGAGGATATCATTGATATTCTCTCCGGAAATGTGCCCCGTCGTCATAAGTTCGCTACTAGTAGTAGCACCCCCGAATCTGCTTCCAAGAGTTCATTCCCTGCTGCCGCTCTCAATGTATTCAGCCTCACGGTCCCTGTTGGAGAGGAGCGGAGGGCAAAGACGTTTTTGGATCGGTTGAGTACAGTGCTGACGGTTGACCCAGGCCGATTGGTGCTTTAAGTCAGGGAAGATTCTAATTATTATGCAATATCTTTGTCACAGATTATCTATCTAGATAGCCTTGAAGGGTTGCCTTTATAAGTCATTATAAACACTGTGTTATTTCACCTCTTGCCATATCTATCGGATTTTTTTTTCTACAATGTCATGATTATCAGCTTACCTTGGTTCTTGTTGAATACAAACCTCTTACAGTCGCTAAAACATAAATAACTGGGTAAAGTTGAGTTTACGCCTCAGTCATGTACTTATTTTGATACAAGAATCAAGATTGCACATGCATTTAGTAGTTTCAATGATATCAGTAAAAACTAAATTACAAAAGCGAAAGAGCAAAAAGAGGTGAAAACCCCTATCTCCGTCAAACCCCGCTACCATCTGACCATAAATAATAAACCCATCCCTGACATAACTACCGCCGTCCCTAGGGAATACAATGAGAGAGAGGCATGAAAGAGAATAAAACGCCTCCGTGAGCGCCATTGCAATTGCCATTGCCACTGGCATAAAAATCAGATGAGTGCATGCATGTCTTCAGAGGAAAGTTTTGGGAATATGCAAATTAGGAGAGAAAAGGAAGACAAATTCAAATATGATGTGAGATGCCAAACAAACATATAACTCCCATGTGAAGGATACCCCGAAATACCAGATATGAGGAAAACAAGAAAAACTGTAGATTGCTCCCATTACATGCATACGCCATAGTTTGCAAGTCAAGCCCATCCGGCGCAAGAAAAAGATTTCGGAACATATGCAAGATTCGTCTCTCGTGGATTAGTAAGTAAGATCGTATCAAGAGTGCATCTTTCAACAAACGCCAGAACATGCGGGCAATGTGTGAAGCGTCGATTGAGCAGTAAGCTGTGTCTTTAGTAGTGAGAACACAAGAGCGGGACTATCGTATTGTGCTCAATTCAGCCAGTCTGCTGCCCCTTCTCCATTCGTGGCCCTTCTGTGTGTCGAAAATCTTCCAGAACCGCAGGGTTTCATCACCTGCGCCTGTCACAATAGTCTGCCCATCAGGGCTGATTGCCAAATAAAGCACACGATATGTATGCCCAGTCAGGGATATGATCTGTTCCATACGCGGATACTTCCAGATCACTATTTGATTCTGGCTATACCCATGCGTACTAATGAGCTCGTCTGAATTCTTCGACCAGCCCAAGTTACACACCTGACTTCCAGTGTCTAATTCGCGAATTAGTTGGCCAGTGCTGGTGTTCCAGAACTTGATAGTGCGGTCTGCAGTTCCCCCGCCCGATGCTAGAAGATTATGCTGATGTGGCGACCAAGCAATGGCCTTCACTGCTGCTGTGTGCTCCGAAAACCGATGGAGCGGCGCCTCATTGAGTTTGTCCCAGACAATGAGTTTGTTGTCATTGCCCCCCGATGCAAGTTGGCCATCTTCGGTATTCCATTTCAGACCGCAAACTTCTTGTTTGTGACCTGATAGCCGGCGTAGGAACTGGTCAGGTGAGCGAACATCTCGGTGGAATATTAATCTATCGCGTCCTCCGGATGTCAGGATATGATCGTTCCATGCCAGCGCACCAACTCGATTGTGATGACCGATCATAGTTCGCAAGCGTCGACAGCTCTCAGCATCCCAAATCTGAACTAGCCCTTTCCCAGTACCGATGGCAATATGCGTTCCGCGCTGAATCCAACTGACGCTCGTGACAGTATCATCCTTGAGTTCACAAAGCCTCGTAACGCGACCCGACTGGGAGTGCCACATATAGACTGAATTAGCCAAGCCCACACCCAGGATATTCGTGCTTCCCCAGTCCACTAGATTCAAATAGAAATCATCTTGCAAGTCTGGAGCATCCAAGACCTTATATGGAACCTTGTGCAACATGCGGGGTTGTTTTCGCGGGGTCTCCAGAATCCTCTGGCTATTATAATGAATAGGCGATAAGCTGTAAAGCTCAGATCGCGGGTTTAGATTTGGTCCACGCTGACTTCGTGGTGTTTTCGATGGGGTAAGGTGACCAGACCCAGCTCGAGGTGAAGAGTAATTGAGAATGTTTTTGGAAGGGGTGGAAGGCGTCATGGAAGCAGGCGGGGGTGTATGAGAGCGAGTTGGGTCATGGGCCGTAGTACTGAAATTAAGATAAGCATCTGCATCTGGATCAGGCTGCGGCACAGAGCTGCCGAACAGTTCGCTTCGCAGAACACGGGAATATGTACGATTGGCTTCTTCGGCTAAACACAATGTCAATCACCATGAAGAGTTATGTTGGGAGACAACATGATACATACTGCGCTGAAAATGCAGTTCACCGTGTGGAGCCCGCTTTTTTGTTCGTGATGGCGTTGATGAACAACCCTCCTCGCCCAACAAGCTATAGGTAGCCTGAAGATCTTGACCCTCGCGATTGGGAATGAACCTATTGAAACAGAAAGTTAGAAATTGCACCACTGCAAACAGATCAAATAACTTGTTTATATGCATTCAAGTGGGTATCATCAAGGGGGTTTGATTACCTATCTCCATAGACTCGTTGTCTCTTACGGCTTGGGCTCGTTCCGGGGGTACGTTCTCGTCGGCGACCAGCCTCATCATAGTCCTTTAGAGCGCTTGCCAAAGCTACGGGGTCAACGGCCTCTGAAATATTGCGGTAATGCGAGCGGTTCCCGGTCGTTTCTGGGAATGACAAGGTATTCTTTGTAGGCCTGGACGGCGGGGTGCGGGTGCCTGTTTGTGACGCCATCCGCCTGGCCATATTGTCGATAATCTCAGATGTAGAATTTCCCGTAGCATCAGCTGTAGACGCCAGGGCGTCTGGTTCTGTGTCGTTCTCGGTCATTGTGGTGGGATACGAGGGACTCCAGTTCCCCCGGGCGACCGAGAAAGATATGCTGATTAAGTCAATCCAGGCTCGAATTTCGGTCGCAGGCGTCTTTCAGGAAAGGTCCTAGTGCCGCAAGAAGAGATAATGAGTCACGACGTGGGGCCAAATTGGCTTTCTCTTGTAGCGCAGGTGGAGGAGTTGTCGTCAGATCTGTTGTTCGTTCTCCAAACTCAAGAAGGTCCCAGTGGTGATCCTGTTTAATCGCAACCCAACAAGCTAGCAAGATGCCACGAGGAGCCCGCACTTGGAAGCCGCGATATGTCGAATGAAGTATTTCATCGAGAGAGACAGAGAGAGGCGACGAGAGCAAGCAGGGGTGTTGCGGTGAGAGCAAGTAGCGCGAGTGAGGGCCTTGTTGTTGTTGTTGTTGTCGCTGGAAAGCGGACGGGAAGTAGCGACCGGCGCTATTATTGGAAGGCGCTGGCCGCCAATTTCTCGCTGCAAAAGCTGCAAAACGGCGGCCGTCACGCGTCGCATGCGCTAGTCCTGGATCGGGAAGCCCACTAGCCCCAACGCGGCTTAGTCGGCTGCGGTCCCTGACAACGACGACGCCAAAGACGAGAAGGACGACGACCACCACTTTGGATGGAGGATATGGTCTCTCTCTGGATTGAAGAGCGCCTTCCTCGCTAGATTGATTGGGCTGTTGACTACATACATTGCACGCCAACGGCCATGCATGTGTGTATGCCAGTTCCAGTTGTTGTTCGCGCGTCGTCAATGTTATTAGCTTGGCATCTGGATGCGCGCGCATCTGCATCATGCACGTATGCCATATTGAATATTCTCCTTTGCCACGCACGGGATATCCCGTAGTCGCACAAGGGGGTAGTGTTCTGATAAACCCGATGATGATTCGCCCCTCGGTCACTTGCGATGTCGATATGAGTATCCATCGGCATTGATATTACTTTTGCCGCGCGAGAGAAATCGTCCATTGTGTTTGTTGTAAACCGCTCTTTTACTTGGCTGAATACATTGCCTACGCTCAACTACCCTGCTCGCAAGACAAAATTCCAAGCCCTAACCCTAGGAGTCAGCATGAGGATTCAGCTTGGTCTAGGACTATATGTATCCTTAGCGTTGGGATTCAGCATCAACTATGAGCAGTTTCAGTCAGCTCAAGTAACTAACTTAATTATAGCTTCTTATCCAGCTGACTCGAATCTGGCAAAGATGGCATAGCATGGAAGGCTTGTCTGCCGAAAAAATGGAGCCTTCAGGCAGCAGCAATCCGTGTACGGTTATCTATAACTCGCGAGCCTTTGGCTGTTGAGTTGATGGTTGGGGGGGTTTCTCAAATCTGGTTTCTTCTGTCTTACAACATGGTTACAACCCAAACATTGCATTTGCCATTCACGGTTCCAAACCGCAGCAGTGCATACGTGAACGTCTCGGTCAGCAGAAATGACGATCCCAAACGATATGGCTTCAGCTTGCTCTTCCCTAACCATCGTCTGTCCGACTTTGTTGGGTTTCCTGTCTGTCATGCAACCGTTCACTCGCCCGGATCTCGGGGCTACGCATCCATGTACGGCTGGATCCAGATCACGCGGGCGGCAAACGATAGAGAGGCCGCGGAATCAAGCGCCTGGGAAATGGACCCAGTCCCCATGATCGCAGATCTGAAAACGCCGTTTTGCTGGTTTGGGGCTGAGCCCAAGCTTTTCGATGCCCCAGCACGAGAAGGTGTCCGGGAGATTGACTGGACTGCCCGAAGCTTTCTCACATACATTGAAGATGGGCTGATGTCGAAAGTGGTGCATCCGATTCTAGCCTTTGAATGGGGTTTTGACATTCACGACGGAGAGAAGTCGATCAAACCCCTCCAACAACTCGGCGCAGCCCCTTGGAATGAACACCTGGCTCTTTTCGCGGATCAGTATCCAGACTGGAGATTTGTCAGGTCCAACTGATCTGGTGAATTATATATAGGGCACACTCCACGAGCCGCTTTACAATGGACACAGATGCATTGGTCACAGCTTATAATATAAAAAAAAATTATATGATATATAATACTTATATTACATTCGATAATTTTATTTCATTTCTCACGACGAAGCCATATAGAGGGAGTCAAGCAGTCAAATATTCAGCAAACATTTATTAACAAAGGTAATCTGCAGCGTTTGCATTACCTACAGTCTCTCCCTGACATGGTGGTTGATAAGCCGATCAATGCTCTTATTCATTGCCCATTCAAGTAACACAGGGCACCTGACAGGAAAGTTTGCTATGACAAAGAGAAAACGCCCTCAATTCGTTTGTATTGAAGGATGAAGCTCTCACTGAGCAAGGTGGCTGCCTGGGATTGGAATATAAAATCCTTCCTCCTCCCTCCCCTTCCTTTGTTCTTACTCTCTTCCTCATACATTGTATCTAGATAGATACTTCAACAATTTCTGTTGAACGCTGAAGCTCTTTTATCCTAGGAGTTTAATCATGTCATTCCCCTTCTTCGTCTTCAATCTAGTGCCGTCAACACAATGCTTGCCTCATCGTCTCGTGGAACAAAGGTCGAAATGACAACTTGCAACCCCAACCATCTACAACACGATTTTCGTGTGCGCTCTAGCGCTCGAAGTCTACGAATACGAAAGCATGAAGATTTCTCATTTTCCACATCTTATATCCAAAATTATTCGTGAGTATAAAGCCCTAGTTTGCATGACTACATCTTTGATATGAATGAATGTCAACTAACGAGAGACACTGTTGAAAGTGAAATGTCTTCCGTAAATACTTCATACTATCCACCCTACCATTGATCTATCACTAACCGAGAGCTAGAGGGTCAATTATTACAATGCGAGTGCTAGCGCTCACATTGTGTTCTGGACTCCAGAGCGACGACCCCCGGCCCACGCTAGTATCTCGTGGCCAAGGAAAAAAGCAAAGCAGCTCTTAAAGCAATTGAAAACATGGTACGTTACTTACTCGCTTGGGGTCATACTGTATACAGACAAAGGCTAATGTCTAGTTTCATATGTTAGAAGGCGGAAATGACCCGCCTAGAAGCGGCCTCCAAAACCGAGCTTAAAGAAATCAAAGAAAAGATAGCCAAAGCTGAGGCCATTTGCAAGGAGACGGTAAATTGGAGAGGGAGGGAAGGAAGATAAGAAGGATGATTGATTGACGTTGGTGTTGGCCTCTATTCAAGACTCGCGAAATTTACGGACTTCGCCGCTGCCGCAAGCAAATAGGAGGTATACCTGGTATCATTCAACCGGCGGCATTGTTGCCGTGGGAAGATACGATGTCCGGCATAATAACATTATCACTGAAAATAGTCTTGCCTGTGATCTGTTGCTCGTGGCGTTTATGCATCGGCTAGTCCCCTATTGCACTGACTTTATGGACTGCTGCACCTATCTATGTGGCATTGGGTGACTATTGTCTGCAGGATGTTTCTTTCGCTATATCTTACACGAGGCTTGTAATTATTCTCTTCAATTTGGACTACGTATTACCCAATATATTGATGTCCATTATTTTTCAGCTCCCTATAGTGTTGAAGTCTAGGAAGATATGCCGATGCAGGCATTCATAAACGCGCTTTGGGCAGTTGTTTCTTGGGAAAGAGGCATATAAGTTCTTGGGTTTGAGAGACGGTCGATGGATATTTGCAGGTTTTGGAAACGGATCCTTGGTTGCGTGGAGAACTTGAATAAAGTCCCATGGTATATATACTATGCATCTATCATTGAGAGAAATCCCCTATAGGTTTCTAATGTCATATGTGAGGAATTTTAAATTAGTATCAGTCCAATTTACAAAGTACTAAAGTTGTTTTTCCCCGTACTCAAATACCTAGATATCTGATATGAACGACTCAAAATAGCTGTCAAGAGTCAACCGAAGATCATTGTTGATTATATAGAAGCTAGCTACCTAGATAGTTACAGATCTGGAATCAATGAATGTGCCAGCTGGTACCTGTCAAAGCTTATACACAATCTTATACGCCGAAATCTTTCCGTCTCTGTGTTCCTGGAACCCTTCCTGAACTGCATCCAAGCCCACAAGCACCTTGGGCTCACTTGCTTTGATAGTACCGGTTTCCAGCCAAGCAGGCAATTTTTCGAAAAGCTCTTTGCCAAGTTCGTGGTCCTCTTTGGAAGCCTAAAGTTTGATTAGCAATATTCAGACACAAATCATATATTTCACTTACAGGCCACTTGAACTTTCCGTAGCTGTGGTCCTTCAAAAAGACTGTCCATACCAGTACATCGGTGACTTGCGTACCCGAAACTACATTTTCAGTATTAGCTTTGCCTGGTCGCACTGTGCAAAGGCGGCCTTTTTCGCTGAAAGCGCGTGATGCGGTCGAAGACGAGGTCGAGTTTCCTATTGTGTCAAAGGCATATCTGAGATTTGGCGTTGCCTCCTTGATTTTCTCGACTACATTCTCATCACGGTAGTCAAAAACGTATTTCGCACCATACTGGCGAACAAGGTCACTGTGTCTCGGGCTGCAGGTTGCTACAACCTCAAGGCCGAAGAGTGAAGCAAGTTGAACAGCATATAAGCCGACGCTGGCTAAAAAGAATTCAGCACTGCATTCATAATACATGCATAAGGAAACTTACAGCTGCCACCCCAGATCAAAACGCTAACCCCCTGGGCGCTTGTGCGGTCGAGATTCAGGCAAGTGCTGGAAAACAAGGCGAGCCATGAGGTGGCGGCTGCCAATGGGACGGTGCTAGCATGCTCGTACGAGTGTCCCTTTGGAATCTTGAATGATATGTCCTCGTCAGCCAGACAGTACTCGCTATACCCGCCTAGACCCTTGATTTCTCCTGCAGAGCAAATACGTGAGAAGACGCAAAATGAACAACAGATAATTCGGAGGGTAAGATTATCTTACCTCCCCAAATTAGACCAGCTACAGTATCACCTTTTGCGAGGCGAGTAACACTGCTGCCCAACTCCACTACCTCTCCAACGAAGTCACATCCAAGGACTGCGCCGTCACCAAAGGCATTTCCATCAAAGGATTGCACTGCGGGAGAAGTGAGAATGGCAGATTACTGTCATGATTTGAGGGATCATAACATACCGTCAGTTGGGTTCTGTGCTACATGCGATACCTTGACAAGCACTTGATTTGCGGCTGGAGAGGGTATGGGAATGTTTTCCTTGGATAAGGTGGGGTGCCCGCCTGGCGTCCGTACAACTAGGGCTGTGTTTGAGTGTCCAGACATGTTGGATAATAGTGCGCAAGTAACTACAAAGCTCCGATGATCGATGCAGAGAAGAAGAGGAACGTCCAGCTGGCCAGTCCCTGTATAAATTGTCCAACCGGACGACATACATCGGACATGGCAAGTGGAAGTGCCTGCCAGATTAGTCAGCATTGCCACAGCGTCAGAGCTACTTAACTAACATAACTGTAACTGCTCAGTCAGCGTTATGCTCTATCATGGACTGGCTGGCGAATCGAATTTGTATACATGGAGTTATATGCGGCGAGTCTGGAGATTGCTTTCTGATTGGCTGGATCGGCGTCCTCGGGGCTGGCCGAGACGATCGGTTACATCTTTACAGTACGACAATGCTCTTGTTCCGCTGATGAGTACGTATTGCGCTTACGCTTATAATACAGGCCTTAACCACCCAAACAAGTAACCACCACCATGCCTATCTTCTATATTAGATCGGAATATATGTATACACATATGCATAGGAAACGAACATGAATATATTAGCGATTATAAATGTGTGTGTAATCAATACCTCTTGACGAGAGCAGCAGCTCACGGAAAGGAAGATACTTTCCCCGCCTCAGTCGATTTCCTCGGAGTAACTTCATTTTGACACGCAAAAAGCGGAGCAAGAATGAGAGACTTTGCGCGCATCTCGTCGCATCTCCAACCTTCTGTCGCCAACTCGTTGCATTTGTCGCTGCGCTACTCCACCATGGTCAAGGTCAACCACAAGCAGGCTGCTTTGGACTTTCTGTCCTTTGTCAACGCCTCTCCGACTCGTTAGTAGACACGATGGCAACTTCTAAGTATGCGGAGGAAGGCAAGCTCACACATTGAATTCTTAGCTTTCCATGCCGTCAAGTCTAGTAAGGAATTGCTCGCTGCTGCTGGCTTTGAACAGATTCGAGTATGTCGATTTATCGTCGTAGCTTCGTTCCCAGCTACTGACCAATTACTAGGAAAAAGATCCGTGGGCATCAAGTCTCCAGCCCGGCGGAAAGTACTATCTTACTCGCAATGGGTCTACCCTAATTGCGTTTGCCATTGGCAAGAAATGGAAGGTATGCTATGCTATTGTCTTGTTTTTTGAAAAAGAAGAGAGGCAAAAGCCACTGACTGGCGAGTCTAGCCTGGCAACTCTGTCGCCATGATTGGAGCCCACACCGACTCGCCTGTTCTCAGGATCAAGCCTGTCAGTAAAAAACAGGGTGAAGGGTTCCTCCAAGTCGGAGTTGAGACATACGGAGGCGGCATTTGGCATACCTGTGAGTACCGAACAGCCGCCGTCCATCTTGTACCGTAGCTAACTATTCTCAGGGTTTGACCGAGATCTGGGGGTTGCTGGACGTGTCATGGTACGCGCGGCGGATGGAAGCATTCAGCAGAAACTGGTCAAGGTTGACCGACCAAGTATGGCTCTGTTTTGATTCGATATAAAGAATAACTTGACTGACGGGCATAGTCCTTCGCATCCCCACTTTGGCTATTCATCTGGAACGCAAGGAGTCATTTGACTTCAACAAGGAAACCCAGCTTTTCCCTATTGCCGGCCTTGTCGAGGCTGAATTGAACAAGACTAAAGATCAGAATGCTGAGTCGACCACGACGACCCCGTTGAAACCATTGACGGATCGTCATCACCCTTTCATTGTCGAACTAATTGCATCCGAACTCGAGGCCCAGCCAGCTGATATCCTCGACTTTGAGCTGATCCTCTTCGACACGCAAAAGTCATGTCTCGGCGGAATCTCGGAGGAGTTCATTTTCTCTCCGCGTCTGGACAACCTCAACATGTCCTTCTGCGCTGTGCAGGGACTGATTGAATCCGTCCGCTCGCCCAAAGCTCTAGACAACGAAAGCGCCATCCGACTAATTGCGCTATTCGACCATGAGGAAATCGGAAGCAAGAGTGCACATGGCGCAGACTCCGATGCTCTGCCGGCTGTGCTTCGGCGTCTTTCCGTGCTACCGGCCAAATCAGACGGTGAGAGCAACTCATCAATTGACCTCGCTACCGCCTACGAGCAAAGCCTTACAACCTCTTTCCTCGTGTCCGCCGACATGGCACACAGCATCAACCCCAACTACAGCGCCAAGTACGAATCAGACCACAAACCACATATCAACAAGGGCCCCGTTATCAAAATCAACGCCAACCAGCGCTACGCCACCAACTCACCCGGCATCGTCCTGCTGCAGGAAGTCGCGCAAAAGGCGGCCGAGGATGGTGGCGATGTCGTGCCTCTGCAGTTGTTTGTGGTTCGCAACGATTCGTCCTGCGGTAGCACGATTGGACCCATGTTGTCGGCCAACTTGGGCGCGAGAACACTTGACCTGGGAAACCCGCAGTTGAGTATGCATAGTATTCGCGAGACGGGTGGCACGGAGGATGTGGGACATGCTGTGCGGCTGTTTGCGAGCTTCTTTGAGCACTATTCTACGCTGTCGCCTAGCATTCTTGTCGATTAGTTTAGAAACGCTAGAGACCGCGAGGATAGATCCAGGAGACCCAAATATCGTCATCCAACGCCCACCTCTACTTTCCCAATATATATCTATAGAATCTTCACATACGTTGATTGCCATTATCAATGCCAAGTAGATGCAACACATATATAATTAGCACAAGAATACGATGAATATAAATACAAGCTAATCAAACACCGCGTTCGAATTCGTCAAGACGAAGAATCAGAATCAGTCTTGGTCTCAATAACATCCCCCTCCTTGGCAAGGGAATCCTCTTGCACAATTTCTGCACCTTCAGCCACCAACTCCTCCAATGACTTGACTTTAACCTGCATAACCCTTAGAACCGTATATTTGTGCTTACTCTTGACATGCTGCACATGTCTCCGTCTCCGCTTGGTCTTCTCCTTGATGCGGAGCGGCTCCGTCTCCACACCCAGCACGCGCAGGCGACACTCAAACATGCGTTCGTCGATATACGGGGCGCCCTTGAGCGAGTAGTCGCGCGAACCAAGCACGGACGCGCGGTTGAAGCGCAGCACATCCCCGGATTTGACGTTGGGCATCAGAAAGGGGAGGCGCAGGTGGTCGCCTTCTGTGAGGAGGTAGGGTCGGTCGTGCAGGTGTGCGGAGATGTAGTGCGGGCGCTGGGTTTGGAGATGAGGCAGTTTGGAGGCGAGGGATGGGCTGATTTTGAGGTTGGATGAGAAGCTGGGTGGGAGGGGGAGTTTGTTGCGAGGGATGCGGCTGTTGGCGTAGCCATGTTTGGATAGTAGTTCTCTTTGTTCTTCTTCTGATGAGGATTGTTGCGGTTCCGAGAGAACTGGCTCTGTTGCAAGACTTGTTGTTATTGACGGCGGCGGGACCTCAGCGGATGTAGCCTGGAAGTTCTGCGAGCTGCTCGTGGTCGATGCTTGGTGAAGCAGACATGCCTGCTGTCGAGACGAGAAAATCGGCTGTTGGCTGGCTACTCGTTCGACATTGAACAGAGTCCGGAGAACCGGTCGAGCGAACATTGCGTAGCTTTTGATAACAAATTGCAAGACTGGCTACTGCAACTCACCATACAGTGTGTGTGTGTATATTGTATGGTGTATAGCTTCTTTTCGGACTCTGCGAGAAAATCAAACAAATTGCGCAAGTTGCCGCGCCGGCAGCCGGATAAAGACCACGTGACGCTCCATGCCGATAGCTTATCGACGCCAAGAGTTTTACTTGGCGGGCACTGAACTTTTTCGAGATCGTCTAGACTTTTCTGTATAACTCAGAATTGACACGACAAACTGATCAAGCGATCATAGCAAGATGGTACGTCTGCCTTAGTCTAAGAAGTAGTGATGACAAGCTAACGAAAGATATCCCTGCAACAGCCTCAGAACGAGTTCGTACTATTCCTTTTCCGTCTGTGATAATTCTTTTGTGATGTATTGATTGCTAACATTTGTACAGGTATATCGAGTACGTGCATCTTCCTCTGTATCGATGAGGAGCATCGATCTTCTATCCCAAGTGTAAGTGAGTACGTACTAATAATTTTTTTTTATAGACGCTTCCAAAAAACCCATGGCCGACGCCTCGACCATGAAGAGCGCACGCGCAAACGCGAAGCTCGCGAGGGCCATCTCGCATCCCAAAAGGCACAGAACTTGCGAGGTCTGCGCGCAAAGATGTACGCCCAGAAGCGACACGCAGAGAAGATCCAGATGAAGAAACGCATCCGGGCGCAAGAGGAGAAGAACGTAAAATCCGCCGCTCCATCGGACGAGAACAGCTCTACACCCCTGCCGAACTATCTCTTGGATCGGTCGCAGGCTACTAATGCCAAGGCCCTGTCATCGGCTATCAAGGATAAGAGATCTGAGAAGGCGGCTAAGTTTTCGGTGCCGCTGCCCAAGGTCAAGGGGATTAGTGAGGAGGAGATGTTTTCGGTGGTGAATACGGGGAAGAAGACGCATAAGAAGTCGTGGAAGAGGATGATTACGAAGCCGACGTTTGTCGGGCAGGACTTTACGCGACGCAATCCCAAGTTTGAGCGTTTTATTCGGTGTGCCTCTCTCTCTCTCATCTTCTTTCCTGCATATTGCATGTACTGACTCTCCCAGTCCCATGGGTCTCCGATACAAAAAAGCCAACGTCACACACCCAGAACTCGGCGTCACAGTGCAACTGCCCATCCTCTCCGTGAAGAAGAACCCGCAGAACCCGCTCTACACCCAGCTTGGCGTGCTCACTAAAGGAACCGTGATCGAAGTGAATGTCTCAGAACTTGGTAATGCTCCTCCATCTATCTACGATATGATATGATACTAACATATCCAGGTCTCGTGACTACATCCGGAAAAGTGGTTTGGGGTAAATATGCCCAAGTCAGTAATAATCCCGATCTGGACGGGACTGTGAACGGTATTCTGCCCTCGTTCATTCTCTCCTCCCAACCAGTTCAAGACTAACGTATCATGTGCAGCCGTTTTGCTGGTTTGATTCTCCAATCGAAGGATAATAATTATTCGTGACGACCATAAAAGTTGTTTTCATGTTTAGAATGGAGTTCTGGGCGTTGATAGAGATTTTCCTTGTTTCGAGTCATGGTTGGTTGAATATTAGTTACTCAGGTAGTACTACTACATACATATTGATGCTATCGGAAGTTTACAGTTAACATTTCTTCAGACATTTAATCAAAGAATGATGTCAAATCACAACTTGATAATTTGTGTGATAGCATATAAGTATAATATGTACATGACCGAAATGGTACATAATCTATCATATCCAGGTTCCAAAAGATACAAATTCATGGCTCATAACGAAAAAGGGATATAAGGCCGAAACAGAAGAGGAAAAAAACACAAAACCAAAACAGGTCTATGAGGTGGGAAGGATAGAATGAAAGAAATTTTAGTAATCTTCACCAGCGTTCCCATCGTCATCGCTCATCTCGTCCACATTACTAGGACTCGTAGCTGGAGACGCTAATCCGCTGACTACGGACGAGGTTGCCCCTTCGCCAGTAAACAACCCTGTGGTGTCAAGCGTTAGGTCTATGGCACCACCGCCATTACCACCACCGCCAGCCGCTCTGGGAGTAGACGGGTCAGGACGACGTCGGGAACGGTTGTTCTTGCCAGCAGCAGCAACAACACCAGCCATCAACTCTTCTATACCCGGCTTCTCGGGCACATTTTGTGCTAGCATGGTCGATAGATCAAGAGATTCGATGGCGTGTTTTAAGAATTGTGCATTCTTGACGCTCACACTGAGCGTCCATCTGTATTCTGCGAGCCGTTGGCGGTAGAATTCGGCTTCCTCTTTGGTTGGCGCTGTGGCTAGTAGGAGCGTACCGAAAGAGCCGATGAGTGCAAAGTTTGTGCGTGAAGAACCCGGCCAAAAGGCCTGGAGATGGGCAGGGCGGAGACGATTCACAAAGTCCATGGCACTGATTAGGCGTGTTTTGGCAGCCGAGCGGCAAATGTGAGAGAGATAATTGTCGGCGGTGGTGTTATTCAATGACCGGATGATGCAGCGGTGGAGTGTGATTTCAGTGGCAAAGTATGCTACGTGCAATGCGCCGTTGGAGGCAGACTCTTCGGTCACCTCGTCGAATAGTATCTCGGAGCCTGACGACGGCGAGTCCATTTTCATGCTCGCCGGAAGACGCGCAAACCAGTCCTTCAGGCGGATCTGTACGGGCTTCGCTTTCTCGAGAATGTACCGCGTTTTGTTGTTACCGGCAGCCGAAAACTGCTCCGCGGCTCGTAGTGTGTAGAAAGTGTCTAAAATCTCGGCCAAGATGGCGGTTAATGAGACATGCTGGCAGAATAGACGGACTCCATGGCCTAGGTCTCTGTCTTTCTGTCCAGCAGATTCGTCGTGCGGCTTGGTTGAAAAGGCCCCGATAAAGTCCTCATCCACCAAGTCTCGCACCGTCCAGTTTGCCGCCGACATATGTGACGGTCTCCCGTGAACAAGCGAACACCACTTGTCCTGCGTGTGCAACGCCCAGGCCATGCGCCTGCGTAGCCCTCTCTCGGCGAGGGGGATCTTCCAGTTGAAGCAGTCCTGATGCAGACCGAGTTCAAACGCGGCCGTGACTATTTGGCCGTTGAGCGAGGATGTGTTGAGGGAGGAGCGTTGCATAATGAGCATGCCAGCCTGGATGGTGGTAATGTCGGCGTGCGGGAGAGACTCGGTGAGTAGTTTCATGGCCGTGTCCTCCATCCTCTTCACTTCGGGTTTTCGCGCTGACCGGGCCGCGGGCTCAAACTCGAGATATTTCAGCGTGAGCGTGTAGACAGCGGCCAGCAGCAGAGGAGACAGGCCGCGACGAGTACGATAGGCTTGGCGGAAGGAGTCTTCCATCAATACGGGGAAGACGGGATGGATCTTTTCGAAGAACTTATCGACCAGCGTCGAGCCGTACGGGGCGACCAGCGTTTCAATGGCATCTAGTGAGATGGTTGGGGTTTCTTTGGCATTTGGGTTCATGATTCGCATGAACGTGCCATCTTCGGCGAAGCGCCGGATTTTGTGTGTTGAAGAGAGCGAGCTTTCATCATTGGTGTCGAGTGGGATGTGCTCGAATAGTACGGGCTCGATCTCTGTCGTCAATCCGATGTGCTGGCTGGATTGGAAGGACAGTCGAGGCGACGCCAGCGAGGTACCACCACTGACAGGCGGAGGCGGCACCATGTCTTTGGCACTGGACTGTAGATCGATTGAGTGCCTGTGCATCGTGTGTGTTAGCCAAGCATACATATATCATCTGGATATACCAAGACGGGAGCACCTCTTGTTGTTCGATTCCGCCTCGACCAATTCGTCCAGCTTTCTTTTCCTGGCCGGCGGCGAGGCGGCACCGGAGGCCGACAAGGCACTGTTGGCGAGGGTGAAGGTGCAGTCCTGGCGGTGGAAGTCGCACGAGTAGCACTTGTTGACCAGCTCGTTCATGGCGCAGCGGCTCTTCCGGAACAGGCAGGCGTCACAGCTGACCCCATCGCGGCCAGGCGGGCCCCGGGAGGAAGACGATATGCTGGCGGAGCGCAGCAGCGAGGCGGCCGTGGTGTTGGGGGTGGGCGCAGTCGAGAAGGAGACGGACGACGACGAGGAGGAGGAGGAGGAGGCAGGCGAGTGGGAGAGCGAAGTGGCAGGAGAGCTCATCTGGTGGTGCTGCCGGAGGAAGGAGCGATGGTCAGGGCCGGTCGAGGCGGCCTGGATGGCAAGCGCGGCGGCCATCTTTAAGGGAGAGAGAGAGAGAGAGAGAGATACGTTATCAAGCCGTTAGGTTAGATATCGAGCGAGATAGCGGCATGTCCCTTATCAGCAGTGTGACTGTGACCAGACAAGTTCAGTTGCACGCTGTCCCGGATTCGCCGACGGGGCCGGGGGTGACGCTTTTCAGCTGGGCTGCATGCGAAGAGAAGACGAAGAGGAGAGAATGCGATGCTTGTTTGTATCCCGTTATAACCATAGCCAGCGTTGCCGCGCTGGTGTTGACGCTGTAGTCAATTACGTACTGCGCGGCCAGTTGACTGGCTGGCCCGCGTTTTGCTCTCGTAATGCGATGAGCCTGAGGCTATCCCGAGCACAACGTCGATAACACCCGCCGCGTTCATTGGGCCGCCATCCGCATTACGTGCGGAAATCGGTCCTGGATACTTCTATAGATGCTCTATATATATCACAGGTAAACATGTCTTACGGATGGATGTCGGACGTGAGAAATGATCGATGTCGAACCCTTCTTCTCTTGACTCTCAAAGAAAATTTGAAGATGCAAATCCGCCAGCCAATCACAGCCCTCCGATAACACCAGCCGGCCGGCCAATCAGGCACATGCCCTGCCGCCCAACGCGGCCTAGCGCATGTGCGCCAAGCCGTCTTTGGCAATCCCCAGTCCCCACATTCTGCGGCAGTGGAGTGCAGCCGCGCAGCCAATGGCAGCCTGCCAATTGCTGCTCCGTACGTAATGAGATGGCCGCGATTGGCTAGTGCTTATTCGGAGCTATATCAGATCGCCGGAGTAACACGCATGTTCCGTACCAGTATTTCGTGTTTAGTGTTTGCTACTCCGTACATTTATTTGAATCAAACTGTAGTTGAATGAACGAACGACTCCCACGTTGTGCTGGCAGTATGGCAGTGGTTTGATTACGTAGGTATTGCTTGATTGGTGACAGTGCCTGATCATTATCAATCGATAGATAATTCGATTATCGGACTTCATCTGCCGGTAGTGCAGCCACCCGAGCATCCCCTAGCCGGTTACGGCAGTACGTAGGGCACGCCCTGTGCAGCCCTATCTCTGGTCACGTGAATCTCTCTATACCCATACCGGAGTATATCCGACTGTCAAGAGTGACTGACGCTATCGATTGAATTAATTTCATTCTACCCACAAGCAAACACCAAACACCAAACACCGCGCTGATGGACATGTATCATCTCTGACACAACTTTTAACCTAGAGCACAACCCCATATCTAGATAGGCAGACAGACTACTCCACAAAATTGCGCAGCTTGGTCAACTCATCCAGCAGCTCCTGTAAATCAAGATCCGATATCTTGTTTTGTAAACTGGGTATCAACGATTTCGCTTCTTCCGCGTTGTCGCAGCAAAGACTGCCTATACGAAACCAGTTAGTACGAATAATAACCATTGGAAGCTACTAAGGCGATTGGGGAGAGAGTGAATCTACCCAGCTGCGACCGCTCAAACATCTCAAGTTCCGTATGCGAATTGAGCAGTCGCTCGACGGCCTTGATATTCTCCTCGTCCTTGAATCGGGAGAACACCTCCAAATAATCGAGCGTTTTCGTCAGGTTCCTACCAAGCGTTAATCCTCCGTACTCTCTCTCTCTTTTCAAAGGACAAATGAAATCCATCCAAGGCAGCGTGGGAGAAGCGTACTCTGGCTCATCGTATTTCTTTCCACCCCGCCGCTTGTTCTCAAGCACTTTATTAATGACCAGCCGCGCCTCGCTCAGCGACAGAGTATGCGTGTTCTGGTCCTCGCCTAGTTTCAGGGTAGACGCCGCTTCGAGGTCGGACTGTGGCACGACGCGCTTGCGGTGTGTGGCGGCAGGGAGTTTGACCGTGGATGTCATTTTATTTCTTCTTCTTTTTATTTATTCCGTTGAGCGCTCGACTATTGTATTGTATTGCTTTTCGTTTGTGATGGGCGAGATGAGCGTTGTCAGAGATAGATCGATTCACAATAATATTTACTGCAGTTTCTTTTCGTATACGTCGGTGGAATTCGTGCTTATAGAAAATTTTAGTTGTGAAATGATGAATGCGAATGGCGAGGTGCGCAGCGCCAAGGCAAGAGCTGATTTATTGATTGATTGATTGATGAATGAATGATGATTGATGGCGGAGAGAAGTTGATTTTCATGCGGCTCGAGTTAGCCTTAGTTCTCAGGCAACGCGGCGATGGGGCGGGCTTGGCATTATCACTCGTCCGTCAAAGCTCACTACATAACTATTTCCACTCAGCGATTACAAGATTTAGTACAATTGAGACTCTGGATGGCAACGAGTTTATATGGGTATCGAATTCGTCATCTAACCACTAACGCCACCTTTCATGCTAGATATACACTCTTAGTACAAGCATACGAAAAGAAAAGTAAAAAAAAAAAAAACTCCCTACGTCCTCGCAAACGCCACCTCTTGTGGGAGACGGAAGCTCGCGCAGAACATCTGCTTTGCAGGACTGACCAGCCTGACATTAAATATCTCCAGCTCCCGCTCGGGATTCCCAGATCCACCGACCGTATCGTCCGGAGTCAGCGTAAAGCCCATGACCTTGGAAATACGCTCGCAGACATCATCATGGTCGACTCGCACGTCGTCCGAGTTGCCCGAGAAGCAGTACACATGGATAAATGGTAGTTTTCGGTCGGTGTGAGGCGCAAAGAGTTTTTCCTTGCCGGCATAGACTCCCACAAAGGCATCCAGGAATTCAATCGCGGTGGCAGGAAGGTTCATGACGAAGTGGTCCACGGTTGGTGGTCGCACGTATACTTGCGGAGGCACACGCACGCCTTCTTTAGTCTGGGTTCTGGAGACCTTGGGTTTGATGGAGGCCTTCTTTGGAGGAGCCGTCATCATGCCCGCCGAGGCGCGTATAAATTGCCGGCCATCCATGTTGAAGGCGCTGACGAATTGATGCACTTTATTCTTCTGGATTGCTTTCTCCATAGCCTCGAAACCATGCGGGTTTAGATCGTTGGCCCACACAAAGATTTTCCTCTTTCCTGCAGGAACGGCAAATGGGCCGACACCAGCCATGACGTCGCATACCAATTCGCCTTCTTGAAACTTCTCGACAAGTCGACGGTGCTCGGTCTCTAGTCGGCTATTCCAGTAAACGCGAGAAAAGTCGAATTGAAATTCACACCCTTGCTCGTGAACGGTGACATTCATGTCGGATCCACCAGCGAGGATTTCAAAGGGGAACGTGCGGAATTCGCTTTCGCTACCGACGCGTTCGATTTTATTGATCACTGTGCGGACGTTTGTGTTCTTGTCCTTGAGGATATGAGCTATAATGAACTTCCAGGGGTGCCATCGTTCTCGTAGGTTCAAATGCACTAAACAAGAAAAGACAATCCTCAGTTAGTGTCATATAAGATGCGAGAATCTTTTGGACTTAAAAACAAACGTACACACGTGTCCCGTCAATGTGAACGCCTCCGGCGCTTCTCCAGTGCTGACTTCCTCCTCTGGAAGAATCGCAGCAATAATGTCTGCAAAATTCCAGTATGAATAGTCCAATTCAACTGTATACGGACCCAGCCCGACGGTGCCCTCTTCCACCAATTTATTTATAATCGGAGACCACGTAGTCGCGTCTACAAGGCCAACGTTAGGTTGCAATTTTTCAAGATGCAATTTTCTGCTTCCTTCCCTTACCATCATGTTTAATCTCCGGCCGCAAAACAAGACATTTCTTTTTCCGCAGCTCCAACCTATTCATCTCCAGAGTCTGGCCCTCTTTGCCCACCACCAGCGTTTCCGCCGTGGGAAACTGGCACACATCGTACCTGGGCAGGTCTAAGACATCCTTGCTAGACGTAAGCGTCTTGCGCACCGACATGATGTTTTTATTCTCGAAAACCGTCGCAGCTGAGATCGGCACACTCTTTTTAAAGAACGAGCGGTCGAGGACGCGCATACCGCGGCTCACGGGAGGGCGGAACATGTTGTTCGCTGCAGACGACGATGCGGTGGATGAAGTCGCAGAGGCCATCGAATGGATGAATAGAATTAGTTGATCGGGAAAAAGCAATGATCCGTGCACGGGATGACTAGTATGTATGTATCTAGTATACGCAACGTGGCTTGCAGTGCCAAAATCGATGGTTTTATACTGGATATTGCGACAGAGAGAAGGAAAAACGTTGACAGAGGGGTTCGCTTCCTGTGACAAATTTGAAAGAGGGGCCAGCGTCGTAAATAAGAAGTTTGTATTTGGCCGTTTTCATTGGGCACAAATTTTCGACGCACGTGATGTTGTACGCACGATAAGATAAGCTTAAAGACTAGCAAAGTGATACTCTGTATAACTATGGTATGATGGCAAACGCTTCATTGGTCGAGACTAATGTGTGAGAAATCAGAATCATAATCATCATCATCATCATCATCGTCATCGTCATCGTCATCGTCATCGTAATAATAATCGTCACATCGCACTGGAACAATCTCATTTGGACTTCTTCAGACAATCGATAACAATCCTGTCCATTTCACGCTCCGATTCCAAGCTCTCGATCCTTTCCTTTAATGACTTTATCTCTCCGTCTTTTTTCTTGAGCGCCATCCAAGACATCTCCCTGCCACGGAGTATGCCCTGGGCCCGTAGGTGTTGCTGGTCAAGGAACATCGATACTTCATCTCTGGCCACTGTAGGAACGACGACATTATGGCGATCGAATATTGCGAAGACCTTTGCAGAAAGATCGGATAAGGAAGTCGACGACATTCCGTGCGCTGAGAGCACATCCTTGTAGCGTCGTGGAGTAGGTGTTGCCGACACTTCCACTGATGAGAACGGCGCGGCGGACATGGTCATGAAGCTGGATTGCGAAGAACCGGGTTCAGTCTCAGAAGATGGCGGTGGGTGATCATCGTTACTAAAGTCTTCAAACTTTCTTTTCCCCGGAGACGTAGTCGACTTCGTGGCTGTCCGTGGCGTTTGACTTGGTGTGCTGGGAGAAAAGACGGGCTGCCTCATCGGGCCAGTGCTCCTCGTCATTATCTTCTCAACCTCATCATCCCAGTTATCATCCCAGTTATCGTCTTCATCAAGTGTGGATTGTTCGATTCTTCGCACTTTCGTGGGCGTCAGCGTGATTTCCTCGTTCTGGTGCGCGGATGCTTGCGTTCTCCGAGCGCCAGTGCCCGGCGTGAGAAGACCGCCAACCTGGGTGCTGGTATTATTATTCTTAGGAGGGCGTCTCATCGGGGTATGATGTTCGGATCGCGAATTCGCAAGTACTGTCTGCTTCTCTCGGACTTGGGCGTCGTCCTCCCAGAGGAAGAATTTGCATCCTTCAGATTGCGGTTTCTGGCATGTGTAGACTACCTCACCCCAGTTAGCCATATTCCCATTTCCAAAGAGAGATATTCAGCCCTACGTACACCATCTGCCACGGTTTACACCGGCCTTTTTTGTCTGAAAATGCTCCGCGGGCAGCCGTGGATCGCAGTCGCAATGCCACACGCCCTCGATAAATCGGCCACGCCATGACGACATGCGCCGGGGGGAGGCATGCCCACTCACTTCAAGACGGGGAAGAAGCGTCATGTCTTATCCCCTGTCCTGTATACTGGTTTCTTGCTTGCGGGTGATGTTGAGGGATCTGAGTGTTGCTGTCGCTATGGAAACTTAACTACGGTGAAGTCATTGAAAGCGGGACCCACCCCGGGCCCCGCCCATTCGATATAAAAATGTACGGGGTAAAATAAAGTACTACATTATAAAAGCGACAGTCAAATAGTCTACATTATCAAGCACAAAAATCAATCCTCCCACTCATAGTCCGGGATCTTGAACTTTTCGACGCCAGCAAATGCGCCGCCGAAGATCCTTTGGGAATGCTCCATGATTCTAGTCCAACTAACAAAAGCGAAAATGCTGTTTCTTATCCACAACCCCCAAGAAGTCTGCGGCGCGAGCACAGCAGTGAGAAATGGCGGGATCTTTTGTAGCTCATCAAGGATGGGACGCATGCGCTCCTCGTATGCCTTCAGTCCTGCCGACAAATCATGTTTGTGGTTACAAATCTCTCCGGCCAACACATAGGCGCCAGTGAGCGCAAGAGTTGTACCAGCACCCAGGGAGCCTGCGTACCCGGCGTCACCGACTAATGCGAATCGTCCCTTGTGCAGACTGGGTAATTTCACTTGCACAAACTCGCTGGCGTAGAGGTCTGGTGATTTCATCATCTCGTTGATGATCTCGTCGCATTTCCAACCTGCCCCGGTATACTGCTGTGCTATGAACTCCTTGAGCGCGATGCACCCATCGTTGTTTCCTTGCTTTTGAGCCTCACGGAATGACTGCATGACTTTAGAAGGGTCGGAGTTGCGCGGGTGAATATTCATAAACGTGACTTGATTGACGCCTGGTGATGGGTCCGGCCCAACTGCAGCGAAACGGCCTCCAACGGCGCTATACGATTCTCCCATTTTACTTCCTCGGAGAACATCCTTTTGTATAGAGAAGTAAGCCGCCCACCAGTTCAGGGGTTCGGTATAATCTCGCACTCCACACCCCAAACCTATAGCTCTGGTCCTCGAGCTGGCACCATCACAAGCAACGACAAGATCAAACTCTGCTGTTGGAAAGCCATTCGCAAACTCGACTGTAATCGGCCCGTTGCCGTCCTGTTGCTGCATCGAGACAACTTGTTCGCCAAAAACATAGGCAATATTCTCATTGTTCTTGGTCATGTCAAAGAGGATCTGCGCCAACTGGCCGCGGAAGATCTCGTACTCAGAAACAAGCGACTGCTGATCGGGATTACCCGTCGCTCTCATAGTCGCAACTGGTTCGCCATCAGCGCGCACAAAACTGAAGCCCTCCATTGGCGTAACCTTGGACCGCACGGCTGCTTCCATGCCCGGCATCTTGCGCATCACGGTGACACCGCTGGTGCGGATATCGACGTTTTGTCCATTGGTGCGTAGGTGTGGGAAGCGTTCGATGATGGTGACTCTTGCTCCGGCTTTGGCCAGCCAGTAAGCCGTCGTTGGGCCGGCGATGGATGCACCGACGACGAGGACTCTGATCATATTGGGCATTGTAAGCGATAAGTGTCTGCTCCTTGCAACGCATAATCAGGAGGCATCTTCGTTGTTTATATAGCTGGGATGGACCTCGAGAATGCGCGCTTAATTGGTCGATTGGCGTGAATATGAATATACAAAGGGCCCGAGAATGGCTGGCTCCTCATTGGTCCTCGGCCGTTGAGGCCCCGAGCCTGTGGCCAATCACAGTCCACGACGAACTTCATCAGTTTTGCATCAATTGATCCCAGAATGCCCAGTCTGTTCCATCGAGGTTGAAATCGTCGCCGAGACCAAACTCCAAGTCCTTAGAGAAACTCGCCAGTGATGTCTGTCCGGTATTCATACCATTCGCAGAGGACTGGCCCACTGTTGATATGACCTCTTCTCGACCCCGAGAGCCAACTTTTTGTACAGAACGCAAAGTGGCTATAAAGACAGGCTCCTCCACCAGCACACCGCTTGGTGGATGGCTATCCCACGCTTTCAAAGCGAGGCGTCCAAGCGCCACATACAACGCTCGTTTCGACTCTAGGAGCTCGTCATGGTTGCGGTACACTTGTTCCACTTTGGCCCATGCAACGTCAATTTCGGAAGGTGAGAGCATATCGCAACTCCTCCATAACCGCGTCAGGACAAAGACCAGGGAGTCCCACGTTCCCCACAAGAAAAATGGCCGGATATGCCATTGATATTTCCTTAAGCCTGCGTTAGCACGGGCTGCGGCATCGTTATCCAAAAGTTTCTGCGCAAGTTGCAACATGTTCCTACTCTCTTCAACAGTGGCGGTCCCATTTCTGAATTTGGGCAGCAGGAGGAACAGACGCATCGCGGTAATCCCTGATCTGACTGAGCACATCGCCAGGAAGTGAAGTGGATTGGTAACGTCACAGTATCGAATATATTTCTCCTCCACGTCGCTTTCAGCCTGACTAATGGCAAGCTCAGCTTCGTGATAGTCTTTGGGCTCTCCGCCATCCGACTTACCAGATTTGGCAAGGTATTTTCCGATGTATGCACGCGACAGACAGAAGATTAACTCAGTTGCTCCCGTTTGCTCTTTTGGGGTTGAGGTCATTCCGGGCCAAATCTGCTCATCATTAATGTTCAGGGGCGGTTTGGTGTTCCAGGCGTCTGGCGTAATTGGCATGACAGTGCCTGACATAACGCTAGCATTGCCGTCAAGTGGTAGTAGTTGATAATATACTCGTCGCCTCATCTGAACTTCAAACGGCGGTAGGCCCAGGGTTTCTCCGTCCCGGTGAAGCCCCATCTGCTGCGCTATGCGGACGGCAACTCCTGTTAGAATCCAGTATGTCTGCGAATCGTAGGAGAATCGGCAAGGTAGGAGGAAGAGGACGAGAGCTTGTAGAACCGGCATCTCAGAAGTTTTGAGGAAAGATGCATTGACAAGAGCTTGCCGCGTCGCGAAGTGGTATCGTTCTATCAATATGGCACGGGACGTCCCTACTTGCTTCATGCATTCTTCTTCCGTCATACTGAACACCGCAAAGTGATATATAGCAAATAGCAGACACTCATCGGCCCTTGACATATTTCCAGGATCCTGCGAAGCCCTGTCAAGCATCATGGCGGTTGATGGGATATGCAGGATTTTGCAGAGAGGCTCCACATTCTCGATGTGAATTTGCCATAGTGCCATGGCTGTCGTATGAGTAGGGTGATAGTGGAGGAGATTCTGTTGAGAACCTAAGAAAGCTCTTGTCAATGGATCTGGGATTGAGTAGCTGCCGCCGACTCCTGCCTGATCATCTTCTTCGCCGTCGAGCACGCCTTGCATCTCATGATCTCCAAAGTTGTGCCAGAAACGACTCTCTATGTATCTTGACCTGCCATTGCCGGCCAAAAGCCGGCCCGTTCTTGGCTCTTCAGGACGGTTCCGTTGCCCAGACACTGGCTCGCTGGGAGGTGCTTCTCGAATGGAGGTTGATGTGTCGGTATCATCCAACAGGCCGTGTTGGCGCAGAATATGCTCATATCGCGCGACTTTTTTCTCTAGGTCATCATCGTCCAGCTTTCTCTTTCGCCATCGCGGCTGCGGTGCTCGATAGGAGCACTCGAGCCGGCCCTTGCGGCAGCTGGAACATACTGGCGTCGCCTTGTCACATTTCACCTTTCGTCTCGAGCAGGGCTGGCACGTGTAGGGCATGGCAGGCTGGGCCGTGTCTCTCAATGCGCTGCCATCGCCATTGCTAGGCGCTGGGGCGATGGCCACCAGTCGGCCGCGTCTCGGATCACCGGCAGCGGCCATGGCTCATGAGCAATTGCAGCCATTCCGGCGTAAACTCCGCATCTTGATATGCGGCGTGTGACATCCCTCCGTGTGATGGTCCTCGAGTTGCTGCATCCAGCCCTTTGTAGTGCCTCCCTGTTCGGGTCTAGTGCGTAAGCCTTAGGCCTGAAACGGCTTTAGTCAAGTCTTGCACAGTCCAACCAACGTCTCGCAACCAAGAACTGGCGACAACGGAGGAGGGCATTGTTGTTATATGTATGCCGAGATTGCGCTGTCAGGCTGGGCGAGGGGTTTACTATCGCTATGCAGACTGCCTACGCTGTCACACATCAGTCACAGCCTCTTGGCTGACGACGCCCTGTTTGGTCACAAGCACAGGAGGGGAAAGAGTTTTCCAAGATTAATCTATATTGTCTTCGCAGGGTGAGTTGGTTTATTTCCTCTCTGTCAGGCACAACAACTGTGCTTTTACTGAAATTGCACCGTAAATACCACTTCGTAGATATGTATCTGCAAGTCAGTCTCGGCAAGACTCCCGAGCGCAGATCCTCCTCTTCTCCCGTTTCCCTTCAAGCCGGACTTTTCAGGCAGCACAATAACAAGAGGCGCGCGCTTATCTTATCCGGCCGCCGACGTCACCCCCTCCAAAAGGAATCCTGCGACGACGACGACCTGACAAAAAAAGAAACCCCCCCCCCCTCCCCAAAAAAAAAACAAATTTTAGCTGAAAACCGGTGCCACGCCTGCTTCCGGCTGAACTATTTCACGCTTCTGCCTTCTGTATATAGTTCTGTTTTGTCTTTGCTTTCCCAATTGCTTTTCAGTTCATAGAAACAGACATGCCAGGGCAGCTGGGCTTAGCTGCTGCAGACGCTGCCGGCCGACTCGTTCCATCCACAGACAACATCCTGACCGGAAAACAAGAGCATTGTGCGGTAGCCCTCAATCGGTGCTGTGGGACTCCAGACTAACTGTGCCAGACCTCAAGCGAGAGCTTCTAAGCGCCCAGGTCCGCCATGAAATCGTCGAGCTTGCCCATCCCACCGCCCTCCGCCGCTTCGGCGCGCCTTTCAAGTCGGAGTTTGGCGAAGTCGCCCCCGTGGACTCGGACTTGCCTATCCTACGATTTATCTTTGTCAACCATGTCCGCAATTTCCCTTTTCTCGACCAGGCCAACGAGAAGGAGTTCTGGCAGGATCGTTTGCAAGTGGTGCGTGCGGCGGACTCTGCTGACGTGGAAAATAAAACACACCCTGCTGATAAGAAGGAAATCTCTTTGTAGTTTCTCGAATCGTTCGCCAACAAAGCCATCTCGTCGTCTGAAGATCGCTTGGAAGAAACAAAGCGGAGAAAGCTTGCAAAAAAATGCGAAAAACTGGTCGAATTGATGATGGTTTCGGGGATTCCCACCGCGTCTGGATACGAAGAACGCATACGATTTTCAGAGATGGAGATTGTAGACCGTGGAGCCAACGAGCAAGGTCTCCTCGTGAACATGCCGGATGGCCAATCAATCAACAGTTGGGATGTGAATGTAGCGGGTGTCAGGACGACATCCGTGAAGCGCACTGTCCGCTACCATCAACACGCGGTAGGAAGCAATCTCGTCAGGCGTGTTGACGATCAGCTAACTGTGTTGTGTGCAGGAATTCATTCTCCGTGTTCGTAAAGCCGGACTGCCAGATATCTACGTGGGCCGAAGATATGGTGATTTTGTGAAACTCCATAAACGAATTCGGACCGAACTACCTGGGAAAATGCTCCCGCCTCTGCCTAGAAAAAACAAAAAGTCCACGACTACTTCGTTCTTTGGGGGCTGGGGCGACGATGATGCTTCTTCTGTATCTTCGTTATCAACGCAAGGCGGCACAGCTCCTGCGATTGCTGTTGGTGAGCAGCCTTCGGCCTCGAGATCCAGCTTAAAACTGGACATTTCTTCACATCACCGTTCAACATCCCGATCTTCTGCGGTGTCTACAAAGTCCACTACACCTCCCCCCCCTGCTAGTGACTTGCGTGAGACCGTGACTCTTTATCGGGAAGAGCAACGTGTATCGTTGAGAGCGTTCTTAAGGACAATACTGCAAAACCCGAGAGTGGCCGAATCCAAAGCCATGGAGGAGTTTTTGACGGCAAATCCTGTTGTCTTGAACGAGGAAGAACTACTTGATATTCAGCAAAGGAAAAACGCCGATGCCGCTCGCATTGAAGAGCAAGAGAAGTTTTACGAAATTGCTCGCCAGCGCGCCGCTGAGCTGGATGTGTATATGGAAAAGTTTCGTCAAAACATTGTCGAATCTAGTAAGCATTCCCTTATCCCACGACTTCTATACAGAAAAGAGCAAAAGAACTTGGCTAAGAATTTAGATGGCCTTACGAAGCTGTTTGCAGAGATCAAGGAGAAGGACAAAATCCAGGACCTGAGCCCCGAATACCAGAAGTTTGCTGAATGGCTTCGAATTGAGTATGTTGGTATTTGATTTTGCATATTGGCTACGAGTTTCTAACGGAATTCAGAGTCGCTGCCACGATATATCATCTCTTCCTGGCCGAGGACAACTCACCAGAACTCTTCGCGCAAGCCAAGAGGATACACTCGCTAATTCCTTATACCCTCTTGAAAAATGTCATCCGCATTGCCAACCCTGCAGCCGTCATGTCCGGCGTCCTTGATCTGTTCCTTGCTCAGCCATTTGGGTCCCGCTCACTGTTGCAGCGCATATTCTCCATGACTCTGCACGACGGCATCAAGTCATTCCAAAAACCCATTGACGGATTAGTTGCCAAAATTGACGACCACGCAATCTCAGATAAGCTGAAGGCGTTTGTCAATTCACCCGATTCTATCAAGACCGTCATTCGGGATGAAGCGCAATATGAAGATGTTGATATTGTCGTTGCGATTCTCAGATCCGAGTTGATAGCGCCTGAGATGAGCGCAGCGCAGATTGAAAAGATCTTCAATGCTTATGTGGCGTGGAATGCCGCCATCGAGGCTGAGAACGTATGTATTCAGGCAATGTTTTCACCTGCAGTAATTTTTCGCTGATTTTGTAACCTGACCAGGTGTACGAGGAGATGAGGCAGGGTGCCGAGTGGTTTGCTTATCTGAAACAGTTGCTCAAATTGTATACTCGCCAACGCGACAAGGCAATGATGTTGAATATGATCGAAGAGGTAGGTTTTACTTGTTTTTTGCCTCCTTTTCTTTTCTTTTCTTTTCTTTTTTTTCTTTTTTGGTCGTCCACTGCTGACTTTGAGACCAGCCCGTGACTTTGAAACTCTTCCGAGACTTGTTCACCATATTCTATGAACCTTTGGTCCGCGTTTACAAGTCAGCCAATGTATACAACAGCATAACTGACTTTGCCAAATTTGCTGAGGATGCCATTCGGGTGATTGAAAAGGCTCAACGGCAGGATGTCTCAGCAGACCCTAATCAGACAGTGCAAGCATTTATTGATCTCTGTGCACGCCACGAGCACAACTTCTACAAATTCGTGCACGAGGTTCACTTACATGACAATGGTCTCTTCGGGTCCCTGATGGCCTGGATTGAGAATATCTTGGATTTCCTCCGAAAAGGGCCGCGCAGTGGGTTTAAATTGGACATGAATGCGCTGTTCCAAGGAGCAGTGTCCAGCAAGCAGATCAATAAGGAAGCAGCCATCAAAGAAATAGACGGCCTCGTCCAGTGGCAGGAGGACAGGAAGAAATGGCACCACAGCAAGACGAGACAGAAAATGGCAGCTGAGGGAGAAGCACCGGGCGCTCTGTCCTTCCGAACGACCGATTTTGGTCTTGACGAGGCTGACCTGGAGGATCTGGCCATTGCCGATGAGGAGTCGGGTGAAGACGACGAGAATAGCGATGATGACGATCTAGATCCTATCCTAGCAGAGCGCAAGCGGCGTGCTAGGAGACAAGACCATCTACGACGGTCGGCTGGCGAGCCAGTCAAGCCTGATGTGACAGAGGTGTACAAGATGCAAGACTCGTTTGGGATGATGCTGCGACAGGTTTTGGCGGACTGAGGGTATAAGCCAGGTCTCTGGAATCATATTACTAGAGAATAGAATTATTTGTATTGTCTCTGTGCCTAGTTGATTATTAATAGCAAAACTCTCTTAAATCTCGCTGCTCAAACTACAACTTCGCTTTCATATTCACATGCACGCTCTTCACCTGACTGTACGCCTTCAAACCCTCCTCTCCAAGCTCCCTGCCAATGCCACTGCCCTTGACGCCACCAAAAGGAATTCGCCAGTCCGAATCATTACTCGAGTTAATCCACACCATACCGGCCTCAATCCTCCGCGCTACCCTGTGCGCTCGCACCAAGTCCGTGGTGAACAGTGCACTACCCAATCCATACGTCGTCTCATTGGCCATGCGAATAGCATCTTCCTCCGTCGAGAAACGCGCCAACACAACAAAGGGCCCAAAGACTTCTTCCTGATAAATACGCATCTGGCTCGACACATCCGTGAATACGGTAGGTTCGACAAAGAACCCCTTCCCTTCCTTCTTCGAGGCGGGCTGTCCGCCCAATGCAAGCGTGGCACCCTCCGATTTCCCAATTTCAGCGTACGACAGGACTCTGTCGTATTGAGCCTTGGTGACTTGCGGGCCTTGGAAGGTGGATTCCTCGAATGGATCGCCGACTTTGCTGATCTGTTTCACCTGCTCTTTGAATTTGGCCAGGAAGCGGTCGTAGACCTCGTCTTGCACCAGGATGCGGGATGTCGCAGTGCAGATCTGGCCCTGGTTGGACATAATCCCGATATGCGCCCATTCGACGGCCTGCTCGAGGTCGGCGTCGTTGAAGACGATGAGCGGACTCTTGCCGCCTGTTTCCAGCGTGATGTTTTTCAGGTTGCTGGCGGCCATTTTCATGATGTCGCGCGCCGTGGCGGTGCTGCCTGTGAACGCGATCTTGTCGACGTCTGGGTGCGAGGCGAGTGCGGCGCCGGCGATGCGACCGTGGCCGTTGACGATGTTCACGACGCCCGCGGGGAAGCCCGCTTCGATGATGAGGTTGGCAAAGTACAGGACTGAGAGTGGTGTTTGCTCAGCGGGCTTGAGGACAACGGTGTTTCCACATGCTAATGCCGGACCGAGTTTCCACGCTGCCATTGAAAGGGGGTAGTTCCATCTAAGAAAAAAGAAATCAGTTTTCAAATCCTCGACAACATGACATACGAGGGAAGGGAAAAAAAAAAAACTAACGGAATAATCTGCCCGCAAACCCCAACCGGCTCGCGTATCGTATACGCAAATTTGTCCGGCGTGGTCTCAATTACCTGGCCAAAGACCTTATCCGCCCAGCCGGCGTAGTAGCGCAGCGTCTCGGCGACTTCAACGAGGTCTTCATCTCGGGCGACTGTGAACGGCTTGCCATTGTCCCATGTCTCGATGGTGGCGAGCGTGATGCGGTGTGCTTCGACCAAGTCTGCCAGTCGGTAGAGCAGTTTTCCGCGCTCCGAGGCGCCGAGGTCGCGCCACGAGGGCGCATGGAGAGCTGCGCGCGCGGCGGCGACGGCTTTGTCGATGTCGGAGGATGAGGCGGCTTGCACGGAGATGATTTCTGATTCGTTTCTGTTGTCTATCCTTTTAGTTTAGACGTGTGAGAACGGAGTAGAGAGTCAACGTACGTCGGGTTGATGGAGGCGATTGTCTTGCCGTCGGACGACGGCACCCATTCGTTGTTGATGAAGAGGCCTGTAGGCTGGACGTATGTGTGTCCATTGGGAGCAGTGAGCTGCGACTGCAGAGCTGTCGAAGCCATTTTTCTTTTTCTTTTTCTTTTTCTCTTTCTTTTTGTATGTTCTATTTACCTGGGTACCTCGGTAATCGGAGGAGATTATGACAATAGTACAGCAGGAAGAAGGGCAGAGCAGAGAAGCAGCAAGGGAACGGATGGTTTCTCCGCACGAGTCCTAGTTACATACGAAGTCCAACTGCATGCTGCTGGATATGCAGAGGAATGTGTAACTCTGTCTGTTTATCATGTAGTTCTTCTATCTATCAGTGGATCGCGCATGGACTTGCCGTTTTGGACTAGCGTCTCGCTGCTATAAGCTTAAGCTTATCGTTAATCGTTTTAACTATGCCTCAGATAGGTAACTAATGCTCCACAGAGGCATCAATCACCAAAAAAAAGAAAAGGAACAAATTACATGTCTGAGAATGCGCAGCTGTTACGACCGTCACCGACAGCAAGTATGATTGGCGCCAATCGCCGATATGTATGTACATATGGATCAAGCCTTTCTATTCAAGAAGTTTGTATGAGGATATCCCTCCAGTCCATGCCTTGCAAACGCTGCTCCGTGGAGCGCAGAGACTCCTGCACTCCGAGCTCGGCAGGCGTTATGATGGCAGGCACCGAGATAGCATCGCGCTGAACCTCGTTGAAATACCGAAACATGAGCCCAACCTCTGTCCCAGCGATACCCCAGACAGCCTCGTAGGACTCCAAGGTCGTCTCGGCAAAAGTCACGTTATCCTTCAGTGCTTTGGACAGTGCCAATGCCCAGTCTGTGCAGGACAAGTACTCGGACGCTCCCAAGACAGACTTGCCGAGCGTCTTTTCTGGTTGGGAAAGGATAGCCTGCACTATCAGGCCAACGTTGACGGACTCGTCTCCCACAAACGGGATCAAAGCATTGGGAGAGCATGGCAGAGTTATGACATATTTCTGGGCTCCTTTCTACCGAATAGTTAGAAGTTAGAAGGGCGGTTTTACTCGGACCCATCGCACTATACAACTCACCACGTAAACTGGGAGATAGGGCCACCTTTCTGCATTTGATCCATACAACCCGACATGCAGGTAGGTTGTCTTGTCAGCTAGGCCATTGTCCGGGTTTCGCAGATACTGTTCCGCTGGGATTTTCGCTTGAAAATGCGGTATATTGTACTTCCCCTGACTGACACCGAATGCATCTGGAAGGGTGGACCATATCAGATGCTGCAGCGACGGGATCTTCGATGCAGCCTCAGCAATATTCAACCCGTGTCTCGCTTCCAGTGCCTGTGCCGCAGCTGGCCCTTGGCTGGCAAAAGTGTCCGGTCGGAAGACGGTCTGGGCGAAAATGAAAGATGCGCCGTGAAAGGCAGCGACAACGCTTTCGAGCGAACTGAGATCGACTCCGACAACTGTTACTCGCGAGTTCTTCGCGGCTAGACGGACGGCGGCATCGCAGGATGGATCGGAAGTTAGGGCTCGGATCTGGTAGTCGCTGGATTGGAGGTACGCCGACACCACGCTGGCTCCTTGTGCGCCCAGGGCACTGACTACAACGATGAGAGGTGTCGAGGGCGTGAATGACATTGTTATATTCGTCGTAGCTTCAAGAAATTTTCTGCTTCGAATGAATCTTCAGTTATCCTAGACGGTATTTTATGTGCAGTCAGAAATGTAACATGATTTGCAATAGTTAAACTCTCACCCAATGAATACGACACAATCCACCTCTCGAAATCTAAATGTGCTAAATACGGCATAACGTCGCAATCGTTTCGTCCGATAATGGATCCTGACCGGACGAAAACGAGCAGTTGTTTTGCAGGATAGAACAGTATACTCAATGATGCGATATTGAATCCGGAACTCGCAAACTTAATATCCCTAATCACGTAACTGAACTCTATAAGGCTAAATACAGCACGAGGTACGGTGTAGGGCAGTCTGATATAGAATTTATATATATACACAGTTCCGATCAGGCAAATCAAACTAGAAACGAATCAGGCTAGACTTCCCGCGATACCACGCTTTTTGGACATGTTTTGGACCAATAAGACATCTGGTTCATTCTAGGTACTCGCCATAACAAGTTAGGCAGCAGTATTATTTTCAAAAATAATTGAAAATTGTAGAGGAAATTAGCGTGCAGTGATAGGCCCGATAGATAAACTGATAGGAACAGTCACTTCTTACTCGGATTCGTTGAAAGATGCTGAATACAGAATCCGTGGATTTTTTTTTTTATTTAAGATAGATATGTAACTCACAAGTTTCTTCGAGAAATCTGTAATTTATTTATCACAAACGTACATACTCCTGCAAGCACCGTGCAAAAGATTATGAACCGCCAACCCACCAAGCTCTCCGAGTTCACTTCTGACAGCGTGGATGTGGATGACGGCGACCTCCATAAGATCTTTAATCTACCCGCAGAACATGTGGTCCAGACGCTGAGCAACCAATATATCCGAAGCGATGTGTTGGCGAAGTTCTTGGATAGCAGGTTTGAGAGTGGGAAATGGGGGCTGGTGGTGATTCTCTTCCAACTTCCAACTTCGAATTTTGTGATCAAAACTAAACTTACTATAAAGACTCGTCTCTCCTACCACGTCATTATCGTTCCAAACCCAATCGAAAGTTTTGAAATCACAGCGCTGATGCGCAAAAGCAGCAAAGCGACGGTACAAGAACCACAAGGCTGAGTGAACGGGCTGGTTCAAGTTTATGGGTTAGTTATGTGTATAGCCTTGTTTGACTACTGGGGCATTGTTACCAATGAGATTCCTTGCCTTCTTCCCGGCTTTCTTTTCTTTTCTTTTTTTTTTCTTTCCCTGTAGGTGCCCTTGTAGCAGGCTGAGTGGCAGTGTTGCCGCCTTGAGCAGTGCAGAAATCTGCCTTTTGGCGCAGCAATCACTCTGTTCTAGATAATCAATAAAAAGTTCTACGTCGTCCCTCGACAGACTGAAATTAATTAATTTCCTACATCTCGAAACAAAAGCAATGGTAATCTCTTCACAGCGACAATGGCCAACAAATGCCGGCCACAACCTCTATGCTGCACCAGCCGCATCTATGACAGCAGCATTCAGTGCCGAAAAGAAACGCATATTTATCAGAGACGAGGGAGACCAGGATTCAGAGAATATCTCGGTTGTTCAAGTCGAACCTAATACACCAGTGCGAATCGTCAGTCTGGAGAATACAGAGGCTGCAGTTGTGGCCTATTTGAAACAGCAACAGCAACAAGAACAAGAACCATCATCCCGGCCAGCACATGCAAAAGCTATAAGCACCACCATAATCCTCATCCACCAAAGTTTCAGCTGGGCGGAGCTGGACATCACTGCTCCGGCAGCGCAAGCCCTGTTTACCCATTTCGGCATCTCGCCTGGTTTTTGGCACGTGGTCAAAAAGTTTGGAAGCAAGGTATCGAATGATCAAGACATCGGCGGCGGATTCAACGAGCTTGTACTCCCAGCAGCTTCAGACGCGCGCACAAGCGAGTCCAGCTCCGAAATCTCTTTCGAGATCTCATACACGGCCAAGCATGCTGAAGAACACTTTCGTCCGGAACGAGCCAGCTACGATCCATGGAGTATTCGACAAATTGGTGTTGAGCATCGATACGATCCAGCCACGGACGCCAATATATTTGTGATTCTAAATCCGAGTAGGACGTTGGTCCAGCGGATCAATGCGCTCGGCTCAGATACTCAGACGCTGGATGTCCATCGTCTCGTCCTCGGTGCTGTCACGGAACGGTGGGGAGAGTATCTGGCTCACTTGGAGTCTGTTTGTAAGGAGATTGTAAGCAATAATGTGTTCATTTATTTATCAAGACAGGTGGGCATATAATAACGAAGACTACAACTAGAGTGCCAAAGCCGTTCTAGCCAGAACCCCCCAACGACTGCCGGATTGCGGTTTCGACGTCCATTTTTCGGACGCGCAGACCATTAGCGATATCCGCGACAGGATTCTTCGCGCCTCGCACATGCTTGATCTGAATCTCAGCATCTTCGAGAACCTCCTGACGGCTATCTCTCACATAGATCCGACCCGGGATAGGCCAAACAGGGTCCATTCCAGTCTCTCGAGTCTGTCGAGTCAGACGAAACGGTGGAAATCTCAGACTGAGAATTTATTACAGAGGTTGGATGGCAGTGCTGCGCTTGTAGGTCTCCACTTAGAGCTGCGAGAATCAAAATAGGATCGTGTTGTATACTTACTGAAAGTGTCTACCAGGTGCGAAGCATTCTCGATTCGAAAGCCCTCGCCACGCTTCAAACTAGCAGCGCCCTTTCAGCAGAACTGGCAGCTTTAGCGCGTGCTGATGCGTTAACAACGAAGAAGGATGCGAGGACGTTGAGTATCATTACTGTCTTGGGATTTCTATACCTGCCAGCCAGTTTTGTTGCAGTAAAATCTTCCTTCTTGCAGATATCTGGTTCTACGAACTGAACTCGGCTGATCTAATTCATTCTTTTCTAGAGTCTTCTGGGTACGCAATACATCAATATCAACCACAACGGAGATGGCAAAATGTCGATTACTGTTGCACCGGAAATGGTTATTTTTGCAGTCTTGACACTTATTCTGCTTGGATTGACGTATGGTGGTTGGCTGATATGGGATCAACATCTTCAACGTGCCGATCGAGCAGAGGAAGAAAAAGATTCGGAGAAGAAGGTCTAATGGGGCTTCTTGGATCGCTAGTTACTGATGAAATATAATAAATACAGCAAGAGCAGTTGTATGCGAAATCACTTTGTTAAAAAAAAAAAGAAGAAGAAGAAGAAGAAGAACATCCAGGGGCACTTCAATCACAGTAAAATAGACCGTTTGAGAATGAGTATACTAATGGTTCCATCTCAGTTACCTGGTAATCCAGTTTTTCAATTTCGAAAGGCCAAAACTAATATTTTTCAGCAGATAATTCAATTTTCCATGAGTCTAGAAAAGCAAAAGACAAGTCAGCATCGCTCCAGACGATAATGTGCGTGCAACTTACCTTATAAATTACCACTCTCGTATTTCCTTCTACCATGGCTTGCATTAACGCAGCCCGATCCTGTTCTTCAACGGGCTTCCTACTCTTCTTCACGATGCGAACTTCCAGCATACTATTTTCATTGGATCTTCGCGCCATTATCCAGAGAATGTACCAGTATATAAACCCGAGGAGGAAGAGACCCCCAAAGATAGGAGGCCACAGCCACGGTGGAGGACTTCCAGAGGACCTTGCACCTTCGACCAGGACCATAAGGTTTATGCCCATAAACACCAATGTGCAGGCATACCGGAGATATCTGTTCTCTAGGACTATAGGATTCCATTTCGGTGCCGGATCGAGTATATCTCGTCGGGCTGTGTCGGCTTCGAACGTATGGCGTATCCAAAAGAAGGCGAAGCCAGTGAAAACTGCGTTCCGGAGCGTATTAGCTTTTTTGGCCAAGGAAATCCATTCAACAAATTTGATGAGAAGAGAACGTACATCCTATAATGAGCTGCCCATAAATGAAGGCGCCAATGATAAATCCGTAGCCGCCAGTGGTGTTTGGAGTGGCGCCAATCCATATCACCGTGACCACCCAGTGTAGAATCAAGGCACCTAGAGGCGTTCCGAAGTGTTTATCTGCACTTGCAAAATATTTGTAGAAGGGCATAAAGCATTGTCGTGCGATTTGTTGTTTGACTATTGAAAGTTAAGCGCCGGACTGAAGATTGTAAACAACAAGAAGAACAAACCTTTGACGGAGGTATAGACCACGGCAATCACATTGCCTAAGGCCGAGAGGGCAATGCAAATTTTGAATCCTTGGGCCCCAGATGTACCGCCGAAAGCCTCCAAGTAGATCAATCAGCCAGTCAGCCAGTCAGTGGAGTTTGGACGATATTCTTACCGTTGGAGCAAAGTTGAGCACTATGTCCAGATCTGTGTTTGTTTGTGTCAGGTCGTCAAAGGGACATACCAGATCCTATTGAATGTCAATGTTACTAATTTGTCAGAGGGCGCTGGTAGAATTCTTATACTGACATATATCACAGTCACCAGGGTATAAAGCAAGGTAGTAGTGGCAATACCCAAAAATGCACCCCATTTTAGGGCAGACTTCTTGACATTCAACTCTCCGCCGACCTGCTCCAGGAATCCTAAAATCAGTGATTGGCCAAAAAAAAAATGGGAGGCAGCAGTGATACAGACATAGTTCGCATTTTCCCATCCTTGATAAGAATATATAACATATACTAGAGCGGCGAGAACATTCGAAGGACCACCTTGACTACCCCAACTCCAGGACCCCTTGCTCTTGTCCACCCGAGTGCTGGCGATGCCACCGCAGATAATGGTCACAATGAGCAGGGCGATTTTGAAGACCACAAAGAAAATATTGAGGAAGAGGCCGGAGTTTCGCGAGAAGTAGTGTATGAAGCAGACCCCAGTCAGCCCGACAATTGCTATAAAGGATATCAGTCGCTGGTCCAACCGTTGGGTGTCTTCGAAGTCAGCGTTTGCAGCGAGTAAGATTAGCTTGGCAAACTGAATCGCGTTACCAGCGGTGTTGGGCGTGACGAGAAAGAACGACGAATAGAGGATGGTTGCTAGAAGCTCTGGTGTCTTGAACACCTCATCCAACTAGGACCTGTCAGCAAGCACCGGACAGTGAACCGACGAGAGCCGACTTACATAGATAAGTTCCCCTCCATTGAAGGGAAAGGCCGATCCAAACTCGACATAGATGAGAACACTGCACGAGAAGTAGTGAGAAGGGTGGAGGTCGTTCACGAGTCTCTCTAGGAACCTACTACCTACCTGAGAAAAGACCAGAGGCCACCACAAAACCACAACACTGTGCCTATCGTTTTGCTCTGGGTGAGATGTAGCACGAGGCCAGGGGTTGTAAATATGCCAGCTCCGATTTGCTTGTTAATGATCAGTGCCGCGACATCGAAGACTCCCAAGTCTCGTCTCAGGATGACAGTAATCTCCGTCGGCGCCACGGAGCGTTGGTCGTCATCACGGTACCTACAGGTGCATTCATTTCTACAGCAACCGTGAATGGGTCGGACATCCTCAGGCGCCATGTCCGTGTCCGTGTCCATGTCTCTGAGCCGAAGAGCTGGCTCGTTGGAGGTAGGGCTGTGCCACATATTCAATGCCATGCTTCGGGTCGTTATGATGGCTGATTGATGGTTGTTGAACACCAGGATGCTCAGCATAGCTTTAAGAAGACGGATGATGCTGCCTACAAGGCCTAGGTTTTTGGACAAGGCTGTGCACAGCTGTGGCTGTCTTGGACTAGGGGAGGATCGGATAGCGAGGCGCATGATTATACTTCTTATCAGTTCATACGAGTGTTGCGATTTTCCCATTGGCTTAGATATGCCTGTATAAAACAATGGCCTTGTTTTTTTCTCAGCCTCGTGCGAGTGAGTCGGAGATATCAGCCTCATTCCAGTCCAGCCTTGTGTGCCGGCAGCGAGGCTGGTCGCCCGGCACAATCGTACAAAAGCAATGCGCACGTCGGACAGATCTCAGACGAACATCAAAAATCGGCAGTTCCGCAGGAGATGGCGCTGCTAACACGATCGATATGCCAGGACACAAAAGTTCGGCATTTCGCACGACGCATTGAGGAAGTGGCCGTTCCCAACGTGCCCGGCGTGTCCAGCGCAAAGAGGTTCTATCCTATCATCTCACTGCGAGAGATCTTCTCCAACGACGAAGTCCAGAGTATCCTCAATCACCGGTGCGACGAGTGCAAGAAGCACTTGAGCGGCGACAATGCAGCTTCTCTCGACCGATCTTCTGCTGATAAGATCATGAGGAGTGACGCCGCATTGAGTCTGTTCGCGCTGCTGATATGCCTGGGATACCCGTTGTTAATTGGGTGCTTCTTGACCTTCTATGGCCGGTCCATCCGAGAGCCTCGACTTTATTCTCAGTCTGATCTTCGTGACACGGTTTTCAAGTTCCTGCCCGAAAGGCTGAGGGAGGAAGTCACGATGTGGTTTCAGCAATGGAAATGGCAATTCTCTCCACCGTCGTTTGAGGACGGATCCTACCAGTTGTACCAGCAAGGCACCATCCTGCCCTACTTGAAAGAGGCAAAAATCGGACCGGGAGGCTTCAGCGATGTGTACAGAGTTGATATTCACCCGTCGTACTGTAAGCTCGAACACCACCAGGTGAGCTGGCTGACCTTTCATCAGACTCTCCGCGGATATTTTAGTGACAACCAACGAGTTTAGCGCACAAGAAGTACAGCTTTTGCCCGGAAGGAATTCCGGAGCCATGACACGATCGCTTTCATCAAGGAAAGGACGAATCTGCAGCGAATAGCAGAACTTAAGTCACAGCATCTCGTCCAGATCCAGAAAACGTACCTGCTAGAGGACAAATTCAACATCCTGTTCCCACTGGCCAAGACGAATTTATACAAGTACTTGCGCGAGAGCGTCTGGAGGGCGCCTTGCCCTGCGAACATCAGCAAAAACCCCTTGTGGGAACAAGTGCTCGGCATCACTATCGCGCTCAAGAAGATCATTCACTTCATCGATCCCAGGGAGCCTGGGAAGGTGCTATTCGGATACCACCTAGACCTCAAGGGGGAGAATATCCTGGTCGACTCGTCGACTACCTCGGCTGACATCCTGAAAATTACCGATTTCGGACAGACCGAATTTCTTGATCCCAGCCTCCAAACTACCAATGCAACGCCTGGCTTTGGTGGCACCGAAGCTTACGCTCCTCCCGAGTACACACTACATCGCCCGGATAGTGTGTACGATATCTGGTCCCTCGGTATCATCGTGCTTGAAATCCTTGCTTATGCAGCAATGGGTACCAGGGGCTTGGTTGACAGGGAGGTCGGTCTGGATTGGGTTAGATATACAATAACCGGGTCTCAAGGGGACTCTAGGTTTTATATTGGCAGAGGGGAGAGTGCGCAAATCAAGCCTGCCATAGTGAGATGGATGGCTGAGCTGGAAGAGATGCAAGACGCAACAAATCGACGGTTTGTCAAGCAAGTGCTGGAGCTGATAAGGCGGATGCTTGAACCGCGGAGGAGAAATCGCATTACCATCGATGAACTGGTGTCAGAGATGACCACCATCTTTAATGTGACGCCTTCTGAGGTCCCCGAAATCTCTATCGAATCCTTAGGGTTGGAGGCCGATGAGGTGGTTCTAGTAAGTCTTAGGTATGTATGTTGCGTTAAGACATAACCGCAGGGTTCAACGCTCACTGGTCCAGAAATGTACAATTCTCTCCACGAGCCGATCCAAGTCCAAACAATAGGGCCGAGAAGTTTTTTGTTCCGTTTATTATGGTTGAGAATAGGAGTCATCGCCTCCGAACTTGGGTTGGAATGCCTCCACCGATTCTACCTGCATGCGGTGAGGGTTAGAATGAGTATATTCTATAGAATTAGCTGACATCTTTGGCACCAGACAGACGACAAGACATGCAGTTGAGTCTTCCCTTTCGTCATGTCGTCGAACCTCCAACAGGGGCATTTGCAATGTCATTTTCCGCGCTGGAAAAGGACCATCCCGTTGCGCTGGACAGGGGATCAATTAGTGTCAACGATAGAGCTGGTGAGGAACTAGTACTTGATGCTCAAAACAGGGGAAACAGCAGGCGAGCTTCAACTAAGATCATATAGCTGTCAGGCTCTTGCAAATGGCATTAACCGGCCATACCGTTTCGAAAACGACTTATTCATTGGAAGAAGGGTTTGAGTTGAAACGGCGTAAATCGATGAGCCTCAAAGTTAAGGGCCTTTTCTCCCATGGCCCCGACGAGTCAGTGAAACCCCCCAGGGCTCTGTGGCTGGAGCTGTGGGTAGAAGAACACACCAAACTCCCCAACCCGGACATACCAAATGGTGCCGCTTCTCCCGATCCGGGACGTCGTATCAACCGAGAGCCCGATCTAGGAAAGAAAACGCCTTTGGGAAGAGTGGTGGTCTACTGTGAAGATCGGATTTTCATCGTGCCATGTACGCTGGTAGCACTCCTCATTCTGTCTGTGTGGGAACTGGTGTAGCAAGTCGTTTTTCGCTTTGGGAGGACCCTGGGTTCCGTCGTGACTGACTTTTTTTTTTTTCCAGTTGCTCCAGAATGGCGAATCAAAAGCGAAGAAGATATCAAAAGGCGTGGGCAACGCGAGCTTATTCTGCATCCCATGGACAAAAGTCAAAGGGATGTCTTCAACGTCTCAGAAATATTGGGGAACAACAACACGCATCCTGCTATTCCCATGTCGCATGACTCATTACGAAGAGTTGAGAAATGCACCCGCTTTTCGTGTGAGGAGATGAAGTTGAAATTCCAAAATGCCAATGGTATGTTTTGCACCTGTTTCACTAACACTCCTTCCTTCGCTAACAGAGCGGGGGGGGCCACCAGATGCATTTGATTTCTACAACCTATATAAAAGAGAGAAAACCATTTGGCAGGACCGGAGCATGGGCAAGAAACCAACTACTACGAGCTTGATGCCGACGGATTACCCGGTCATGCATTAACGCAGCACATGTTGACCAAGCTGCCGCCCTTTTTGCGAGGCAGTTCGTATCTAATCTGTTATTAATCTACAAGTTTGTCAATCTCCTGGTTGTCTCTCATTTTGTCTGTCGCAGGAGCTTTAGCCCTAATCAGCGGCTCCGAATCTGGGAATAGCCTCACGCCGGAGCCCTATTAGGAAAAGCGCCCAGAGTGCATATGGAAAATCTCTTCTTGAAAAGCCTTGTATCTACTACTTCTTCTTCCTTTCCTTGCCATGCTAAGTCTCCTGTCGAAATGTACCATAGCTTAATGAAATTTGATCGGCACAGTCACATCATTGACATCTTGTGCCTGTAGCAGAGGATTGCCTTTGTTCGGTATTAGAAATAGGATGCGAAGGCATAGGTAGGCTCAGGAATATATATATATATATATATATATATATAATAAAAATTTGGCTTGCAATAGCATTAATAATGATTGGCGCAATCCGAAATTCTAGCCCTAACTTGTCTGCTTCCGGACAGAAACCACCCCGAAATTCTGCGCCCCCGTGGAAAATGAAGAATCAGCTTTATGCAGCCCCCGAAATTTCGTCTTGTTCTCTGTAAGACCATACTATGCTGGACTGTCCTGAAGCACAAGTGGGAGGATTTGCAAGAGTGTCTTCAAGCAGTTGCTTAACAATCAGCTCCATCCATAAAACATCGCCGCACTCCTCACGCCAGACCTCTAACACGGACATTCCACGGCGAATCAACGAGACCCAGTTTTTGTCACAAACAAATCTGCCGCTGCGGATTGCTGCTAATATACTGAGACAGGCCTTGAAAGTAGAACGGACCATGAACCAGGTGCCGCCGTGACGCCAGGCGTTTGTCGAGCTATGCCTGTCGAGAGTCTGGGCGCTGAGGTCAAGAGCTTTGAGGGATTGACGGCTTGCTTCTGTCCACATGGGATTATCGGAAGAGGCGTGGATGTTAAAGTACAGACAAGGATGAAGAAGCCGAAGTTTGATGAGTCGAAGCCTTGCGTATAGGATACTTGCAAGCTCGGCGCTGGCCACTTTCGCCCCAGCGTGCCATTTTATGGTGTCCGGTAGATGATCGTACCTTATTCTACAAGTTAGTGCGAGTCAAGAAGGTAGACATGTTTTTGACTGTACCAAGCATCAATTTCTTCCTCCAACGAGTTTACTTGTTTAATCACATATTGAATATCTGTAATCCACCAATCTTCGCCGTGGCTATAGAGGGCGCGTCGCATTTGCATCGATGTCCTCAGCGCTGATATTTCTGCAAGATAGTAGAACCAGCCCACATTGGCCGTTTCGCTGATCTCTGAATCGATCTCCGGCGAGGGAGACAGCACCATGTCAGGAAGTGACGGGAAAAGACCGAGTGACTTAAATTTGACAAGTTCGCACTGGGGAAGTGGTACTTCACCATCAATATCGCTAGCGCTTTGTCAATAGGGGGAAAGAGAAACCCAGTGACAAGTTAACAACATACCCATGGGAACGTATACATGAGTAATATAGTCTTTCCAACAATTTCAAATCATGGGCCTGCATGGCTATTTGACGGAGGAGAAGGGTCCCCGTAATAGTGCTGGCTTGTTGGTAATGGCTCCATGCTTCCATTACTCGAAAGGAGCACATCTCGTAAATGGCAGTGAGATAACGACATTGCGCAGCAACTAGAGACAGATCTAATAGGCCAAGCCGTTTTCTGGCTGCTCTGAAGTATGATTTTGATATAGTTCTGTTCGAAGGAAAGGAGCCGTTTTCATTCCTGTCGTCGTATGCGGTGACTAATGTTGCTAGGGCACATGCGAGAAGCTATAGTTACAAGAGAAGGTATTCTGTTGGTCTTGAAAGTATTCGAGAGATGATCCTGCAACTTACTACTAAACATGATTCCCCAGTCCAGTCGAACCCAACCTCGGCAATGCCGCGGGCTTGCTTTAAAAGTGTCTGTTCGTCTAGGATGGGGTTTTTAATGTGCACAAGGGTCAGATATCTTTTCACCAGTTGTACAGCATAGGACTCCTCGGCGCCACTGGAAAAGGTTGCGCCACCGTTCCGGACGGAGGGATCATGGGAATAGCCCCTTATATCGTCGAGCGTAGAGTCCGGCTGAGCAAGCCATAACAAGCTCCTTGTCTTGGCCGGAACATAGCCTCGTAAGCAAGGCCAATCCAGCATCAACTCAGAGCGCGTTCCTCCTTCCGGTCTCAGAACCTCGTGCGAGCATGGCTCTTCCACGTCTGCCTCATTGGTCTGAACTTCCGGGGTGTGAGATTGTCCCTGTTGCTCGAGCAATTGGACGGCATAATCTATCCGCGCCAGCAATTGGCTAGGGGAAGGCTCCGGTGTTCTGCGTGGAGATTTGCTTTCGTTAGGGGGGAGAAACAAGAAGAGATAACAGCTGCTTACAGAGTTGTCCCATTCGAGCCCACAGTATAGCTACATACCACCCCGGATTCTACGCAGACGCTGCATGAGGGCCGCCCATTGTCGCATCGAGTCTTCCTCGCCCGGCACAACTCGCAGGCCACGGCCGTTCTCTTGCGAGGATATGACTTTGCCGGGCGTAGTCTCTGTCTTTTCCGAGAGGAAGAAGCTGAACTGTCAGACATCGTGAATGGGGCATTGTCTGCTGCCGGGGATACACGGGGATAGAGCGCTATTTGTACCCGTCGTTTCGATCGCATCATTTCTCTCCACCATCCCGACTTGCGCGATTATGGAATACAATACCAGCACAGAGGCCTACACCATTGCACCCTGGTTCCTATCATTGCTGAATAGCTTGCCCTACGTCGGCTTTGCATTCGGGCTCGTGTCCGGCACCTACATCTCTCGGTATTATGGCCGTCGCACTTGCATGTTTGTCATGTGTATCTGGGCCTTGATCGGGGCGACCCTGGTAGTGAGCGCGAAGGATAGGGCGCAGCTTGTCGTAGGCCGTGTGCTTGCTTATATTTATATCGGATCGGAGCTTGCTGTGGTGCCTATCTTTCAGTCCGAGCTGGTGCCGGCGAGGGTGCGTGGGTTTGTAGTCGGCACGTATCAATTAAGCTTGACGGTACGTTTTTTTTTCCCTTTCTTTCTCTCCAGTCTTTCTATACCTGGAGCTGTAGCTAGGAATAATGGACTCATCAGTACCTCAGCTAGGTCAACTGTTTGCGTCGTTGATATGCCGCCGAACAAGCACATTCAATGGCAATGCATCTTGGAGACTCCCATTCGGCTTGTTCTACATCATCCCGAGCACCTTGCTTATTCTATTATGGTTTGTGCCTGAGGTATGCATACACACGCTTCCTTTTTTTTTTTTTTTTTTTGTACATCAAGTCTGTACTAATGCACCGGTCAGTCTCCCCGATGGTACTTGATCCAGGGCCGCTCCGACGAAGCCCTGCATTCCCTTCAGAGGCTTCGCCGCGGCCGTTTCGCAGAAGAGGAAATCCAGGCCGAGTGGCGAGAGCATCCATGAGCATTACTGTTGATCGCGGTCGGTTTGTGGAAGTCTTCAAAGGAGTAAATCTTGGCCGCACGTTGATTACTGTTGGAACCAACGTATTTCTACAAATAACGGGGCAGAACTTTGTTTCAAACTATGGAACAATTTTTATCGAGTCTTTGAGAACGATCAATGCCTTTACAGTGACGGTTATAAACTCCGTTGCTAATATTGTCGTTGTTCTGGCTGTCATGTTGATGGCGGACAAGGTCGGACGAAAGTAAGTGATACCATGGAATGACTGGCATATATTGATGCCCCCTTTTAAGTTAACTTTTCTTCCTGTCAGACCGCTCCTAATTGTGGGTGCCATCATTCAAACCGGCGCTCTTTTCGCCATGGGCGGCCTCGGTATCTCAGCGGCTCCCTCTCTCGCCGCCAGAAAGGGCATCACAGCAATGGTGAGCGTCTTTGGAGCCGGATACTCCATCGGATGGGCACCGCTTGCCCATGTCATTGCCGCCGAGATTCCAAGCGTCCGATTGAGAGATTTCACCTATGGACTGGCCTCCTTGGTCAACATCGTCATACAATTTGCAGTCTCGTTCTCCATCCCGTATCTGCTAGATGCTCCTTATGCAGATCTACAGTCCAAGGTGGGATTCATTTTTTGGCTCGTTTGCGGCTTGTGCGATCCTGTTTTCTTGGTTGGTTATTCCGGAGTTTAAGGGGGAAACATTGGAGGAGATTGATGATCATTTTCGTCAGGAGTCGGACCATCAGCAAACCCAGTATGCTAAAGCTTAGACTAGATAGCCTAATCAGCTTGGATATCATGGAAAGCATGTGAATGAAGCGCTCGACATAGCCGAAATGTCTGTTATCATCATCGAAGCCGTTGTTCTAGATCCAGTAGCGTCTTGTAAAGAACAATACTAAATGACGCGATTTTGATGCTTTTCCATCGAAGGGAAACTGGCTGCTAGGTGGATCTACAAAATATTCCGGGGATAGACGGGGAAAGCATTTTCCCCAAGTAGACGAGCTATAAGAGTACCTCTATCAACCACATTAATGATCTTGGTTTCTAATATGACTACCTTGTATTCCAAGGATCTAAAGAAGCCCAGTCATAGACAAAAATGTCTACCAAACGACCAAACTTCCTGATCGTTGTCGCCGATGACCTCGGCTTCAGCGACATCAGCCCCTTTGGCGGCGAAATCGCAACGCCAACACTCGAGCGACTCGCAAAAGAAGGAGTCCGTCTAACAAATTTCCATACTGCGTCGGCATGAGGAGAACTATAAAGGTCGAGCGGGATATGAAGGATATTTGAATTTCAAGGTTGCTGCTGCCAGTGAGATCTTGCAGGATGAAGGATATTTTACGCTTATGTCCGGGAAATGGTAACCACCTATGCCCGCCAGATAGAGAAGATTTTGGAGCAAATGCTGATCTTAGTTGGAAGGCATCTCGGACTACAGAAACATACAAGCCCGCACGCACGCGGATTCGAGCGTAATTTTAGTTTTCTGCCTGGTTCAGGAAATCATTTCAACTATGAGCCGCAAGCAGAGCCAGAGAGGCCGACACCTCGATTCATGAGCTCGGATGGATGGTGGATGGAAGACGACAGGAATATAGATCGCAGGACCGATCTGCCAAGTGATTTTTTTACTCCTCCAAGACATTCACGGATCGTCTACTGGGGGTTTTCAAGGATAGGACTGCCGAGCAAGCCGGAAAGCCGTTCTTTGCATTTCTCCCGTTTACGGCACCGCATTGGCCCCTGTAGGCTCATCGGAAGACGATTGAGAAGTATAAAGGTGTTTATGATGAGGGGCCAGAGGCGTTACGCTTGAAGCGGTTGCGGAGGCTGATTGATCTTGGTCTTGTGCCGAAGGATATCGAGCCTGCGCCGGTGGTTGGGCCGTTGCATTTGGATCCTGAATGGACCCAAAAGACGCTGGAAGAGAAGATGTTATCAGCTAGGAAGATGAAGGTGAGATTTCTGATTTAACGCAATGTTCTCTTTTTGTTTGTTTTGGAAGGATGGGGTCTTAATGATGAAACAGGTATTCGCAGCAATGTTAGACGAACTAGACCAGAATCTGGGCCGAGTCATATCCTATCTCGAGCAAACCAACGAACTAGACAACACCTTTATCCTATTCATGTCCGACAATGGCGCCGAGGGAGTTCTCCTCGAAGCAATCCCAACCATGGGTAACCGCGAAATCCTCTCGGCCATCATCGACCATTTCTACGACAACACGCTGGAGAACATCGGGAACAGGAATTCGTGGACCTGGTACGGACCACGTTGGGCAAGCGCTTCCATGGCGCCGTCTCGTGGATTTAAAACATGGATTACGGAGGGTCCTTGTATCGTGCGTTATCCACCTCTACAACTACCGCAATGCGCACATACAAACACGTTCACAACCGTCATGGATATTCTCCCCACCATCTTAGAGTTAGCTAGCATTAAAGCTCCGCAGGGCCAATTCCGGGGTCGCGAGGTTGTGCCGATTCGTGGCTCGAGTTGGGTAGGGCATTTGCAGTCTGGTGATTTGACTGGGACAACGGTCCACGATGAGCAGGAACACGTCACTGGATGGGAGCTTTTTGGACTTCGTGCTATCAGACAAGGGGATTGGAAGGCGCTTTGGATGTCGCCTCCTCGTGGGAAGGACAGATGGGAATTGTACAATGTGGCATCTGATCCGGCGGAGATACATGACGAAGCGGACAACCATCCGGAGATTTTGGAGCGCTTGGTCAAACATTGGGAAACTTATTATACAGAGACGGGGATTTTTGAGTATGGGCATGATTTTGCCTATGTGATGCAGTAGTGTTAGCCCAAAGAAAGTACCTAGGTGAGGAGCCCTAGATTTCTATTATATAATAAAATCCAGAACTAATCAACAGTAAGTGACGATATTGATATTGCACATTCAATTATGTAGATGCAGCCTAATATAAACAAAATAAACGCCAACCGATGCTTTTTATCTAGATACATATCTACTCAATACCAACTACAGCCGAGACTGATCGCGCAAGCCCTCATTCGACCCGGCACAGCACTTGGACGAAGCAAACGCATTCTGCGAAACAGTATCAACGCAAATGGCAGACGGAGGCACCCACAGGGCTGGATTCTTCTCGAAGAAATTAGACGCACGCAGCATGATGCTGACGGGCTCCGCAGGCATGATGGGGTAGTCCTCCATGCGCGGGAAATGGGTCAATCCAAACTGCAGGTAGCAGACAATATCGGTGTTCTCAATCGACTCATTGCGCGCGGCCCAGTCAACTACTGTCTGATTGTCGGGGTGGTTCTCACGCCCGTCGGATTGGCACACGTAGTCGCCGGCTGGGTAGAGTTCGTAGTCCCTGTACGGGACAACCCAGAGAGCCTTGCGCGCGAATCCGGCACGTTTCCAGACGACGCTTCCCGGCTTGGGGAGGAGGCCCGGGCAGTTGTTGTTGACGATCTTGTAGCCGACAGGCTTGTGGCAGATCTCGTTGATGATGTTGGGGTTGACAATGTCCCAAGATCTGCTTGTTTCATGGCAGTAGTCGGCGGCTCCTTCGAGAGCGGTGCGGAGTGGTGTCTTCTTTGAGTAGAAAGCGTTTCCGTAATAGTTGTTTGGAGAACCGACTGGCTCATCAGATGCGTGGGCGTCGGATTGGATGACTGTGTTGTTGGGACCGTCGACTTCCGGGTCGATACGCAACGAGAAAATGTGCTGGTGGTTTTGAGCGTTGATGCGAGGAGCCACTTCTGTTCCCCACGGAGCAGCCTGCTCGGAGGCATGCATTGGGTATGTGTTTAGCTGGCCTGTAAGCTTGACTTCGAGTTTGTACGTGCCGTCCAGCGTGAATGTGTGGTAGAAGCCGTATTCATAGTTGGCAGCGGTGATGATCTGAGAAACAATGAGCTTGCGGTCCCGGGCAGAAATCACTGTTCCATCGCGGTAGTCGGTGTGTTTGTACAGCAGACCGTTGTCCTCTTCGTGGATGCAGATTGCATTCTTGATCATGGCCGCTTCGCCCTTTGCTGTTGAGACTACAGCGTCGAGGTAGTGGATGGCGCCTTTGCAGTCGCAGCCCAGCTTCAAGGAGTTGGTCATGAGTCCGGAGCCGTACTCGCCAACATCGAACGCATGTTTCTTGTGATGAGGTGCTTCAGGACTGCCGTAGGGAACGACCATCTCCACAACGCTAATTCGGTTGAACAGTGTTCGCTCTCGCTCCTGGTACGGGTCGTCGATACGGACGTCTGAAATCACGATGCCCTCGCGGTAGTTGAACCCAATGTGCATTTTGTAGCCCGCCCAAGACAGTTCGTTGCCGCGCATGCGGAATGAAACTCCCTGTGGCTGGGTGATGTTGATAGGCTTCAGGCGATCGTGCTTATAGCCATCGCTGATGAACTCTGGCAAATAATTGGAGCCCTCAAGAGGAATTGGAGTGCGTTCACCGTTGACCGTGCGGATGTCCACGCTGAGAATCTCTTCTGTCTCGGTATCCGCCACGATGGAGAAGTCGAGTGGATGGGCATATTGGTTGTCAAAGGCGGACTCTCGGTAGTAGGCGAGACCCTGTTGCAGACGGCGGTCAAATCCCCAGCGCTCATCAACACCAATCGCCCAGCCGTCAATGAAGACCTTGGACATGTCTGTGATGCCGATCTGCTTGCATGCCTGGATCACGCGGGGATCCTCGCGGCAGATGCGTTCCATGATGTCGAGATCTTCCAGGGTGAGGGTAGGCATAACGTCGCTGACTTCTTTCCATTCCTCAACCTTTGCCTGGGTCAGATTCACCACTACCTCTGCGCAATGGCAGGTGCCGACTTCGAGCACAATGGCGAATGCGCGGCGATCAGGGCGCGGCCCCAGTCCGCTTCGGTGAGCGGAGTACTCGCTTTTGCGAGGTTCTCGCAAGGTGATGCAGTTGAACTTGACTTTCTTGGGAGACACGTAGTCTCGGATTAGTTTCGAGGCCACGGGAATTTCCTCGATGGACAACTGATCTGTTGGCAGTCAGTCATTTTGCCCGAGATCTGGCTGCTAAGAAGCCATACCTAGTGGGTGCGGCTGTCGGCCGGTGATCTGGCTGGCAGCAGAGCTCGAACCATAATCGTCTTCATGAAAGATGGTATATCCCGGTATCGAGGTTGTGTCGGGCGCCATGGTGATGCGATGTGATGCGTCTGATGTAGGGCTTAGTAGTAGAACAACTGAGAGAGACACGAGACATCAAGAGAGAGACTCTGCGAGAGAGAGAATATTATTCACTGATTGAGTAGGGCTGGCAGAGAGAACACGCGCTTTTATACACGGATGGTCTGGTGAAGCCAGAGACTCAGCAATCTTTCTCGCATGCACCTTCCGGATTGGGAAATGGCGGGAGAGTGAAGCTCAAGCTATCCGGCTGGATAGTAGTACAGACCGCCGTCGGGTTGATTGCGGGTTTGATGTACATTTCTACATGTATATTTCTACTCGCATGTACTTCGTCTGCATTCTCTCTCGTTCTCTGCAATTGTGCGTCAAAACACGGCCTACCGCAGACGCCGAGAGGTTACACATCGGCTTTGTACGATGTACATTTTTAACAGAGCTGCGTCTTCACACACACACACACACATATACGTAAATATTGAACTTTCCGCACTAAAGACTCAAAACTAACTGCGAAATGCGAAATGACAAGCAATACATACTATCTTGATACGTGGCTTATCTGGCCGCATGAACCTCCCGGATTAGGGCTAATCCCAGATCTTATCAGACACGCTATTCCCGAAACAGGCAAAGTCATGGCCACTAAAAGCGGCACCAAAACGGCCCAAAACGGCAAGTCCAGCCCTGATAAGCAAGCCGAATTTTGCGGGGGAACCACGCTAAATTTTTACGCACCAAAAAATGACACAAAAAAAAAGAGAGGGCAAAAAAAAAAATCTGGATCTGCTTGACACTTCTTATTAACTGCCATGACAAATGGACTCCTGGGGGTCCAATCTCCGATCGGCTTCTATTCTGTTTGTTTGGCCTGCGATAAGACCTGCAACGGAGTTACATTCAAGTATTATACGTGGTATGGAAGGAGTAGGCATATATAAATGGAGCGCCGTGGCGGCCAGATCTTGAATCCTCGTCCTTCCAAGGGTTCAAGAAGAATGAATTGAAATCAGAGACCACTGCTATGGACAACGAAGCGAACACCCCGCTCAAACCGAGCAAGTCGGTTGACCAAAGTGTCCTGGATGCCCGCGACCTCGCCGCGCTGGGCCACGACCAGGCCCTGTCGCGGAAATTCGACATCTGGAGCATGCTAGCCCTAGCCTTTTGTGTGCTGGGAACATGGTCAACGTTCGCGCAAGATCTCGCCAGCGGACTGACCAACGGCGGACCCGTGAGCATTCTCTGGGGCTTGTGTCTGGTCACTTTCTGCAACCTCTGTGTCGCCGTCTCGCTGGGCGAGCTGTGCAGCAGTATGCCCACCGCTCTGGGCCAGGCGTACTGGGTTCACCGACTCTGGGACAACCCCACGGGCAGATTTGCCTCGTACATGTGCGCGTGGATCAACATGTTTGGCTGGTGGACCTTGACCGCCTCCCAAATTGCCTTCATGACAAACTTCATGCTGGGAATGAAGGTCATGTTTGACAACAACTGGGCCGGCGCCAGCGAGGGCTGGGTCGAGTTTCTCGTCTACATCGGCATCACGCTGCTGTTCACCGTCATCAACCTGATTGCATGTCGCAAGGAGAAAGTCTTGCCCTACTTCAACAACTTTGTAGGCGTCTGGTTCTGCCTTCTCTTCGTAGTCTTCAGCCTCGCCCTCCTCATTGCCGTGGGCACAAAACCAACCCTTTCCTTCCAGCCCGCCTCCTTCGTGTTTGGCTCCTGGATCAACCAGACCGGCTGGAGCGATGGCGTGACCTGGTTCATCGGCCTGGTCCAATCCGCCTACGGCCTAACAGCATTCGACTCGGTCATCCATATGGTCGAAGAAATCCCCGCGCCTCGCCGCAACGCCCCGCGCGTCATCTACCTCGCCGTCGCATGCGGCGCCATCTCCGGCTTCATCTTCATGCTCGTCTGCCTCTTCTGCATCCAAGACGTCAACCTCATCATCAACTCCCCCACGGGCCTGCCCTTCATGGACCTAGTCCAGGACGCCATCGGCCTGCAAGGCGGGGTCGCGCTCATCGCCCTCTTCGAATTCAACGGCCTCGGCCAGGGCGTAAGCATCGCCACCACCGCCTCACGCCTCACCTGGGGTTTTGCGCGCGACTCCGGCATTCCCTTCAGCCGCTACTTCTCCCACGTCGACCGCACCTGGAACGTGCCTGCGCGCGCTCTGTGGCTGCAGGGCTTCCTGATCGGGCTCGTCGGCATTCTCTACCTCTTCGCCAACACGGTGCTCGACGCCATCCTGAGCGTCAGCACAATCGCGCTGACCATATCCTACGGCATGCCGATATTCGCGCTCCTCATCGTCGGTCGTGACAAGCTTCCCGCCGGCGGCCACTTCAGACTGGGCCGTCGGTTGGGCCCCGTCGTGAACTGGATTAGCGTCGTGTATTGCGCGGTTACGACGGTGTTTTTCTTTTTTCCGGGCTCGCCCAATCCGTCGCCGAGTGACATGAATTATGCCATTGCTGTGTTTGGCGTTATGTTGGTGGTGGCCGTGGCATTTTGGGTCGTCAAGGGGAATAAGGAGTATTTGTTGACGGAGTCGTCGGCTGAGCGGTTGATGGAGGCGATGCGCATAGAGAATGAGACCGAGGGTGATGACGATGATGGTAATAATAATAATTCGAAGAATACTGGGAGTAGCAGCAGGGCTGCTGATACCGCGGTGGGTGCGAAATAATTCTACCTTACTGTCTGTTGTTTATATATAACTATACCTATACCTATCATGTTCAATTACTTGCCTCATGGTCTGTACATCAATTGAAGGCTGCCAGCATTGTGCATATTTAGACTACAAGTAAGAATACCTAGTGCGAAATAGATGGATTTCGAACACTGACAGAAATACATGATATGGCTAACAATGATAATAAGCAACTGTTAGCAGCGTAATTGGAGAACAGCCAAGCAAGTTGAAGGAAGCACCAATATCATCCGTATCCTTCTTGTGGAAGGGGGGGGGAAAAAAAGTAAAACCATATCCACGCCGTCCAAAACATATAAGAATAACGGTAAGTTGTTTCTTTAATGAAAAAAAAATAACAAATCAAGCAAAAAGCGCCCAGTCCCGCTAAATAAAGAAAAATACACGCCCAGCATGAGAGGTAATAATAATGTGAAGAATGGAGAAGAGAAGAAGAATGAAGTACAAATAGTCGTGCCACGTCTCTATGGACCAATGTGTAATCATTGTCCGATAAATGTAATAATATTGATAATAATGTCGTGGGATGGCGATGCGCTTAATATTCAGGCATCCCATTGTTGTTAGGCTGGTAATTCAAGAACTCGCTGTCGAAACAGTATGGGTTCATCTGGTCCTGGCCCAATTGGTCCAAGCTCATGTCGGCACTTGGTGGTGGCATGTGAGCGGACGGGTCAGAAGCTTCCATCGCTACACCGAAGGCTTCGAAGTCGGCGTTTGATGGCAATGCATCTAGGCTCATTGTATCCATATCGGTGCTGTCTGGGAAGAGTTGGAAGTCAAGTCCCGGCACCATGGGCGGATCAGCAAAGTTGAAGGGCTCGCCGGTGGACATGTTGACGTAGCCTTCATACATGGCAGGAGGGTCGTAGATAGCAAAGTCGTGGGGCATATTGGGGAAGTAAGGAGAGATCATCTGACCACTGGCAGGAGATGGCAGCTCGGTGCTCAGGCTAGAGACGGGAGTGGACATGGCCGGTGTTGGCGGAGTCTGAGAGGCCGAGGCCACGGATGCGGCAGACGAAGGTGTCTTACCACGCTTGCCGTTGTTCTTGGATCGGACATACTGCCAGCCGTGTGCCTTTTCCATGTGTTGCTTGCAGTTGCTCTCACGCTTCGAGGTGTATGTGCATGGAGAAAATTTGCAGCGGTATTCAGGTGGGTTTTCCGAGTGACGGTCATTGACATGGCGGTCACGCTCCTTCTCGGTGGGCCATCCGATGCTGAAGTACTTGCAATCGGGCTGGGTGCACTTCCAAGGGCGGGAGTGCGTCTTTTCGTGCTTGGTGAAGTCGCAGGGACGTTTGAAGACTTTATCACAGTGACTGCATTTCTTATTGATGTCCATAGGGGGTTCGTTCTTTTTCCTCCGGGCCATGGAGCGTTCGACGTCGGCATCTGCGGCCATCTCGTCGACATCCCGTGAATGCTTCGCAGCGGGAGGGTTCTGTCGGGTCTCAGTGACGATGGTCGGCAAGGCAAGGACCATAGGCCGAGAGTTAAGAGCCGGCTGGGGCTGTGATGGAGGCAGCATGGTTGCAGGGCGACCTTTCTGCTGGGTGAGATCTCCGTCTAGAGCGAGCGATTCAAAGGACAGAGAGTCGACACTAGGGGTTCAATCGGTCAGCGAGTGGAAGACAAGGGAAGGCAGGCAGGGAAGCACGCAAGCAAGCAAGCAAGCAAGGCAGTAAGGCAGGCAGAAGAACGTACGGATTGCTGCTGCCCTCTTTTGTTGCAGGAGACGAGCGGTAGTGACAGACTTTGAAGAGAACGACCGGGAAGGTACACTTTCCCATCCCATGAATGAGAGGGAAACGGTACGTAACGGTCTGTAAAAGTTTTAGGAAGTAATCAATGAGGTACCCCATCATGATAAATGGCCTATGTGCTCTCGATGATTTCATGAAGGAACAGAGTGAACCGATTGTTCACTTCACGGCTTCCCCAGGGGAAGAGCAAAAGTCATCGATCCATTAAAAGTGCTGCCTAGCCGCAACGTGACGACGACCAACAGCAGGCGCATGCTGATTGGCTGCGCGCCGATACGGGCCCACTGGTACTGCGCACTGCCACGGCGGTCGGCGGTATTGCTGGGCACGACTAGGCTGTTCTGGGCCTAGGCGCTGAGTCCCGTGGATGAGGCTCAATATGCGTCCGCGCGCTGTGATTCGCGGCCGGCGCTGGCCTTTGCCCGTACTGGGCCTAGTGCCCATGACTCACACACGCTAGCCGGCTTAGTGACGGCGCAGTTACATGAGTGACTCATCCGGCTATCCGGCCAACCAGCGCCAGCCAGACTAGTCCTCATTGAGCTGTCAGCTGATAGCAGCGTGAACAGAGACCCGCTGGGGCTGTTGTCGGGCGCCCGTTTGGATCTAGTCGCTGCAGCGGAAGAACCATTATTGAGTGCATGGCATGCCCATTGACAAACAATGCTTATTGAGTCACGGGTTGCCGTCTCCGTTGACGTACTTATTGAACCAAGGTCGATGTCAATTGCGTTTCCATCGTTGTTGTATCTTGCTATTGTCTCAGCAAAGCTCAGTTCTTTCTTTCTTTCTATACTACGTATTCCAATTGCCTAGTATGTACTAGTTCAGCCGTATTCGTCCCCACCAAAAATAGCATCGCTTGCCGTAATTTATTCAATTTCGCTGTACAAATGCCGTAAAATACGCGCCGAGAGAACAGGAACCCGGTAACTTTTGTCTAGCCCGGCACTAAGCCATATTGGGACCCCATCATGAGTCTGCTTCTCTGGTTCTCCTTGCCTACGGTCTAGATCTAGATCTTCATCTGCATGCCAGTCAATGTCGATGAAGGCAAGGGAGGATCATCTAAGTATGATCGACTTGATTCATGATCCAAACCTAATACTACTCCTACTACTACTAGTACCAGGATCCGAAAACGCCGCCTCCAGTCTCGATAACGGATATTGTACCATGTCCATGATGAGAGGATCGGAATGGTAATACCGCTTCAAGTACATGCATATGGCAGCGCACTCAACAAAGCATCGCTGTTGAAACCACCAGTGCACGTGGAACATCTTGGTGAACCAATAAGCGAGTAAAAGCAGGGCGCGCGCATCTTTCTGCATTAGCAACGCGCTCATTTCCGGCCGCATCAGCGAAATGATTGAGATGAAACGGAGCGCCGTGTCCTGTGTACACTCCATATCCCATATCGCAGCGAGTCCCCGCACTGTCGCGTGATAAGGATTGTTCTGAGCATTGGATGATGGGTCAAGGTCGCACAGCGCTACGAATTGAGGTGGGATGTCTTCGGTTCCTTCTCTTGTATCCTCGTCCCATTTGTTCTTGAGAAACGTGTATTGAGGATCGTTAATGATCGCATGAAACATGCCGCCGGGGTCACCGGGAGAAGCCATCTTGTAAACGGTATAAACCCCCTTATGCATCTCCATCCAGCCAAGGCTAGAGTCCGTCGACGGTGCCATGGGCCATGCCAGCTCAGGATCGTATGTCTTGATAGAAAATGACGCCATGTTACCAAGCATAGACGCCGTTGCCCATATGGCATTGTGATCTGCTGGTTTATCAACCGATCTGGACAACCTGTGATTAAATAGTGCTGCAGCACAGCTATGATGGTAGTACTGAGTTGCCTGGCTGTTGTTAGTGCTACTAGGTTCTCTCGATACTTGGAGACTTCCATCATGCATGGCAGCCATAGCTAGGGCGGCATGGAACAGGTAGGGGTGCTGCGTAAACCCGCTGTTAGCGCGCATGCGTCGTTTCTGTGAAATCCATTCAAAAACAATTTACCTGTGTGGCCTCCTTGCTCACTGTCAGTTGGTAGCAGAGCGAGATACTATATGTCCCCATCGTGAAAACTGTCCGCGTGTCCCATCTCTTGAGTAGGTCAATGTCATATCTGCTTATCGAGCGAAATTGTCCCGAGTCCCATGTCGGTGGATACTGCGACGCTACCATTCGATTCAGGTCTGTGACTAGTGCATCGTTGGCTAGATTTGTCTCGGACATTGTGAAGTTTAAGTCGCCCTCGTGTAAGGCAGGAGAAGTTGCGCTGCATGGCACTAAATCATAATTGCACGTCACTAGGAGGCCCACGCAGTTGCGGCAAGCTGGCCGAGTCTCGTCGCACTATATATAGCAGTCAGTATATATAATGTTATCCTGCTGCTCCTGGAACAAGAAATGGTAGCCAGCCACCAACCTTAACTCGACGGAGTTTGCAGTTTCGACAGCCGGCGCGCGATTTGCGATGTGCTCTGCGTTTTCGCGGGGGCTCTCGTTTCGACGAAGGCTGTGGATGACCCATTTTCATTCCGGGCCGCACAGTAATTCGGATATAACATCCACAGTCGTCAAAGCCGTGGTCATTTTAGAGCTAGTTGGTAATCGTATGAGCCATTTTGAGATAAAAGTCTGATTCATCGGCCAGATCAACATCGAGGCTAACCCTGCGTCGTTTTCGAAGTGGACAACGGTGGAGATGCACGTGACCCAATTGCGTCTGGATGGTCGGACGAAGTCTCGAGGTCGGGCGCCGGTGGATCCGCGCTAACCCTACTTCGTATTTGATCTCGTAGAGTACGCATTGGGCCAATCAGCGATGAGCATGGCCATCAGATATGACTTCAGTGCAAGAACCTAGGTGTATAGAATGTGAAAGTAAACAGGCAGCAGAGATAGAAGGCCCCCACGGCTTCATGCCCAGCTCAGCTATAAAAGGCGCCCTTCGCACCCCCCCCCAAAATCAGATTGTTCATTCTATCATCATTCCAATATCTCAACAAAAGACTACTTCATTACACACATTTCTCTATTCAAATACATATTTCCACAAAACATACAGCATGTCTGCCACCACACCACTACCTTCCACCTACCGAGCGGTTGTCTGCCACGAATATGGCCAACCGCTCAAACTCGACACCCTTCCAACACCCGAGGCAGAGCCCGGCAGTGCAGTCGTGCAAGTCCTCGCTGCCCTTGTCGACCCTTCAGAACAGCACCGCTTGATTCAGAGCAAGCGCAACCCCCACTTTAGCCAAGAAACCCCTTTCATCCCCGGCAACGGTGCCGTTGGACGAGTCGCTGCACTTGGAAAAGATGCCACAAGTATGAAGGTCGGCCAGCTCGTTCTGTTGGAGCCCTTTCTACGGGGCCGCGACGATCCCAACGCCCAAGCCCTCAGAGCCGTCTATGAAGGACCCTCACCATCAGCCAAGCGACTGACACACCAGGAGGGTCTCTGGCGGGATGGCTTTTGGGCCGAATATGTTCGCGCACCTCTTGAGAGCTGCTGGCCACTAGACGAGGCTGCATTGCTTGGACCAGTGGACCAGGGCGGCTTGGGATATAAAATTAGCGATCTTCCATATATGATGAAGCATGCGATTGCTTACGGCGGATTCCGTTCCATCGACCTCAAGCCTGGAGAGACTGTCATTGTTACGCCTGCCACCGGCAACCATGGCGGTGCAGCTGTTCAAATTGCTTCGGCTATGGGTGCTCGTGTTATTGCCGTGGGTCGTAATGCTGATACCTTGAAAAAGCTTTCGGAGAACAATGCCAGGGTGCACGGTGTCACTTTGACCGGGAACGTTGCGGAAGATGTTAAGATATTGTCTCAATTCGGCACCATTGACGCTTTCATGGACTTTACTCCTGCTACAATGCCGAGTCCATTGCACTTGAAGTCATGCGTCGCAGCTGTGAAGCAGTATGGCAAAGGTGTGCTTATGGGATTTCCCTATGGTGAGTTCTCGCTGCCTTACGGGATGATGGTTGGCAAGAATATCACCATCAGAGCACAGTTCATGTATGAGGCGTCAGACATGCGGAGTTTCGTGAAGCTTGCTGAGCGAGGGTTGTTGAAGCTTGGAAATGGCAGCGGCGTGGAAGTCATTGATGGATATACGCTCGAGCAGTATGACGAAGCTGTTTCTAAGGCTGCCGAGCAGCAATCATGGGGAAGACAGGTTATTTTTGAGCCATTCAAATAGATTTTGCAGAGATAGTTAGTCAATCAACCACCTATAGGTATTCATCTTTGTTAGGAGTGTAGTTGTAACTATGTACTTGACAGAGTTTCTGCAGGACCGGCTCTTCCCTATTCTAGGAATTAGTACATGCTTCCATATGTCTCAATAGAAATAGGCTTGCTTGGCGCTGCTAGAGCAGTAAGAAGAGTATAAAAGACACCACGTAAAGCATCGTCACTCTTTGATTTTATGATGTCTCTGGCCACTGGTCCAGCTTATCTTCATTGGCACGATTGTTAGGCTGGTAGCGCTGTATGCGCTCTGATGCTTGTTCTGCTTTTAGCTGGCGAATGCGCGATGAATCGTCGAGGTTGATCGGAAATCGGTCGCTTGCGCTTCAGGGCACGCTTTCGAGGGGCCATGGTGTGTATTGACCATCAAGTCATCACATGTTGTGCGTGAAGGTCGTGCTGCCTGCTCTCAAGAAACTCTCAACCACTAGACCTAATGTGGTATCTCAGTAATAGCCGCCTCGGGCATTTGATGTGGAAGCCTCTGAGCTGCATATGGAGTAAAAAGAGAAGAGAAAAAGACACAAATAATGAGGTCGGCGTAATAATACTGACGACGTATTGGTATTACACGAATGGATACAGGGCCTGCGCTAAACTGAACCTGGGGGATTCACTTTACCCTCTTATCAACTCTTACGGCCTGCCATCTAGCAGCAGAGTAGTCCCTCTTCATCGTCGCCCCTCTGACTATTGCAGTATAAGAAAGAGAAACCCCAACCTGCATATTATATACTAGGCGTGGGCATCATTGGCACTTTTCATTGAATTGCTTGGTCGGATGGCAAAAGCGTACCCCTGGCTGTTGTTACACCTAGGGAGCGTTGTTCTAAAAAAGAGGCAAGATCATACAGATGTTCCCACCGCCATGCAGAAGTAAGGAACAGTAGATGCGGATATCAATTCAGACGCAGCGTTGAATATCTGGGTTAGCTCCTAGTTACAGACGAAAGTTAACTAAGGTAATGCGCTAGTTCTAGGAATGCCTGTCTGCGTAGTTCACAAGGTATTCAACGTTATACAATTGGGAGCCACCAAATGCTTCCCAGGAAAGTTGGAGCCCGAGGTACTACCTTCGGTTTCACCGCGGCCTCAGATCTCTTATGCCATCTCCATCATCACAATGCCCGAAGTAGTCCTCGAAAGCAGCACCGGGCATCTCCTTATAACAGGCGGAGTTCTCGGTGGCATAAGCCCTAAGTTGCCCCCAGTCGCGACATTTCCGTAGCTCGGCATTGCCTACAACAGTCCCTCCGGTTACATCCAAGGGCGTGGCGTCTGCGTGACATAGAATAACCTATCAAAAGCAAATTCAACTCAACATTAACTTAATGCACCATGACCCGAAGCTTTGGGGACCTGGCAATCTGGCCGTACCTGGAACAACGCATCGAAGCAATGCGCAACATGTGCTGCTCTGCTTGGCTGCACGTCGAAGGAAGGATCCGTCGTGCTTTTCTTCCAATATTCCCTGATCAGCCGCAAGCAATGAATCTCATGGTACCCTTCCAGCAGCCAAACGCCTTTGCTCTCATCGCCTGGCAGACGCATTGTGTCCGGCCAATTCTGGGATTGAGCCCATCCTCGGTCCCTTGCTATCATTCCATGGGTCCACACAATCGAGTCCCAGAGCTCGTCTTGCAGTGTGCTATTGGTGCTGCTGTATTGTGTGTTCCACCAGAACGGCTTGTGATCTATGCCGATTTCTGGAGGGATGGGGAGATTCGCTGGCGCCGAGGCTTCTTCTTCTTCTGCATGCGTGTGCTGCCGGACGGATAGTCCGATGGATACGATGTTCGAGATGGCGAGGAGGATGATTACCGCGTAGGTCCAGGGGAAGGATTTTCTTCGGTGGTCATACTGGAAATGACTCTCCGAAGCCTTGTCATCATCTTGATTTTCTTGGGTGCGAAGGGGGGTATATTGAAGCTCTTCGTCTGCTGCCATTCTGTAAATACTGGGCAAGATTCTCGGTGTGAGAGATATGAGGATTCTGTACGCCAACTATGTAGTTAATGAAACCAACATTTGCTGAATAATCGCCTGCAGCCAAGCAGCTAACTTAGACTCTCTAATAAAGGATTATCAGTGTCTACTATCTACCCTCCCATGCAAGTATACCAATCAACCAATCAATCAGTGTGCCCTGTTTGGCACTAGTATTTTTTGTTTTAAAATAAACCAACAATTCAGTATCTAATCAGATAAAATCGGCGTCTATCTTTGCAATTTCCTTTTTTTGAAGGTTATTTACGCAGTAGTCCTGCAACGGGATTCCTATGTATACCATAACTGGTAGTAGGGCCTAGTCACTTGCAGCTTGCTCGTACTTAGTTCTTGGCCCCCATGCGCTAGCTTGTAGTGTGTATGATATGATAACCTTAGAAATGACATCAAGCAATAACTCGGAGTACCCGGAAAAAAAAAAAAAGGGGGGGGGGGGGGGGGGGGGGGGGCCTAGGTAGGCCAGGTATATAAGGCTTGGAAATAGGTGCCTATCCCATCAACGTGACGATATCCAGTGTGTACATACACTCTCGGCTCAACAACGATCTGGCTGAGAATGGGGGCATCGCCCCATTAGGTAGATCAGCAGCATGACTATATTCGCCTAATTTATTGCACTTGATAACAACATCGTTATGCATGAATACGAGGGAACAAAGCACTAACTAGTTAAGCATTGGAAGTCAGCCCCGGAGGTAGATCAGGGCTAGCGTGTGCACCTAGGAAATAAATATTTCCAAGATCGTTGTTTGATCATTTGCTATTCAGACGGTCGGTCGTACAACTTGTGAACTATATTAATTATATTACAGTGCGATGGCTGGGCCACATGCAAAGAAGAAAAGTAAACAGCGTCTATATACAACAGTCATATGCCATTTTTGAGCCCACAGATTCTGAACACACTCCAACCACCGAAGCCAAATGCTTCGTTTATAGCATCATTGCGTAAAAAGGGCCTCGCTCAATCGCATTAAAAGAAAGAATATCCGTATGAAGAAGGAAAAGCATGAAAAGAGGGAAACTCGCCATCCGAAAGAAAGAAAAAATATTAACACCATGTGAAGATAGGATTTTTGCTCTTGACCGTTTCAAGCCGTTCAACAATGACTTTTCGTTCGTGGCCTTCCATTTCCTCCGCGGCTGCATAGCCTAGGTCGCCTTCAAGGTCGTCCCCAGCAAAGGCCCATGAATTGCTACCTCGTCGATTTGACAACGAGTTGTACCGCGCGTGTCTGGCTGAGCGTTCTAACCTTCCATTATGTGTGGCTTCTTTGTAATTGCGAGATCGATAAGAGGACGGAGCGGCCCAACTCGTGGCCAAATCCCTGCCATCATCTGCGATATCAAAGCGATCGTAGCCAATGTCAAGGGCTCCATCCCCGAGCTCAGCAGACCTTCCATCACGGGCCAATTCAAACCTGTTAGGATTGGGAAGATCACTTGCCGGAGAACCCAAGGGCAAAAGATCTTGATCGCGGCCTGGAGCAGCACTGATGTCCATTTCCTGCTCGCCCTCTTCTCGCATGGAAGCCTGCATACGCTGCCTCTGAGCCTCGGTAGATGGACCCCGCATGGGGATTGCGACCGGGACATCTACGAGGTCATCCCAGACGCAAACTCGGGTACGACGAGTGAGTTCCAAAGGACCGTGGTCGGGCTGCTTGAGCGTCTCGACAACATTCCAAGCTTGGCCTTTCATAACCGCCATTTGTTTGGCGAACATGCTCTCTTTGAAATCGGAATCCTCAATGAAGACTCGTCGTAATGCAGCCTGAGTGCCGCTCCACCACGCAGTTGACGTGAGTAGGGGGAGAAAATGATCCCGGGTTTTCTGCGAGAAGGGCTGCCCGATAAGCGAAACAGGAAGGAACAGCCAACCGAAAGGAAAACTTCGCCACTGCCTCAGATGTTAGTAAATAGAATATATACGTTGGATTGAAATGAAACAGCAAAACGAAATATCGTGTACTCACAGCATCCGGGTGTTTCCATGGCCATGACAGACTGTTGTCAATGGCACCAACACTGATGGTTGCGTGCTTTTCCAACACATTGGAAGGAGTCCCAGTGCGGCTCGTGGCAACCATAGCTTCATGTCGTCGATAAGGGAGTGGTGCCGTTAAATTCGCATTTTGACGGTCTGAATTTAATGGGACGGTACGAGCAGGCTGAGCGGGCTCGGATTCATCATCAGCGACACCGTTTGGCTTGGGAGGCTCCGCGACGATGGAAACCTCTTCAGTCTTCCAATCTACCCTGATCATCCAATTATCCAATCCGCGGTCGGTGTTTCGCATGATATAATCCAGAATGACCAATTTCTCCAATTCTTCTCGGAACGACTGTTTCAAATTTTCACTCCAATAGAATCGTTCTTCTGATCCCTCGCTCTGCGGAGACGGAGTGCGCACGTTGTCTACATCGTAGTCTTCTTCATCTTCGTCATCAGAATGAATGCCAGATGGCCGGCAGGCCTCGTTCCATGGTCGTTTCTTTCGCTTTGGGGCATCGTCGGTGTTAAATCCAGAGTTTGCCTGGTCGGGCCAAGGATGTTCTCGTAAAAATATAGTGGCATCCTTGTAGCCTTTTAAAAATACTTGAAAGCTCCCAGGCTTTGGAGGTAATGGTCTCCGGCCACTCCAAGCCTTTCTTCGTTCCCAGAAATCATAGTGAAACGATTTGGAAGACATCCAAACAACGTCTGTGTATGGGACAATATTCGTACGCAGTCGTGCATCCAAAACCGATGCAGCTGCTTCGGAAACGTAGGACAGATTTGGGATAAGACATGCTCTGCCAAAACAACAAGGGAAGAGGTTCCTATGCAGCCACTTTGTCCACTTAGGATTCCTGGAAGCGTAGGGCTCTTCATCCTTTGGCTTAAAGACACCGACTACCTTGCCTTCCGCGTTTCGAGCAAAGTAACTACCAGAACTTCCCTTCGATATCATCTTGGGGTGTACGCCGAGCTCGATTGCGGTACGAACACTTTCGACAATATCCTCAAACTGGACGCGTTTTTGTTTCTGTTCAGACTCGTATTCATCGGTATCCAACTCCTCGGCAGTATATGGCTGAACACCATTTGGGGGACGGAAAACGGTGTGATGGATTTCGAGTTTCTCATCTTGTAACGACCTTCCGGGTCCTTTGCTGATCTTGAATCTCGAAGCTATTTCCTCGGCCCATCGTTCCAAGCGGGCGTTGATGGCTTTGATGTCAACACCGGACGAGTTGCTGCGTTTTCGACGGCGCGCAGGGCCGCTATTTCTGCGTCGATATTCAGGTGGTGTCGATGAGCCGGGCGGCTGCATCTGAGCTCGAGCGCTGATGGGGGCAAATTGCGTCGGCGAGGATATCGTGCGCGGAGCGCCATAGAGGCCTCCTTCCTCGTCCGATTCATCGTAGTAGTCTCTTTCATCGTCTTCGGCCTGGGCAAGCCGCGCATAACCCGACGCGGCTGGACGTTTAGGCATGGTGGGTTCGTGCGAAATGAATGAAGGCGTGGGTGGAATATGAGCAGAGGTGGTCGTAAGTGAGGCGGGCAAAAGAAGAAAGGGGGTCGCACAATATACAAGCGAACAATGAACGAATTGAAATAGCGGAAAAGAAAGGCAAAATAAAGCAGTCTAGAATTAAAAATGGTAGTCGTAGTTGTACAAAAGATAGTCGATTCCTCAAGCATCGCAGAGCAATCGCGACGCTGGCAGATGAGGAAGAAAGGAGACCGCCCCTTGCACGGCAAGAAGAGGCCAACTGGGCCGGACGTGACGGAGTGTTACAGCGTTACATACGGCACGAGCTGGATTGTGCAGCAGGCGTAATCTACGGCGGTATCGCTCCCGTATTCCGCTGTCTGCTGCCGTCTTATCGGGACCCGGTATCGCCTGCGCCGTAATACGCCGTACCAGCGCCTCCTGCATAGCACATGAGCCCCGTAACATACCGGCTCTGCCGCGCCGGATTGGCTGAGCAGCGCCTGTATCGTACCGACGATACAGCACATTTACAGTCATCTCTCTCGCTCGGCCTCCAGAAATCAATCTCTTGTCATCACCCATTCAACCATTGCACGATCACAGTCGCTCTTTTTGCTAATCCAGATACTCTCAGTCTCTCATTAATGAACTCTGCAGCCAACGGGCCTGTGCCATTCATTTTCTTTCGCGGAATTTCGTCGCTCTTTGTGTCCCACGGTTTCCTTTCCTTATCCAACGGCTCTCCTTCGTGACGAACCGGACATATCTTGTTGACTTTTCCAAGCGATTGCCCTACGAATACCACGTCTTTGCATTTACATACGCATTGTTTGCGGCGCCAGTAATTACACACGAGCCTTGCCGGATTATCAGCCCCCGAGTCGTGCCTCACGTAGACCTCGTCTCTTCCATCTCGACCTCGGCGTGCCCCCGTCTCCATCCGCGTTGTCCGGGACCTCTTCTGGTCTCGATCTACCATCAAAACGGCATCCACGGTGGCTCCCATACTGTTCAGGGCATCGCCCATTGATCCCGCACTCCGGTCACCACCGTCACCCGATCCCTCGTCGCGCGATCTAGCAAGCTACAGCACGTCTCTGCCAGCGGACGGCAGAAGGACCCCTCAGCTTCCTTCTGCTGCGGAAATTGTCCACTCGATCCCCAATCCCGAGTCCACACCACCGCCGACTACGCTGCCACCTCCTTCGGCGCTCGATTTGCGGCCGGAGGGCATCGGTTTCCCTCGATCAGCGTCGGGCTCTACTTCGCTGCCCGGGTTATCAGCATTGGCATCGGTAGCAATTGCGCCGACCTCAGATCTCAGGTATGTGATGTGAATTCCCAAGGCCGCGCCCAGGAATGCCGTTGCAATGGCATCCCCTGAGGACGAGCGGGGAGCCATGTTTTTAAGGCACCCGGCCGCTCTTCGCAGTTAGCGTCCGGCTCTAATCAGCGCGCTATCTATCAGCAGATCTTCCTCCAGCACCAACAGCAACGCTCCCAACAATAGTAATAATAATGTGCTCAGCCTGAGCATGTCGTACGCCATGTCCTCGCCTGCAGCTACGACCGGAGGCCAGGGCAACACGCCGGTAGGTGAATTTCGCTTGACGCGCGCGTGCAATTTTTATTTTTTCATAATTTTTTTCTTTTTTGGCTGTTATCAGCGGGCGGCTGGCGTCTTGGCAGCGAGAGCCCCCTCGGCCCTCGTTTCCCGTGCTCTCCCTTATCTCGCCCAATCTTATCTGCCGCGCACTCCCACCGTATCGTCTATCGCCCTTTATCATCCTGCCCTCTTCTATCTTCCTCTGCCTCCTCGCTCCTCTGCTTCCCCCCTCCCCCCCCTTCCACCGCATCATTCGCCCATGTTCTCTCAAATGGCTTCCACCTTTGCTGACCAGAAACGCCCTCAATTGCAGCCCGTGTGCCAGAATTGCGGCACCTCGACCACCCCCCTGTGGCGCCGAGACGAGCTGGGCTCCGTCCTCTGCAATGCCTGTGGCCTCTTTCTGAAACTCCATGGTCGGCCGCGCCCGATCAGCTTGAAAACCGATGTCATCAAGAGTCGCAACCGGGTGAAAACTGCTGGCCAGGCCCCGAAACGCAAGGTACGTCATGCCGAGAAGAATTTTTCCGCGGCCGTGATGATGGTCCCTTCCACGCCAGGCGGGCTTGCTAACACGTGTCGCATTGCAGTCTGGAGGCGCGTTGGATGTCAATGGATTGTCTGCGTCGAGATCAGAGGCTGGAACGCCACCTCTTGGGACGCATCCGTATCGCCGCCCGTCTAGAAAGATGTCTCCGGGTCATTCGGATCGCTCAAATTCGCCCGTGTCGCGAACAGATACACCTGGAATGTCGTCTCTTCCACAACACAATTCCAATATTGCCCCACAACACATGTTTGACAGTGTAACTCTGGGCGATCAGGGCTTCAACTCGGCCAACACTCTCCCGGCTTTGCAGCTCCGTCAACCATCGCCAGGCTCCACGTCCTCCATGGTGGACCGTCACCTGGAGGCTCCCCAGACTTATGAGGCACTACTTGCTGCAAATACCTCTCTCAAGACTCGTGTTAGTGAGCTCGAAGTGATCAACGGACTCTTTCGCGGCCGTGTTGCCGAATTAGAACAGAGTGATGCGACCGCGCGTCGTTCCGAGATGATTGCACGCGACTCAGAGGCGCGGCTGCGTCGATCTCTCGAGGAATCTCAGCGCCGTGAAGAAGAACTCCAACGCCGTATTAGCGAACTGGAGCAAGCTGCAGAGCACTCGGGATCTGTTTCGCTGCAGGGAAATGGTTCGAGCGAACCTGCCATGAAGAAGATCCGCTTATCAGACGTAGTTGATTATGAGGCAGTAAACTCTGCCAAGTCTCCGAAGGCTGTATGAGGGATTGAAAATGCTTGCTCGCTTTTATTATATCAATCGCTCGAGATATATCTGCGTCTTTTCCTTTGAACCCTCTTTTATATCCTTGATACCCCCATGATTAAATTCGCCTCTTGGTGAAGACATTGAAAAAGGAAGAAAAATTTCGTTGCTTGCTGTTTCATTTTCCTGTTTCTCCCACATTCCGACCTGTCAATCTATCAGCTCTAGTGGCTGAACTGTGATATCGAACCAGACGGATTGGGCGGCAAATGAAAGGAAACATAAAAGAAAGAAAGAATTGGAAAAAAAGAAAAAGGCGCGACTATGGGAAAGGGGAACAAAAAGCTGCAACTATCTGTTTTGCGTATCCATATATCAAGGTTATTGCTTCTAATATCTATCTGCCTTGCAAATTCCATTTTTGCCTTGTTGTTTGGCTACGGTTCTCTTATGAATATAGATCGGTACGGGCGGTTTAGGGATCAGCAATGGGGACTGTATCTCGATTAATCCTTTGTTTTTATTTTACTTTTTTTCTTTTCTGGTTGATCTACGCTTGGGGTCCAGAGTTTCTATATCTGTGTGGGCCTGGAGTGTATATACTGTTTTTAATCATGTGTCTTCTCTTTTCACTTCACGACATCTCCTTACTATATTCTCTCGCGCTTTTCATCGTTATGATGAATGCGTCTTCCATTCTCATCCCCAGAAAATTTTATTATACAAAAATGTATGTCTATGTTGTCTATTTAAACCTTGGCTTGTTTCCTCCTGTTCTTGTTTCTCTGCTTTTGTTACTCGCTTTATGTTTTTTTGAGACGACCTAACTACTTAATTGCTGTCTATGTAGTGTAATACTATAACGCCTGGGCATATTTTTCTAAATATGCATTCAATGACCGTGGTTCCGGCCGGGTCACGCTATACTCTATCATAATATGGATTCTGCGTGTAAATATAACTATATGTGCAACGAAATCTAATGACAGAACAGAAAGAACAAGACACCAACAAGGTCAATACATAGAGACGCCTGCGTCATTACCAAGACAGGAAATCAATTGCTATAAAACCAAAAGGTGCGTCAATAAAATCACGGATAAAGAGGGAACCATCCCTCTCCCAATTCTGTTTTCTGCTTTCGGCACTCAGGCTAGGCCAGTCTTTCATGTACTTCGCTCTTACGACGCCCTGCTTTACCATGAATTTGCCTTTCTTGCCAAATAGCATACAGCGAGACTGCCATTCCGGTAAGTCCGCTGAAAAAAGTCACATAATAGGCAGACTGGTAGCACTGCAACCCCTCAGTGCAGTCCCTCTGTCCCTGTGGTCCAACAACGCTGTGTTGGTCATAAATTGCACCATAAAGCAAATTGAAGATATTGCCACTAAGCACAGGTGCCAAACTCATTACGCCCCAGTTCTGACTTAGGCCGGAAATGCCGAATGTGTGCGCGACGACAGATGGGAAGACCCCAAATAGGAAGCCATACGCTAGTCCTGTTAGGGATGAGAGTATGTAAAGGTGATTTGGGTTGGAGATGGATGTGCCGGCTATTTGGGTGATTGTAAAGACTGTAGACGAGAGAAATATGCACCAGAAGCGAGACATATCGAGTCTAAGGACGAGAAAGTCGGAGCCAACACCTAGATTTCGGTCAGAATAGGTGTGTATAGCATGAAGATCGCGTGTCTTACCACTCGATAGTCTACCAAGGAAACTGCCGAAAGACAGTAATGAGACATGCAGGACTTGGTGGCGCAGAATAAATTGAGAGTCTGCACTATCGTCGTAATATTTCCACAGCGCTTTTGTCTATTCAAAGTCAGAAAAATAAGTGAAGATATGTTCATGGGTATATTTACATCATTGCCAATATTGCTTAAGGAATGTTAGCTTAATCACACTGATTTCAGAGTTGAAGGGTATACAAGACTCACTTGATAGTCATCAATCCAATGCCCGACAGCAGTGCCATCATAACGAATTGCTGCCAGAACTCGCGTTTCCATAGGAGAGCAAACCCTCTGATATCTGGATAGTGTGAGTCATTTTCGCCAATTTCTTGCTCACTCTGATGAGACTGTATGACATGACCATCATGGTCATGAGGGTATTGCAGGGACTCTGGCTTGGAAACCAGAGACGAGACTTCGTCCGCATCCAATGCCTCCTCAAGCTCTGCACTGGTGCGATGTAACCGTGCAGATGCCGTGATGTCGGTCAAAAGGGGCTGTGCTGATGATGAAGGTAAGGGTGATGAGGCGGAATTTGTTCTTTGCCTACCTATTTCTTGGGGTTGCTCGATGATAAATCGAGAGCCATCTTCAGCGTCACGTCCTGGTACAGCCTTATAGTCCTTTTCTGGAGGAATGATCCGAAGGAACAGTCCAGAAATTAAGACCATGAGTGATGTTCCATCGGCTAATAATAGCAGAAACGGACCGACTTGGCTGCGGAATAAAACAGATGCCATGCTCGAAAAGAAAAAGGCGCTGAGTCCAAGAGCAGCAAGGGGAAACGCCGTGGCTGTCCCACGTTTGTTCGGGAAGTTGCTAGCCGCTGTGATGGTTTAATTAGCATCGCGATATTCGTTCGTTGGCTGAAAGCTCAAATACCTACCGGCTTTGATGGCTGCAGAAAATGCAGCAGAGCCTCCCAGACCGGTAAGCCATGCGAAAAAACACAAGGAGCCAAGCGAAAGATAGTTTGGCCCATGTTGATACGCTTGACAATCATCGATTTAGCTCAAGCTTCAGACGCTAGAGGAGAGCCAAGCATACCAAGGTAAAGAGGATAGTATCCTAGTATAAGTGCGGCGACTCCCATTGGTAAAGTGATTATAGGACCCCTTGTATCAGTCAAATAACCCGTAAAAACTCCCGAGCAGTATAAGCCAATGTTTCCCGCAATACCCTTTCCCATCATTAGCGGGCATGATAACCTCAGGTCGATCCCAGCAGATTCACACGTACAATCATATTGATCTGTTTCGAAGATAGCACCAGGCGTTCGGCAAATTGAGGCGCCCATGCTGAGTATGCATACTATGTTGTGTTGGTTCAGCGGACATCACAGGATATGTAGGTTGTTGACACCTACGTTTGTCCCACTTGCAAGCGCAACCAACGTCGCAGCGACAAGCGAAATGAATCTCTGCGTTTTCAACGATCCGAAAACCATGGTGACATCAAGGGGTGGAACAGATGAGCTTGTCCGCGTGCCCAATGTGTATGATCATGCGGATTGCTTTTCGACGGCCCCAAGAGGAGGATTCGTGCGGTCGTTGACTAGGATGACGACGGCGTCGTTTACTGATCGCTGATAATAATGATAAGGGATGGAAAGGTGTCCGATGCCCTGTAAAGAGAGCACAATTCAGCGATCGACCAAGAGGGACAGCAATAAACGAAGAGAAAGAGACAGAAAGAGAAGCAGAAGCAAAACAAACAAAAAGAACGGAATTTTTAACAATTAGGTGGTGATATTCCAATGAGTCGCATCGCATTACGCGGAGTTATCTCCGACGTGCCCGGCCGCTGATAGGTCAACGGCTCGCTTACCTAATAAGGCACGTGACTATGGGCTCCTCCAAGCTTCGGAGAGCAGCGAGGCATCCGGAGGCAAACATCAACAGCCCGTCGGCAGTGCAAGCACGCAACATATCAAATAGGGAAGCGCACTAGTTGTGAACCCTCACATACGGCAACACTCAAGACAGAAATAGGTCCTCATCATGGGCGCGCTTCTTTCAATTCCGATGCTGGCTTTGCCCAGCGCCGGCACCGTACGTCATTTGCCCGTCTCTGTCTTGTCGCTGCAGTGCTGACTCGTTTAGATATTTTCTGTCGCGGCTTCATGCTGTGGCGCAGCGACATGCTCTGCTGTATGCAGCGCTTGCGGCAAGTTTCAGAGCAGGTATGTGTGAACGTCATGGAGGTTATGGGTTGATGCTAATGTCGCATGTGAATTATAGCATGGCAACGAGAATCGCTTATGCCGTAATCCTACTCCTTAACTCGATTGTCTCGTGGATTATGCTCACGCCGTGGGCTCTAGAAAAGCTAGAGCACCTTACAATGGATTATATGAAGATTCGATGCGACGGGAAAGAGTGTCATGGCTGGGTCGCCGTCCATCGCATCAACTTCGGTCTTGGCCTCTTCCACCTGATTCTCGCTTTGCTACTTCTCGGTGTGAGGTCTTCCAAAGACAGCAGGGCCGCCTTACAGAATGGTTTTTGGGGTCCAAAAATACTTGTCTGGATTGGCTTCGTCGTCATGTCATTCTTCATCCCGGAATCCTTCTTCTTTGTCTACGGCCACTACATCGCTTTCGTTGCTGCCATGTTATTCCTACTTCTTGGCCTCGTCCTGCTTGTCGACCTTGCTCACTCATGGGCCGAGCTCTGTCTGGAAAAAATTGAAGATAGCGACTCTCGCCTTTGGCGGGGGTTGCTGATCGGCTCTACCATGGGAATGTATATTTCATCGATCGTCATGACAATTCTGATGTATGTTTTCTTCGCCAAGAGTGGTTGCTCAATGAACCAGGCTGCGATTACCGTCAATTTGGTCGTCTTCTTGATCATTTCCTTTATCTCGGTGCAGCCCGCAATCCAAGAATATAATTCTCGGGCCGGTTTGGCGCAGGCTGCCATGGTTACCGTATATTGCACCTACTTGACAATGTCTGCCGTGTCTATGGAACCTGATGATCACCAATGCAACCCTCTTCTCCGTGCTCGTGGCACCAGGAACGCCAGCATTGTCCTCGGTGCAATCGTCACCATGGCTACGATTGCTTATACCACTACTCGCGCTGCTACGCAGGGGATTGCCCTTGGATCCAAGGGTGGACACAACTATTCTGCACTTGGAACAGACGCAGATGAGCATGGCCTTGTGACTACTCAACCCACGGCTCGACGTGAAATGAGAGCGGAGGCCCTCCGTGCTGCTGTTGAAAGCGGCAGTCTTCCTGCCAGTGCTTTGGATGAGAGTGATGATGAAGACGAAGACTATGATGTCAAGGATGATGAGCGCGGGTCAACCCAATATAACTACTCTTTATTCCACATCATCTTCTTCCTGGCTACAACATGGGTAGCTACTCTACTTACGCAGAGGTTGGACCCAGAGACTGAAGGCAATTTTGCACCAGTCGGTCGAACCTACTGGGCTTCTTGGGTCAAGATCATTAGTGCATGGGTTTGCTATGCGATCTATTTGTGGACGCTTGTGGCTCCAACACTTATGCCTGACCGATTCGACTACTAGGATTGGACGAGTTGACGTTATTTTATGCCGGCGTTTTGTTTGGTTGAATTAGGTACTTCATATCACTTCTATCGACGAAATTATTAGCATGTATTTAGTACTTTAGCTACAGTTACACTTTGCTTACTGTATTAACGCCATTATCATAGTTTGAAGAGCCTTCCCATGTATTTAGTAAATGCAGAATGGTAACAATCTCGAGGTTGTATGCATACGGGATAGAAGTACTTCTCATACTTAAAGGCCTATCGTGGCGTAAATTCGGGAACTATTTCAAGCCCTGATACATAGTGGCTTCTGAATTTACTGTCTCACCAATTCTTGCCTCCTGATTGCCTGAAATCTGGGTGGCCAAATAGATGTTCCCTTTGAATTCGGACGGCCGATCTTATTGCCAGGGTGGATATCCCCGATTGTCCGTGACTTTCACGTTGCCTATGCAGTTTTAGTCATACAACCTTTATTGTTGGACGTCGCATCTATATTATTGAGGGGACCCCGAATTCCCCGAATTCCGCTGGTCAGTCAAACCATACCCCACACTTTCTCCACATGATGGCATCATTGCATTAGCGGCGATCCGATCTATATGTATACCTACCTCAGCATTATACGGAGTATCATGGGCATTCTTGTGTTGTAACCATTAAGAACCATAATAACAAGACTGTGCATGCTCTCAGCTTGCTAGCCTCTACAGAGAAGGACATAATCACCAACTACATTACTGTTCAGGTGAGGGATCTCAACAAACGTGATCATATCAAGCATCTCACTTATTTCTACATCAGCCTTGTCCTAAAATGCCACCCACCGTTGCAGAACTTGTTGGCCGCAACAACAAGACCTTAACAACGCACATACCAGCGTTATCCTTCAAAGAGAATGCCGAAGCGGGTATTGGTCCACCCAGGGTAGTAATAATCAGCTGCGTTGACCCCCGCGTCACTCCTGAGAAGTACTTCAGACTTAACCCCATGGAAGCTCTTGTTTTTCGCAACATAGCCGGTCATCCACAGTCTTGCTGGAAGGACATTGCGACTCTGGACACCTTCCTGATTGAGTTTTTCAAGAACAGCGGTCTTGAGCAGCTCATCGTTGTGCATCACACTGGTATGCACTTTTTAGAAATATTCCATTTCTTACGCGTGGTGAGCGAGACGCTAAGATTATTTTAGACTGCGGTTCTACTGTTTTCACAAATGACATGATCAGACAAGGCCTTCGGAAGAGACTTCCAGAAAGCCGCGAGATCGCCGAGATGGACTTCGGTGCCGTGTCTACGAGGTATTCTAATCCCATATCTTTCTATCAGTCAAACTAACACCATGCGTAGCATTGAACAGAGCGTAAGAGATGACCTGGCGTGGCTGGAAACGACGCCTTTCATACGCAAGGAACTAGCAGACAGCGCTACGGGGTTTGTTTATGATATCAAATCAGGCAAACTTCATCAAGTTTAGTGTTAATATTGCAGCCTAGCACGGTCCTTACCTTAATTTATGGGGTCAAATAAAATGTTTCTATTAAGCTATGAGTTCAGTGCACTCATCAGTAGTTTAAAAGTTTATAATTTAACGCCCTTACGTTTGGAACCTTATCTACTGACAAAGAGGCTTGAGACCAATTTGCAACACAATATTTACGTAAACATCGAAATTCTAGGCGTGTCTATCAGAAAACTAAGAAGGGTTGCAATCTTGAATAGTGTCTGAATAAACCACTCTCAGCAACCTTATCCTTCCTGATGTTGCGCACTGTGAAGATGAGAAACTAACTATATAGCTTCTCTCTTGGCAACTTCCAGTGTCACTCGGAATTTCTCGCATTTAGCCATCAATTCGCCTCTCAGCAAGAAGATAGCATAACTTTCACCAGCAATACCAATCAGTTCATTATCCTCAAGGTCGCCAACATAATCAGGTGAGAAAAGCTTCACGGCGCCTGCTGGCCCTAGTATTATTCGTTCGGTCACTTGAATAACAATATTGTCGTTGAATCGTCCGAGAGCGACTTTGTAATATGCTTTAGCACGTCATAGATATCATAAACTACCTAAGTCTTCATTCCCGAGATAAACTTCTTTCGACACTACATCAAGGTCGAAGTTCGCACCATTTACGAATCCAGGAAAATCCAATCTCGTGCTAACACGTTGTTGACGGATAGCGGTCAGGTTGTCTGCAAAATAGTGGTTGACTGTCTGTAGAATACCACCCCTCTCATCGTCGAGAATTTGCGATATCTGCTCTTCTGCATGTGTAGTTGAAACTTCTTCTCCATGCAGAAGTCGACGGCCGAGCTATTCTCTAATACCAGTATCAGGGACGAGACGGTAAATCGGTCCTTCGTTGGATGCACGAACAGAGGTTACTTTTTTTTTTTTCTTCCCGAATACTCCGTGGCAATATTCCCCCAATTGGAAGACTGCTAGTGAAACATGTTCTCAAGGACCCCTGGATTAACCGTCCCGGGTAACTCTGATCCACAGAGACATACGATATAGCCCTCGTATCCACTCATAAATATCTTCTTCCTCCTGGACGTCTTTATCTCGTACAAAAATTCTATCGGGGGTTCCATTGACATCACGGAAGACTTTCGTGTGTCCTGTCCGCGTCATAGCCAACACAAATTCATCATTCAAGTTCCTGATACGCATGCGAAGTTTCAGCGGGCTATCTGGTTCAAAAGCTGGGCTGTAATTACCGCTGAGTGCATTTCCGAGCTCATGTTGGTATGCGGTAACAAGACGCGTCTGAAATCGCCTCTCATCTCCCGTAGTGTGCCGTGACGGTCCTAAAGAATCCCAGCTCTTTCTGAGTATTCACTGAAAGCTCCTCGATATCCTTCAGTACACCGGGGAATTCATTCCGTATATGATCATACAGAAGACCACCAAGGAACTTTTTCAGGGCATAATTTCCAACCCGATCTTTTCTGAGTTCTGTCCACGGAGCAACATTCTCGAGAAATTCTTTCACTCCATCCTTGATATCCTTAGCTGAGCGGTTTTTTAACCGCGAACCACCCGTAGGTGAGTCGCTCAACCTCATTCTTTGCAATGCGAAGCACCTATCACACAAAGTTAAATAAGAAAGACAATCCTGTGTTCAGTAACCTACGCCTTGTTCCTCCCCGGGCTGCAGCGCATCGCACTTTGTGACAATTCCAACAGTTCATTGACCAGCAGAGTCAGCAATACCACGGTTGCTCGGCAAGGGTTCAACCGGCAAGCTCGCAGGCGGTCTAAGAGTAAATACGCAAGAGCAACTTTTTTTTTTTTTGAGGCTTAGTTATTACCATACCAGTGTTCTATGAGGCTGTTTGCTGAAGCCTAGAAGTCTATCGTTACACACCCTGGAAAGCAAGCGGCCTCGGGATGGGAGCTTCCACAGATATGAATGTAAATTTATACACAGTACATAAGCTACCTAAGTAAGCCACACATATACAATTCCCCGGCCATCAGCTCACTCAACTTTGATATTCCAGGCTGTATTTACTATTACCATTCACACCGATTCTAAGACAGTCTGGTTACTAGTGCTTACTGATGATCGCGTGATATTCCATCTACACAACGTAAGACAAAACAGCCACGACGTTGCTGCCTAGTCGGTGGTATTGTCTTTCCTCAACATTATTATATTATAAACAGACTTTGTTTGATGAAGAGGTCGACATCAAAACTCAAATACCCTCAAAACGGTGAGAGTTCACCGTGCTATCTATCGAAAAGTCGACAGCTTCACAATGTCCACATTCACTGTCCCTGAATTCATCCCCGCAACAAGCGGTATTTACAAGTTCTCTACCACCACCGATACAGAGCATGACGGACCTTCGATGGGCTGGCTCATTACCAACCAGAAGCTTGCCACCAGATTCACTCAAAGCAAATCCTCGACTGTGAGGAGTTGACACTGCTACAACAATACGTGCAAGACCCTAAAGGCGTCCGTCACATACTAGAATCGAAGGATGCCAAAGACAATTCGAGTCTGGTTTCCCATGCCATCCGCAATAAAGGCTTCTCGGAGCAAGATGTGGAAATGTTGAAGCAGTGGTTTGAAACCGGGGTGCTGGAGAAATAGTAGGCTCCGGTTATACCTAAATATTGATCGGATTACCATGAGGCCAGCTCTTTACGGATGAAGTGATTATTCCTAATGAACTGCTAGTGTTCTTTGGAATGAGAGTATCCCTCTCTTCTTAGACGGGGAATCAAATGTCTTCGCGCAATGCTACACTGGTGGTAGTGCCGTGCCGCCTGTAATAGCCAATCGAGAGCCTCCTTCCAATGTATCATTTCTGTTCGATGTGAACGTGTTTACCTATCGGTGTATTAGAAACAAGTTATGATAAACTTTGGGATACAATTTCTTCTTGTATTCAGGCATCAGCCAGTGACTCCCCGTATCATCCTATCAAATAAAGTCTACTGGATCGCCGCCAAACCGTCGGAAGAACATGCTGGTGATGATTGGGCTTCGGATTTCAATGACCGAGGTCGGAAGTATCAAGACAGCGTCGAAAAGTATAGGAATGGCTACCGGTTTTGGCCACGCCGTACATCTCTGTTGTTCCTGCAGGCAAATCTGTTTATAGTCCGAAACTGATTAGGGCTAGGGCTGCGGCACGTCTTGCCACGATCTTGTCAACCATTCATTGCCCAATGCTATGAACAGTATAGGTAGGCTGTGCATTCTATATGATCCCCTTCCGTGCGGACTCTAGCACATACGACCATAGGGTGTGGAAAACAGGGCTTCCCGTCCGCTCAGCCGTACTTAAGCCACACGCCGGCCGGTTAGTAGTTGGGTGGGTGACCACCAGCGAATCCCGTCTGTTGTATGTTCTTTTCTTTTTTGCCCCGTTTTTGGAAAACTTCCTCCTATAGAGGACTAGCGTGCTCCTTATACCGGGGGTTTCTCGTTGTTGTCCCTCGGTATTAGCATGCCAGGCTGGGTGAGCACCGGCGGATCTCGTCAATTGTATGTTTTTGGTGTATACTTTTCTTCCTATTCATTTCAGCTTATCAGGACCTCCTCGTATTCGGCTAAACCTTCCTATGTCAACTTACCCCTATTATTTGATTTTGTAGAACAAGATGTACAGCCTGCCGAGACTTTCAAGTACTTTGGTCTGTTTTGATACATTTTTCAACCTTGACCAGCCTCGCGCGCCACAAACCTCCTCGTCAGAGGAAGAGAATTCAATAATTGGGTGGAGAGGTTTAGTAGCCTTTAGCTTTGCAATACTGACCCATTTACTGGTATTGTCTATTCCCGCACTCCCGCAAGATTTGCTATGACCGTTTCTTTTTAACCAATGATTTTTTTGTCTTCGCATAATTTCAGAAAGATTCAGCCAAGGATGCGGCAAACATTTATGCTTCGAGATCCTAGTTATGTGAAAGTCAACTATTATTGGCCAATATCCGTCAACTCTCGCACTGGCATCATTCTCTCATTTGCGGCTCCGGCAGAAAAATCCCGATTCCAAAACCAGCGTTGGGCGAGATCTGGGTCTAATCTGTCCTCAAGCATCTGCACTACATACTTTCCCAGTATAGGCAAGAATTTCCATGCATGAAAAGATCCTCCAGTCGCTATGAAAAGGTTTCTGCAGTGCGGGTGAGCGCTGATAATGAAGTTTTGATCCGGCGTAATAGCATCCCTAGATAGAATGGAATCAGTGGAAAAAGAAAAGAAAAATCAAAAGAAAAATCATTAGATAACTTGCTATCTACAGCTGAGATCAAGGGTCAGATCTAGTGTATGCTTACCAGCAAATCCGGCGGTCCTCAAAGGAATGGTTCCTTGTTCCATCACCTAGAATACTCTCTCTAACAGCGGCGAGCGCGCGATTCATTTCAGCCGACAGAACGGAGTAAGTTGACATGCAATCCTCCGGAGGCATCGAAACGTAGACTTTGCTGAAAATCTCGACCGTATTCGTAAAACTGATATCACACGTGATTTTCAGTTCATTCTCTGTGTTGGGCGGTATAATTGCTCCTTTATGGCCAGCTCCATTAGCCTTTTACCTTTCCGTTTTACACCCGTTCTCGTTAATTTCCCATGATTCAGTATGATGGCTGATTGATCTGGACATATGATGACCATCTTACCTTGAGATTTACCTCCAGCGAAGAGAAAAGCGGGAGCGGATCGTAACTGGCTCGCTTCATTCTGACTGAGTCTTAAGATCCCTGTGATGAGTCCTGCTGCTGAGAGACGACTGCCTACATGGAGCTCTGGAATCTCTGGAACACTTTCTATGAGTAAGATGATCTGGCCATCTACAGTCTGAGCACCAGTACAGACATGTCCATCGTCATCAAAAATCAGTCTAGCAATTTCTGCTTCAATATGCTTCACAACTCCGGTGCAAACGGCTGCATCGATGACATTCTGTAAAGTCTTGTTTGCCTCGACCCAGCCACTGCTCGCGTTCAGAAAGATTTCGTCAATATTGTCCAGATCTGCACGCGAGAATAGTCCATTATGAAGGCGACGAATCTCGCTTGGGGGCACCAGGCGGTATTTTGCGTCATTGTCGTCCTCGACTATTCCGAGATGCTGATAATTAGCGATCACGTCTTTCGCAAAATTGGTTTTGTTCATATCAGCCCAAATCAACCCGGTTTCGTGATAAATCTCCTTGTACAGCGAGTCTGACCTCCATAGATGCTTGGCTTCAAGGGCAAGTCGGGTGTAAAGCGGACCAGCATAATCAGCTCGAATGACTTTAGACTGATCTTGGGACGCAGACGTGTGGTAAGGAACGACCGGTCGGTCGACAAGAATAATCTTGATAGGCTCGTCTGTGGCTGGCGGTAAATACTTTTTCGCGAGATGTAAAGCAGTGGAAGCACCGAAGACTCCAGCGCCAATTATCAGGTATGAAGCGTGAATTTCGGATGACATGTTCGAATGATGAAGGCTGCTTGTAGACTATTCTGCTGGAAGTGGTGACTTGATAACATCAATAAACAGTCCATGCTAAAAGATTGACCATTTTCAGACTTATATGAAAACTAGACAGGTGCCTATACGTTTTGACCCCGCCCCTCTAGAGCAGCAGACATGTTGCTATACGTTGGAACTAAACAGGTGCTACCTCACATTTCAGTATAGCGAGTTGCACTCTACGCTTTACCCAAGATCTTTATAAAGCATAGTGACTCCAGTGAAAGTGCTCGTTGTTTCCGCCGAAATTGTCAAGGGTGAAGCCATATTCCAGGGTGTTCTTCACCTATGCTCTGTGATTGTTGGTTGTTGATTCAGGGTTAGGTCAAGTGCGGATGCGATTTATTGGTGGATCCGCTCTCACCCGCGAATTCGACGTTCTACAGCTCCAAAACACGGCAAGACGCGTGCCACATCATGGATCAGCTCGCTGAATATTCTAGCCTTTAGCGAGCTTTGCTTATTTATTCGAATCCAAAGAGCCGTACTGGCACGCGTACGGACAACACGATTCCAACGACACCGCAGAATGGCGCGATGATGGCCACGATCAAACCTATCGAGGGTCGCTCGGTATGCTTGGCCTTGACCTTTTTTCATGTGATGCGCCGCTGATATGGGAGCAGGTCCATCAAATCCAGTCCGGCCAGGTCATCGTAGATCTCTGCTCAGTGGTGAAGGAGCTTGTGGAAAACAGTCTTGACGCAGGCGCTACCTCGATTGGTATGAACTCCTACAAATATGACCTCGTGCCGTCCTTGCCTCCGCCAGCTGGCCGCATGAGCTAATTACTACTGTGTATATAGAAGTACGGTTCAAGAATGACGGTTTAGACTCCATCGAAGTCCAGGACAATGGGGGTGGAATAGCACCCGAGAATTATGAGAGCATAGGTATGACTTGCAAGAACTCCGCCGAATGTTTGGATTGAAACTCACATCTTTTTTTTTTGCTAGCTCTCAAACATTATACTTCGAAGCTTTCTTCCTACGATGACCTAACCTCCTTGACGACCTTCGGCTTCCGCGGCGAAGCGCTCTCGTCCCTATGTGCCGTATCCAACTTCCATGTTATCACTGCCCAGGCGCATCAAGCGCCGAAAGCGAACAAATTAGAATTCGAGCAGTCTGGGAAACTTAAGGGTACTCAAATAGTGGCCGGGCAGAAGGGAACTATCGTGTCTGTTGCGAACCTGTTTAGCAGGCTTCCCGTGCGTCGAAAAGAGCTGGAAAAGAATATCAAGCGTGAATTGGCGAAGGTGGTCAACCTACTCAATGAATATGCTTGTATCACAACTAGAGTGCGGTTCAACGTGAAAAACACGGATGCGAAACGAAGACAGGTGGTGCTCTTAACGACCAAAGCGAATTCAACCGTGAAGGACAACATCGCGAATGTCTATGGTGCCAAAACACTGTTGACGCTGATTCCACTTGCATTGGAGCTGGAATTCGAGCCGTCAGCAACTGGAAAAAGATTGAACCGGGAACTTAACAAGATATACGTCAAGGGTTACATATCACGCCCTGTTGTAGGAGAAGGCAGAGGAACTCGTGATCGTCAAATGTATTACGTCAATTCGCGGCCATGCGGCATCCCGCAGATTGCTAAAGCTTTTAACGAAGTGTACAAGTCCTACAATATTTCTCAAGCACCATTCGTACTTGCGGATTTTCAGATGGATACGAGTGCATACGATGTGAATGTCTCGCCGGATAAGCGCACTATTCTTCTACATGATTCTGCTGCGCTTATCGAATCGCTAAAAGAAGCATTGGATAATTCATTTGAAGAGGCTGAACAAACAGTCCCGCAGTCTCAATTCACTACTAACAAGCAGCAATCTGATATCCAACAGCGGCTTCAGGAATCCCCTATCAGAGCTACTTTCGAGAAAGGAGGAATAGAACCTATTCCCGTCCGTAACGAAAGTCGTCGAGATACGATGGATCACACGGAAGCTCTATTTGAACATGGCACCGAAGATAAACCGGAGAAAGAAGGAATCACCGAAAAAGAAAGGCCAATAGCTCTTGAACAAGCGGACAGCCAAGTCACTAGTACTGAGCCAGATGCAGACGTGGAAGATGTAGATGAAGATGCCGGTCATGCCGATGACGCAGTCAATAGGATACGAGCACAAGCTGCCCAGCTCACCCCCCAGCCAAATGAGAGGCGGATCCCAAGGTTACAAAACCCCTCTCCAGTGGAAAGAACAAGCGTGATTCAGAACGCTTTTGACCGAATGCGCCCAAGACGACCGCCGGCTGAAGTTGCCACGATCACTATCGGCGATAAAGTTACCACATCAGTGGTTGGTCATGGCTCGTTACGGAAGAGGGATTCTTCGTCTGCAGGCTATATTGAAGGCACACGCCAGTCAAAACGTAGAATTCATACTCCTTCGAAGCCCAACATCTTCAGCCAAAATTTGAAGTCTTTCGCAGCTCCGGGTACACAACCTGATGTTGACAGGGCCGATTCTCAAGAAGATATCGATGAATACGAAGAGAATAGTGATGAGGAGATGTCAGAAACTGCCCAGTCACCAGTTCATTCTCCAGATGAACCGGTGGACACAGAGTCAATTGAAGATAGTGAACCTAGTGGAGATGAACAAGGAAATATCCCTCCATCGGATAACACCATTCATAAGGCCGATGGCGATGTTATTGGGGAGACAGAGAAAAAGGCCCAAGAAGATGCTAAAGTCCAAGAGCTTATTCGAAAGGCAGAGGAAAAAGGCGGACTGAATAGTGAAAGTCACATAAAACGTGGCAAGTATATTGAAAAGGAACAGCAAAGCCAGAAAAATTCAACGACATGCCTTCTTGCGACACTCAACAGTTCTATCGCTCGAGTCCAGACTCAAATGGAGACGCTACGGGACTTGCTAGGGTCCTATACGAGCGCGAAGGAGACCAAAGATGATGATGAATTGTTCGTTCAACAAAAAACTGGGGAAGAACGTCTCTCATTGACAGTGTCGAAAGACGATTTTGCGAAGATGCGAATTGCAGGGCAGTTCAATCTAGGATTTATACTGGCTACCCGCTCACAAGGAGTCGACGAGCCAATGGCGGGTTCAGAAGATGAACTGTTCATCATTGACCAGCATGCCTCTGATGAGAAATACAACTTTGAACGACTTCAGGCAGAAACAGTTGTGCAAAATCAACGCCTCGTGCATCCGAAAACACTAGACCTGACGGCGGTCGAAGAAGAAGTTATTAGAGAGAATAAACCGGCTTTTGAGAAAAACGGCTTCGTTATCGAAATAGACGACAGTGGTAACGAGCCTATTGGCCGACGGTGCAAGCTTATATCGCTCCCACTTAGCAAAGAAGTCGTCTTTGACATTCACGATCTGGAAGAGCTTATTGTTCTATTATCCGAAACTCCGACTGGTGCGGCAGTGAATACACTTAAATCTGATACATATGTACCTCGGCCCAGCAAAGTTCGGAAAATGTTCGCTATGCGTGCTTGTCGATCAAGTATAATGATAGGCAAGACATTGACAGTCAAGCAGATGGAGAAAGTGGTGCAAAATATGGGATCAATTGATAAGCCTTGGAACTGTCCTCATGGACGACCGACAATGCGGCATTTGATGAGTTTGGGCTCTTGGGATGAGTATAATGAGTACAGCGAGCAGACTTCTATGGCAGATGACGCTCGCAGTCCCTGGCAAAGATTTTATGATTGGCAATATCAGCAGGATGACGAAGAGCAAGAAGGGGGAGAAAATGGAGAAGACGAGGAGGAAGATGTATAACTTGCTATATAATATTTTCCAATTTAGGTTAGAATATTTGAAATGCATAATAATCATAACAGGTCATTGCAATCATGAGTTCGTAACATTTCTGGTTCTGTCTTTTACCACCACCATTTCCACCATCCACTAGAGGCCTTCTTGCCATTCTCTTCGCCTGCCTTGACCAGCTGCTGCTGTTCACTACCTTCCTCCACCGGTGAATTATTCTTCCCCGAAGATTCCGATATCGTGCCTGACGTAGCTGACGTTCCTGTCATACCGGATGCCGCAGAAGATATATCGTCAATTATATCGACGGGCTTTTTATTCCTAGTTCCGTTCTCTCTTTCAGTCGAGTTTCCTTCATCCTCCTCTTGCTCCAGGAGATGGTCTTGCTGGTTCTGTCCCTCCTGTTCTGTCCCTCCTCCGTCTCCTCCAACATCTTCCTCCTCCCCATCATCTTTCCCACCCTCAACTAATCTAAGAACTTCTTCAACGACTAGTAGATCCCTCTCAATCATCTCGGCCCAGTTTTGCACATCGCCTATCTCCTTCAGGCCTTGGCGGGCAGTGTCGACCACTCTGTCCCATTGGTCATTCTGCTTAGCCAAGTCCGCTGTATGTTTGGTAAGGTCATTCTCCTGTTTCTGAATTGCTGCCGCGTTGCCATGTAGATCTGCGGCGCGGGCACGAAGGTCAGACGAGACCGTCTGGCCGACTGAGTGTAGAGAGGCAGTGAAAGCGGTACGGGCTTCAAGCGTGCGTCGGGCTGCGTCGGGGCCTTGACGCTGGTTTGTGAAGTATGTGGGCGAAGAGAGCAACGAAGACTGCTGCTGCTGTTGTTGCGTAGTTGGCGTGGAGAATGGAAGGGAGGATATGTTGGTTTTTGAGGAAGATGATGTCGTCGTTGTGGTAGGATGAGTTGAAGCAGAAGATGATGAAGATTTGTCCTTTCCAGATTCCTGAAGGGACGACATGGCCAACTTGTAGTTTACTCCAGGTTATCAGAAACTTGCTAGAAGTTGTTTGATGGTTTGGTTGTCGATTTAAAGCTTCTATATTAAGCTTCACTTGTGTTCCCGCTCTTGGATGGGTGGATTTGCATCTTATTCGTTCGTAGTGCGGCCCGCGTGAGTTTATGTGGGGATAAGAGCCTGAGGCATCTGTCCGTGCCGATCGAATCTAAACAGCAAGAATTATTACTATGAATGCTTGGTAGGAAATTGTCAAAAAAGGTAGTGACTAGCTGCGCAAAAATCACGAATGCAGATTATATGATACTAGAGTAGTCTACCCAGATAATACATGTATACATAACTTCAAGAACATTGGGCACGATTAGTTTAGGCACCAGCAAGCCATAATTAGGTTCCAGTAGAGTGGCCATCGGATATGTCACAGAAAATGAAAAGATCAAAACACCGTGTTTTTGCTCCATATTGCAAAATAACATAACCCGCTAAAAGAAATTAGAAGACAATGAAAACATGAGATCGATACATGTAGAAAAGGGGAGTTAAAATGAGAAGGAAATATGTGCGATTCCACATCACATGTTGGCGAGTTCTTGATCGATTTGGGTATCAACAAATGTGCGCCGCTCACCAGCCAGTTCGGTCTGGAGGCGTTGTTCAACAAGAGCTCTCACTAGCGATCAGTCAGTACATGTAAAAAATAACATTGCAAGAAAATACTCGAATTATCATACCTTGCTTCTTTGTGACATTATCTAGATCAACCTCGGCCAGAACCTGACGAATAGCATCGACAATTGTCGCATCGTCCGGTCCGTGACCGGGTCCGCTTCGGAAATCCATAACGGTGCTTACAGGCCGAGGTCCATAAGCACCGCCCAATGGGCTCCGTTGTCGATTTGGAACACCCAGAAGGTTTTCAGAGCTCTGCATCATAGGCATGCTTAGCCGGCTTGCGTTCACCGGATTATCTTGGTAGCTGGTGCTGATGTTGCCCATTGACATGTGACGCTGAGCGTGACCACCAAGTTGAGGAGCATCGGTATATCGTGTGAAACTAGACATACGCGAATTGCGGTTGTTGCCAGCGAAGGGCGCCGGTGACTGAGGCGGCATGTATGGGCCCCGTCCACCAGGGAATCCTGTCAAGACCGTCGATGCTGGCTTCACTGAAGAATAAGTAGAACGGAAATCGTCCATTTCCATTGCAGTCTCATCGGCATAAGGGGGCAAGTATCGTTTCTCCTCGCTGTAGTCGAAATTTCCACGTCGGCCAGGCAGGTTGTTGGCGAGCGCATAATCGTCCCATCGCTGGAGAGGAATGCTTCTAGGATCAAAAACTTCATCCTCCACGGCAACAACACGTTGGTCGCCCTTCTCCCCGATCACGACACGAGTATTACCCCATGTGAAATCATCCTGTTTCCAAAATGAATACATCGGCAATATCACACTGTATATTGGGTAAGCACACAGGTATATAAGCATCCAACCGATATGTTGCCATTGGCGTTTGAGAAGGAAGAGCACAGCCTGTAGACCATAAACAGCAGCCAACAAGACAATGGATATGACACCGAAAGTTCCTTTGTGGCTGGCCACGAGATAAATGAGATACACCAGATAGACGCAGGTGGCGGGAAGGATAAGTGTTCCCATCAGATCAATCATGACAATGAAGCGCATACCGAAGCAGCAGAAACCGCAAAGGTCTTTGAGAGCGGCTACTTCTACTAAATTATGCACCGTAGAGTTGATCCAGCGACGTCTCTGGGACAAGAGCACGCTCCATGTCTCTGGAGCAGCGGTACTGGCAAAGGCGTCGGGGATGAACTTGTAAAACATCGTTGGGAAGTGTTTTGACATGAGCGTCGTAAGGAATCGATCCTCTCCTAGAGACAGAAGGTTTTTCTTGTGCAAAGTGTCGAGATCGCCTTCGGAATATTCTTGAATAACGTTGTCCGAGATGATGAGGGGGCGACCTTTGTCAGCAGTTCGAAGGCGATACATACAGAAACTATCAATCGCCAATTCTTAGTAACCACGAAAAAGTTCAATGAAGTTGTGCAAGTTCTAACTCACCATCCTGGAAGACACGTGACGCTTCCGAATAAGGATTCAAAAGCCTTGGCCAAATGATGAGAAATATAATACTCGTAAACCTGGATCATGGTCCACCAGCTTCCTTCCTCATTCTGTAGACTGGTTTCGCCACAAATGCCAGCAATTCGGGCATCATTAACGCAGGCTGCCACTAGTCGGTTAAGCGAATCTTCTTTGACACTCGTATCGGCATCGACCATGAGAAGAAATTCATAAAGTTCAGGGTCGACACCAATGACATTGTTAATCTGGTGAAAGATTTCTAGTTCCAAAGGTGACATCGGCGCTCTGTAATGCACACGATTAAGGAAGTTAAGTAAAAGGATTTGTGAATCACGTTTTCCGCGATTTCCTGGCTTGGATTTCGATTGTTCCGATTCCTTTCCGACTTTGACGATGACAATGTATGGGACAACGTTGCCCTCAAATTCATACAGGCCGGAATAGACCTTTCCGTAGTTAAGCTGATCACTTCCTTCACCGATGGACTTGAAAGGCAGTGCCGGAGGATCAACTTTTGGGTCTACGCCGAGGACGTCAAGTACGATCTTTGGAGTTGGGCGATCATTCCCACCACCGACAATCATTCCGTCACATATCACACATATAAGTTTCCTTTTGTTATCATACTGAAGAGCCGTGAGTGAATCCAAACCCTTTCGGAGCGCATCTTCGCCTTCTGTGTACGCTGGAACCTGACAGATGACGAACCTGTCTTGAGGAACTGGGCGTGGTTTAGAACCGAATTGCAGTGCAGCCAAGAATTTCACCAAAATAACAGCGCAAACAAGAATTGTAAAGGCTAGTAAGATCCAGTTATTGACTGTGCACCTTGCCGAACCTCTGAAATCAACTTCTCCAACATAAAAGACGTTCTTCATGCAAGTAAGCGCATTTTGGAACGAGGTAGAGTTCTGCCACTTGCTGGTGATATCTGAGCCCATATTATCTTTGACCAGAGTTGTTACTGCACTAGGCAGAAAATCATAATCTGAATTATCGTCAAACAAGGTTGCTGTGTAGAAGTAATTGGTCAAATCATAAACACCGTTATTAATGATCACCCAATACCTGGAGTCATCATTGGCCTGTTGAGTAATGGTATCCTTCGACCAGACCAGAGGCCCTTTGTAGTACTGATGGATGAAGGGCAAAAAGGTATCAGCGTACCAAGTTATGTTGTACAATGCTGACGTAGTATCGGATTGCAGATAAGGACCACTGTTGTGTAAAGCTTCTGACTCAGCTACGGCATCGGTATTGTTGTTTTGAAGATAGATACGGTCAGAGGTCACAAATGCCGGGCACCCTTGAGTCAAGGGAACGGGAAAGTATGCATCTAGAATCTGACCTGCAGCCCATTGCATGTTCGACGCACTCGTTGTAATGCTCGTGTCACTGTGCTGCAAGCGCCAGAATTTACTGATATCATAGACCACACCCCGGACGCCCACGTAAAAATCATTGTCGCCCTGGTTTTCGCTGAGTTGTTTCTCGTTGTATACTTTGTCTTTATTGGGGCAGAGCAAGTTTCCGAATGCAATGATCCAAAACACCATAAGGGCATTGAATAGGACAATGAGGGTGACAAGAACGAGTTTTTCTCGCCAAGCCATGCGGACGTCAGGTCGCTTCATGCGCCCTACATATCGTAGGAGGAATGATGGAATCCAAAAGGTAGCCGCCCAGACGAATGCAGCCCAAAGACGTCGGCCGAGGGTAATTTTCTTCTTCTCGATATGCTTACGCTGGGCGATTTCTGGGTCATCTCCAGCAAGACGACTCAGCTCAGCCGCATAGTATGCATCGTCGCCTCTGTGGTCATCACCTTTGGGGCCCAGTCCGTAGTCACCACCAATGTTATGTAGAGTGTGTGTATTAGTCGGGGCGAGAGAACGAGCAACGCCTGGGGACATAGCACCCTGCCTATTGATATTGACAAGATGTTCGGAACTTCCTATGAAGCTACCATTATCAGCCATGGGCATCGGAGGGAAAAAGCCCGAGCCGTTTGGATTCGGGGGTGTAGCAGAGTAGCCGCTTTCAAAAGGATTTGCTGGTAGCACGGGAGAGTGGCTATGAGGTTTGAGATCGAGCATCGACTCAGCGTCCCACCAAGCGTTTTCACGCATCCAAATTCTCTCGTGGCCAACAATTACATCTCCATTACTCCATCCTCTTTCCAAAATCCAGCTCTCAACACCATCCTTTCCTTCCTTGCAGCCCAGAGGTGAATATCGGGTTACAAACTCGTCCACATCAAAGTCAGCAGTGAAATCGAGTTGTTTATGGCGTCTGTTGGCCCATTCAGGTAAACGCCAGTCTCGTAGTTGACGGGAAACTGCACCGGCTGACCATGCGGATGTATTTTGTGCCAAAGTCTCAGGATAATCGTCTGTAGGATGAAGAGAAAGATGGTACCATACTCTGCTACTACCGAGAGTTGAGGCAAGGTCAAAACGCCCGCGTGTTCCCACATTTATACCCTCATTCTCATTCGGGAAAAGGATTTCACGGAGAAAGCCGCCCATTTCCACCTCAATCCCAACTTTCTCCAGTACAGTTTGCCGTCTGTCATTGAGATGTTCGCGCTCACGAAATGCAACGCTTTCGGCGATTCCAAGTTCGGCTTCAACCTCGCTGACAGCGTTGTGCATTTCATTTAGAACAGATTGACCAGGGCTATTAATCTCCACACCATCCTCTTTCATTTCAGCATTGATACCTTGATTATCGTTAAAGACACCCTGAAGGGCAACAGCCTTGCCCAGAGGCGGGCTTGGGATATCGATGACAGTAATAGTCACGGTGTCAGAAACATCTTCGGTGTGCCAGGGAGCCCCCGAGCCATCACTCGATCCATTCTCCTGGTCAGCTCGGATTTGCGTGGCGATGGCTTCGTTGGCCTTGGATATAACCCAGTCGACCAAGGCTTCGTAGATGCCTGTGACAAGGATAGTGCGATCATCGGTAGAACAACCACGGAGCAAGATGTCAGGATCAACACCCAAAAGTTCGGCCGCTTCCTCGCAAACTTGCTCCAGGTCTTCCTCATCCACGAGGAAACCCAGTGTATTTCCCAGCTTAAGAAGACCAGCTAACACTGATAGCAAGCCTCTTTGCGAGGAGCCTCTTATACCGATGGCTTTGAGGGCAGATCTAAAGTCTTCAGCGGCGGCAGCATCGTCTGCAGTTGGCAAGAACGAAGGGGGATCGTAGGTCCCAGACTTATTGAGAATGGAATACGCTGAACAATCATTCAAACTAAGGTACTCTCGTTCTGCTTGGCTAGAAGCCGCATTGATCAGATAATAGAAGACATCGAAAGCACGATAACCGGGTTCAGAAGGAACATCCAGTAAGCCCCTGGTAAGATTGAGTCCTGATTTTGACAATGCTAACTTCACTCCGGTAATGCTGCCACCAAGAGTGAAGGTGTATGACACTGCTAGGGACGAATAGAGAGAGTATGAAGGATTGAAAGGAGTGACGGCCGAAACAAACGGCCGAATTGCGTCAAAAGCGGTAAATAATACTTCAGGAGTTGATAAGGGCAAGGCCGAAAGAAATGATGGGAGTATGATAGGACACGATCGATGAAGGGCACTGCGCTTGAATTTAGCAATCTGTATAAGTGGCACGATGTTTCCCGAAACGCCTCGAGGACATACCTTAATACAATGCAACCATCTTCTGCTCTGCGTCGCGCATGTTCCCAAGCTCTTACAGCTAATTCGACATCCACTGTTCCTCCCGGTGTGCCGTCGGGTTTCAGATTGGCCACAGTCAGCCATGTATTCACTACTAAGCTTGTTCCAACTTCGAGTGGATATGGCTGGGCTGACGAATAAATGTTGTGCAGCGAATTGAGTAAGGTAGTCGTAGAGATCTGAGAGGATGACTTGGGCAAGCCAGGAGCCGAGGTGGTCGAAAACATAGAATAACGGTGCGACATGATTGTAACTGTCCTCAAATGGATGGCAAAGAGAAACAGTTGCTACTGTTTTCTTATGACATTAGCAAGGGACAAAACACAGACGACGAGCGAGTGCAATCGTCGTCGTCCTAAGATCTGGTATTAACCAGAACAGTGACTTTCCCAATAGATCGCCAACGAAAGAAAGAGAGAAGACAGGAAACGCGGTGAGGTAGGTAGTGCTGTGAAAGAAGGTGGTATATATATATTTTTTTTTCAGTTGGAAGACGGATGGTGAGTGCACCTGTGTTGTGATAAATAGCGAAAGGACGGATCGGTCTCGTCCCAAGCGAGTGTGGGCGGTGATATGAGGCAATACAGATAATATCACCGTGTGCAAAGATGACGAGGCGTCGAGTGAATGGAGAAGAAAGCGAAGAAGATGTTAGAAGCGACCAGGAATGAAGCACGGAAGAGAAATGTGCTGAGCGAACATGCCTCGTCGCTCCTTCCGGTGTTTGCAGGTCGCTGGTGGCCGTGACGGGGCGTATGGTATTGTATGGTAATTTACGTGTGTCGTACGCCGTCGACCCCTCAAAGAAAAGACGACCAAAAATAAATTCGGAGCTAGTCGTACTACGCAATACGTACTACATACTCTGAAAGTTGAGTTATAGCTACTGATAAAGTGCACAGCAGGAAGCCTCAAGTACTGGTCATTGTCAATACTTGGTCTTTTATGGCTTCACATGAATGAGCTGAGTCACATGTGAGAAAGTACACTGTATGAAGTAGTTAGTAGGAAGAGCAAAACACGAAAAAAGGAAAAGAAAAGAAAAGAAAAGAAAAGAAAAGAACACAAGACCGAAGTGAGACAAATGAGCAGCAGCCCCTTGTTTGTATGATACGTACTTGCCATACACTAATACGCCACAGGTGGGCCCCTGAAACACAACATGCCACAGCATCAGCAACGCACAAAAGCCGCAGCCGAAGCAAGATGTTTCGATTGCCCGAAACACATGGTACGTTCAAATAGATCAGGGAAATGTTTTCAGACCAAACTAGGTGCTGCTTGATTTCGCAATAGAAACAAAAACGAAGTTGCCCTCAACCAATTAGCGGCGACCACCCACTAGCGGCGAGCCTCATCGATTAGCTTTCCGCCCATCCCCACACGACCCAAGAAAGAGTCTAGATGCTTTATGTGCAAAATTTACGTAGTGCCTTAATAAGGGGAACCTGCACCTTCGCCATCAGGAGACTAGCAGAATAGCCCATGACTTTACTAGAGTATATAATTCAGACTATCTTCGCCGAAGATAATGTCTGACATTCCAGGGGCAAAGTGTAAACGAAGCCAGGAAAAACAAGACTGTGATTGGTCGTCCTGGAGTAGGAGCAAAACTCGCCTGTGCTGAAGAGCCAAGACATAGTTAATAATGACATACAATCTATCCAACTAACTAACTAGCTACATAAAGATCAGTCAGCTATTTTTATCGTCCAAGCTCACGTCAGATTCTTCTTGATCGACTGCTAAGAATAGGCGGACAACACGTTGCTGCAGCACAGCAGCATGGGAAAAGCTTCAGGCTTCAGCCATGTCTGACATGGGAAGAGAAATTATTAGCGACTATTGGACGGGTCTCACAAGGAGGCGCCGCTAGTCCCGTTCCAGTATCGACGATCCGCACTATGTAATTTAGTGGGTGCGGAACCCCGAGTTACCGTACCGCCGGCCCAGTGGCATTTATATCAGCTGTGATTGGCCATCCCTGCGTAATTGACGTATGCGGTATGGTATTGGTGTCAACAAAAGGAAGAAACTGTAGTTACCATACAGCGCACACTTTGCTTACAGTCAACTCCGCACGGCGAGTTCTTTCCTTTCAGGGAGATCTTGATCTCTCCCTGCATTCCACTGCCACCACTTTGCGACACTCGTTACAAACCATCGTTTTCTCGTTTCCTTTTTCTCTGGCTGCCTCGTCCACAGCGTTCTTCCACACTCTCCGTTCACGCTCTCGTTTTTCGCGCATAAAGACATCTTTCGACGACGGCTCTCGATTCTCTAGTTGGTCGACCACCACCGAGTTCGACTCAGGAGAGCGAGAATAATGCGTCCCTTGTCTCTCGCTTTGTAGGGGAAAAAATTATCTGGGGCCACTGTTTATTTTCTGGTCATTATCTGCGATAGCAACGTTTACTGCTGCGTACGAAACTTTATAATATTTTCACTTCTTCAATCGGTCGATCGACCAGCGATATGGCCCTCAATTCATTTTCCGGGAGCACCCCCTCCCATACACAGTCCTCGCTACCTTCACTGCCTGCACATCTGCAATCGGATACACATTTAACATCCCATTTGGCGAGCAGGTATTTTCTTTTCCCACCTTCGTTGGTCAAACACAGAAGGTTCTGGTCTAATGCTCTCATCTTAACATAGGTTTCATGTTTCTTTACCCACAGCGCGTCTGTCATCGCAGGCCTTGATATGCCTGAACACTTATACCTCCTCAACCAAAGGGCCTGATGGAGGAAAGGAAGGAAGCGCCATGGGCGAAGCTGAAGACCTAGCCCGGCGAGCTTTGACTCGTTTAGGAGCCCGTGGCGAGAATCAGGCGGTTGTTTTCTTGTGAGTTGCATAGACGCCAAACATAGCACTCCTACTTGCTGTAAATATCATTCAAGATTTGTCTAACAGTTATGTTGTATGGTGTAGAGGTGAAACAGGCTCCGGGAAGACAACGGTTCGCTCGCACCTTTTGTCCTCCCTTCTATCGTTCTCTTCGACACCACTATCGACGAAACTATCATTAGCCGCCTTTGTGTTCGACAGCCTCACCACTACAAAATCCGTCACCACCCCGACCGCGTCCAAGGCAGGCTTGTTTTTTGAACTTCAGTACGATCCATCGTCGAATAATCCAACTTTGATTGGAGGTAAAATTCTTGATCATCGCTTGGAAAGGAGCCGCATCACTTCAGTTCCCACGGGTGAACGCAGCATTCACATATTATATTATCTGTTGGCCGGAACCAGTGAAGCAGAGAAGGCTCACCTGGGGCTCGAAACATCTGGTATACATGCCGGATCAGGGACTAATCAAAAACGATGGCGATACCTTGGCCATCCAACTCAGCTGAAGGTTGGTATCAATGATGCAGAAGGTTTTCAGCACTTCAAAACAGCCTTGCGGAAACTAGAGTTTCCACGTAGTGAAATCGCCGAAATCTGCCAAATTCTGGCCACCATTCTTCATATTGGTCAACTTGAATTTGTCACCGGTCAAAACACCACGACAGGTGCGGAGGAAAGTGGTGGTTACTCCCACGAGGGTGGAGAGACGGTTACGATGGTCAAGAACAAGGAAGTTTTGGAATGTATTGCTGCATTTCTAGGCCTTGGCACGGAGGATTTGGCTGTGAGCCTCCGCCATAAGTCGAAAACCATCCACCGTGAACGTGTAACGGTGATGCTCGATCCTCGTGGTGCTCGGCAGAATGCCGATGAGCTCGCAAGAACGCTCTACTCTTTGTTAGTGGCCTACGTCATCGAAAATATCAATCAAAGAATCTGTGCTGCGGAGGATAGCGTTGGCAATACCGTCTCCATCATCGATTTCCCTGGCTTCTCTCAGTCCTCCTACGGCTCCACGCTTGATCAGCTTCTTAACAATGCAGCCGTCGAATCGTTGTATAACTATTGTTTACAAAGCTTTTTCTCAAGCAAAGCTGATCGTCTGGAGAGTGAAGAAGTCAGTGTGCCGGCGACAAGTTACTTTGACAACTCCGATGCCGTTAGAGGCCTATTAAAGTCTGGACATGGCTTGCTTGCTATTGTCGATGACCAGACAAGGCGAGGAAAATCTGACTTGCAAATGCTCGAGAGCCTAAAGAAACGATTCGAGAATAAGAATCCCGCCATTTCAGTTGGGGACAGCGAAACTAAGATGCCCGGGAGCAATTTTGTCACTCCCAGCACAAGCGCCACGTTTACTGTTAGGCATTTCGCAGGCGAAATTGATTATCCCGTCAATGGCTTAATCGAAGAGAATGGAGAGGTCATATCGGGGGACCTGATAAATCTTATCAGTACTACAAGAAGTGACTTTGTTAGTGAACTTTTCGGGCAGTCCGTTTTGCAGAAAATTACCCACCCCAAGGAGAAGACCGCCGTGGTCCAGGCGCAAGTGAGCTCAAAGCCAATGCGCATGCCCAGTATGGCGCGCCGTAAGATTAGTCCACCTTCCAGGCTGAACCCATTCGGTACTCGGTCCAGCAACGATGATGGCGACAGTGACAGTCATAATGGAAGCAGTAAGGCCGGTGTCACATCCCGCAAAAAGACAAACGGCACAGGGTCAGATTACCAAGGAGCTGCTGGTCAATTTCTAGCCTCGCTGGATGTTATCAAACAGTGTTTAACTGCACCCAATATCAATCCTTATTTTGTCTTCTGTCTAAAGCCTAATGATAGACGAATCGCCAACCAATTCGACAGCAAATGCGTCCGCATGCAGGTGCAAACATTTGGAATTGCTGAGATCAGCCAACGATTGCGCAATGCTGACTTCAGTGTCTTCCTCCCCTTTGCTGAATTTCTAGGAATGGCTGAAGCTGAGACAATTGTGGTTGGAAGTGATCGTGAAAAAGCCGAGCTCGTACTAGACGAAAGGAAATGGCCTGGAAACGAAGCACGCGTTGGAAGCACGGGCGTCTTTCTCAGCGAACGATGTTGGGCCGACATTGCTAAGCTAGGCGAGCGAGTGCTTCCCACATATCATGCTAATTTGTCCAATGATGGTGATGGGATGCTCCAAGGCCAAGGATACCATAATGACTCTAAGGTTCGGCTTGTTAACTCAGGAGAGAACAGCCCAAGTGGCGCGTTTATTTACGGAGATGAAACGAAACAGGGAGGCTACTTTGGAAGTCGCGATGTTGACGGTCGATCTGACGCTGGTGCATCAGCTTTCAATTCCGGGGATATGTTCAAAAACTTGGAAACTCGGGAGCAGATGGCAGAGAAGAGTAAGGAACGGCAATTGGAAGAAGTCGACATTGTGCCAGTCTCAAGTAGTCGCAAGCGCTGGCTCTTCATGGTGTACTCCCTCACATTCTTCATTCCCGATTTCTGCATCAGACTTTTTGGAAGAATGAAGAGAAAAGATGTTCGTTTGGCGTGGCGCGAGAAATTGGCCATTAACCTAATTATCTGGCTTTCCTGTTGCACCGCAGCGTTTATCGTTCTTGGGTTTCCACGAGTACTCTGTCCTCGGCAAGACGTCTATGATGCAGATAACCTCTCGTCCCATAATGGCAAAGACGGCGAAAATTCCCTCATTGCCATACGCGGTATTGTGTTTGATCTCGCCGCCTTCGTTCCTAACCACTACCCGAAGGGTATCATATCTACAACTGCACTGGATAAATATGCTGGAGTCGACGCTACGTCTCTCTTTCCAGTTCAAGTCTCGGCTCTCTGTCAAGGAGTCTCCGGCTCCGTAGATCCCAGCGTACTGCTCAATTACACTCCGGTTAATTCGAGTGCCTCAAGCACTACAAGCAGCACGACAGATACTAATGCTCAGTATCACGATTTTCGCTACTTTACCAATGACTATCGTCCAGATTGGTTCGCCGAACAAATGATCATGCTCAAGGGCTCTTATAAGAAAGGCTACGTCGGCTACACTTCGGGTTACATGAAAAAGCTAGCAGACAAGGACTCTCGTTCTTTGGGTAGCATAAACGGCAACGTGTATGACTTCACTGACTACATTGCGGGAGGTCGCCGCACCCTTGGCCCGAATGATACGACTCCATCTGGTGTGGACACTAATTTTATGGACCAGGACATTGTAGATATGTTTTCAGGGAGATCTGGTCAAGACCTTACCAAGTACTTCAATGATCTCAATATGGAACCTGCTTTGCGCCAGCGCATGCAACTATGCATGGATAATTTGTTTTTCATTGGCAAAGTGGACACTCGGAATTCAGTGCAATGCCAATTTGCTGATTACTTCATCCTTGCTATCACACTTGTCATCGCTGCAGTCATCCTGGCGAGGTTCCTGGCTGCTCTTCAGTTCGGTAGGAAGAATATGCCTGAAAACCTGGACAAGTTCATTATTTGTCAAGTCCCCGCCTATACCGAAGACGAAGAGTCTCTCCGTCGTGCCATGGACTCAATGGCTCGCATGAAGTATGATGACAAGCGTAAATTACTCGTTGTCATATGTGATGGCATGATCATTGGACAAGGAAACGATCGGCCAACACCGAGAATAGTTTTAGACATTCTGGGTGTCCCTGACACTGTCGATCCCGAACCCTTGAGTTTTGAAAGTCTTGGCGAGGGCATGAAGCAGCATAATATGGGCAAAGTCTACTCCGGTCTCTACGAAGTGCAAGGTCATATCGTCCCGTTTTTGGTTGTAGTGAAGGTTGGAAAGCCATCTGAGGTATCTCGACCGGGTAACCGTGGCAAGCGAGACTCACAAATGATCTTGATGCGCTTCCTCAATCGCATACACTACAATCTTCCTATGAGCCCCATGGAGCTGGAAATATATCATCAAATTCGCAACATCATCGGCGTCAACCCCACATTTTATGAGTTCATATTGCAAGTCGACGCCGATACAGTTGTAGCCCCCGATTCCGCGACTCGAATGGTGTCTGCTTTCCTTTCGGACACCCGCATTCTTGGCCTGTGTGGAGAGACTGCTCTGGGTAATGCGAAAAAATCCATGGTCACTATGATTCAGGTCTATGAATACTACATTTCTCACAACCTCACCAAGGCTTTTGAGAGTTTATTCGGCTCCGTCACTTGCTTGCCCGGTTGTTTCACCATGTATCGCATCAGGTCTGCAGACAGCGGTAAACCACTATTTGTGAGCAAAGAAATAGTGGAGCACTATTCGGAAATTCGCGTCGACACTCTCCATATGAAAAACCTGCTACATCTAGGTGAAGATCGTTACCTTACCACGCTTCTCCTCAAATTTCATCCGACATATAAGACCAAATTCAACTTTCGATCCCACGCATGGACCATCGCCCCCGAGAGTTGGGCAGTGTTCTTGTCCCAGCGTCGAAGATGGATTAACTCCACCGTACACAATATGGTTGAACTGGCTCCTATGGAACAAATGTGCGGTTTCTGCTGTTTTGGTATGCGCTTCATGGTGCTCATGGATTTGATGAGTACGGTTATCCAACCAGTGACAATGGCATACATTGTTTACCTCATCGTATGGATTTGCATTGATACATCTTACGTACCTATCACTGCCTTCATTATTCTTGGAGCCATCTATGGTCTCCAGGCAATTATTTTCCTTCTTCGGCGGAAGTGGGATATGATTGGTTGGATGTTCATTTACATTCTTGCAACGCCTGTATTTTCTCTTGCTTTGCCTCTATACTCCTTCTGGCATATGGACGACTTCAGTTGGGGTAATACTCGTGTCGTGACAGGTGAAAAGGGCAAGAAGGTTGTCATTTCCGACGAAGGCAAATTTGATCCAGATTCAATTCCGAAGAAGAGATGGGAAGAATATCAAGTTGAGCTATGGGAGGCTCAATCTCGCGTTGACGACTCCCGCTCCGAGGTATCAGGCTACTCTTATGGCACGAAATCCTATCACCCAGCTGCTACCGAATATGGATACCCTGCGTCTCGACCAATGTCACAACTTGATCTAGCTTCTCGATATGAATCGCGCATGTCAGTTGCACCGTCTGAGATGCTAGGTGGCGCCAATTATGAGCTGAGTGATCTCAGTGGTTTGCCAAGCGATGATGCTATCCTCGCAGAGATCCGGGAGATTTTGCGCACGGCGGACTTGATGTCAATAACGAAGAAGGCTGTTAAGATCGAGCTTGAAAAACGATTTGGAGTAAATCTAGATGCGAAACGCGCATATATCAGTTCCGGTAAGTTTTTAAGACTCCAACGAACAAACTTCCTCCTTTAAAAAAGATTCTGACTAATGACTTCTGTTTCTGCTCTCTTCCAGCAACCGAAGCAGTTCTCTCAGGTCAACTTTGATCTTGACACCTTTTTTTCTTCTCGTTGACAATTTAACACGCATAGAAAAGGATAACGAAGCATAACTGTCTGTTTATGTCTTCGTCTTCTCTCATCACATGGAGTTTTATGATTCTTGCTTTTTTCTCAATGGGCTTTTCTTTATACAAGTTGAAAAAGGGTATTTATTAGCATTCTACCGTCTGTTCTCTATCTGATGTGGCATAACCCCCCTTTTTTGTACTTCCTTTTTCTCTATTGTATGAATACTAGATTAGTTAATTATCATACCCAACCGGGTTCTTACAATATAACATCATGATGGCCAGATTTAAGATTGCTAAAGTACGAATCCATTAGAATATAAACAGTCCCGACTACAGTAGCCTAACAGAAACATCCAAGGATCATTGAATAATTTTTTACTTTTAGAAATGACGGAATCTTAGACAGTCAATTGAAGGGTTTGTTGTAATCAAACTACCTACCTAACCAAGCCGAAAATCATTTGGTTCATTTTTTAAATTAAGTTGTTCGAGTCCAAAACGTTTGCATACCCTCGCCATCTTCGTTTAATTTTTCGTTTCCCTCTTTTTCGTTTTCATAAAATATATCGCCTATTCTACCTCTTCACTCCATATAACCATTCCTATCCGTCCTATCAAATTCATTCATTTCATACCGAACAAGGAAAATGAAAAAGAAAAAAAAAAAAAACCTTTTTTGCTTTGGTGGTATCAAGAGGCAAATGAGCACACTAAAAACATTTCACACAACATGACAAAGAAACATGGATAAAATCTCAAAGAGAAAAATAACAAAAGCATGACATAGCGTAGCGTAGCGGGGTATATTGCTGCAAATTGGTATCTCGGCATGGATATAATTCTTTCTTTTTTCTTCAATGTATATTATTATACTTTCAACGAGGTGGCCCAATCGGGGCCGGGTATCCAGAAGTAGAATTGGAAGTACTGGGACGACCAGAATCGAAAGAAGCGCGCAGATCATGTTTAGGAGTAATGTCACCAGGCGCGGTGCCAAACGGAAATTTCATGTCGAAGCGAGCTGGCCAGCCATTGCTGCTGCTACTATTATGGCTGTGGGAACTACCCACATGGTGAATATCTTCCTCAGGCAGGTTAACGCCCGAGTCATTCCATGGGTTCCGATAACCACTGTCGCGGGATTCCATGGAAATCAAAGATGCCTTGGACGCGTTACTAGACGCGTGTTTGAAGAAGGATGCGGGCGATGCGGCGTGGTTTTTACGGCCGATAAACGAAGAAAACGACGAAATGCTTCCGGGCTTGCGAAGTCTTTCGAAAATGGATCCGCGTTCGCTGGCATCGTCGCCGAAACTAGGCCGAGTTGGCGAGTCTGTCACAAGAGGGGCCGGAGCGTGCTGCAATAATTTGGAGTCGAAGAATGGAAGAGACTCTTCAAAAGAATCAGACTTTGGACGCGGGATAGCGCCCTTGACTGTCGTAGCATCGAGTCCATGAGCGACCAGACGCGAAATCAAGAAATCTATCGCGTCCTTTAGTCCTCCGGCATTGTTTCGAGTATATCCAAGTACAACCCGATCCTCCGGAGGAACTGGAGATGAAGTCCCATTTTCGGCTCCAGATTTGGGGAGCTCGGCAGCCATATCAACAGCAGCATCGACCTCGTACTGGTCCTTTAGCTTCCCACGAACATCGTCAGCAAACTCTGCAGACTTGAAAAATTCTCTCAATTCTGCTGAGCTCTGGAAAGACAATTCATGATTTTCAGGTACCATTCCCTGCAGAAAATAAGGCGTAAGTTATAAGCATCTAATGTTTTCAACTTTATTAAGAATCTTACCAGGAAGGCATCAACCGCTTGGGGGACCTGATATTCGGGGCCTGAAATAGTCACCACATCACTCGCGAGCTCGGTACTTGGAAATTCAATCTTGCAGTTCCACTTTTTCTCAAGCTCTTCGATTTCACGGATACGAGTCAGGAGTTCGCGGTGGTAAAGGCGGTTGATGAGGACTGTTTCGGAGACATATTCGGCGTCCTAAGAAGAGCGTTAGAATGGAATTTACACGGCGTCTCAATCGAGTGGATACAGAGGGAAAACAACGTACAACTTTCTCGACCATGTCCATGATTTCCTGCTTCACAAGATCCAAGCTCTGTGCATTCCTTGCCGGGGTTCGGCAAATCACATTGTCGACCTTGACATCGTCATCCTCCTTGCCGATACCGCCACGATCCATCGCATTGGAGAATTTGACAAACACGGAATACTTCTTCATGATGCGTTGAATATGTTGACCACCAATGCCGATGATTCGTTTATGATACTGATCCGGTACATGGAAGGAGATAGATGCCGGCATCTCTTGCTCCACCAAATCCAGACCGTTTTTGGTAGCATCATACTGAGTACCACAGACATCAATGTAGAAATTGTATTCATTGAATCCATCAAAGATGATCTGGACATTGCTCTGGCCCATAATCTTATTGATTTTGCCGTTCTTCTTGCCGCTCACAAATTCCTTGTGCTCGTTGGCGAGTTCAATCTTGACGCGGATTTGATATGGGCAGCGTTTGACAAATGGGATCTGATAGATGACATTCATCGCGGCCTTGACAGCGTCATCAGATCCATTGATGGAGAAGGTCATATTCTCGAAGCTCACGTCGGCATCGGAATTGATGCAAATATCCGATAGCATAGGCCTGACTTCATGGGGAGATGGAGAGCGGATGCCTCCTTGATTCGCATCCGACATGATGATCCACCAGGAAGCGCTGTAGAATTGACCGGCCAAGGCCATAATCTCGCGCACGGTGCGCTCAACATGCAAAACCTCAGTTCCCTGAATGCGCACAAGGCCACGCTGGCTGCCCAGTTGTGGGAACAGAACGTAAGAGCCATTAGCTTCCATGACTTTCCGAACTTTGTCCAAACGGTCCAACAGAATGTTGTCGATCTTGCTAGAGGACAAGACGACGTCTTTGACATAAATCTTAACCCCCAAAACAAGCTCGTGTAGCTTTTGCTTGGCTCTTGCGATATTCTCCATGCTTTCGCCGGTGATGTAGACTTCATCCTCGCTTCGTCGGTGAGCACCAGGTGGCGTATAGCCAAAGATACGAGGAAATGGTGGTGGAAAATAGATTGCGGTGTCGGTGACAGCTTCGATCAGCTTGATATTCTTCCGAGTGCGACCGCAGACGAGGGTATGCATTGTCAATTCGAGTTTCATGGCATCCACGTGTCGTTTCAGCTAGGAAATGTCAGCGTCCTTATCCTAGTAAAGGAGCCGGAAGAAGATACATACAATTTGATCAATCATGATGAGCAAGCGTGTTTTGGCATGCTCCACACTCTCCATATCTCCGTAGATAGCAACCCGAAAGCGGTTATCCAAGCCATTGTCGGCCCCATATGAGGAGACGACGGCACTGTCGGCGTCAACCATCTTGGGGCTGAGGAGAAAGATGTCGGCACCAGTGTACTGAGCCAGAGTGTCCAGGTGCTCCAGGACGTTAACACGAATACCCTTTGTTGACGTGTCCATTATCAGATGCATGTCAACATCGACGTTTGCACATCGCTACATGCAGAAAAGAAGGATATTAGTTAGTGACACATGGCTCGTATTACAACAGGCAAGCACTACTTACCAAAGAAATGGGAGTCTCGTTCAAAATCTTGGCTCTCATCTTGCGAACGGTCTCCCCATCACCCGAGAGGCAGACATTAGTAACGAGAGCTTGGTGGCGGCGTTGCACGGAAGGCAGAGACTTGGGCTCAGAGGTTGTCACGACAGCCTCGAGTCTACCACCACTCGTCTCACTGACGGTGCGGCATAGTTTCCGAAGAGTCTCAACATGACTGACGTGTACGGGCAGGTTGTGGATAGGGGTGCCTTCGGGGGTGCCTTCGGGAAAGATCCAGCGCTGCAGAGCACCAGGACTCGCATGGAGGACATCCTCGACATCTGGGCCGGACAGATACGACGAGAAGGGCACGTTGAAGGAGAGATTGACCGTGGGATCGACGGCGGTTGGAGGCGTTAGGGCCGGAGTACCATGCGGACGTCGTAGGGGCTGAGAAGCGGCATGGATGTCGGCGTGAGGGCGCGACATCCCAAAGGCGGGCGTCATCCGTTCCCAGCCATGACGAGCTTGACCGGTGAAGTTGGAGATTTTGTGCATGCTGCCAGAGCGGGACGGTAGGCTTTGATTCTTCTAATTTCCCAGCAGTCGGATACCGGCTTGGGAAAATAGAAGAAAAAAAAGGGAGAACACGATTTGTTGAGGCGTGAAGGGAAGCGGACAGAGAAGCGAACGGCTGAGGGGAGCAGGGCCGGGAATATGACGAAAGAGCAGCGGAAAAGAAGAACAGGACGGGATAAGAAGGATTGAGTGGAGGAATGGAAAGAAAGGAAGCAGAAGAATAAAAGGAAAAGGGGTATCACAATAAGTCAGAGGGGGTGGATGGTGGTGGAATAGAGCGTGGAAGGGTGGGAGGGCAGAGAGCAGAGAGGAAGCGAGAGAGAGAGAGAGAGAGAGAGAATTTGAAGGTATGCGTATAGGGCAGGCAGGCAGGCAGGCACGCAGGCAGGCAGAGGCAGGAGAAGGCGGGAGCAGCACAGAGAAAGTCCCAGACTTGCCGGGGCTGCCTTAGGCTGCGCTGTGCTAACCGAGTGCGGACTAGCGAGCTACCGGCTCTAGGCCAGGCCAGCCTATTCGCTTTCGAAGCACATTACGAACTTAGTCGACTTGTACTAACTACGTATAACTACATAAATGACAAATGGTACGATTATCTATCTTAGATACGGACGATCTGAGCCTGACAGCTGCCAGGCTACCTAGCTAGGTAGTTAGTGTCCGGTGTCGTCGTTGCGGAGACTCGTCTTAAGTATGTATGTACATCTTCTCTATAACGGAGTAACTCCGTTCCTTGTCGGCTTACGTGTGGTGCTGGAAACACAGCCCAATTCATGGTAGCGAGATACAACCAACTACGTCAAGCGGATTACTGTGGCTGTGAAAGAGCAGAGAATAGTAATAGGTGGTTGGAATGTGATGGAATGGATCAACATATAGCACTTACGGGGCTCGCTGTCCCTATTATTATTATTATTAATTGTCAACAGCAAATACGTAAATTTACGTGCCTGCCACTGCCTGGCATGAAATATTACATACCATCCCCCAATGGCTAACGAGCCCACTCGGGTTGCCAACTTCAACAGCCTTGTACAAGATTTCCCATAAACACAGAAGAGGGAACATCTTTCCTCTCATCCCCTTGGAAGGCGGCTCAATCTTAGCTCGAGGACAGGTTTCATATACGTAATTATATCCCTTAATATACATTGATTGTTCGGCATGGCCTGAACCGAGACAGCCGGGAAACCCGGGGTGATTCTCGTACGTCAACTCCCCTTCAAACGCACGAAGAAAGGAGGACGGGGGAAACGGCGATTCATTTGTCGATTTCTAGTGTGATTGACTTTGGGTAGCTCCGTAGTTAATTGACGAGGACTCCGGAGGTGGGTCTTGACTGCGTAGAACGAGGTTATCACCGGTATGTACGTACGCTGCGCATTGCGAAGTGTCAGTATGTGACAACATAGCATGGGTGAAGAAGAATGCGGTACTCTAACCTTGTGCGGCACGTCGTCTCTCCTTTCGCCAACAATCCAAGTCAAGCCGGTGCCGGGAAACGAAGAATGCGCGCAGTTGGACTCTCAGCCACAATTGTGGAGGGAAAATTGAGACACAAAACCACGTGACCTCAACCGCGTCCAGCCTTTGCGATTCGATTCGTTCACGATGATGGATGGAGTGAGGTACTTGGTCTTTTGTACTCGGAATCGACTTCCATCCCATCTTTTTTTCCCCAGTCTTCCCGGTGTATCCGGCCACTCCTGTTGTTTCGATTACAGTCATCACAGTGCTGGAGTCTACCTAGGGAAGGGGATTTGTGCACTTTGGCCGTAGCCAGCCAAGATACCCGTTTTTCAACTTTTCTCATCGACAACTACGGATTGAGAGTGGAATTCATATCTGTCAACATTACATGACACTGGTGCCTGCCGTCCCATGATTGAAAACCTCACTAACCTTTACAATTCTCAATCGATACCTAGGTACAGGTTTGATCTGTGCACTTTTCTAGTGCGTTCTGGATGACACTTTTGATCTCCTCCACATTCTCCAATCCGATACTGAAGCGTATAATATGTTCTGGCAACCCATGCGCGGCGACCTTGTCTCGGTTGTAGTAGTGCACGAGCAGCGCGAATGGCACTGCAATGGTAAAATTTGTACCGAAACTGGATCCCTTGGGTAGGTTCAGGATATCGTAGAACCGATGTGCGACGTTCTTGTCATGAAAGATCACGCTAAGGACGTGCCCGTAGCCACCGTCCTTGCGCATCAGGCTCTTGTAAATAGGCAGTGATTCGTCAACCGAGGGGTGGTTGAGTCGCTTGATCAGTGGATGGCCATGGAGCATTTGAACAACGGCAAGAGTGTTTTCGTTGCATTTTCTAGCGCGCCAGATCAAATATTGACTGTTATAGTGAAGTGTTTCGGTGTCGAGGGGGAAAACACATGCGTGTTCATATCGAGCTTGTATAGCCGCCTTGATAGAGTTGTGATCCCGTGAGGCTGGGTTTACAATCACACTATATACCTCATTTTGTCAGACAGTGCATATATATCAGTGACATGGAACATCAGTGTTTACCTTCCTCCCGTAGCATCCGACGCTCCGCTGAAAATCTTGGTCAAGCTAGTCAGCATGACATCCACATAGGGCATTGGATCGAGGTTGATGAAGCCAGCCACGGTGTCATCACAGGCAATATAGAATCCATATTCGTTGGCGAGCTCCCGTAACCGATGCAAAGGGGGCGATGACAGGAAAACATTGCTAGGCAGTTCGCAGAACAATGCGCCAATACGCTCACCAGCCTTGAGACGGTTCGTGAGGTCCTCCAAGTCCTGCTCTGTTCCCCGTTTGTAGCCGATGAACTTTTTCCAGGGGCCATTTTTCAAGTTATGGATTGTTTCATCGTATATCCATCTTGTACTTGGCGTTAGTTTCCCATTTCCAGTATCAATTGCACAGCAAAGTATCGGACATACCCAAAGGCTACGACAGTTGACGTCTTTGCTAGAGATGCCAAAGCTTCCGAGGCATTGTATATTGCATTCATCCCAGTTGGATACAAAATCACATCATCTGCAGTCACCGGAGGTTGTGCGGCATCCTCTGGCGTAGACAGCTTGGCAATCGTCGACTTGACATTCACCGACGTGGAGGCAATTCCGTTTATCCAGGAAGGCATCGACAGAGCCGAGTCAATGGGCTTTGGTGATTGAATGTGAGACTTTTTGTTACTGTATTCGCCCTCTAAATAGCAAAGGTAATCCTTGGAGAACATGGCATGTCTAGTCGTTAACCCTCCTCCGGCGTTAATCCAGAACATCATGGCGGACCCCTTGGCTTCTTTGGGGAATATAGCCATGGCGAAGCTGGCAAGGTCCAAGACCTTGGCTGTGTCTGCATTATAGATATTTTTGGGTTTCCTAAAACGTACGATATCAATGGCGACGGACTGGTGATCTTTGGCGATATGCCATGCACAATCCTGGGCGATGGCTTCTGTGGGAAATAAAAGATACGCAATGTCTGTGTCTTTTGTAAGGTTGAGCCTTTCCAATGCTGCATCCGCGAGTTCTCGAATAGGCCGATTAACGAAGAATCTAAGCAAGATTGTTTATGATTAGAACTGCACATTTTTAAGAGGACATCTCAAATAATTATACCTCGGATAGCACCACTCTATGTGTTTATTTTTCCAAGCTTCGGCTTCTTCGAAATATGAAATAGTGGCTTCCCAAGTGGGCAAAGATATACTGACGCCCTGAATGAAACAGAAGAACGCTTAGAGGGAAAAAAAAAAAAAAAAAAAGAAAAAGGATATAGAGACGAGGCAGTGGTCCAAGTTTTGGACTTACGTGCTTGGAGTCAGCAGGATAGACATATGCCGTTCCAAAGGGCAGTTCCTGAAGCCTCTCTGGAGGAATCCAAGGCGCTGATGTTGGGGCTATACATTCCATTGCGTAGACTAACCTCCAGTACCTTGGACCAAATTCGAATTTTCTGGAATGGCTTTGTCTTCTCTTTCGACAAAAAAAGGGAATAGATCTGGAAACATCGAGGGAAAAAAGAGTCGGAGGCGTTAGGTAGGATAAGAAGCAAGCTTTATAGGTACGTTGCTTATGGAAAAGAGCGCTAAGAGCAAAATTAGAAATATTCAAGAAGAATCTATACAGTTGACTCTAGCACGCGCAACACCGAAAGCGAAGCCAATCATATGCGTTCATGTGAATATTGAAGACGTGCTTGACCTAGATCAACGTCCCAAATACGCAGTTTATTCGGTCAAGAGTTTTCACACTACCACGACTTGCCCCAATAACTTTGATACAGTTGCAATGTAACTTTAGTGTATGGCAAGGTCAGCTTGTTAATTTGGCGATGTGGAGGATTTGCGAAGGATTGTGTTGGTTCTTTAATACCGCTACATAATATTATTAGCCAAGCCCTAACTGAAGCAGAGAGCTGTCCAGGGTCTAGAATAGCTCTCGAACAATCCACATTCAGCTACGCCCCAATGTACAAATTAGAAATGCTACCGTGGTATTATAGACATTGGGGGGAAACCTTGCTAGCTTTTTAATTGCAGAGCTGATTAAGGATACGGATTTCAGCTGATTTTTCTGTATAAACGTGTTGGCCTGTAAACAAGTTGTATGATCAATGATGGGGAGACTAGGAAAACGTTGCTGTTGTGCTTCATATACAGCCAAGCTGCTGTCAATACTGTCCGAGCAAGTAAAGGCGAAATAACTCTATTCATCATGGAGCGTGCTAGTTTGGACATGAAAAAAAAGAAGAAAAAAGAAAAGAAAAAAACCCTAATATATAGTCCCCGGCTAGCTGCTTATGTCCTTAAACCCGAGCGGGGGCCAAAATGTCAGTCTCTTCCTGCAAAGTAGTTACCTAGGTAGGTCCGGAATTATACATCCCTGGCTACCTAGTCTATTCTGCATGAAGAAACTCTCTAATCCTGGAGTTAAAATGTCTTTATTTCTGCCTCTTCATTCCGTCCACGGGGACAATTGACTATGATTGCGCTGCCGAGGAAATGCATTGCATGTCCGAGTCTGCCGGAATTCTCTCGCAATTCTTTCCTTTCTATGTAATCTTAATCTCCAACTGATGAAGTCAGACAACAAAAGCATAACGAGCTTGACTAGGTAGTCGAGTGGGGCGATCCTATTGCAGCCCGAATGTCTTCACGTTATTGTGATGTTCTGGCCAGCTCGCATGACGTGGAACGAGCTGTACTATGTCCAACGTATGATTCCCATGCCAATTTAGTTGTCCGAGGCCTATATGCTGTCTAACGCTTTTTGATCAATTCAATTGCGTTGTCAGTGTAAACCTTCATTATTCCATATGGAATATAGAATATCAAAAGTACGGAGTGTGGCTAACCCTAACGTGCCCCACGGGATTTTCAGAATTCCGGAACGGGCCGGACTGATGATCTGTGCACGCTTTAGACGAAGTAAGCACTGCGTATGCATACATAGTATACTAGAAGTTGCGGTGGAATACGCCCTAATCTCCGTAGTCCGGGTTTATAAAAACATGGATTAGTGTGATCTCTTTTTTTTTTAGTTTTCTTTTTTCTCTCGTGAAGAACCGGCAGGTATCCAGCAGTTAACTAATCAATTACAAAACAGTCCTGCGATAATCGGAAAGCTGGCAGGCTGCCATTTAATCTACTTTTTATTACCGACTGTAAGTCTAATCACGTCATATAGAAAAGAAACAGAGGGAGAACTACCATATGTATAATAGACTAGCCGTATTCGAATTCGAGTGGAAACCAGAGTTACAGCGGAGATCACTAAATTTTCCACAAAGGAGGTAAAAAAAAAAGGGCCAAAATCTAAGACGTGATAGGCAAAGACCAACTAAATTCGTATTTCTGGTCCCATATTTCTCTATTTACCAACAGCTACTAAGGAAGGATTGCATTGCATGCGGCATTTGGCATTTGTCATTCGGAAAAATTTTCTGATTCTTCTAGTTCACAGCACACGACAGTTCTTCATACAGATGAAATATGACGGCCACCACTGACTTCGCGGACTCCAGCAACGCAACAGCACCCAACGTTCAGCCCCATGATATTAACAAAAATGTCGATGTTCAACGCACAATGTCTCACCCTGACATTGAAAATGAAAAAGGCAGTCAGACCACCACAAAAGAGGCCGCAGAGACCGTCAGCGTGTCCGAAAAACGCAGAACCAAACTCGAGACGACCCTAATCATGAGCGCGCTCTGCGTTTCCCTATTCCTTGCTGCTCTCGACACAACCATTGTAGCTACCGCTGTTCCGACTATTGTTGACCATTTCAACTCCAGTGTCGGCTACATTTGGGTCGGCAGTGCATATCTGATTGGAAACGCCGCTGTTGTGCCAGTCTGGGGGAAGATCTCCGACGTCTTCGGTCGCAAGCAAACCCTACTGGTCACGGTTAGTGTATTCTTGCTTGGTTCGCTTCTTTGCGCACTCAGCCAGAGCATGACTATGCTCATTGCTGCCAGGGCTATTCAAGGCGTTGGTGGTGGAGGTACCATACTGCTACCCAACATTTGCGTGTCGGATCTGTTCCCCCTGCACAAGCGCAGCATCTATTTTGGTATGCTTAGTTCCGTCTGGGCCGTGTCGTCGGCCGTTGGACCTGTTGTAGGGGGCATATTCACTACCAGGGTCTCCTGGCGTTGGTGCTTCTACATCAACCTCCCATTTGGCGGCCTGGCGCTGACGACTCTGACCTTCTTCCTCAAGCTCCACAACCCTCGCACGCCCATCAGACAGGGTCTTGCCGCCATCGATTGGATTGGCAATATGCTTGTCGTTGGGGGAACACTCATGATTCTCATAGCGCTCCAGTTTGGTGGTGTTCAGTACGCTTGGAATTCCGCTACGGTCATCTGCCTCCTCGTCTTTGGCCTTATTACCGTTGGCCTTTTCTGCCTTTACGAGTCAAGAGTTGCAAAGTACCCAGTCATTCCTCCGCGGATCTTCCGCTATAGAAACAGTATCTCCGCTTACAGCTTGAGCGTTATGCACGCCATGGCTTTCCTAGGTGGAACCTACTGGCTGCCGTTGTATTTCCAGTCGGTGCTTGGTGCTAATTCTCTCATGTCCGGAGTGTATCTGCTGCCTTATGTCGTATCATCGTCCCTAGCTTCGATCGGTGCCGGATTCATCATCAAGAAGACTGGCAACTTTCGATTGCCCATTGCCATTGGTCTCTTCGTCAACACCATCGGTCTAGGGCTCATGACCTACCTTGGTGATAGGCCTCACTGGGACAGAATCATTATCTTCCAGATCATTGCCGGACTCGGGTCTAGTCCGAACTTCCAGGCGCCTCTCATTGCCATCCAAACAAACATCGAACCTCGTGATATTGGCGCCGCAACCTCGAGCTACTCCTTCGCTCGTCAAATCGGCACCACCATCTCCGTCACCATTGGTGGCGTCGTTTTCGACAATGTCATGAACTCGCAGAGAGGCCACCTAGCCTCAGTCCTAGGCCCGCAGGTAGCTGGTGAATTCAGCGGCGAGGAAGCCTCCGCCAGCGTCCAGAAGATCAAAGACCTTCCGGCAGATGACGTCCAGACGGTTAGGACGGCCTACTGGAATGCGATGCAAAAGATGTTTATTCTGTACACTTGCGTCACTTTTACCGGCTTCCTAATTAGCTTCTGGATCAAGCAAACTACGCTATCTAAGGAACATACAGAGCATAAGACTGGACTCCAGTCCCTCAAGATGGAAGACCGCCAAAGGAACAAAAAGCCCGACGAGGAACGCCCTGGCCATGACCTTAAGTAGAGATTTGCAATTTCATAGCATATCGACATTGATCAATGATTATGTAGGCATCTTATAACGTTTGCTCTTGACGTCCGATATATCGCACATCTCAACAAGTCGACGGACGTCAGAACTAAAATTCGACAGTTTATAAAATGTTATTCTATTACTTGCTGACTTCGTAAACGATATAGAAATATCTCAAAACATATTTATATTTATAGATTTAATCTATGATTTATTCCAAATCTTAGCTCTGAAAGGACTCCCACATTCACTCTATAACGAACGAGTTAATATGTAAATTACCCATAAATAAACGATGGGTATTGTCCAAAGGGGTTATTTATACTATAATACAGCATAATACAACATCGAGATATTTTAGATAAACGCATCAACAAGATGCTAATATCGGGGAACGACGCGATGTACAACATCTCTTGCTCCGTCAATAGCAAGCCGCGTTCCATCTTCGTCCGTAATATATCTACCTTCACGTTCAGGACGGACAGCAGTATACCCTGGCCGCTCGCTATATTCACGCGCTACACTGTGGCTATCTTCATCCATGTATACGCTCATCTCACGTCCAGTGGGCCTGACACTCTGTACGCGATGTTGCTCGTAGCGACTTGGCGGTGGCCTCACACTGGAAGTCCGGACCAGTCTATCCCGCGGGATTTCTTCTTCAATGTAAGTTGCTTGACGCGGCGCGTAGTCAACCGCAACACTGCCGCTTCGAAATGCTGACTCGACCGCCCGTGAGGGATACAATCGCTGACTTTCACCGGCGTTCCGTCCATGTTCCGCTACTCGCCGGTAGGTGCCTGTAGGGGGTGGTGCCATTTCTTGAATGTATCGGCGGTTACCGTAACCATCTTCCACGATTGACGCGCCACGAATACTGCCACTACGAACGTAAGCACGCTCGGCGTACTCGTCAGGTCGTACCACTCGAGCAGGAATGGATGGTGTGGGCCGAACTTTTGAGGCAGGAACCATTTCATAATACTGGTTGCCATACTCATCCACCACAATTCGCCGCGCTGGTCCCGGTTCAACAAACCGTCGGCCCGCATCATCCTCCACATAGTATTCGCGATATCTTGAAGGCAAGGGGTATTCATCATAATGAGCGTATCGCCTAGAGTAAGTCGGAGCTACATCCTCATAGTATGCGGGCTTTTCACTTGGCTGGCGCTCAACAACGAGATACGGCGACGCTCGTGCGGACTGGGGACGAATGACTGGTTCGATAAACTCACGGCTGGTGTTGTCCGGATTTCGCGCATTATGTAGGCTTGCCACCCGTCTCAAGTCCTGGCTATCACGCATTGGCCTCCGAACGCTGAGGCGTGAGACTGCTCGTACACTAGCTTCAGCGGCGGAATCGAACTCGTGACCGCTACTTCCGTATCGATCTAGTTCGTAAGCAGGTTCCTTAGAAATAACTTCCCTGCGCTCTGTTGACGATGCATATCGCGGTGAAGATATGTCAATATACACGGGGCGTTCGGAGCTCAGATAGGGTCTTGAAGCTGTATCATGGAATGGCGGTGGTGAAACGGGCTCTAACTTGATGTGTGGCTCAGGCGTGTCAACAATTCGCATTCCAGCCGTTTCACGAGGTTCTTGTACCCGTCTCCGTTTACGAGGCAACAGCTGTTGCGAAGGCGGTCCTTCCGGGCTCGTTTGCCCAGAATACAATTCTGATGGACCTCCTTCACTATAGTCACGTGGAGCAGAGGTAGTGTGTAGCATTCGCTGTACTGAAGGACCTTTAGCGGTCGCCAGAGGTGAGACCCTTGACGGCTGTGGCGCTGCTGGAGAAGTGATATGATTCCTCACAACCCTGACATTCGGAGACTGTTGTGCTAGACCTTGCCCGACTTGCCGAAGAGTATTTTGACGGGCGGAGTCGATCACTTCAGGTGGCTGATATTCATCATCGCCCCTGTTGTCCACCATAGGCACAGTTGGTTCGGGCGGTGAATATTCTGGTTCATCTAGAAGCAACTCTTCCTGCTGCTGCTGCTGCTTGTGCTTCTTTCCCCGTGTTGGTTGATTAAGACCCTGAGGTAGAATAGCTTGGTCAGTAGTGCCTTGCAAAGTATGCGGGTCAATTTCAGCAACCCTTCTTGCATCGATATGGTGGGCCGTTTTCTCCCTCTCAGCGAGGCCTCGCCCTTGGCGGTCTAGCTCCGTCAGAGTATGTTTCTCATAATCCCACGTCAGTGGGGAATCAGGCGCTCTACTAGAATACAAGGAATTCTCATCGACAGAGTCACTAGGAATCATTGCATCATTAGTGCCAGAAATATCCGGAGATGGAAAAGGTTTAACGATTTCCAACGCCTGATTCAGGACATCAGAAACGTCGACGTCGGGGCGTCCTTCGTGAGCAGCGGTCCTCTGTCTGGTGTCAAACTTGCTTCGCTCGGCTTGTTCCTTCAATGCATTTTCTATCCTCTTCCTCTGGAGTTGAATCTCTGCTCGTACAAGATCGTCCGACTTGGTTAGGAAAATGGGGTCGATTCCCGACGTCGATTTTGGGCCTATGGACGACGCGACAGATGAACTAGTGGGTTTTATGTGCGGTACGCGAGACTCCGTCGGCAACGGAGCTGCTGGCGTAGCCCTCGCTTGATGAGGGCCAGCATTTTCAAGCGAGGTCGGTGCAATCGAGGACTGAAGCGTACGCGAAGGGGCCTTGCAAATGAACTGCTCAGGAACTTTCAGTCTTGGGTGAGTTCCAGCGAATATGTCATGGCTAATTTTTAGTATTTTTTCATATTCCTTGATCTCGTCAACTGACTGCGCCGTCGAGTGCACATCAGCGACCAGAAGAGAAGGACTTCCTGCTCCTGCCATGTGTATATCAAGCTCCTGACGACTTTACTGGCGCCGCTCGGTCTTTGGGGAAGAACTGGATGAGCCGGCTACTGGCATTATAAGCTCTGCATATGAGAGCGAACTGAGCGTTGCATGCGGAAAGATAGCTTCAAAATCTTCAAAATCCGATGGGATTTGAAGGTGAAAGCAATGGCGGTGTATTTTTCTTGGTTTTTCACAACATCCATGCGCTGGCGAAAAATAAGACGCGGGTGGTTGGTTCGAAGTTGGGAAGGGAGAGCCACTAGCGGCAAAACAGTTAGGCCGTTGCTGCCTCAGGCGACAACAGTCATCCCGCCAAAATTTGAGATCAGCCAGTAGTGAGTCACCGAGATCCCTGCTGTCGCTCTCTTTCGGTGCTGGCAGTTGTTTGTCCTACACGCTCGCTTTTTGAGATTTACGACTGTGCCATTCTCATTTTACATATTAGAACACACTCTCCCGGTATTGCCTTGTATATATCTTGCATGCATCATGGCCACCGGTCAGGGGCAGAGGGAGGATGCCCGACCAGTCTTCTTTTTTGATATTGACAACTGTGTGAGTTGGCCTACCATCAACACTGAATTCTTTATTACCCTGTCTGCTGACCATTTATTGGGCAGCTTTACTCAAGGGGTGAGCAGTTTCTGCTTCTAAACACTTTTATGTTGACATCCGTCTTACTCTCCACGACATAGGCTCTCAGATCCACGACAAGATGCAGGACCTGATTGGTTGGTCTCACAGGCCTTTTCCCTGACTTTTTCTTCTATTGTATAAACATCTGACACCCAATCAGACTTGTTTCTGGTAAAGCATCTATCACTCGAACCAGAGGACGCAGTCGTGCTTCACCAGAAGTACTACAAGGAATATGGCCTTGCTATCGAAGGCCTAACGCGTCATCACAAGATCGACCCTCTTGTATTTAACCGAGAAGTCGATGATGCGCTGCCATTGGATCAGATCTTGAAACCCGACGCCAAACTGCGAGAGTTTCTCGAAGACCTCGATACCACCAAAGTTAAACCTTGGCTGTTAACAAATGCCTACGTCAATCACGGCAAGCGAGTAGTTAAACTTTTAGGCGTTGACGACCTTTTCGAGGGTATCACCTACTGTGACTACGGGCAACCGGTACTTATCTGCAAACCCAATGAGAAGATGTGGGAGAAGGCAGAAAGGGAGGCAGGCGTCAAATCTATCGATGACTGCTACTTTGTCGGTGAGATATAATCCACGCTACTCTGTCACGGGCTGCTGATATACTGATCAACATGTTCATACGCAGATGACTCTGCTCTAAATTGCAGACATGCGCAGAAAAGGGGCTGGAACACTGTACATCTGGTAGAGCCAGAACTGCGGATGCCGCCCAGTCCAGCGTGCAATCACACAATCCGTACTCTGGAAGAGCTTCGAGAGATATTCCCCGGCTTCTTCAAGAGCAAGCAATAGGGTGTTTGGAAGCGGCAGTGTAGATATCGCATATAGTACATATATATAGTAGTTAGTAATGATACCAGGTAACTAAGAACATTTTCACGTGATCGCGCCTTCTCCCTGATTCGTGGAGGAGCTTTGAGTGGGTCTGCGCGGTCGTCGCGTTATTCTTGGTCTTGGCCGAGTTGACTCTCCTGAACTGCCCAAAGTCAAACGAATGCGACCTCGGCTTAACAACACTGGCCCGCGATGGTTGATGCATCTGTTGGTCAAGTAATTAGACTCCTGGACGGCCGCCAAGCTACAGTGAGGTTCGTTGGGTCAACACACTTTGCTCCGGGAGAATGGATCGGGGTTGAGCTGGACGATGCAACGGGGAAGAACGATGGATCTGTTCAGGGAGAACGCTATTTCGACTGCGAACATGGATTTGGCATGTTTATCAGACCCTCAGCCATTGCATCAGTCCTTGGGCCTGTTCCTAAGCGTGATAGTAGACGAGGGACAACAAGCGGGACGGGCGTTGGCAAATCCCAGGTGTCTGGAGCAGCTCCATTGAGGAAGGCAGGCAATGTCGGTACAGCCACTGCAAAACGGCAAAGCACAGTTTCAAGCCCCTCTCCTGCACCTAGAGAACCAGGGACTCGAAATTTAAGGGTATGCTCCCCATAAACCCACATCGTCTATTGATCTACCTGGTAACAAGCTATAGTCGCCCACCAAATCCCCAACGAAGCAACTTATTACTCCCTCACGACCTTCTTCGACAGTCGCAAAACCTGCCCTCTCGGCGAAGCCTAGACCTAGTATTAGCGGGCGAACATCGATGGCCCCCCCTGGCCAGGGAGCGAGCTCAGCCCGACCTCGTCAGTCACTGATAGGCAGTCAAGGCAAGGTCACACGGCCTGGGGCACCCTCGAGTACGCAGTCATCTATGTCATCCAGCAAACGACTTTCGGTACGTCCGACAGTATCAAAGAAGGCTACAGGTGAGAGTCCAAACCGAACAAGTGGCGCATCGGAGCCAAGTGCCGACACCGACACGTCTCGTGATATAGAACAAGATTTCCAAAACGATGATATCTCGCACCCGGAACCGGTCAAGCCGGTATCGCACGGGGTTATATCGGCTCGAGTCCCATCAACTTCACGCAGCACGCCCCAGAGCTCCAGCATTGCCAGGGAACTTGAAGATCTGAAAACAAAACTCAAGGTGATGGAGAAGAAGCGAGCCGAAGATAGGGAACGATTGAAGAATCTTGAGCGTCTTCAAGCCGAGAGAGACAAATATGAAGGCATCATCCAGAAATTGCAAGCCAAGTACCAACCTCAGCAGGTCGAATTGACGGAGTTGAAGAAAAAAATCCGAGAAACCGAAGCAAAACTAGAGGAGGCTGAGAGAATGCAAGCCGAGCACGAATCTATCTTAGAAGTGACTGCTTTGGACCGTGAAATGGCGGAAGAGACCGCTGAAGCATTCAAAGTCGAGTGTCAAGACCTGAAACTCAGACTGGAAGAGCTGCAATTAGAGATTGAAGTTCTTCGGGATGAGAATGAGGAATTGAATTCTGTCATGAGCCCAGAGGACAAGTCAAGCCAGGGTTGGCTACAAATGGAAAAGACGAACGAGCGACTTCGAGAGGCACTAATGAGGCTCAGGGATATGACACAGCAGACAGAAGCGGAGCTTCGTGATCAAGTCAAAGAGTTACAAGAGGATCTCGAAGAATACACAGCAGTAAAAGCTCAATACGAAGCGACCAAGGAGAAATTGCTGTCTTCTGAATCTAATGTGGATGACCTCAAGCAACAGTTAGAAACGGCTCTGGGTGCCGAGGAAATGATTGAAGAGCTGGCTGATAAGAATATGCGTTACCAAGAGGAAATAAACGAACTCAAAGCGGCCATTGACGATCTTGAAAGTCTGCAGGAGATCAACGACGAGCTAGAACTCAATCATGTCGAGACAGAGAAGCAATTGCAGGAAGAGATCGACTACCGAGAAACTATCTTTAACGAGCAATCTCGCAAGGTCGCGCAGCAAGATGAGATTATCGAAGATCTGGAATATACCTTGGCTCGATTCCGGGAGCTTGTCACGAATTTACAAAGTGACCTCGAAGATATGCGTGCCTCCCAGCAGTTAACAGAAACAGAAGCGAATGAGCTTTCCACTCGTTCCAGGGCAATGATGGATCTTAATCTGAAACTACGAGCTTCTGTTGAGAAAGCTCAAAGTAAAACGATCGAAGTTGAGTTGGACCGCATGGAGGCAGAAGAATCTACCGAACACCTTGCAATTGTCCAGTTTTACTTACCAGATTATTACGAGTCCGAGAAAGACTCGGTGCGAGCTTTCCTGCGTGCCAAACGTGTCGAGTCAAAGGCCTCTCTGATTCAGAACACGGTTCGGGAACGTCTTGTTGAACAATCCCAATCCTTGGGCACCAATGAAAATATCTTCGCATCATACGAAGTCATCGAGAATGCCTTGTGGATATCGCGTGTCTGCGATAGATTTGTTAAGCATGTCACCTCATGTTCTCCGGAACAATTTTCTCAGTTCGGAGCTGCGTTTTACGAGCTGGAACCAGTGGAGCGGACAGTTAATAATTGGATCGATGCTATAAAAAGAAATGAGATCGACGAGAGGAAGTGCGCTTTGGAATTGCAAAGATCTATTGCCCTCTTAACCCATCTCGCAGAGACGTTGATTCCAACAGGGCTGGCAGCATATGCAGGTGAAACGCTCACACGTGCTATTATGATCCAGACGTACTTGGAACATATTGCTTCAGCCTCAGCTCAATTGAGGAGTCTTCTGCAGGGCAAACTCTCTGCGCCCGACGATGATGATACAGAAAAGGTTTTCTTTTTGAGTAAAAGTGAGGCACTGATCGGGCAGGCTCGTGGCTTAAAAGTGGCAATCACCAAAGTAATTCGTTCTTTGGAGGAGCTAAACTCTAGGTCGCTTGCCTTATCAGATGGAGCTGCCGAACCATTTGAGTCTGCTGAAACAACGGCTAAGAAGCTGGCGGAATTGACACGGCAGCTAGGGGAAGATGTAATCATCCTCCTTGGGGAGGAAGGCCGCATTGAGCCTTTCAGATACGAAGAGGTTTCAATCAAAATGTCGCATACCGCAGTAACTGTAGCCCAAGGCCTCGCAACGGAAAGTGAAAGCAATGATGCACTTTCATTACTGAGTGCAGGACTAAAGACCTTGACTAGTCAGCTTGAAGAGTTAAACACCCATGCTTCTGACTTGACCCACACGGCCGAATTTGAAAGAGGAAAGCTTCCGTGGATTTCACGTGCTGAAGAGCTCAAAGCACGCAAGGAGTTATCACCTGATGCGGATGAGGAGATCCGTCGACTCAAGAATGAGTTGAGCGAGACGTCTACTGCCCTTGGCGTCAAAGATAAAACGCTTGAGGAGCAATCGATGAAAGTGGAGCTGCTTGAATCTCGCATGCGAGAAGCGACCAAGAAGGCCTCTGTTGTTAAGGAATTTGAATCCAAGGTTGAACAGATGCAAGAAAAGGAGATCCAGCTTCAAGGACTTGTGGAAAAGCTTGGCAAGGAGTTGGAAGTTATGCAATCCGAACGCGATGATTATAAGCACCGGTTTGAGCGTGCGAAGAGGGCGTCTGGCACAGCCGGTGCAGCCATCACAGCAGAGGGCGTTGTTGTCGACTCACAAGCTACTCTGGCAGCAATGCGTGAGAACGAAGCTTTACGCTCAGAGATTAATGGTCTCCAAGCAGCGGTTCGGTTTTTGCGCGAAGAAAATCGTCGTTCAAACCTGATTGATCCTTACTCTGTTCAACGGACGACAACCATGCACGCCTGGCTTGATGCACCACTAACACAGGGAAAACCATCTGCACAGAAAGAGTCACGATATGCCCGAGCCGCGGAAAGCCGGGATGTACTTAATCATTTACTTAAACTTACCAAAGAAACCCGAGTCACCGATTTGGCATCTACTCACCCAGCGGATGCAAAACGCTCAGCGTGGCGTCCTGCCAAGTCAACTTACCGGTATAAGGCCCTCCAGAATCGTGAAAATTACGAGCAATGGAGTGATTGGAAGAATGAAGTGGCAATGCGAGAAAAGGAGGAAGAGAGAATACTTGTGGCAAAAGCAGAACGTATTTTGCGTGAGCAACAGTTTAAACGCCATCTTCCTCGTGGGTCTGGACATGCAAAAACGCCGTCGGCCGGATACGGTATGATGGGTAGGGCTTGGACCATCCTGGGAATGCAAAGTGGAATAGACAGGAAAGAGGCTGGAAAGGTCGAGATCGTGTCTGATGTTTCTGATGTCTAATCGATTTATATACTCACTCAATACGGGATATGCCCGCGATGTGGATAGACAAATTCATACAACCTCTTGAGCTAGGCCCATAAGTTCGAAATGATACAATCTAATTCACCGTACGTAGAGAGCTTTCTGCCATTCTATCTGCCAGCTAATCAGATCTCAACCATAACCAAAGACCAGCTAACAATTAATATAACTAATCCATTCCAAAAAGAAAAGCAGACCCAGGAAAGAGGTTGAGAGATGATCTTATCTACATGCTAGAAAGTTAACTATATCTTTCTTTGGCAGGCCCTTTGTTTGGTGTGGGAATGGGATTTCTTTTTGCTCCATTTCCAGCTGACGTTTCTTTCCCTGGAGGCAAAACATACATCGACTAGAAACCAAACATGACAACGAAGGAAGCATTTTTGCATTAAATAAAAACGGAAACAAAAAAAAGCAAAGGCGAATTAATAGTATTACCATGATAGTCTAGCGCTACCTAGGGGAAAACGGATGTACGCAATCCGAATATATAAACCATAACAACTTTGGAAGCCTCACAGGGAAAGGAGGTAAAAAAAAAGGGGGGGGGGGGGTATCATTGAGAACTTTGGTTTTCCTCTGATTTAAAAAGCCACTCCAACCGGACTCAACGGAAATCGCCGGTCGTATTCGTAACCTCCTGAAATAAGATCCTGTTCATCATGGACTTGAGGCTCCTCAACCACGACACTATTCTTTACACTGGCCGGGATCATGGGCAAAGCAGTAAAGGCAGCGCTATCAATATCTTTGTCCGAGGGTAAGATGGTTGTAGCTGCTGTAATTGCGCTGGACAGCGAGGGTGTCCGGGAGGATACTGTTGAATTGCTAGTCGTGCGTATGCGGCTGTGAGTTTGGAATGTCGAGGAAGATTTGGAACTCTGATGATGTACGGCGGTGGTGGTGTGACGTGAAAAAGAAAGTGGTTGTGTTTGACTTGGTTGTCTCTTTCCATTGGCGTTTGTTGTATTTCTTCGTTGGTGGTCGAAGGAACTTCTATCCGTGGAGAAGTCGGGAGACTTTGGAGAGAAAGACGTTTCTTCAAGGCTGGCGGCCTCAGTAGGTGAGCGATTGTTTTGGACAGGTGATCCTAAACTTGACTCAACAGGGTGTTGGTTTTCCGACGGAGACTTGACGTATTGTTGAGAGAATAGATCTGTGGTGTTGAGTACGGAGAAATGAGGGATAAGCGGGCTGAGAAGAATTGCATCTAGACTTTGCCGCGCCTGTGCTTGTTGTGCCTGGGCTTGATGCAGTTGCAGTTCAAATGTTGCGAAAGAGTTTCTTCGAGATGGAGCGGATCCTACCGGCTTGCGTGCGAGTTGGAATGGGCCTGACTCTCTCCGCCGATGGCCTGCGGAGTTGAACGGCGACATGAGCGCCTTCGGCAGGGGCGAGGGTGGTACTGGACTGTCTAGGTCGAAATGACTAAACTCAGGGAGATCAGATAGTCTATTCCCAGGCGAATAGATACTAAGCTCCAATGGCCGAAAAGATGACCGTCGGCGAGGAGTATCAACCCGCCTAAAGTTCGTTGGTGCGCCGATGATAGGCCGGGATTGTGTTTTCCTCCGGGCGAGAAGAACACTTGCGCGTTGTGACGCTCTGTTGGCCATAGTCTTGGTCTCATGTATCCATGGAGGCAAAGACAGAGACGACCTTGACTGGGGGATTGTTCCTCCTGGACTGGGCAGGTCACCGTAGAAGACCAGCTTCATGGGTGGAACGAGGTGTGGTTGGCTGTGGCAGATTTGCATTTCTCGCTCGACTCCTGGAAAACAGTGAGCCATTTGCAGTAGGATAAGAAAGATCCAAACGAACCTATATGGTGTTGTCTCTTGCGCTCTTGGTCCGCCCGGGGCCAGAGGCATGAGACACACGACGAAAACCAGGCTCTGAACATGAGCACTGCTTGTTCCACCGCTGAAGCCTAGCTGTCAAGGGCCTGCATGGCAGCTCTCTTCCAAAAGACAACGGCAGTAAACAAAAAGCGAGAGTATTCCTGCAGGAGTTGAATGACGGGGAGAAAGAGCCAGCTTCAGTTCACCAGGTCACCCACCACGCAGCGCACACGAAGAGAACCATCCCCGCCTGACTCGAGGGGGACCGCGAGCGACCACTCGATAGTTATATATACGTAGTAGCCTGAGTGGGCTGCAGGTGACAATCTGTAGCTGCAAGCGCTATGTGGCCACTGGATGCCCGCCACGCTGCTGACCCAGGCCGTCGATGATGCTTGGGGGCAGTTGATTCGCCGGCAGGGCAGCGCACATCACGCATCGCTATTTTAGTATGATGGCGGGATAGAGCCGTGATAGGCAGGCCCAGCGGGATCCTTTTTTGGGTCGCAGTCCAGTCAGAGCGGCACAACATTATCGTGTACTGGTGGTTCTATTTTTGCCGAGCTCTCGCTGCAAAGTAATCGACGATGCTAGGTTTCAGAACGGTCGCGCCCGTTGCTCCTAATTTTCTATGCCGGAAGGCTGAAACGCGACTCTCCGTGTTCTATCTACGTCGCACGCTACGAGAGCTGACCGACCCTGAGGTAATTTATTGACCGTCTTATACTGTACAATCTGTGAGTTTCCGACTAGCTGCCCCAGACATTGTGTTCTTCCCCGAAATCGCTATAATTGGCATTCAGGGGCCGTGAACCTCCAGTGTTGGCATCATCGTCATCGTTGTCTCTATCATCCTCGCCCACAGTGAATTCTGCGGGCAGAGAAGGCGAAACCATGCCATCCGTACCGTGCGGCTGTACCACCGCTACTGGGGTACCGGCAGGTCTCCTGCGAGACTACGTTAGAGCAAGATTCGTTGGAGATGGAGGACTGAAAACGTACTGTAAATGAAGCGCGTCTCGTTCAGGCCATGCAGATCCCGTTTCCCGCTGCGCACGACGTTGATATTGCTGCTCAGCTTCTCTGTCTTCGACCACCAAGTCAACCAGTTGACTGCGACGAGACACAGAGGCTGCGGAGGTGCTGGACTGACGTCGAAATTCATCTTGTCGCGGAGTACGACGACTTCTGGGACCTTTTACTTGGCTTGCGTGATTTGTATTAGACACATGGCTGTTCCTGTGCTTACGTGCTTTTCTCACCACGTTTCCATGGTCAGAAGTCGGATTTTGGTAGCTGATAGTCCTGGGTAGCGCTTGATCTCGAGGAATTATATTGGCTGTAATGACGGGATACTTGAAATCGCAGATGTCAGTTCATTATTTTATCTCACTAAGTGCTTCCAAACTCACATTCCAGTCACCAAACTCCAACGCGCGAGCGTTGGCGAATAGACGCTCATCATCCTCATCTAGCGTCGTTTCTTCGAGCTCCGCATACGCACGATACTGCTCAATAATGCTAGCTCGTTTAGACCCGTGCAGAGGACTGCGTTGACCTTCCGCGACATTACCAGCCAACAGTGGCGTGCGACTATTAGCTTCCCCAGGCTTCGGTATCCAATATTTACCTTTTCCTCCTCGCTCGTACCTCATTCCTTCCATTACTCTTTTAACACGCGAGCTCGACTCTTCATGGGCAATGATGTTATCTCCCGAGTCAAATAGCCGATATTCATAATCGTTTCCTTGGAAGGTCTGCTTGGTGTCTTCAATCAGATCTCGTACACCGAACGAGTCCCTCAAAGCATGCTTGACCGGTAGGCGAGCCGATGAGACCCGATTATCCGCATAGTCATGCCATGAAAAAGCATACCAATGAGCGATTGCAAAAGCAGGCATTTCTATGCAGATCAGGGTATCTTGAATAGCCGCAGCGAGGTTATCTGGCGTGTAACCGGCTACGCCATTGGGGATGGCACCCAACCACTGGAGAATTGACAAGAAAAAGCCCTGCCAGTATGATGCAAAGATGATAAGTTTGACGCAAAGGAACTTTGGCATGGGACGGAATGGCTTGAGGTCATTGTGCATGCAGATCCAGAATAACGCCAAAGAGTACAGACTGACGCTGACGCTGACATTATAGATGATGCCCGTCCACATATAACCAGACGATGCTCCGATGTATCCCTCTTGGTATGTGTCGGTTGCCTTCATGATAATAGACGCCAGAGCAAGAATGGGCTTCAGCCATGCATATTGCAAGATGCCTCGTTTGATCGCGAGGAATGTGTGGGGGTCCGAAATATCTACTTTGGCAAGGAACGTATTCATGGGCCACATGTGTTGAACGGGTGGCCGACCATGTGTCATGATAATCAATGACCGCTCTCCGCCAACAAAGTTGATAAGTAATTGAAAGAACGTATAAATCGTAAAGGCCTTGAGATGGTCAGCTAGATAATAAAAAATTCTGCAGAAATGACCCTTCAAACCTCGTATATATCACGAACAGGATCCAGAAACATCGCGGCTTTAAGAGATATGATACTGGTCCAGGAGGAGGCGGCGTAAATGGGAATCCTTTTCTCCAGTCAGTCGATATGTAATCCATCAGCAACTCCATCGATCTAGCACTCACATCAGGAGTATCCGCACAACGTAGCGCTGCAGCAAAGGCTTTCGGTAATTTTTCCTAGAAGGATTTCATGTCAACGGAGTGAGGCTAATATTGTCGTGTTTGGTTTGCTATTCACGAACGTTTGTAGCCATATCGAACTAGTTGAATTGAAACAGGACTTGGTCAGCACTCAGAACGCAACGCGGGCCGTGATAACATACACAATAGATAGCAATGTTGCCACCAGAGAAGCTACCCCAGCAATGATAATAAGCACGCGGGTGAGTCTCGAGCCTGTGCCAGCAGGAGAGGAGGCAACAGTCCATTCCATCTCAGATGTATATTATATCGTGGTGGGAGCGAAGAGTTCAGGAGAAGCGCGGTTCGATGTAGAAGGGGGATCGCATGCCGCGCCGATCAGATCTGCGGGAGCTCACTCGTCTTTCATGTTTGCTTGAACTGAACACGTTTATGAGATTGACTGAAACGTATCTCGGTGTCTGCGAGGCGGATGGGATGCGCTGCGATCAAAACGGGCCGATGGGAGTCGGGCTAGGCAGGTGCATTCCCGCCAGTTGCGAGCGGGAGCTACTGTACTTCCATGACGCGTGATCCTGGCCGGCAACTCCTAATCTTATCGACTTCGCTCAACCCATCCGGCACACTCTCTGCTCTTTCTTGTCTTTTCTTTTCAAAACCACCTGCCATGGCAAAGTAGTGCTTTTAGAGCACCCATTGATCAACGGGACTTTGCGAATACCAGCTGGCCCGGCAACAGTGCGAACTGCAGATAATAGCATTATGCGTACACTCCGCATCCAAAACAGATTGATAGCTCTGCTAGAGATCTATTCTGGCTGATATGGCTTCGTCTCCCATTTCCTTGCAGCCTCTCACCTCGGGTCCCCAGTTCAATTGGTAGGCCTTAAAAGATATCACTTCCAGCGTCTGACGAGCTGTTGACTTGGTATAGGTTCTTTCTGTTGGAGCTCATTGTTTGCGGCATCCTGTAAGATTGCTTGCTCCCTGCTGTGACTTTTGACCACAACTGACAGGGAGAATACTACAGGACATTGTTTTTCCTTTTCTATTTCAACCGTCTTTTTTCCACATTAGCTTCGTACGGTATCCGAGCCTATACATGGCATTACTATCGAGCTTACATTGATATACAAGCCCTTCAAATCTCGTTACTCGGTGGGAGAATCTTCTTCAAGGGAATACGGTACCATGGGGCAAATGAGACCGTTTTAATTCAGAGAGGTCATATTACATGGAAGTACTGGTTGCGAGTCGTCAGAACACTGGATTTGACCCGAAATCGAAAGACTGGACCCCAAGAGACCGAATCCATCGTGAACAGCGATGGAGATTCAGCGTTTGTAGGCACAAATAGTCAGACAAATCGTGAAGATGAAAGTGGTGGTTTGAGCGCTGAGGCTCACCTCCCTTGCCGTATCGCAATCACATTGTCTGGATTGGAGTGGTTTGTGTACAACCGAACGCCGGCTTACGATGACATTCTTTCTGGTTTTGCTCCTTCGACAGATGAACCTCTGGATGCACAGGAAGAAATCTATCCAAGCACCACAGGAACAACAACTAGTCGAGAAGTATCTGAAAATGATCTCTCAGCGCGTCCAACGTCGAGAAAGTCGTCATCGGGAAGTATACGACGCCCTCAGGGGTATCGTACAGACACAGGACTATCATCAATTCAGGACGGTTTTATTTCAAATGAAGAGGCTTTGGAGTCCGTTTCGAAAATCCTGAAATTCCTTCCAATCCAAGTGGACTGCACCAAGGGAGCAATCGTGGCAGGGAACGAGCACACCCATTCTCTTCTGACAGTTACCTTCGACAAGGGGAGTGGCTTGATAGATGCAACTGATGCTGGCCCTCTTGACATTTACCGTCAATTACTCAAGTTTGAATTTTCCCACCCAGTCGTTCAGTTGCGACCGAATCCTGATTTCAAGCAAGCACAATTGCCAGCAGCTCGGAATATCAAACCCTTTCAGCATGATGAATCGACAAATAAGCCAAGAAGGAGCTATCGCGTGCACTATCGACGGAAAACACATGAGCTATGGCATTCACTTCGGTCTTTGGTTCCCTATTTCCAGAGATCAGTGGAGTCGTTCCATGAGAAAGGGACAAACGCCTCGTCTAATAATCGCACCACATTTCCTATCAATAGCCAATGGCTTGGCCTTAGTCGTTACTTAGATGAGACCATGGATGACTATGAAGGGTGGAATGCCGTTGAATATGCGAGATATTCAACCATTCTGGATTGTCCTGCTATTAGTTTGACGTACTATTGGGACATAGCTGGAAAAGTACCCCCGGTGAGGCACGAAATGTATTCGTCAGAACGGACAGCACCTGGAGACATAAATGGTGGAGCGCCACCGGAATGGGGCATGGAATTAAAAATCAGAAGCGGCACTATCAACTATGGACCATGGGCGGATCGCGAACGTGTTGGAATACAGAATATATTTTTCCCTAGCAACTTCCGAAATTCTGAGGTGGATGCAGTGCTGAAGCCTGGGAGCATCAGACGGAGCACAAAGTTCAATTTTCGATTGGAAATAACGGATGATACGACATTGAGGGTTCCCACTCGAGAGGAGTCAAAGGACTGGCAATGGAAAGGCCGCGCTGATGCGATACGTGACGCGTCAAAGCTCAAGAAGCAGAAGCAGAAAAAGCAATGGAGAGGAAAAGACGGCGAAAAGGCCAAAGTCAGCCCGGAGATTCGTCCATTTGGCTGGCTTACATTTCGTATTGCTCAAGACTCAACCATTACCTACGACATGGATATGGTGGCTTCAGACCACGGGTTTTCTAACCAGCTTCGCCTTGACCTACGAGACTGCAGATTGTCTACCAGCGTGAATCATGCGACACTTTGGCAGAGTCCGCGGCAAATAATTAATTGCGATCTTTCCAACCCTCTTGTGTGGAATGCCCTTCACACTTGGTCTTTTAATTTAGTCAGCCATGACTTCCAACTTTTCTTATTACGAGACCATATCTTTCTATTAACAGACCTTGTCAATGATTGGACATCAAACCCAGCGTCTGAATATTATACATTTGTGCCTTTTGTGTATAACATACAGCTCTCTTTCATCGACATGCGCCTGTATTTGAACGTTAATGAGTCTAATATTATTAGCAATCCTTCAGACCTTGATGACAACACTTTCATTGTGATTAAGGCACCGAATTTGATCTCCAATGTCAGCATACCTTCGGACTCATTCCGGTCAGAACAGAGTTTGATCTCTTTTAACGTCGATGCGCAAGAGTGTCTTATCGATCTTATTACTCCAGTATGGCACACGCTACACACATTTCTTGGGAACAACTCACTTGGTCGCCTTTCGAAGCTGATAATAGATGGGCTTTACACCCTCAATGCTGGAATATCTACTCCACTAGACACACTTACCTTAGACATCTCAGCAGATGCCCCCAAGTGCTATCTTTATGGCTTTTTGATTCGATACTTTATGAAAATCAGAGAAAATTATTTCGGGGACGAAATGCATTTTCGTACCCTAGAAGAATTCCAGGAAGCTGCCAATTCGACTGAAAAGCCAAGTGTCCAAGGCCCACCCCATTCAACAAAGAAAAGTAACGAGCTGGACGTAATTGTCAACTTAATCATTGATAATCCGTGCGCGCTGTTTCCGACCAATATCTACGATCATTCAAGATGCCTTCGACTGACTGCTTCATCCCTTGACCTTGACCTGCGATTTACGAGCTATTACATGGACTTGCAAATAGATTTGACACCCACAGAAGTGTCCTTAGAGACAATTGAAAAAGATGGCGAAGCCGATGTTTCAAATACTCAGCTATTTATTGACGGTATATCAGTCTATGGTCATCGTCTGTTTGGTTTACCGCCTGCCGAACCGACGTACGTCTGCAACTGGGATTTCGAAGTAGGCAAAATTGTGGGCGAATGCAGCACAAAATTTCTGAGTTCAGCTGCTGCTGCGTTCCGAAATTTGGATTTCACACTTGACGATGAGGAGAACGCGTTCCCACCATTGCATTCGCTTGTTATACATGATGCCACATTCTTACGTGCAAGAATGGCTTCTGTCCATCTGTCCGTTTTGGTGGGTCATACCGCGGTTATATTCTCTGCTGGGGCCATTCTTTTCAAATTCAATGACTGGTCTCGATATCGCTTCTCTAAACGGTTATCCGTAAGAGTTCCGGATATCACGATATCTGCATTAGACAGCAAATCTGCTGTAAGACAACACGAAGGTTTAAGCCCGGTAACATATGCCCTACTTCAAACTAATATCAAGGTATCGATGTTGTTACGGAAACCCAACCTCTCTGAGGAACGACATCTTCAACAAGATCATATTAAAACAAGCGATCAAAGAACGTCTCGTACCCCATGGCTATTCCTAAACTCAAACGATACGGATAGCTTCGCTGATTGGGAAGCCTACAAAGTCCCTCCACCCACTATGGTGCTTCCCTCGATGCCCAAACCGGTGGCCAAAGTTCTGCCTGCACCCAAAGCATCCAGCTTAGCATTAAGCGACCACAGAGCCCTAAGCCATAAGAGTTCATTTTTGTCCTTTACCGGCTCAAGCTTGAGATACGCCAGAAGAAATGGCACCGAAAGGACCATTTCAGAACCAACAAACCAATCTTCGGACGTCCAATACCGGAACCCTGTTTTTATTCCACAGAATAAGGGGGATTCGCCTGACTGTGATCCCACTATTATCCCATCAAATGATACTCCACGCTCGATGTTCGGGCCATCCAGCTCGTGGGCTATGCCACACTTCCACTACTATAAATTAAAACCCGACTCAAGTGATCTTCCTCTTCTACCGAACTTGGGGGAATGGAAGGGAGGTATCACAGAGGACAGCAATTTCATAGGAGCTTCTGATGACAAAGAAACCCTTCATTCAGATATCTTCTGTGAGGTTCAGCCAGGAGTTCGAGGGTTTTGTACGCCTGAATTCTTTCAAGCACTCTCTTCATTGATTAATAGCTTGCAGTCGAGTGACCCGAATGACTTGATTGATTCGTTACAAGTAGGGGTTATTTCGGACATCGTTAAAGACCAGAAAGCCAAGGCAAAGCAACCTAAATCTGCAACAAGTTTTGCCATCAGAGTACCGTCAGCTGTTTTCGCCGTCATCAATAAAGCAGATTGGCCCGAAGATATGTCACAGTTGAATTTTCCAGACCAGTATCGGATGTCATGTACACGCCTTCACATCACAATGCAAACGAAGTCGGACAATAAGGAACAGGACTTGACCAGTGATAGACGGTCGAGCGTCACTTTTCATTCGAGTGCTGAAACACTCTCAATCACTGCGCTCGGTGGTCAGACATCTGGCCTTCAAGATAGAGCAGAGCTCCGATTTTCTCTAGAAGAAATTATGTTTTGGTCGGCCACGTTTCCAAAGACCAGGTCGCATCTTCAAATGCGCACTTTGGAATTGCTGACAACAACAAAATCAGCAGCACCGCTAGCTTGTCTGATTAAACGTTCAACAACGCTAGCAGATTCACTTGCGTCTCATTTTCAATCTTCACCTTCTACGAGTGATAGGCTGCGCTACTTAGTTTGGTATATTACTGAGTCCACTCTTGATTTGCCGGATCCTTTGTTCGTAACTCGCCCAGCATATGTCTTACGCGGATTGCAATCTCATCTTCGGCTGCACGACTCGTGGAAAATCATATCCCGTTTACGAGAAATGTACAGGAATCTACCCTTAGACAAGCGGAATGCGTTGAATCTGAGCTGCTTCGATCCTGGATACAGCTCTCCGAACAATGCTAGAGACAGAGTTTTTCGAAACTTCAATGAATGGCGACCATGGGATCTTGCCCACGTAGAAAAGAGTTATGCAATGAAGACGATCTGGGGCGATGCCACTGATTCTACCATGCAATTTCCTGGAGCGTCGACCACTTTCTCATGCAATGTGAGGACCATAAACGTTGTCATAGAGCCTGGCCCAAAACAATGTGATTTCATCGTGGATAATATTTCTATTGCGATTACTTCCTCCCAAAGTGCAAAAGAAGGTCCTGAGACTGGAGTTGGTATGGCACCATACAGAAACTCACTGTGCATCCGATCATATTGTTCAAATTCTGCGTTGCGCATACGATGGGAGATCCTTCACCTTGTAGAGGGAATAACCGAAGCAATGTCGGGTATTCAACTGATATCGACCGAAAGTAATACCCCCCGGACTGTCAGTCATAAACCACCGGAAGCTATGGATATTCAAGTTTTTGTCGGCACTGACGAGGGATCGATCTGTCTGGAAGGTATCAATTTGGAACTATTCCTGCGTGGATCTGGTCTTAATGGCTCTTTCGTCCTTAGTCCAGGTAACGACAAACAGCAGGGGCAGGTAACGGTCCTTCTCAATGCCGAAGATTGCTCAACAAAAATTTCAAGCCATGCGAAGCCCCTGATGACATGGGAGTTTTGGCAAACGCATTTTTATGGCTCGCACCTGTCTCTTTCCGGCAAGGACAAGGTCACAGATGACTGGAAGCTCGCTTGTTCATGTCGGAATTTGATTTATGACCTGAAGGAAGATCCATTAGGATTTATACATGCTGCCGATCGATTAGTAGAGGATGAAGCACGATATATTCGAGCCTTTATTAAACGATTTGAAACCTCAAAAAGCGCACCTACACCTACATTCAAGTCTGCGGAAGAAAATAAATATGTTGCCAGTGTTCACCAGCTCCATATTGCTCTGTTCTTGAATGACTACCAGCTCAATTTCCGCTTGCTTCCGTCTCTGATATACTCAATCGACGGGAAAGTAGCTCGCATGTCTGTTTTGTCGGATATCAACAACGAGGTTGAGGTCGATTTTGACATTAAAAGAAACCATCATATCTTCCAGGCGATAGATAAGGACCTGCTCCAGTCCGTGTCTGAGATCGACATCCCTCCCATCAATGGTAGAATTTCAGGCAAAATGTCGTCCAGTTCGTTGTCTCTGAAAGCGGACGTCACCGTCGAGTTAGTTCAACTGGAAGCTAGTTCATTACGCAGCTTGTTCAGTGTTGTTAGACGACCGGAAATATCTCATTACATTTCGGATTGCACCGATAGTGTCAATGAACTTCAACTACATTTGCATGAAATACTAACCAATGCAGAGATAAGGCCACGGTCTCCAGCCGGCTCCTTGCGACGTGAGCTATTGTACAATGTCCGTCTCACAATGGCTGGCTGGTTCATCCACGCCCGCGCTCCAGGACTGAGGAACAAGGACTATTCCGCTGATATGAACTTCACGCTTGGCGCCACCCAAATACATCTTGATGCGTCTGAAAAAAGTACTAAACCCGATTCTCCGAACTTCCATATGAACGTGTCTCATATTGGCCTGGAATTGATAAAACATGAAAATTCACGAGTTCGGCAATATGGCAATCTTGGACTGGATATTGGCCTTCGCGCAACGTCACGACCTAACGAGTGTGATGAACTAGTCCGAGTCTATGATCTGAGTAATAAAGGCTTTCATGTGCAGTTATGTGCCGAAACGGCGTCTTTGGTGATTGACATCGCAGCACATTTACAAAATCGAATCAGAACCCTAGATCTATCCGAGGACATGAGACGGTTTAGACATTTAGGACGTCTTGCACGCCCTCGCAATCGTGGACCATCTAGTCCATTACCCGAACTCAATGTGAGTGATGCGAATGAATACCAATCGCCGTCATTCTTGAAATCCGTTTATTCGATCGAGTTATCAAACATCCAAATTAGTTGGATCATGGATGCGAAAGATTACCCCAAGGTTGGTTTTGCGCCTGAAGATTTGGTTTTTTCAATTCGCCGTGTGACGCTCTCAACTTCTGGAGACAATTCCGCCAAACTTCGTATCCAAGATACACAGCTTCAAATCACATCAGAAACCAAAGATAGAGGAAGGCGGTCTTTGAATTCGGCCTTGATGCCGGAAGTTATATTCAATGTGGCGTATCTCTTTGCCAAAGATGATTTAAGACTTGCTTTCCAAGCAGCAGGAAAGCCACTCGACATACGGTTAACTACGGGATTTATTCTTCCGGCAAACCTACTACAAAAGTCTATTGCTTCGGCCGCAGAAAGATTACGCGAGGCAAGTGCAATATGGTCTACATCTCAGTCACAGCCCGCCGGTGGGAATGCCTTGCTCGGCAATAGACATTTATCATCTTTACTTGTGGACGTTGATTTTGCAGGGGCTGTTCTTACTCTGCTGGGTCGGCAACTTGATGACCAACAAACCCGTCTTATAGCCACGGCGACGGGAAAGCGACTTTCGGAAGGTAGATATGGACAGTATGTCCAGGGAGATTCTACAACGACGGCATCCCTCACAAGTCCGGGTGTAGCCCTCAAAGTGCAATACGGAGACAATGGAATACACGATCCGACATTGAATGCAGAGCTAAGAGTAAGCCCTTCAAGTAACACGCTCTTTCCTACGGTGGTTCCTCTCATCAAACAGATTTCCTCCTCTGTCAAGGAGGTGGTTGGTGATCAAGAGAGTACAACATTATCGTCATCCACTTTACTGCAAACGCCGAGGATGCTGGAAGATAGCTCGATGGATGCAACTAATCCCGAAAGCATTCTTGGTAGGTGCAAGCTAAATATCGGCGTACGGATATGCAAGCAGGAATTCAGCCTGAGTTGTCAGCCCATTGCGAGAGTGGCAGCCAGTGCACAATTCGAAGACATTTTTGTGACCGTCAACACAGTGCAGTCTCCAGAACATCGCCGTTTCTTTGCTATATTGATTGCGTGCAACAATCTCCAGGCGTCAGTAAAGCACGTCTACTCGAACGAGTCGACGGCCAGCTTTGAGGTTCAGTCGATAGTGATGTCACTAATGAACAGCAGGCATGTGAGTGCATCCAGTGGCATTTCAGCGATCCTTAAACTTAGCCCGATGAAAACAATCATCAATGCCAAACAAGTCCAGGACTTTCTCCTGTTCGGTGAAATATGGATTCCTTCTGATGACGATGATGCTTTCCCAAGCGCTCAACCGACCCCTGGTCCAATCCCTTCTGACTCACAGACTTTAATGGTACAACGTTATCAACAAGTGGCGTCAGCTGATGCTTTCCCATGGAATGCCGCAGTGTATGTTGACGAGCTAGATATTCAATTGGATCTTGGACAAACACTTGGCAAAGCCGACTTCATAATCAAGAACTTCTGGGTCTCGTCTAAAAAGACATCGGACTGGGAGCAAAACTTATGCGGCGGCTTCGAGATAATGGTCATCGAGAGTAAAGGGAGAATGAGTGGATCCGTAACGTTAGAAAAGGTGCGGGTTCGCACTTCTATACGTTGGCCGGGCGAGTCTTCGGAAAGGGACCAGACACCACTTATTCAGGCGTCCATCGGGTTTGGCCAGTTACAAGCCAACGTTTCATTTGAATACCAACCATTCCTTGTGGCGGACATTGTAGCATTTGATTTCTTGATGTACAATGTTCGTAGCGCCTCTCAAGATCGGTTGGTCAGCATTTTGGAGGGAGAGAAAGTCCAGGTTTTCTGTACAACATTGACGGCGTCACAATCCTTGTCTCTTTACCAGGCATGGCAACGTCTGGCACAAGATAAGTATGCAGCCTATGAGGCCTCACTCAAGGAAATAGAACAATTTTTTCGGCGGAAATCCTCCATGAACGGATCATCATCTGTGACCAGCCCAGCGATCCCTCAGACGACGCGGGAAGACGAGGAAGAAAAATCTCCAATAAGGCTGCATACGGATGTCGTGGTCACTTTAGGAGCCATCAATATCGGTGCATTTCCAAGTACATTCTTTGATAACCAGATCTTCAAAATGGAAGCCCTGGATGCTCAGGCGCGTTTTGGAGTGTATGTCGAGGACGAGAAGATCCATAGCTCGCTGGGACTCACTTTTGGACAGCTTCGAGTAGCGCTGTCAAGCGTTAATCGACCAACTGCGGTGGAGATGAAAGAACTGTCTGTAGCGGAGGTTGCAGCACGAGCGACAAGTTCTCGGGGAGGCACCATTCTAAAAGTTCCTCGAGTAGTTGCTAGCATGCAAACCTGGCAGACGCTGGCATCCAATGAGATTGAGTATATTTTCAAGAGTGCCTTCGAAGGAAAAGTCGACGTTGGATGGAACTACTCCCGAATCAGCTTCATCCGGGACATGTGGTCGGTGCACTCTCGAGCACTGGCTGATCGACTTGGGAAACCGTTGCCGCCGTCGGCTCTCCGGATCACTGGGCGTTTTAAACCAGGGGGGCTCGATGGAGAAACCAATGGCGAGGACGAGCCAAAACATCTGGATGGTGAGCAGCAGAACAAGGACGAGAAGATTACTGCGGTCGTGGACGTGCCCCAATCCAAGTATATGTACCGTGCCCTCGAGCCTCCGTTGATTGAGACTCCGCAGCTACGAGACATGGGAGAAGCAACTCCGCCTCTCGAGTGGATAGGACTGAATCGCGATCGGCTACCACATATCACGCATCAAATTATTATTGTGACTCTGCTAGAGATTGCTAAGGAAGTATCAGACGCCTATGGCCGCATTCTCGGATGAGCACGAGCGTTTCCCCCTCTGTTCTCTGCTCAAGGGATCTTTAATCAACTACTCATTGTATATAGAAGTTCCTCTGAGTTTGCTTTGAATTTTCGCGGCGTTGTGATGTATTATCATTAGTATATGTACAAATCAAATACACAACTATGCGTGTATGTGGCTTAGGTGTATGACTTGTTGAACAATGACGAGGCATCACGGCTCTTAACTCCTAACGCCGGCAGATGCTGATTGGCCGGGCCACTGCATGACATCGATGAGTAACACGTACTGCGTGACGAGAGTCCTTCGAAACCATGGAAGCGCGAGATGGGTGTGATACCAGCAAGCAGACCTGTTGACCCAGAAGGCTACACCTCCGGCGTTCAAGCTCCAAGTTTCGAAGGTTGAAGTCATAGACAATGACGACCGCAAGCAGGCTCCTGATTGGCCCGACCGGCTGGAGGGGCGGATGTAAACGAGGGGCAAAAATTTTTTTCCCAGCGGGTTTTGGGAGGTTTGCGCTGGTTTTATTAGTAATTATTAGGTATGAGCTAACTAACTAGCCTGCCGCACAAATCTATTGACTATTATTGTCATTATTGTATGGGAATGGACCATCCCAGCAACCATGCGATAGCATTAACTCGGCTCAGGCCGTCTGGCAAACCGCAAAGAAAATTGTAAAGGAGTCATCTGCAGTAGAAAATGAATCAGACGTAGAATTAGCAATCACGGCGGGCAAGAGAGAAGCCAAACAAAAGCACAGCGTGGCAGTCTCGCGGGAAAAATCCTGGCTGGCCTGAGGCTGCCGCAACCCCCCACTTGAGCCCGCCGGCCACCTCCCCTCCCGGCTTCTCTTTTCTATTTTTTCTTCCCACTTCCCTTCCTCTCCTCCTTCCCTCTCCAAACCTCTAGCTCTCTTAGCATCGTAGGAGTAGCGCAGACAGGTTCTCCCTATTCCTCAGAACACTCACAGTCAGGTCGAGCCAGTTCTCGATCCTGATATCCTTCCTCTTCTACTGTCGTTGATCGCACACAACCCCGCCTCGAAGGCTGTTGCGGAAAAAAAGTTGCCAAAATGGTTCAGTAAGTAACTATATCTTTGTTTTGCTCCCTGTCACCTTTTCACCGGGATTTCTTGTCTACTCTTTGCTTCTGTCTTGCGTTGCGGAATGCTCTTTGTTCGAAAGCGAGTATCTATAATGCGGCCACATACTAACAACATCTCCCAGCTTCACCATCGAAGAGGTTCGTGTTATCTCGAACAACCCTGACTAGACCGGCTAGAATTTTCTCTGCACATACAGAGTACTGACAACATGAACCACCAGATCCGGGCCCTCATGGACCGTCCGGCCAACATCCGTAACATGTCCGTCATTGCCCACGGTATGTCACGCCTCTTAATCTCTTTCCCAACCATTATCATGGCTAATTAACGCCCTTGCTTTGTTTAGTCGATCACGGAAAGTCTACCTTGACCGACTCCCTCGTTCACCGTGCTGGTATCATTTCAGCTGCCAAGGCTGGTGAGGCCCGTTTTACCGATACACGTAAAGATGAGCAGGACCGTGGTATCACCATCAAGTCCACTGCTATCTCTCTGTACGCCCACTTGCCAGACGAGGATGACCTCAAGGATATCCCTCAGCAGGTGCAGGGTAACGAGTTCTTGATCAACTTGATTGACTCGCCCGGTCACGTTGACTTCTCTTCTGAGGTCACTGCTGCTCTCCGTGTCACCGACGGTGCTTTGGTCGTCGTCGACACTGTCGAAGGTGTTTGCGTCCAGACTGAGACTGTCCTCCGTCAGGCTCTTGGTGAGCGTATCAAGCCTGTTGTCATCATTAACAAGGTCGACCGTGCTCTTCTCGAACTTCAGGTTTCCAAGGAAGATCTCTACCAATCTTTCTCTCGTACCATCGAGTCCGTCAACGTCACCATCGCTACCTACTTCGACAAGGCCCTCGGTGACGTCCAGGTTTACCCTGACAAGGGTACCGTTGCTTTCGGTTCCGGTCTTCACGGATGGGCTTTCACCGTTCGTCAGTTTGCCGTCAAGTACGCCAAGAAGTTCGGTGTTGACCGCAAGAAGATGATGGAGCGTCTCTGGGTAAATATTTTTGTTTTATTCGTTACCATGATTGTTGCTAACACGCCAATAAATAGGGTGACAACTTCTTCAACCCCAAGACCAAGAAGTGGACCAAGTCGGACACTTACGAGGGCAAGCCTCTTGAGCGTGCCTTCAACCAGTTCATCTTGGACCCCATCTTCAAGATCTTCGCTGCCGTTACCCACAACAAGAAGGAGGAGATCGGCACACTTCTTGAGAAGCTCGACATCAAGCTTGCTTCTGATGAGAAGGACCTCGAGGGCAAGGCCCTTTTGAAGATTGTCATGCGCAAGTTCTTGCCTGCTGCTGACGCTCTTATGGAGATGATGATTCTTCACCTTCCTTCTCCTGTCACTGCCCAGAAGTACCGTGCTGAGACCTTGTACGAGGGTCCTACTGATGACGAGGCTTGCATTTCTATCCGTGACTGCAATGCCCAGGGACCTCTCATGCTTTACGTTTCCAAGATGGTGCCGACCTCCGATAAGGGTCGTTTCTTCGCTTTCGGTCGTGTCTTCTCCGGTACCGTCAAGTCTGGTCTTAAGGTCCGCATCCAGGGTCCTAACTACACCCCTGGTAAGAAGGAGGACTTGACCATCAAGGCCATCCAGCGTACTATTCTCATGATGGGCCGCTTTGTCGAGCCTATTGAGGATGTTCCCGCTGGTAACATCGTCGGTCTCGTTGGTGTCGACCAGTTCTTGCTCAAGTCTGGTACCCTCACCACCTCTGAGACCGCCCACAACCTTAAGGTCATGAAGTTCTCTGTCTCTCCTGTCGTGCGACGCTCCGTTGAGGTCAAGAACGCCAACGACTTGCCCAAGCTGGTCGAAGGTCTTAAGCGTCTGTCCAAGTCTGATCCTTGCGTTCAGGTCTCTATTTCCGAATCCGGTGAGCACGTTGTTGCCGGTGCTGGTGAGCTTCACTTGGAAATTTGCTTGAAGGATCTTGAGGAGGACCATGCTGGTGTTCCCCTCAGAATCTCCGACCCCGTCGTTCAATACCGTGAGACCGTTGGTGCCAAGTCCAGCATGACTGCCTTGTCCAAGTCTCCTAACAAGCACAACCGTCTGTACGTCGAGGCTGAGCCTCTTACCGAGGAGGTTTCTCAGGCCATTGAGGCCGGCAAGATCAACCCTCGTGACGACTTCAAGGCTCGTGCTCGTATCCTTGCTGATGACTTTGGTTGGGATGTCACCGATGCCCGTAAGATCTGGGCTTTCGGTCCTGACACCACTGGTGCCAACTTGCTTGTTGACCAGACCAAGGCCGTCCAGTACCTGAACGAAATCAAGGACTCTTTCGTCTCTGGTTTCCAGTGGGCTACCCGTGAAGGTCCTATTGCTGAGGAGCCTATGCGCTCTGTTCGCTTCAACGTCATGGATGTGACCCTGCACGCTGATGCTATTCACCGTGGTGGTGGTCAGATTATCCCCACTGCTCGTCGTGTGCTCTACGCCTCTACCCTGCTTGCCGAGCCCGGTCTGTTGGAACCCATCTTCAACGTCGAGATCCAAGTTCCCGAGCAGGCTATGGGTGGTATCTACGGTGTGCTTACTCGTCGTCGTGGTCACGTCTACACTGAGGAGCAACGTGTCGGTACCCCTCTCTTCACTGTCAAGGCTTACATGCCTGTCAACGAGTCCTTCGGTTTCAACGCAGATCTCCGTGCCGCTACCGGTGGACAGGCCTTCCCTCAATCCGTCTTTGATCACTGGGCTATCCTTCCTGGTGGATCTCCTCTTGACCCCACCACTAAGCCTGGTCAAATCATCGTTGAGGCACGTAAGCGCAAGGGTCTCAAGGAGCAAGTTCCTGGATATGAGAACGTAAGTTATAATCTCGATATCAAGTCCCAGTCTGCATATTTGGGTGATGCTAATATTCTTTCTAGTACTACGACAAGCTGTAAAAATATCTACACAGGTCTTAAAAAGTCGCACGGACTAATCTCGCCTTGACAACTGCTGGGCGCCAAATGTTATGAGTATGACGAATCCAGATGCCTGAAATGGGATATAGGCGAGACATGATATGATACCAAAGTTAACCTTGACGATGAAGCCCTCGTCTCCTGTATGATGCAGCTCGGTCATTTGGGATGGGATGGATATACAGTAGAATACAGGCCGGAGGGTAGTAGTTTTGCTCTTGCCTTTGTTTGTTACATGAGTGTCAAATTTTGCTGTTTTGTTGTTTTTACCAAAAAATGAGATAGGAAGAAGGAAACAATATAAATATTGCACTCATAAACACGATTGTTCTTGTATCTCTGCCCTGCAATTTCTGTCACTGTTGAGAGCTCGGGTACAGTAATCTTACTCGGGCTATTCCAGAAATAAGCTAAACTGAATCGCATAGAGTCACGTGACCGTACTTGTGATTTTCGCGAATCGCGTCACCTCCAGAGGCTTTTCTTTAGACTTGCTAAGAATCGGGCGCTGGATCTTACGCTGCCATTTTCACCTGGTACTTACACTGTTGGAATCGACTTCTCCCCAAAAACCAACAGCGCATGATTGTCTCTGTGGACAACTGTCGTCGTGGTTCATCGTTATTTTCCGCCTCGCCGCATTCACTCGGCTTGTCTGAGTTCGGCGCCATTTGCTCTTACAGATCACTTCCTGGACGCACACACAGGTTCTTAGGGTGAGAAATTGCGTCTTGAGAGGAAAGTGCGTCATGCAATTCACGGAAGAAAAGGCTGCGCAGGTGAAGGCCTGGGTGGTCAAGAGATTGGAGGATATGTATGTTTGAGCTCCGGCCCCTCTCTCCTACGCGTATGCCAAGTGCATACCATGGAAAATCAATATAAACCTTGAAGGCTTACTTCCAAATTTCTTCATAATATAGCTCTGATGCTGATTCCGACGTGTTGGCCGATTACGTGCTTGCTCTAATTCAATCCGATGCCCCAGATGACGAGATACGCCAAGCGTCTATCGAGAATTTAGAGGACTTTTTGAAAGAGAGTTGGTTGTTCCCTTTTCCTCATTCTGAGGCATTCTGGACTGACTTGTCAAGACACTGTTCGATTTGTTGACGAGATCTTCGCGAAATATGCACCAAAAACGCAACCCTCTGCTCCCTCCGTTCCCCAGCAAGCTCAAACTCAACCACCTCCGATCGTTCACTCTGCGACTCCATTTCAACAGCCTGGAACTTTGAATCCACAAGCCCCAAGTTTCGTGCAACAGACCTCTCCTCAAAATGCCTGGGGAAATTCTCAAAACTCACGCAAGCGTACTTTCAACGAAGGGTTTCAGCAAGATAATCCTCAGGGCGATGCGCAACGAGGCGGCAGGTCATTTAAGACTCCTCGTACTCGCCGTGGCGGTGGTCGTGGCGATCGGATGAATGGTAGAGGCAGGGACATGGCTCCTAATCAGTTTCCGCAAAATATGCCGGGATTCCCAGCGATGCCACAGGCTTTTCCTGGATTTGATCAGAATGATCCGATGGCTGCAATGATGGCCCTTCAGAGTATGGGATTCCCTCCAATGCCAGGTATCCCTCCAATGCCAGTGCCTGGCCAGCAAGGTGACGACCAAGCAAAGTCGAACGAGCCTTGCCCATTTTATGAAAGTAATGGTATTTGTTATATGGGAGCTGCGTGCCCGTATAAGCACGGCCAAGGTCCCGTTGTTGTTCCTTCTGGAAGTGATGGTAAGTTTACTTCCTTTACCCTTGAAGTCATGGCTGCTAACGAGGGTTAGAGTACGACCCCACGAATTCCAGCATTTACGATGTACAGGGAGGTAAAGAGGCGATGAGGGGATCAGATCGAGGACGTGGTCGCGGCCGCGGCCGTGGTGACCGTGGCGGACCTTCGTCAAGAGGCCGCGGCGGGCGCTCTGAGTTCTCGCATGTCGGACCTAGTGACGACAAGACGAACACGACAATTGTCGTTGAGAATATTCCAGAAGACAAATATCAAGACCAGGTGATTCGCGAGTACTTTTCGGAATTCGGCAATATTGCTGAAATCAACATGCAAGGGTTCAAGAAGAATCTTGCCGTTATCAAATTCGAAAACCACGATTCCGCCCACCGGGCATGGTCTAGCCCTAAGGCTATATTTGACAATCGCTTTGTCAAGGTATACTGGCACAAGATCCAACATAAACCCGATGCCAGTGGTCACCCTGCAGCAGCAGAGCAGGACACGCCTATGTTTGACAAGGAGGAATTCGAGAAACAACAAGCCGAGGCACAAAAGTTGCACGAGGAGAGGATGCAGAAGCGCAAAGAAGCAGAAGAAGCACGCCTTGCACTGGACAAGCAGCGCGAGGAGCTCATGAGGAAGCAGCAGGAAGAGAAAGCCAAGCTGCTAAAACGACTGGGCGATAGCTCAGCGCAAGAAGCTGGCCTTGATACGAATGGTTCTGCAATGGCTGGGGACGATGGGACTAGCGAACAGACTAAGTCTTTACGTGCCCAGCTTGCAGCGTTAGAGGCTGAGGCCAAGAGTTTGGGGATCGACCCAGATAACAGCAGCCAGTCTTTCAGAGGGCGCGGTCGCGGACTTGGCGGATACCGTGGACGAGGCCGCGGCTTTGATCCCTCTTTCCGAGGCTCATTCAGGGGCACTTATCGTGGCCGTGGCGCGCCTCGCGGTAGCGGACGCGGCGGAGTTCTGCGTTTAGACAATCGGCCAAAACGCGTTGCCATCTCTGGCGTGGATTTCAATTCCGAAAAGGACGAGGCTTTGCGGCAATATCTCATTGTAAGTTCTCACTATCATCATTTCCTCTTTGTTGCCCACGAGCCCTATTTCCATGCTAATCATACTGCACTGCAGGGTGTTGGTGAATACGAATCCATTGAACCCAATCCCGATCGACCTGATTCCTTGATTGTCGCATTCAAGGAGCGTTACCTCGCTGAGAAGCTCATGTTCGGACCGGCTGAGATTCCGTCTGTAGGAAAAGTTGAACTTTCATGGGTGGCCAATACTCCAATCACTAGTGCTGTTATGCCTACCGAGGGACAGAGCGAGGATACCACAATGGAGAACGCCGGCAGTGCCAATGGTCAAGAGCATGCTATGGGCGAGGTAGATTATGATGTCGCAGATGACGAAGACAGTTGGGGAATTGGACTATAACGATGAGCAAAGCCAGATGATGGTCCATAGGCGTTGATATCTTGCTCGATTCATTTTATGCATAGTGGATGGAAATAAATAGGCATGATGTAAAAATACTCGAAAATTTTCCCTGGTTTATATTCTCTCCTTCTAAACTTCTACACATATTGTCATTTCTTGCCATCTCCTACCGTATTCCTAATATCTTCTATTCGATTCGTGTAGGTACAGAGAATACCTACATCAGACTCGAGAAATGAGTGGCTAGGTATAGACTAGTACAGATGGAGCCTTGTAGCGCAGAACGTTATGTGCAGATCATATCTGAATATCCAGGTGTGGAGATATGAATGTTTACTACGAGCATCATATTTGTCATGTCCAAGTACCTAGGCAGAAGGCTTGATGTTGATAGGCTAGTTTCATCGTTCTTGAAATACGCCCGGATTCATGGCCGTCGAGACTTAGGGCTTGTTTCCACTCTCACGACGAACGGGGTGCAACGGAAATGTTCCATGACGGGCCTCGAATAGGAAATGTCAAAGAGAAACAGAGGAAGAGTGTGGGTACCGTCTTAGGAAGGGATTCATGATTAGAAATACCTGACCACGGTCCAGCCAAAAAGGGCGTCAAGGGTACGTGATTCCCTCTGATTTGGAAAGGTCCATTCTCCTTGCCTGTCCTGGCGATCTTTCTTCAGCGTCCTGATGGGCAAATAGTGAGACAGCGAGACAAAGAAATTGTCGGTCCTCCTTTGACTACCTAACATACGCACTTTTTCACTGAAGAACCAGTGGGTCGTTCATGAAGAAATGAAAAGAAATAAATATCTTCAGCGGTACCTGGGTAGGTAAACTGGGCGTTGATAATGGCTAAGTTTTCCAATGATTTCTCCCTGTCTATATCCATGGATCTTCCTGTAGAGTTCAGCCAGCCCTTTATATCTATATATAGGATCTCAGGTACCTGGCCTATTCTAAAGGAAACTATTGTATGTGTCTATAAAGATCCCAGTGGCATATTGTTATTTTGTAAAGTCCTTGCTGTTCTTCTTTTTATAAGGGCGTTCCAACAAAAACTGATGACAAGTATTTCTGAAATAGGAAATATACAGCAAGTTTATATTGACCCACTACAAAAATTGTTCTACCATGTGCGCCCTGGCGGTGCATTTTAGGGCTAGCTCACAACATACTGACTGACTCATAGGGCGTTTGAGAGCAGTAACTCACACCTACGTAATGTAGCGTTGAATATATGATATAGTAGCTTAGGGCTGGTTGTATGTTATTTTGTTCATCTGTTTACATTGCACAGAGCAAACTTTAGATCTATCGGATACCTAGATCAGATTTCTCTCAAACAATCATCTAGAGAGGTATCTTCTGTTCATACAGTCTTGAAGGCTTGGTTCTTCAATGTCCAAGTAGCTACATTGCACATGATCGTAGATCTATGTATCTTGCTAGTCCTTGGTGCTAATGCCTCGAAATAGTCAAGGTGGAGCTTTCCTGCAAGGTATTAACCCGTAGCAAGGGCATATGCCAACATTACTGCATTGCAATTTTCATCAAACTACATTGGGGCCTCGACCGACGACGCCTTAGAGAAACACAGCATTAATAGGAATATTCCTGCAAATGATGTAGTGGGCCTATCTTTTTTGCAATTGGCAATCGGAGAGCTGCTCCATTAAAGGCGCAAAACTGGCCTGTTTCATGCCCGTGCACTCTTCGGTGCTCAATTTGGTTTATCTCGTGAGCTGTAGAACAGAAGTTGTGGGGATGCAGGTACTATGTTTTGTCCAATAGAGAGTATTATCTAGGAGCGTTGTGGGCAGTGGAGATCAATCATCCCTGAAGACTTCAACATAGTTCCATGTAAATAAGTGTTCAGAGATATCCATAATATGCCCTTGATATGCCAAATGCTTGTGTACATATGAAAACAATTTGGCACTTGGTCTCTAGCTTAAGCCATCATTATTCAAGTAGAGAACTAAGGCCTATGAACACTGTCATCTAGCTCAAAAGAAGAACATCACAGCGTATTTGTTCAGGTTAATGGCTGACCGCTTATTCTATGTATAGCTTGACAACTTTGATAATCTTTGTGCCCATAGGGCTATGGCTGATAGTGATTGAAGAGCACAGCCTCTGTTTGTTCCCTGGAAGGAAACTTCCGCAGGACAGGGCCATATTGCCACAGAGTCGTCTTGCTCTCAACAAAGAATTGACACAACCCTTCCATGACATGTTGCCTGCCCAACCTGTTTGCATAATTCAGGTGACATCTGAGTATTCCTGAGCTTCTATAAAGTCAGGTAGCTTCTCTCTGTCCTAGCTCGTTGCATGTCAATACAGCAACACCAACGCCTAGTTGTTCAATTGCTTCTTACCAACAAGAAATACACAGTGAGAAACAACGCTTCATTCTTCATTTCACCCTATCTAGTCTTCTTAACCTGAGATTGACAAAGCTCGCCCATCTCTTCTGATCAACGATACTTCATTCACCATCATGCAGCAAGGTTCGCCTTGTCAAGTTGACCCTGAGCAGCAGCCCACGTTAGAGGACAGAAGATATGATATCAATGTATCCAGATCCTCTGCGAATACTTCGAATGAAGTGTTTTGTGATGGCACCGAGTTCAACCCAACCCTGCCAGAGTCAGTTCCCACCAACTGGGACGAGTTGCTGGCGACATCAAGCGATCTAGCGACGAAGAATGAGGGATCAGAGACTGGCGTGACGCCTGGACTGTTCATGTCCACATTCAATTCCCTCGATAACCCACGGGGTATTGAGCAGGTTATTTCCCACCCAGCACACTTCAATCCTGCTTCGACCACCGAGTATCCATTTGATTTTGGCTTCAATAACCCGATGAATAGCTTTTCACAAACGAATCCTTACCAGCCAGACACTGGAAAATTTGTGGCAACTGATATGGGACTCGCCCATACAGTAGGGCCTGTGATGGCAGGGACAACGATGAGGATGCAAAACACCACGGTGTTCCAGTCGAAGAACACGGACTATGATTCGTTGACTTCTCCCTCTGAACTCTTCGAAATCGAGCACAGTAGGACTAATGCCCTGAGCCCAGTGGCTGATTTAGGTGAGTGTCAAATGATCTTTTCAGCATTTAGACCTGCGCCTTGGGCTGATAAACGCAGATGGCGAGAAGCGGAAACGCAAAATACGTAGTGACAAGGGTATAAAGCGTGGACCAAACCTCGCAAAAGGTATAATTTCCACTATGACACGGTAATCATTGTTGCTAATGTTTTCTGCTGATAGGCATGGCTGCTAAAGATCGAGATTGCCTCCATGGAGACGAAAACAACGACAAAGAGGCAAACAAACGAAAACGCAATCTCGAGGACGATGAAGAGGGAGCCCAGGACGAGTGTGAAGTGCCCCAAAAGCACGCTCGCCATGATGAAGATGACTTGGAAGAATCAGTTCCAAATGAGACTGACATGCAAACGGTCACTTCGAGAAGACCCAAGTGGGGTCGCAAGAAGGGACATCCCAATATCCGGTATCGATATAACCTCCGTCTGAAGAAACAGGAGGAACAAGAAGACGAACAGACCACCAACGGCGGGATTCTTTCTACAGCTTCAGTTTCAGAAGGCGTCTCGAAGCTTTTTCAATTACTGCAAACCGCAGTCACCCCGAAAAAGAACTATTCACGGAACAAGAACCGATTCAAAGAGGCGGCAGCACCTCTGTCGGATCAAGCAACAGCTGTTCAGGAGAAGAGTAACGAGGTCATTTCTAACACCGATGAAGTCTCAAAAACAACCAAGGCGAAGGTTTCAAGAGAGAAACATAACCCTCGCCCGCCTATTAGTGAAGACATAGTCCGATCAACCGCTCCCGAAGGGTGGGATCCGTATGACAACGCTTTCTACTCGGGTGATGATAATATTTCAGATGACGGTCTGGAAGATCGCGGAAAAGCATCAGCTTATAAGCCCCCACGAATGGCCTGCCGTCGCTGCAACAAATTGAAACAGCCCTGTGATCACAAGTATCCCTCTTGTTCCCTATGTGCCAAAAACAACCTGCGCTGCCGGTACCGTGACGATCTGACTGGTCGTCAGATACGACCTGGGCAATTGGAGGAAGTTGAAGCGGCATATTATCAATCCACACAACAAATTCAACGTTTAGATGAGACGGTGAAGAATCAACAAGAGTTGTTGGAGGAGGCTTACCAGCGTATCGAGGCATGGCAGACAACAGCAAGAAACATAATGGATCTCAGGAATATTCCAGCAGACGGCCTTTGGGTAGAGGGTCTGCAGAGCGGCGAACCTTTTATAGAGCGATAACTGTACATCGAAGCCTGGAGTGCAACTCACAGATCTCAGGTGAAGGGCCTTGAGGGAGTCAGTGACTGCCTCTCGACTGTACAAAACACTGCCTAAGCAGGCGTCAAGGATGCGGGGTTTAGACGTTTCTCTCTTTTTCTTTCCGAAGTGCAATTTCTGGGGGATACGGAAAAGGTATATCCCTTGCTTGCGTTTCTTGCACCCTTCAGTTTGACTTAACACCACAAGTCCCACTCAGTTCGAAGATTTCGTGGTGAGGGTAAATGCTGAGCCACACATGTATAGTAGTTTTGCCGATTTCAATATTCAGCCTTTAAACAGTTTAAATGCTAAAGCCTGGCGTCTGTACATAAAGATTGTTGGAATGAATGCGAATCCAAACCGTGAGCCAGGCATCTGTTACAAATCGCTTCGCACTGCCCGTATGAAAGGGGTTATAGAATGTCATTTGCAAGCATCACCAAGTTCGTACGCTCCAAATTGCTCACTAGCACCAATATCAGACTCGTACGATACCAGACGCGATTCTACATCGCTGCCTCTGTCAACTTCCATTTGATCTAAAAGCCGATCGATCTCATCGCCTGCTTGTGTTTCTAAGTTGATTGAATGATTGCCCGCCCTCGGTGCAGGCAACGCTGTGCGTAATACCTTGTGGTTGAAAGAATCAAAAGTCCCCATTTGATTCGACCGAGATACATTACTCCCTTGTGACGAATCATGAGCGCTGGCTGCCATTTGGGCTTCTATACTGACACTGACACTGGATTTCGTTACCCGTGAGCTAGAATGATAACCCGAGTTCTCCGGACTCGACATGAACAACAGGGTTTCTATTGCATCTTTTTCCATCAGCGCGTTTTGAGAGGGCGTTCGTCGCTTCACGGGGGATTGATTACTTGACAGCAAAGGTGCCAATACTTGGTCATTGAGCCTGGATTGTGATGGCGTAAGCAGAGAGGTCTCTGGCGTATTAGCCCATCTAGGATCAGATGTAAGAGCCGTATCTCCTTCCTGTTCCGAGTGATGGCGACGATGTCGTGATAGTGAATTGTGAGACGGTATACCATCCACTTCGTTGGGATTAGGTCGCCGACGCGCTGTTCTTAGTCTATCCCCAGCGGTAATATCCACCGGCGGTGCGAGCCTGGGAGTCTGTAACATTGATGATGGCTGCGGCGCCGGTCTTGCGCGAGCTTGATTGGTTGTCCCATTCGTGACCTTCAAAGATGAGATATGAGATTGTGACAACGCTGGAGCCGAAACAACGCTGTCTTCCGAGAAGCCATTATGCAGTCGGTGCGATCCTTGTACCGATTGTCTTGCATCCCGCACGTCGGAGGTGCCTGTCTGAGGTGAAACGCGGTCTCCCTGCCGTCGTAATTGCCGGCTTTGTTCCACTTTGGCCGCTGCGTATGATAGCCGGCCTCGAAGCTGGGCAGATAACTATTGGCACATAATCAATGAGACTGCGACTGCGACTGACGATTGAACTGTTTACTGACCTCTGCAATTCTATTCCCCGTCGAGTCTACGCTTGCTGTTCTCAAATGCCCATTAAGCCCGTTGCCCGGGAATTGACGGTGATTCTGGTGGCGTATGGCCGGTTTGATCTCGCCTGTTGCGCTCCTCTTATGGCCTCGACTGGGTTGTGGTTGTGCGTCAACTTGGGATCTTAGCAGGCTCGCCGGACTTCGCACGTGGGCATTCTTAAGCGACTCGGCAAAAGCTGACTGCGGCCATGGCGCTGCATGACGTTTGGAAGAGGGTGAAGCGCCTGGATTACCGACACGGGCAACTATTGAGTGATGTTGCTGGCCCGGAACTGCGTCTGCCGACATGGCTGTTGTAGAGGGGAGAATGGTGGCATCCATCGCGATGAGGAAGACGCGGAACGCGGTTCAGATCTCTCTCTCTCTCTCTCTCTGTTTCACCTGGACGCTCTGCGCTGCTGGATCGCGACCAAAATAAAACCTTGTTGTAAAATATGCGAGTCCACAGAGGGATATAAGCTGAGAGCTAGAGGGACTGAGGAGTTCAGCCTTGGTTTGCCTGGGCACATGTCTGGAGAGTCAAGACTCCGGAGGCAAGAGCGACCCGCCCCCGTCAACAGCGGCCAATCGCCTCCGTCTTGCGCCGGCCAGGATTCTTCCCATGGAGCAGCTCTGGCATTACGATGTCTCTCTTGGCAATCAATGGATCAACGCTGCTCTAGCTCGCAGCTATCATGGACTCGAACTGCGTCTAGCCGGGCTTTGCTTGAGGGGCGGACCCCAGGATTGTCGACGTATACACACGTATGCCTGCGCACCGACTACGCCACTGTCTGGCTACAACAATGATTTGTCCCGGAAGAAATCATATCTATTACGCACTCAATATACGAAAAAGAAATCAAAAGTTGCCGATGAAAAGAGACACAGAGAATATTAAAGGGACTGGCCGGTCGGTTGCTATTCGCCGAGAGAGACAAGTGGGAGTGCATTTATTGCCAGTTCACGCAATGCATTCATTCCGACGTGGAAGAAGGACAATCTGGCACGACGAGAGATACGAATCCAACGCCAACTGACGCAGCTAGAGGCTTTCTCCACTGTTCTTACACGAGGCCGCGTGCGTAAAGCTGCTGGGGAGAGGAGGGGGGCTGGAAGGATCTTGCGACTAATGTACAATTGATCCATTGAAACCAATGCTGGGGTGAGTTGAGTTTAGAACTTCGGGAGTCAATTGGATTATTCTGTGCCGGACGCTGAATGAAAGGCAGAAGAGCAATTGAAACAAGAGGAAAGTTCCGGGGGAAGCCGAATGGAATCATGAGCGACGCGACCGTGTCGCAGGTCACGTGATTATTTCATGCCTTGTCACTCAGGCAGAACATATATAGCTTCCTACGTATATTCTGTGCTCCAAATGCCGGACGCTGAATGAACGCAAAAAAGCAATTGAGAACCACCACTCGTTCCCAGAGGGCCGCTGCCATATCTAGCTTTCTACGTACACGCCCTAAGCAAATTCATCATGCCCTGTAGGCCTCGCAAACTTTTGGTACGTGGTTATAAGTACAATCAAGCCGAACCAACAACACCACAAATGCATGAAGAGTATCTATTATGCCGATGGCTGGTAGAAGACGCTCACTTGCGTTTCTTACCACCACCACCGGAATCTCCTTCGGTGTTTTTTCGTTTCTTGCCCTCTTGTCTCCAATACTCGCTCTTTTCCCGCTTCTCGCGCTCAGCCTTCTTGGCCAGATTTTCCGCCACTTTGGCTCGGTAGCCCTTTCGCCGCTCCTCTTGTGCCGCAGCTCGTTTGGCCCGTTTCTCATTGTTCAGAGTGCTGAGTTTCTGCATCAGCTCTCGTGCTTTCTTCTCTTCCCCGCCTAGGACAACAGCCCGCTTCTGCATATAAGTCTGCTCCTTGCGGGGCCGCATTTGCGTAATTTGAGATTTGAAAGGCAACTCCTTTGCCAGCTGCCGGGGTACACGAAGAGGGTTGAAATGGCGCGTTGGTCGTTCAATGGGACGGTATTTGGAGTCCTTTTCGAGGGGTGTTGGAATTCCCTCGGCTCTGCGAACTTCGCCGGTCAATCGCATACCCTGCCACCCGTTCTCATCGGATGCACTCTCATCAAGATCCAGTAGGTTTGTGACGGGATTATAGAACCGATGAGGCTTAATAGGATACCAGGCACGGAGGAAGACGATATCACTCATCAAAATCTTGTCTTCAAAAGTTGCTCGGAAATGTCCTTCAGGTTTGCTGAGGGCCCTTTTGATTTGACCGCGAATGCCCGACACTGTGCGAATGGAAGCCCCCTCGAATTTGGCAATCTCCAAAGAGGAATTGAACATGTCACGAATGAAAGCAGTGTTCCGGAAGATTTTGTATGGATAACCGGTAAGTTTGAGTTTCTTCACAATCTCCGTATTCTCGTCGACGTTTAAAACAACACCGGTGGCAGCGATTCGGAACCCTGGAAGTTTATTCGAGAATGACTGGACACAACAGAAGCCAGTATTGGGAGCAACTAAAGGTCCATAGAATGTTCCGAAACAGTGCATGTGCTCTGGTGTATACTTCAACATGCGGTTGCGGGTACGTGAGTCGGATATGCTGTAGATGGGTAGACTTTGGAAGCGGCGCCAACCGAGAGAGAAAATAAGCGGATCATTGGTCTTGAGAATCTTCTTGTGCCATCGGTGTCGTTTGATGCGCACTTGTACATAGCCGAAACGCTCCTCTGTCGGAGCCAAACCACCAACAATGACCGGGAAACGAGGATTAAACTTGGTAGAAAATTCACATGGCACTTTCTCCAACACAATGCGTGCGTAAGTACCAGCTCGGAAGCCTTCGGCGCGAGCACGAGAAATTGCATCGAGCGATTCGAATTCGGCGCGATTGATGTCGAGTTGCTTTTGCAAATGTGCTTTTTGAGCATCATACCAATCATCTTCTCCAAATTCGCGTTCCTCTTCACCCTCCTTTCGTTCTCCATTTCTGGCGGACGCAAATCCTTCCCGGTCTTCTTCCTCAAATCGCAGTCTGAGCTCTTCTTTTTTCTTTGCATTGCGTTTGCGCTCGGCTTCGAGGTCAACAGAACCTTCAGCTTCCTTTTCTGCGTCGCTTTCTGCGTCCTGGTCGCCACTCTCGTCGAACCCATTGAACACCTCGCCAGTTTCAAGATCCTCAAATGCACCGTCACCCTCGTCAGACATCCCGTCCCCCGAGCCATCCTCATCCTCCTCATCCTCCTCATCACTTCCATTGTGGGCCAGCCTGGCTGTAACAAATCGTCGTCGCAGAGCTTCCACGGCATCTTCGTCTGACCACTTTTTCTCCAGTTCTTCATAATTGAAGTCAGGAATAGTTCGATCGTCCCACTCTTCTTCCTTTTCAGCATTGGTCTTTTTGAAGAAATCATCATCATCCGCATCCTCATCCTCTAGATTTTCTTCGTAATCTTCACCCCTCCACCTGGTTATTACTTCAGCAGGGGAAATCGAATCATCATAGAGCATGCGAGTAAGATCGATGATGCGATACTTGGGCTTTTTGCTGTGAAGAGCTTTGGCGTTATCCAACAAGTTTTCCTTCCACCTAAATGCGCCGTCCTCGTCATCTTCCAATTCCTCCTCATCTTCATCCGAATCGTCAAACTCTTGATTTTCCACAGACGATATCGAGCCGAGATCTGAATCGCTGTCTGCGAACGCGATGTCCCCGTCTTGACCTTTGACTTCGCCATCGTGTTTTTCGCGGAATTGTCGGGAGAAGTCCGAGGGAGCCTCCTCTGCATCTTCTTCATCATCTTGGTCAGAACCATCATCACCTGAAATTTCTTCAATTTCGTCTTCGCTATCTCCATCTGCATCTCCGCTTGCAAAGCCCTCGTCCTCGTCTTCAGACACAAAACCGCTATCATCCATAGCCCGAACATGCCGCCTTTCTTTCCGCCCACTGTCTCTTTCGGCATCTCTCTTCGAGATCGATTCACCTCCTTTGAACAGCTGAAGACCATCGTTAGCCTCTCCGAGTAGCTTGCGTTCGTTTTGCAGACCCATGACGAGCTGTTCCCCTAATCCTCTGTCCTCATCATCCTCGTCGTCTTCATCATCCTCTTTATTGAACGTTGCGGATTTGACATCGATGTAGACAGCATCTTTGTCTATCAAGACACCGCCCACATCCGACATGGGAGCAAACAGCAATTTTTGTTTTTCGCCCAATCTCTTCCTTCCACCCTTGCCTGTCGCCTTTGCTATTTGCTGATCCATATAAGGTGTAGGACAAGGGTCGGGCAAAGCCTCAATCGCAGATACTGCAAGATCGCCAACACCAGGAACATGGACGCGGGCGCCCTGTGCAGGAAAGTTGGTTCCTCGTAGATATCCGTACAAGGCCACAGTGCGGTCGCATTTCTCATTTTCTTCGATCTCAGTAGGTGGGGTGATATCAAGAAATCTATCGGCGAGAGCATAAGGATGCGAATTCCGCCAAACAAGAGGGCGGGGGTTCTTCATCACGGAAAGAAATCGGGATAGATTGTGAATTTCTCGGTCCGGGTAACGGCCATTGACAACTCCGGATAGATAAAATAGTTTTGCGCCCTGATATAACTCACTCCAGAAACGATGCTTGAGTCGCTTCTTGGCCGTACGTAATGTGCTCTGTTTCTTGAATAAATCAAGATGGGTGAGAATGCCGAATACATTTCCGGGCATACCGCTAGAAGACAGCACGTTTAAAAACTCCATAGTTTCCATCTCGAACCCATAATTGCCATCGATCATCAGCAAGACAATATCTGCAACCTTGGCAACATCAACCATGCTCGCCAATGAATCCGAGGGACACTCCAGGAACGTTAGGCGTCGGCGCTTTGAAGTAACTACCGTAAGAGGGCCCGTCGGGGAGCTTAATGTTTGTTTCGAGTACCGTCTGATCAGAGACTTGATCAGAGTTGTCTTGCCGACTCCCGGGGGTCCGACGACCGTCACAACGATTGGAGGCGCCTCCTCCGGGAGGCGGTCGACGAGAGGTACATGCAAGCGTTTCTCTTTGAGCTGTTATGCCGTGAGTCATTGATATGCCCGGAAGGAACTGAAGCAGATATTAAACGCACCTCATGAGACCTCGCAGCCTGTCTTTTGCCCTTGCCGGGATTGGAAAAAGCAAAGGCTTTAGGATTTTGCCCTAGAGGAGGAAGCAACCACGAGCGTCAGTAAAGCATCGATATTGCCCAAGAGGTGCTGGTATGGGCATATATACGAAGTAAATAGAAGCAAACCTACCTTCGTATTTCTTCTTCTCCTTCGACTTGTGATGGGCTCTATTTTTTTGATCGTCCATCTTGTAATAGATGCACGAGGACAGCGTCCTCCAGAAATGCCCGCCTGCAGGTATTTAAAGCTGTATTGGATGTGGTTCAATCGACAGCAGCTGCAACTTATCTCTAAAATAATTTCTGCATATCCGCTTTTATCGGTCGGATTAACCTACTTCCGGCCCCGGCGAGAAAAACGCTTAAAAGTTAAAACGCCGAGAAGCCCCTTGATCCGGGCTAGTCCAGAACAGGAAACATGGCGAATATCCTAGACTAGAAGAAAACAGCCTCCAACGATGCGATGGGGAGACCTGACCTCTCTCTATCTTACTCTGCAGACGTTTGGTTTCACCTCCCATCCGATTTTGGCTGGTTGACTAAATCGAAGTCTAATAGTTCAGGATATGTTTATCCCCTGGCCGGGGGGTGGACAGAGAAGAGCACGTGCATGAATGTACCGCTGCTTGACAGAAGAGGCCCGGGCCAGTCAAAAAGATTATGGCTTGCAGGCGTTTGCTGTGTTCGTGTTTGACTCGAGTGAGAGTGAGGGGCCTGGGGCATCAATGAGCAGCCCCACGCGAGGACCCCGCGGCCAGCGCGCCAAGCAGTGCGTCATCGCTAACGTGCTCGCGGTGCTCGGTGCTCATCCTAATAATAGCTGGCAGACAGATTCATTACATCAGAGCCTTGGTAGGCAGATAGGTTTGTTCGGCCAACCAGCGCACCGGGGAAATAGCAGACAAAGGAGCACTTTCTTATCGAAGTCTAGCTGGCCTTGCCTTGTGCAATGTGCGGCTGTAATTGCCGAATTAATTAATAATTATTAGCATGGTAGTTAGTTAGCACGTATGTGGTAGCTTTGCCTGGGCAAATGGGTTTGCGGTTGCCTGAGGTATGACTCCCATGATTACCACATCTCCCTCCCCTCCTTCCTTCCTCTCTCCTTCACCCACCCCGACGCTCCACCGCAGTTTCTCCCTGGCCTTTTTGCGCTCACTTTCCTCCAACTCGACCATACAACCGGAAAGACAAACCCTCGTCTTCAAACGCAGAATGACTCTCTTCAATGTAAGCGACCGGTTGCTTTACTTCCCGGCTCATGACGAAGTTTGGCTCACAACGTCGCCCAGGTGACCCTCAAGGAGTCCGCTCCTCCAGCCGAACTTGAAAAGTACGCTCCCAGTCGAGCTTCCCCGGTGACAGATCTGGCATGCTGATTAGATATGGGAGGAAAACAGGGCCAAGGAGAAAGTGCGCAGCGAAGGAGGCATTATCAAGCACGAATACACCTTGATCAAGGGATTTACGTAAGTCCGAACCCCGCACCCTCTCAGGGTAACTCCTCGTCAAGGCGGGATTCACGATGGATCTAATGATCTATGCGTCTTTCTACCCAGTGTCGAGTATCCGGACGACCATGTCAACGTCCTTCAAAGCAGCGAGCATCTCCATGTCGAACAGGACGGAAAGGTCTCCACCCAGTAATCCGTGGGCAACGATGCTACTTTGAAGGAAACTTCTCTAGGAAGGAGATCGTGGAAGCTGCCAGACCATGCCATACATATGGAACTCGTCAAGTTGTCAATGGTTAGCTACCGGGACAAATAGCCATGCGCCCTTACAGCCTGCATCTTGCTTAATGGGAGGCTATGCGCATCAAGCGGGTAGAAGGAACACACCGTTTCCGCAGATCTTAAGTGCGCAACCGATTACTTTTCCTAGACGGCGAGAAGGCCTTCCGGCTTACGACGATAACGATGATCTATGTTTTGACTATACCAGATATTGTACGCATAATAATTTGAAATGCATTCTTATTTTCATTTCCCCCCATTCCTCTTGAACTATCGAGTGACTAAAGGCATGTTTAAATAAACATAACCAATTAACCAGTATCATACCTGCACTGCGTGCATACTACTTTTTCGTACAAACACCAGGCACCATCAGGAACTAAAGAAGCGGGACTGCTGATTGGCCAGGAGGAGACGTAGCCACGTGACGACGTGCAGCCAATCAGCTGCAGCCAATGGGTACCTGCCAATGACGTCTTGTCGGACCTCAACAAAGAACAAAGCGGAGTAGTCAGTCGAAACTGCTGGACAGCTGATATTTTCCCCCTTCGCTGTTTTGCTACCTTTCCAAACTTTCTCTACGCATGATGGCAGGTTGACAACCATGGAAAACAAAATCCCGCGGCTGCTCGGGACGATTCCACTATCCAGGTGCCGACCTGCACGTTATGCTGGTTATGTCCAGCTGCGGCGTGGCTCTACATCGCCCTCGTCTTCAGAAAACTGGCGCCAGCCTCCAGCCTGGACCAATGTAGCAGAAGATGAAATTGCCAATCTGGCAGCTATGCGGCGTCGCCCATTGGCACTCGAAGATCTCCTCAAGTTCGTTTAGTCTTCAACATCATACCGCCTGCCCACTCGCTGACAACAGACTCTAGACATGGCCAGCCACCATTGTCCAGACAGGCTCTCCTTGACTCTGCAAATTTTACGCTCTCTCTTCTTCCTGCCCGTCTGGCGTATCGAATCCAGTGTTTGAGAAATCTCCCCTTTATCGTGGTTTCGAACCCCCATGTCTCGCAAATCTACAATAACTATCTGCACTCGCTATCGACACTGCTACCTTACCAGCAACGTCGAATAACCACGCTCGAAGAAGAAAAACAGTTCGCCGAAGTGATGGCCGACCTTGTCCAAACCCACACGAATACGATCCCCATCTTGGCTAGGGGATTCCTGGAATGTAAAAAGTACATCAGTCCCTCAGAAGTCACTCGATTCCTTGATTCACACCTACGTGCTCGAATCGGGACTAGGTTGATTGCCGAACAACATCTGGCCCTTCACTTTGCCTCTCAGCCGCTCAGCGACGAGAATCCTAACCCTCCACACTCAGAAAGAGACCATGCCCTTTCAAACTATATCGGCGTTATTGACACTGCACTACGACCCTCGCAGATTGTGCGGTCATGCGAGCACTTTGTGAGTGAGATCTGCGAGCTGCGATACGGTGTTCGGCCGACTCTCGAAATCAACGGAGAGCCCGATGCTAGCTTTGCCTACATCCCTGTTCACGTGGAATATATCATCACGGAGCTGCTGAAGAACGCATTTCGAGCAGTTGTCGAGTCGGGAAACGAACGCGAGCCTATTGAAGTCACCATCGCCGCGGCTCCAGATATCCCAAATCATCGTTACAATGACGTGTCCAACATCCCACACCATGCACGGGACGGCGATGTGGACTTGGATGCCAACGAAGAGATCCTTGTTGCCAATGAAAACATCCGTATGACCAATACATCTTCTCAGAGCATCACAATTCGCATCCGTGACCGCGGAGGTGGCATACCGCCTGAGATTCTTCCTCATATTTGGTCTTACAGTTTCACGACATTCTCTGAAAACGAGCATCCTGGTGGCGGCAACGGCAACATCGATGCCTTGAATACGATTTCAGGAAGTAGCGGAAATTCCAGCACCATCGCTGGACTTGGTTATGGCTTGCCGTTGAGTCGGGCGTATGCCGAGTACTTTGGAGGAAGCATTGCTATTCAGAGTTTGTGGGGATGGGGAACCGATGTGTATCTGACGCTGCAAGGTGTCGGTCGGATTGGAGAGTGAGGTTCTATTTCTCTTGTCTTCTCTTTACAGAATTGGATTGTTCATATCTTGTACTAGGTACGGAGTCTGTAAAGACGTGTATGGTCTAATCATACCTTAAAAGTGGCTGTCTTTTCCTCGGTGTTCCTGTACAGCAGAATTGCTTTAGAGAATAGATATCAACTTCTATTCGTATGAGAGATACTTCCTGTTCAATTTCCCCTCGGAGGGCAAATGACTGTAGTAGGTAATGCATGGAAATTGATGCCTACCTTACGTCCATAGATGGTATCTTAGAGACTAGGTAACTTTTTTACGTCTCTATTGGAATACTTACAAGGCCAAAGCGAGTAGTAGTATCTGTAGTAGTAGGAGCGCAGCCACCCTAGATAAGGGCATCAGCAGAACACGTGATTATAGCACTGTGCAAAGTTCAGTCTGGGCAGGTAGATATTAGATATCCTGGAAATGGAAGAAATGCTAATAATATCTTCATTACAAGCAAGGTTGAGGAGATTAACGCCAATGTTAGGTGCTTGCTTGCCTCTGTAGACTTACCGCTGTCTGAAGAGACTCAAGATCATTGAAAGAGATGTCAACTGTTATCAACAATCATACATTGGCAGACCTCGTCGAATATGAAAGATACATGTGAGCGAGACCTAGGCATTACCTAGGTAGGGAAATTTCCATAGACTAATCGCTGATTTCCCAGAGGTTTCCGTAAAACCTCCGCATATTCCTACTTGCTGCAAGGCCAGGACGTGAATGTACAGTGCGAATAGCTTCAAGTTGGCATTGCACAAGCGTATGCAAACTAGTGTTGTTAAAAGAGGACGGGAGTGTCCTGTTTGGCCGCCGTGTGTTTCGATCACCTGCGAACTGTGGACGGCGAATGCCATCAATCTTTCTTTCTGCTTGAGCTGGCCGTCTCGTGATTCTCAGTCTCCACTCTCATATCCTCTTTCTCCTCCTCCTCTCCCTTCCTGTCTCTCTCTCCCTCCCTCCCTCTCTCTCTCCTCGTCCTTTTTTACTTTCCCTCCCTTATGCGCATCCTCTCTAGCCTCAAGCTCCAAGATGAGTCTCTCCACCGAGGGCATGACAAACAGGTCCTTGCTTCTGAGTCTCCCCCTTGAGGTCTTGCAAAATGTTTTAAACCAGGTGAATCCTCACTTGCCCTCGTGGATACCCAAGACGCCTGTAGCTGACTTTCTCCAGGTGGATTACAAGGCAGACCTATATTCTCTCTTGGAGGCTTGTCCAAGGCTCTATCATCTGGTCGTGCCCGTAATCTGGCAATCTATTTCACTCAAGGTTCGCAATAATAGGAAGCTGGGAGGGACTTCAACTGGCATCGTACACCTCCTGAGCGCCCGTTCCGATCCAGTCAATCGCCTCGAGTATGTGAAAGAGCTTGTTATTCAGGGCACTGGCCTCCCCCAAAAATGGTGCTTCCATCAGGACAATCGATCAAAAGCGTATTTTCGCGACATTGGTGCTGAAATCCTGCTGTTTCTGAGCCACCTGAAGGAAAATAGTTTGAAGCACTTTGTGTATGTTCCCCAGATGTCCCAGACAGCGTTGACGGCATACTGACGGATCTTTTTTATTTCTGCAGTTGGAAATCTGGTACTTGCGTGCCAGAGGAGCTACTAGGTTACGATGGATACTTACCAGCAAAACAGCGCAATCTGGAAACTTTGAAACTCGTTGTAAACCCTCGTTGCCTTGACGATTACATGGTCAACGAATTGTGCCTTTCTGAGTTCAAGAAGCTCAAATATTTCTCTCTCGAGGGGACCAAGTCTAGTGAAAATGAATACGCTGTCACGGAGTTGCTGCAAGGAACATCGCAAACACTGATTGAGCTTGAGCTCAACATCGCCCCAAAAGATTTCTTTAATCCCTGGGTCGGCTCAAGTTGGCATGTGCTCAATGTCTTTTCATTGAATGCTTTACTTCTTACCCTGCCCGCCAAGAACTTTGTTTACCCAAATATGCGACTGTTGTCACTTAGTTTCGTCTCTTTCGAAGGTTCTGAAGCGGGTTTCGCCAAAGTCATAGATTTTCCTTCTTTGACAACAATGACTCTTCGCAATTGCCGAGGCTGGGGCGAGTTATTTCGAGAGATAACCCCTACATGTCGGCCAATGAGCCTTAGATGGTTGGAGATTCAGTACGACAAATTGGCAGATGGAGATGTTGAGAACATTGTCAAGTTACTGAATTGCTGTCCTAACTTGGAGAATCTTGCGGTTGGCCATGGGCATGACATGAGCCACTTTACCACCTTCAAGATTTGGGAGGCAGCTTGCCTCAACAAGGTCAATTTTCGAGGATTTGTCTTTCATATGGTTGATGTCAGGGCGTCTCAGGACTTTCCTTCACCTCGCTCTGAGCATTCGGTGGACCTTCTAGTCACCACTTCCACTTATATCGCAGTTCCTCATAAAAATCCATTCACCCATGCTAAGCTCGACTTCCTTGGTATCTGCTGCTATCCTGACGAAACATTGGTAAGATTTGCCTCTATTAGCTTCCATTTTGTGTCCTTGTTCGCTCACTTCCTGTGTTCATTGAAGCTAACAATATCTCTTCTCGCGATTTATATAGCAAGGCATCCTGCTACCTTTTACGAAAAACAATTGTCTACGAGTCCTACACATACGCAAGTCCGCAATTGATTCCACCGGGACTACATTTTTCAAGACACTACTCAATAAGTTTATTCGATGGGCGTTCAGTCCTGATGGTATAACTTCTCTGGAATGCTTGTTGTTTGGTGACTTTTCGGCCAGAAAATTCAGGAAAAACGTCAATTCTCGGTCGGACCGCATTGCAACGCCTCCGTTTTACGAAACGACTCTTGATCCAGACATTGGAGACCTCTCTCAGAGGCACAGGTCCTTAGCTACGGCCTGTCCGTCTCAGTTTGGGGTATTTTGAAGACAAGCGAAAGCAGAGGCTTTTAGGCTGTGGCCATGACATGACGAGACGATTTTCCTTTGTTTTACTTCTTCATTTTGCTTCGTTTATCAGGTGCTAGAGGGAACATCTAGGTAATCAATTAGGTTAAGAATTTAACGAATTAGCTTCGTGTTTTGACGTTTTCATGATCTACTACTGGAAATAAGTAAGGTAATTACTTTTCATACGTTCCACTCTGACAAGATGAAGAGAAGCGGGGGGAAAGAGTCAGGCTATATGCGTGGTGCCTGTCTCCCAGGTTTCCGGTTCTTATCGACTTCATTCAAAATTGCGTACCTAGGTAAGTCCATGTCGAAGAGAACCCTCGGTAGTAAGGACTGGGACATACTGCCTACGATAGATTCCCTCCACTCCCCGACCGAGCTCTCTTCCTATACCCTGGTAGCGTCCCGTACTTTATGCTCTGTTTGTTCTACTACTTGCTGCTGCATTATTTCATAGTTACTGCATGTCATGACGATTGTCACCATAACGCGTGCCATTAGCTATAATACGTAGACGGAATTTTTGAATTGAAAAGAATAAATTTAACTCCAATCTCTCAAAAAAACATACCAAGACTTTTCATCCCTCCCCTTTTGTCCCCCGTTAAACATTTCGTTAAAAAAGCATGAAGAAAAGCAGAAAAGAGCCTTGATTACAAGCATGAATTTTCCTCACTCGACATTCTCTACCGCATTGATAGTTGCGTAGCACGCTTGCATGAACCCGTCAATCAAACGGTCCAATTCTGCTACAACAACTTCATCCGAGGCATCTTCCATGAGGGATTCGGCACTGGGCGACTGGATGTCCGGGAATTGCAGGGCCTGACTCTGAGGACGACTGAGGCTCCGTGAAGTTTCCGAGAGGGCCATTTGAGCAGCCATGGACGTGCTGGCGGCGTTAGGAGTGAGCTCAGGAATCTCTTCATGATCAGGTCCAGGCCCATCATCAGTGATCACATCTTCTTCGTGGTCAGGACCGGGACCGCCGTCGATACTGGAGCTGCTCATAACTGAAACAGCCTTTGAGGTGACGCGTTGGTGAGCGCGTTGTAAGATCTCGGGGCTTCGGTCAAATCGGAAAGGATCGTAATCGCTTATTGTGGATGTAGCTGTGGACGGGCGCGAGATGGCCGCCGCATCGATGCCATCGACGCTTAGGTTGTTTGGGTGGTCTAGGCTAAGGTCGAGGATTGATTGTTGTGATTGGACGGAAGGGCGAATCGTGTGAGCAGGGGTTTCGTAGTTGAAAGTGTTTTCGGTGTTTTCGGTGTTTTCTATGTTTTCATCTACAGTATCGGCCATGACAGGAAACTTCCAATCCCGAGTAGCCCGTTTTTCTTCCGCGGGCGGGATAAAGGGCTCAGGAATCACAGATGACGATACTTCTGGCTCGGTATCTTCAGGAACCACCATGGTGGGGAATTTCCAGTCCATAGTCGGTGGACGGGGCGCGCTTGGTTGAAAAGTATCATCTTCACTATCGGTTTCGCTATAGCGGCTGCGTGTCTGGTCGCCATCTGAGTTGCGCGCAGAACGGAAGCTCGACCGATTAGCGCGGATTGTATCGGCATCGGCAAGTTGAAACTGCGACGCGGAGCCAGCAGCATAGAGAGCTGAGTCGAATGCACCGAGGTTAAGGTCTATGAAGGTTGATGTGACCGAAGAACGATCTGTAGTCGTGCGAAGCGGCAGGTCGGATTGGGGTTGCTTTTCCTCAATGGGGATGAAATCATTCTTGGTTTCGTATCTGTAAGTGGGCTTCTGTTCATCGAAGAGACCCTCCATGGCCGCTGCACCTCGCTTGACACGCTCATCAAAGTTTGCCTTTTCGATTAATGTCATTTCCGGGACTGCGCTGTCATCCCACGGCAGTTCAGAGTTTTCGGGGGTTGAAGGCTCGTTCCCTGCAAGTTCCGCAAGAGTAGCCGAAAGCTGGTCCAAGTCGAGCACAGAGTAGCGTCTTTCGAATCCATCAGTGGTACTGAAGTTCCAGTCCTCGTCGAGCGATGCATTGTCTGGAAATTCGGCAGCCGCAGCGCCGCCGGGGTGGAAGAGAGACATGCGTTGACCACCACGCTGGGACCACTGATAATAGATGCGCACGAGTTCGCTCAATGACTTGGTTGGATACTCGCTCTCGGAGCCTGCGATGTATGAATGTTCGAGAATCATACTCATGTTAGGCCGTGTGAGAGGATCAGAGTTCAGACTGAAAGAAACGAGGCTCTTGAGTTCTTGGCTGTAACTATCACCTTCTAGTTTGGGTGTATTACGCCCAAGAGACCGTCCAATTTGCATCCGCTCTCGAAGCCCAGCGTTAGGTGGATTGCCAGTTGCGAATTCATAGAGGGTGCAACCATATGCCCACACGTCAAGTTCGCTACCATACTGATGTGCACTGCCTCCACGCGTCGAGAACATCTCAGGGGGCATCCAGTGAGGAGTGCCAATCCAGGTAGAGCGTTTGTCAACTTTTGATTGGAGGATACCGGCGACACCAAAGTCACAGATCTGCAAACGCCCTTCTTCGTGAATGAGAACATTTCCAGCCTTGACATCTCGATGGATGATTCCCGCGTCGTGTATGGCGCGGAGGCCACTAGCGAGTTCTCGAGCGATCGGGATGATGAATTTCTCTTCGAGCTTATCTCCTGTGGCACGCATCTGGTACAGTTAGCACAAATGCCGATGCGGGTTTGAAGAGGCATGAACGAATCAAGTTGACATCATGCCAAAGCCAGAGACGCGAGCATAGACAACGTGAGGTGGAATCACGCGATGAGATAGCACATGAGAGAAAATACATACCAAAGTCTTCACGCTACCCCCAGGACAGTATTCGCACACAACCCACAGTTGAGAATGAACCGAGATGGCTTCGATAAGCATGTTTATGTTGCTTGCACCGGCTTCCTTGGCTTGGTTCATGGCTTTGATCTCGTGAATAAAATCCTTGATAGATTCGTCTTTCATATCACGGTTCATCTTGTAGTCCAGATTATCTATGTCCATGACTTTGATAGCCACCAGATCTCGGGAAGGTAGTCGACGGCCTTTGTAGACGCGTCCGTAGGCGCCTTTGCCAATGAGTTCTTCGAATTCGTAGGAAGGTATCTCGGTTTTTGCGCGTCGACACATCTCGTGTACAGCTGCAGCTTGTTCTCTGGCGAGCTTGATGGATTCTGCTTTCTGTTTGGTGAGTGTCGCCATGGCAGACGACGGGTCAAGGAATTGAGATGCCCGAGGGACTGCCATGATGGATCGTTGGGATGCCGAGGCTCGCACCCTGCGAAAGGACTTTAGTTGATGGTATGGATCAAATATCGGAGGAGAGATTGAATGGATATTGGATCTCGACGTGATACGATCAGCAGCCGAAATTCTTGTTACTGGCAAGTGGGATGGCAAGTAAGAGTTTTCAGGCAGTGGAGTAGAGACAGTCTAAAACAGGAGCACGTTAGAAAGCGGAAGAAAACAAAGGAAGCAGAAATAACATGGTGGCATGAATGAGACCACTTCTTACCTTCTCAGAAAACCTTGTAGGCTGCACCTCACAAAAGCTCACACGCTTCTCTCTACCCCGGCCAGTATAAGGCGGAATTCTATCCTCGAACGAAACAGTCCTTCTTGAAGATGAACCTGCTCTAAAAATCTCTCCTTCTCCAAGAAAATTTGGCTTGGTTATGTGAGACCAGTTTCCAGATGAGGTAGATGACGGTGACTGGAATAATTGCCGTCGTCTTCTCTGGCTCAGCTCAAGGTCAGTGTATCTGATATCCTCCTTCCAGGTATCGTACTGAAGGTAGCGACGAGAGCTTGTAGTCGAATATAGACTAGAGGAGTTGCGGAGTGTCTCTTCACTTTCAAATTTCCTTATTTCTTCAAGCAGTTCAGCAACAGCTTGAGGATTGCCTGTTGCCCTGTCGTCTGAAACAGTATTCTGATGCTGCACAGGAAGAAAATGGTCACTTGATGTTGATATAGGTCTATGATAGGAAGACAGTGATGATGAGCTGGCTGTTACCCTATTAGGAGATGGGGAGGGCCCCAGATGCAGACGTGAAGCACCACAGTCAGATGCGATCGGAGGGAATGGTAGAGTAGAAGCACAGGAAGGAAAACGCTCAACAGTGCTGTTTATTTTCGGAATGCTGAGGATGGCATCAGTAACCCATACGTGATGTTGACGATGAGAGTACATACTGTTCAAAAAAGGTATCTGGAAGATGCTCTTTGAAGCTAGACTGGCGACCAAGTACAAGGCTCTGTGTTTGCCTCTGACTAGTTCGGCGATTTGCTCGCAGATATATTGGAAGAGGTGGCGATGATTGGGTCTGGGGTCCTCTGCGTTGCTGGATCACAAGATGTGTGTCTGAAGCCAAGTGCTCCTGGGGAGGACTCTGAATGTGTGCTGGCACACAAGAATCTGTGAAAAGTGGTACTGAAGTCCTCACCAACCCCTCACTGGGATTATCAACAAATGGATCAGCTAAGGGTGAACGCCTGACAAATTTATGATGGGAATAGCGATCTCTGTGTGGATAAACAATTTCTGGAAATTTATGCTTATTTCTCTTCCTTTTAAACCTGTGAACAAGAGATAACGTGTTAGCAGATGAACAATGGGACTGAAGAGTAGACGAGCCTGAAAGTTTGAAGAAGATCGTGCACCCAGCCAAATTTGATTTCTTCTGCTTTGAAGGTCAGGCTTTTGTGCTTTGAAGGTCTAGGGAGACAGTGCATGATGAGAATTTAGAAAAAGGAAGGCTGAAAAAAGTGATAGACGAATACACGTTGAGGAAGGCGAGGGAGGTGGGATGAATCAAAGAGAGGTCTGGGAGAGATAGATGGGAGGACAGAGCATATGGAATGGGAAGGAGTGGAGGCAATGACTTACAGAGAGGATTATACGGAAAAGCCCTTGACCACACAGTCAAGAAAGCCAGTGTCTTGAAAAGTCAATTGATCGAGGGGCAGAACAGGCACAAGCTTAGATGCCATAGAGTCAGACTGAGTCCATTCTTGGGTGGCGTTGGGACAGTCTAGGAGTTATAGTGTATAAATAGGAAGTCACTGACTTCTATACCTTAGGTCAATAAGTAATATGTCCGCGTGATATGGAATGCAATTGTGCTTTCCATGGAAATATAAGGGTGATTTGGGTAGATGTACCTGGGCACCTCTCACAGAGAGCAAACAGATAAGCGAGGGCAGCACAAGACCACGCTGATCCCAATTCTGTATAACGTATTTAGGGCTTTTGATTGACCAAATGGGGCTGTCAAAGAAAGTCCCACTGGTGCCTGAGAAAGCAGGTATATCTAGCAGACTGAATGAATGTATAGAGTCCCAAGCCTAGACAAAGAAATGAATATTGAACAGTTCTAAGCGTTTCCAATCAATTCAAGAAATGTGAAAGGAGTGAACTGATAGTCTGGTGGTTTTGAACAGTTGAGATGAAACAGCGGTGATTGATATGCATGCAAAAGTCAATGTCCAAATCGAAAACGAAAAAGAATGCCTACAGTCACGAGTTAGTAGATATCCTGGAAAGATCTCGAAAATGGCTTTATAGTCTCATAAGAAGACATGGACTGTCTTGGGCGATATTGCATCTCATAACATGGTCATGTGACCGCATCCGAAGAAAGGGGGCAAATTGCATGGGACATGCCGACAAGCGCCTAGTGACAAAACAGAGGGTACGCTCGAATCTATTCGAGATAGCAAAGCCAGAAAAGGCGCAGATATGGCTTGTGTGATTGAAAATTAGAGAAATGCAGAGTCTACCTACCATGCAAAAGCCCGTATACTCCGAAGACGATGATAATGTAGACTTTAGTAAGTAGACAAGATGGTTGGCCACCAAATCTACTCGGAAAAGGAAACGCGATGTGGGTATCTCGTAGCAGCCAAAGTTTAAAAGAAAGAAGAAATATAGAAGAGAGCGTAAGGGACGACAGCATCGGACTAGATAGAATAGTACATATGCAACTCCCGAGTTGACGCGAAAGAGTTCGGGCTCGAGGTCCAAATAACCTTTTTTTTGGCTTTCGGAATTCCCGCCACCTTCCCCGTCTTGGCTTGGCATGCTTATGTGAGACCTTCAGTGCATACATACCTCTACATCTCACTGCAATTTAATGCAGCAGACTTTATTTCATTAAGTAATATGAGGGTTGGTATCCGTGGCCTGACTTATGCTTGATAGAGAAATTCTAGCAAGTAACTAATAAAGAATTGAATGCATACCTAGATATTTTGAATATAAACAACGAAACGAAGAACACCCCCTCTTACTGCGTGTTAAACGGCCATAAGAACGTCCCTCAGCTCCGGATAGCTAGGCGTGCCTAAACCACTGGCTGGGTCCCAGCCGGGTACGGCAGAGAAACCGCTTGTGCCACACCCCGAATTGGTCCCGTTGGTAATATCGTTGAATGCAACGGGATTCTTATACAAGATTGGATTCAAGAATCCTACAGGCCCGGGCTTGCCCGCCGCAATTCGCTCTTCGATAATGCGGTTGATTATCGAGGCAAAAACAGGGGCCGCTGCAGAGGTGCCGCCACTGATAGTCAATGAGCCATCAACGTAGATTGGAATATTGTCGCCAATAGCAGAAACATCAGGATAACCGCGACCGGAACGATTATACAAGCCGCCGTTTTCGCCTAGAACAGTACCGTTATAGTAAGGATAAGAAGGATTGTAGTTGGCGAAGTAGCTGTAATTGATAGTCAGTAACCGCGAGGCAAAGATAACGGGCATATATATAGGGCTTACTTTTCAATAGCTTCGGCTTGATAGTCAGGAATGCCGAAGACATTGCTGAAACCACCACCACTAGCCCAGGCCATGGTATAAGGGTCACCAGCTGGATTATTAGCAACGACTTCGGTTTTGATAGAGCCACCGGCTGGGATCTTGGTGGCACCAACACTGGTCACGTAAGGGCAACTGTATGTCCGTGATTAGCACATCCATGCCCTGGCAAAAACAAACAAACAAGAGGGGAAAAATCACTACCTAGCGGGCCAACCGGGATTGAATATTGTGCTAGAATTTCCGAGACATCCTTGACTCGCACCAACACCAGAGTCCCCTGAAGCAAAAATAACTGATACTCCGCGGAGACCGAGCTTCATGAACCTGGATGTTTGGTCAGTATTGCCATGTTTGACTGTGCAATTAGCGATTTGACATACTCATTGCATTGACGCTCGTAGTACGAGCGAGGCACTGTATCTTCGGCTGCACCATATGAGAGTGAAATTACATTCGTAGGAGTATAAATGCCACACATGAGTTGGCCCTGGTATCCGATAGGGTCCGGGTAGACAGGGTCAATGCTAGCATCGCCGCACTCGCCAGCATAGCAAGAGGTGCAGTATGACTTTATATTGATGAGCAATCCGGAGAAAGGTATATTGGAATAGGAGATGCATACGTACGCCGTCAAGTGCATCAAGGAATGTGTTAAAACGACCACCACCAGATCCAACTTCGGCGTAGTAGGTATCGTCAACCTGGTTATCGGGTTAATAAAGCCACGGACGACAGCGGAATGGGTAATTATTACCTGGTACAGGGTGATGTTTTGAGGATAAACGATGGGATAAGCCAGCGAAAAGTCCAAATTCGACTCGCCGGCAACAATGCCACTGGTAATGGATGCACCGTCGATAGCATCCAATATGGGAGCGGTCCCATTTGGAATTCCATACGAAGGGTATGTGGCGAAAAAGTTATTCAGATCGCTCTGACTGTATACATCGGCCGTTTCGTAGATACCGAGGGAGTTGTTGGGCGAGGGTGTACCGGAAGTTTGAGGAATTTGATACATTGCGGCAATACAGCCGGGGGTAATGGCTTCATCGCAGCTGGTGGTATTAAAAGCTAAAGACTTTGTCAGGTCAGCAGGTGCAGGTGATCGTAGAGGGACCTTGAAAGCACCGTCTGGGCTGCGTTTTTTCAGGAATGGGAAACGAATCCCCGGGGTAATGTAGTCGATATGCTCTTTCAGGTGCTTCGGAACGTGGTACCTCTCAGACGAGATCGCCTTGTCGCCAGTGTGAGAATCTTCGTACTCGTAGAAGTCCGCATGTAGCAGATTTTCAAGCTCATCACCTGAAGCTACGAATGCTAACCAGCCCTTGTTTTCGGAGTGAGTGATACGAATATCGTGTATGCCAGAGGTAGTGAGCCAGTGTTTGACCGCGGTCACAGATTCATCAGACGGAGCAAACATCTGAGTCACTTCCTCTTCGCTCCAGAACTTGCCGTAATTTTCTGAGTCGGGGTGGGACCTGAACGGAGCGGAAATGTTATTGTTTTGCGTTCAATTCAAAGTAGGAATTGTGGATATGACTAACACGTCCATCAAAAGGTCATGGCCACGATGAAGATTACTCTGTTTCAGCCCGATTTTGACGGGAATAAAAAAGTCGGATTTGATTCGCAGCGGATTGCTCCAGCGAGAATGGACTGCACTACGCTTCTCATGCACAGTGTGAGTGCTAGGAGCTGGACGAGCTGTAGCAACAGCAGCAAAAGCTGCTACCACCAGGGTAGTAAGGAATACGAGGCGCGTCATTTGTGGTTATAACTAACACTATATTCCATAGAAACCAGTACTTCTCCCACCTCGGGCAAGCAGAATGTTAGGATGGACGACTCCTTATTAATGGCACCTAGGTAAAGAGCCGGGCGCCGATTACGGTGGTAAATTAGGGCTACCGGGGTACCATCAAGACCTGACATCTGACTTTGAATCGCCAAATTTGTAGTAATGATTCGTCCGAATGGATCCTATTTTAGTAGCAAACAAACAGAAAGCAGCCTTGATCGGATGAAACAATATCGTTGGACAAATCAGAGACCAGAACCCCCCAGAGAGGCTGTGGAGTGCAGCCACAATGCCCATTTTGTGGTTCTCTCAAGCAGCGAATGATATGTAGCGAAGATGTGTTATGTAGTACTTCTCAGCCATGGCGCACTGGGGGCCGCGCCGGGATCGTACGGCTGGTTTTCTAAGGTTCCAATGTTTGTTTTGGTGTTGTATTCCCAGCCTCCGGGCCGCGGACATGTAGTTTCAATTGTCTTCTATATATTCAATTAACGTTGTGGTCCATATCTATCCGTGGATAATAATTACCTGGAATATGGCATTCATCGTGTTATCACTCCAGCAATATAATTCAAGCTCTACTTTATACTTGTTCCTTGGTAGGATGCCGCTAAAAGCCTAGATACTACCCCAATAAATTAGGGACTAAGTGTCTACCTAGGTAACATGGCAATTATGCTATACGAAAAAGCTAGGAAGTAATTATAGCTGTACAGGCTATCCCACTTTAGCGGACTTGTTGGAATGGATTCATCTGAAGAAAGCAGCATGACCACCGAATATAGGAAGGCACAGTGTCCACTGTCTGAAATAGAATATAATATATGAAACAAAATTTGTATGCCGTCGCCTATCTTGATGATGGTCAAAGTTGCACTAGCCTTTTTCTCTCGCTGAATTCTGCCCTGGATTCGGAGAGTCAGAACAGGTGAATTGCCTTTTACGTGGCTATCAGATGTACTACCTAGGTAGTCATGGCCTTTTTGTTTGGTCAGTCATCTTCTATTTGATGGCTCTTACCTCTCATAGATTATGAGTCCGGCGGGTTTCTGCATGACTATACTTTTTTGAAATAATAGATCTAGATTTTAAAGCAAGCCAACTGAGTCAGTCCCTGGAAGTTAAGCTATAGTAACTCGATGACTAAAAACTATGGCTCATTCTCTCGCAGTGACAATAGCTAAACCCTCGCATAACAATCATTCCAAATTTAGAACTTATAATTTCTGAAAGCATCATGGTTTCATCACTGGAAAGCTCAAAAAAGTACCTTTTTACTTTCTCGTTCATTCCCTCAATTTTGATCCCTTTTCTGCTTTCAAAGATGTCATATCAGTCTTATGCTCCTCCTGTTGGCTATAATACTCTTGCTATTTACCAAGCTGTCAAGCTTCGATGTCTGAATTTTCAAGCGAATGCCATCATGGATCTTGATCGGGTACACTTCGAATGGCTTCACAAAACAGTACAAGAAATCCGTTCGCTAAGCCAAGAACTTGCCATTAGTTGGGCTAAAATACAGGGCAACAGTTCATATCTTGAACTGAAAATGTTGAAAAGGACGTGGGAAAGAATTTCCGCTGATGGTGATGTGCTATCCGAAAGACTTCAAATACAACACAAGTTTCTCCAGGCCTTATTAGGAAAAATCAGAGATTTGATGCTTTGCACAAGGTAAATCTTCGGTAATCAGGCGATTAGAGTCGATACTTTGGTCGACTTTTACAATATATTACATATTTGGCACCTATGTGTTATTTCTCGGATATATCGCGCCTATCCTCTTCCTAATATACATATAATTGCCAATTCTGTTCATAGTTTCCGATAAATGACAGGAAAGTAATCTGAAACCTTGCGACGCACATGCAGAAAAAATCTATATATACCAACTCAAGAAGCAAATCTAGATGCCAAATTCTGCTCTCAGTGCTTCTCCAAACCTTTTGATAGCTTCTTGCATCTTTTCAGCAGAGGCCGCGGCAAATGTGGCGCGGAAAAACATCTTTTCTTCTGCCATGTTCTTATCTGCTCTGAACCAGCTTCCACGACAGAGTAGAGCACCACGGTCGACGGCAGCTGTGAAAATGGACTCTTCGATTTCAACATGTGACAGTCCTTTTGCGTAGCCGGGATGATTCTTCCACGGGACTTCAAACCATTGCTGTTGGGATGATATTGTTAGCTTAACTAGAGCATATGAAAGTAAGGGATAAACTAAAACTTACAAACATCCCGGCAGATGGAGGGACCCAGCTGACGACTTCTTGGGGAAGATACTTTTCGCATGCCCCGAGCAAAATATCTCGGCGGGCAGTGTATTCGAGACGCAAATGCATCAGCCAGTCTAAATACCCTGCGTGGCCCCATCCTTCCTCGAGTAGCTTGAATAGGCACATCTGTGAGAATCCACTGGGGTTCTGTGTCGATGTATCAAAGTGATGAGCAAAGCGTTGGGCAATCTGCTCCGGCGCAACAATCCAACCAACGCGAGATCCTGGGGCAAGAACCTTCGAAAACGACTCCAGGCGAAGTACGCGGCCGTCTACGTCAATTTTTAAAAAAGATGGCAGCAAGACTTTGAGGAATTCTTCGCGGGTCGATGGAGGAGGCACATCTGACTTGTAGGGCTCCATCTGGAGAAAGTAGTATGGCTCGTCCTCGACAATAAAGATGTCATGTTTCTGGCAGACTTTGTAGACCTCTGCGCGCCGTTCGGCGCTTTGTGTCGCACCGGTTGGGTTCTGTCCTGAGGGCACGATGTATAAGAGATGTGGTTTGGCGGCACCGCGCTCCTTTTCATCCCAATTAGAGAGAACCTCGTCCAAGTTTCCCGGAAGGAGGCCTTGCTCGTCCATTTTTACAGCGGCAACCCGGATCCCAAGCGGGGCCGCGGTCTCTAGAGCACTAGCAAATGCATATTCTTCTGCGAGGATATAATTTCCTCGCTCACATAGGATTCGCAGAGTTGCGTCCCATGCCATTGTACTTCCAGCTGTCAAACAACAATTCCAGTCCGAGTATGCTGGGTCATGAACAATCTGAAATTCATTAGTTTTCAATTCTGTTTCATATATCAGCAGGAAGAAAAATAAAATACCTCGGTATGCTCAGTAACAAAGCGGACCATCTGCGCGAATCCAACTGACTGACCATAGTTGAGAGCAACTTCCAAGTCTGCATCTTCATCAGCCGGTGCTTTAATCGCCGCATTCAGATCATCAACTTACCGAGCAAGCTCTTTCCCTCCCTAATATCGTGCTTCCCCGCCGTGATTGTTCTACCCGATGCACGAATCTCGCCTTCGGAAAATCCGGGGGCCTTTGGCACCTTCATGCTTAGCTCCTCGAAAGGAAAGTTCTCACTGGATGGCAAGCCACCACCCAGAGAAATCATCCCGGGGCGACTGAGGTACTTGGCTGCGCCCTTCAGCGAAGACGGCTTGCGAGACTTGGCCTCGGTGGAGAGGATATGATCCCAGCGTTTTGCCTTGGGCTTGGTGTAGCACGCTGGGCTCTTGAACATGTCACTGGACGAAAAGGCGGCGGTGCCCGTGGGCACGGCTCCCTTTTTGCGCCATGAGGCGAGGCCGTTGATGTCGAGGGGGTTGGGGACGACCACGGCGGTGGTGTCGGTCTCGCCTTTGACTTCCATTTCGACTGCGGAGGGAGCCATTGTACCAATTCGTTCTTTTCCGAATATGAATATGAGGGGAGGTGTTACCAAGCTCAATTGGAATTGCAGTCTTGTTGAGAGCAGAAGAACTACGTGGGCGTACGCGGATATAGAGACGATGGAGGGATCCGAAGACGCGAATCGGCAGCTAGATGCCGAGCTCAGCTTTTGTCAATAGGAACCAATGTAGAACTGAGTGATAGACTGTCAGATAGCGTGGTAGTCCTAGGGCGTGGCGCAATGAGAATATTGAAAAAAGAACTGTGGATCGCAGCAGCTTATCGCGGCGCTAGATAAGGGCGTGCATTGGCGTGTGCATTACGTGTGTTACATACCGTACCCGTACCGTACGTACTGTATATCGCGATATTTTACCACACTCCTCCAAGTAATTACTCACTCGTTCATTGGAATGGTAGGTAGCATTTTATCAGATGCATACTGTATAGTCCGACGCGGTGCTGGCCTGATCCGAAGTCGGAATGGCTCTGTCTATTTGACGGTCGAATCACATTGAATTCCGCGCATGAGGGCCCTTGGCTTCATTTATTGGATCAATAACTACAATCTGCAATATAATTAGGTTCTTAGCTGCAGGACAAAGCGCGCGGCTAGCTGAGGCTATCGTCGGCAGGCGAGGGGTGGTGCTGGCTTATCGATAAGCCAGCCCGCTGCTACGTCAGTTTGAGAAAGGCTGGGAATATAAGGGATATACTAACTAGACGCTTAGATGTAGCTTCACCATTAATGCCCAGGTAGCTAGCTATTTACTAGAACATAAATGACCAAGAAAATAGTGCTATTCCGTCACTTTTTCTCGACGTATTTCCCCACGATCCCATCGAGCTGCGCCTCTAAAACAGCAGCTGTCCCTGCTAGAACACTCTGGATGGCCTGCGGGAGCTTCTCTGCGAGTTCGCCAACTGTGCTCGCACGGCCAGCCCAGAGCTCGCCTCCTGCTGCTGCCTTGGCAATGCCTGCGTAATCCGGTGTGGGAGAAAAGGAGATGTTGAGCTCCTCGTTGGTCGCCTTGGATCCCTCACCGTCAGGATGGACGAGGAGCATGCTTCGCCGAGGAGCGTTCCAGCCCTTGTTGTTCAGGACAATGGTTAAGATGGGGATATTGTACCGGCGGGCAATCCAGTATACAGATCCGGGCACCGAAAACAGATATGTACCATCCCCGACAATCTGGCACACAAATTTTCCCTTGTTCTTACCGCCATGCTCGTCGTCGCTCGCGAGTTTGATACCGAGAGCACCGCCACCAGACCACCCCAGGCCGCCGCCTCCACAGTTAATCCACGATTTAGGAAGTGTGCATTGTAGCTGGTCGGCGACAAATAAGGTAAGTGTAACTGCTTCAATAGCCCAAATAGTGTCCTGAGGAGCGGCCTTGCGAAGCTCGGCCATGAGGTAGTTTGCATTAAGATGAGCGTCTGGTCCGCCAGTGGGAGCAACGGCAGAATCTGCGATCTCCTGGAGTCGTTGTCGGTATGACTCTTCAACACGCCTCTGCCGGTTATTCACTTCTTCGCTGTTGAGTGTTTGAGACAGCGTTGGGTTGGAAACGATGTATTCGTTGATTTGCTTGAAGGCAGTTGTCGAGTCAACCTTGAAAGTAGCTATAGATGGTAGATAGAACATTGGAATTTGTTGCTTCAATGGGTCGACGTCGAGATGAATGACTTTTGCCGTCTCCTTTGGTTTGCACACTGTTGGGATCCAAGGCACATCGCTGTCAACAACCAAGATAACGTCGGCAGTCTTGACCGCATCAGAATTGCCGAACCGCAAGCCTAGCCACCCGGGGTGGTCCGCAGGGAAGCTCATATCCGATCCAGCACAGTCGAGCACGCGGAGGCCCTTGACCAGGTTGGCGAGATTAACCAGTTCCTTGACAGAGCTGGCTGCTCGTCCGTTGTACCCGACGACCACCAGGGGCTCTTTCGCATTGACCAGCTCGTTTGCAATCAACTCGACCGCGCTGGCCGGCAGCGCTGAACCTGTGACGGGAACCCATTGCTTCTGGTTCAAGGAGTACGGCTCGATTTCTTCTTCCATGATTTCTCTTGCACCGGCCAAGTAGACTGGTCCCTGAGGATCACTAGTTGCCCACTGCAACGCACGGTTCACTATTTGTTTGACATTCTTGCCGCTCTTAAATTCTCCTGTATAACGACAGTACTGTGATATAATCTGCTTTTGATCGGGGACATCCTGTATCCAATGAATATATTCGGTGCGAGAGCCACGCATCTCTCCCTCGAGCGTGAACGGCGATAGACCGGCAAAGATGAGCACGGGAGCTCGGCCGCAGGACGCGTTGTGGACGGCGGCACCTAGACCCTGCGTACCGACATCAACGTGGACAATGACACACTGTGGTTTGCCGGTCAGGCGAGCGTATCCATCGGCCATGGACAGGGCGACCATCTAAGCGATTGGAAGACACTTGTTGTAAGTATTTATCCGCCCGCACCTTTGAAAGGACTGGACGTACCTCGTTCGGACAGGTGATTGCCTTGGGCCATTGTCCTTTACGTTCCTTTTGGCCCTTGACCATTGCTTCCATGATCGCCGGGTGGTCGGTGCCCAGGTTGACGAAGACATATCGAACGCCTGCCTGGAGAATCAGTCAGCATGGAAGAAGTAACGGGCTGGTTATAGTAAGCTAGTATACCTCCCACAGCGCCTCGAAAAAGGCAAACGAAGCCGTGTATCCCCTGTCTCTATCAAAATCTGAACTGCGTGGATGGAACTGTATTCCTTGGGGCAACTCACATGATGAAGAGAAGCTGGCGGGGTATGAAAGTAGTTAACAGCGACTGGACCACAAGACGGATGGAAGGTAGATAGAGGCTGCTTGTTTCAGCGACGGCATGCAGGGTTATATACGTAACGGGTAGCCTCGGGTATCTAGGTTGTTGTCTAGTTTGTTCAACAGAGACGTGTTACGACAGCGTGGGGGAGGTCCACCTCAGCCACGCTATTGCCATGGTTATTAACTAAGTCACAAGCTACGATGGATAGTTACATAGTCTCAGCTAGTAACGGATCCCTGGCCACATTACATTACGTTGTATTTATGCCAATGGTATATCGACACCGATCTCGAGTCGGAGATAATGCGGGGCTGGCCGATGCGGGGCGTGATCGATCAGATCTCCCACGCTTGGCAAATTCAAGAACGAGAAAGTAAAGACAATCAAGCAGCTTGCAGCCCCCGGATGTCTCCCACCGCCTCACTGCACAAGTAAGAATACCACTCGTCGCCTTTATGGCCTCGCTTTTCGTTGCGCAGGCCCACGGTCTGGAAGCATCCTCGCTTTAGTCTTTCGATCCTCGCTCCCTTCGTCTCGTTGAGCAACGTGCCTGGAGCAGCCCAGCCGACGTTAAGCCTCATGGCCGGTTTGTCCCGGTGCTCGTCGTAGTCGTCGGCCTTCTCATCGATAATGCCTCTCGAGAGCGCGAAGCTCCAGTACGACTTTGAAGGCGGTAATCTCTGGCCCTGCATGTGTGACGAGCGATTGTGCTCGATGTCCCTAGCAAGCTGGCGTAGCAAGAAGATGTTTTGCTGAAGAGAGCGTGAAAGGGAGGACAGCTGATGGTTGAATCTTGCGACCCGGGCCTGAAAAGCTTGGAGGTCTCGTTTTTCGTTACTCCTTTTGAGATGATATTCCTCAGAGAGTTGGTGCCAGGTTTTCTCGACGGCAGGCAGTGACTGCGTGTCAGCAACTGCTAAGTGTACCTTATTGAACGATGCCATTTTCTCCCATGCGTGCTCTAGACGGGCCAGTGAAGCGCGGTCAGAGTCTGGATTGTCATCTCTACAGTCTTCTGTTTCGCACTTCTTCGGCCTCGGACATAGTGGTAAGGGTTTAGCACTAGATGAATGCGGAATCGGAGCTAGACATGCAGCACTCATATTCCTGTTTCCTTCGTTACCCAGGAAATCATGGATCATTTCACTCAGCGTGCGAGGAATAGCCCTAGACTGCAATCCATTTGACCCCGGTGTGCCAGTCGGCGAAGACATTTCACAATCAACGTCCAATTCATCCGTAGTTGTCCGCTCCATCGGATGATTAAGGTCGCGTCGTCTGAAGAGATTATCTTCGTCTCGACGCATTCTGTGCGCGATTCGTCTATCGATTTCGGCTCTCCAAGCTTCCTTCTTTGCTTGTATCCTCAGCGACGATTCTTGAGAATTGGGAGCCTCTTCGTCTTCCAGATCAGTCTCACCAGAAACAATGCTCATACTACTGAGGGATGATGGCAACACAGCATAATGCAACACCTGCGATGGTTGGCGAGCTTTGCGAATGCGCAACGGCGAAGGCGTCAACCGCGGCAGCGACATGGCCCATTCTTGAATCTTTTCTAGAGAGTCTCTCTGCGGTGTATTTGTAGACGAAATCGACAAGAAAGGATCCGATTCTTTGTGGAAAGGATTGCGAAGATCCACGTCGATTATTTTGGTAATCGATTCCGTCACACCCTCCACACTTTTTGCATTCTCATCACAAGCACTAACCCCACGAACGTTATTGTAAGTTCGAAGAGTAGACGTAGATTGCCTCATCATTGGTGTGGGAGTCATCTCAAGGTCGTTGCTCACAGAAGGCTGCACTCGACCAGAGATCTGCGGCGTGTGGTCGGCACTCGCGACGACTTCATACTCATTTGTCGGACTTGTCGCGTTCGACAACGCTTCTTCACATCTCTCAAGCCACATAGCTGCATCTTCCATTTTCTTTGGCTTCGCTGCAGAGTAATGATGCATGTTTCTGGCATGCATCTCGACGCAGCTGGCAATCAGAAACAACAAATATCCATGGATCACAGGCATGGTCTGGTTCTCATTCCTTTATTAGCCAAATTTTTTCTGCCCATGGGAATACCTTGAAGATACACACCTCACAGGTGTCAACCAAGTGGAGACATTTGCTCTCACACTCCTTCCATCGCTCTTCGAGGTAGATGTTTCTAAGGTCATTGATAGTCGACCGCCATGCCGCACTTGAGGAGGGTATCGAGATAATCTGGGTTGTTTTGAGTCCGCGGAAGACCCTGTAAAGTGGAGTCGAAGTGGCAGAGGTTGATGGTGAAGACATTGCAATATGCCGATTTCGAGCCATCTCGAGTAGGCACAGACAGCCCTTTGAGAGCTTCAGCTCTTAGAGAAAAGTCTCCCTGATTGAAGATGTGAATGAAGACCTTGCCTAGAAATAACAGACCTCCCCAATAAAGGGGAGATAGATGGAAGATAACGAAGGTGTATAAGGAGGTACAAAGGGAAAATGAAAAAGCTTTTAAGATTGTGAATTTCACTGTGTGAGGGGGTAGTGTGCCATAGTTACCATCGTGATGTTGTGACAATACGCACAGCAACTGCCATTAGAAACAAACCCCTCACCTGTTTTAAACTGCTGTCTATGGAAATCATATTAAACGACTACTACAAGAGCCATTTCCCTAATACTTGAACCCAACATTAATCCCCATTAGACGTCCTTGGTATCGTTGGATCACTTCTCCAAGTTTAACCAGGATTCCAGCTGCGAGGAATCTTGTTTGATCAGTGTCGTCTGTCTTCGCCGTGGACTCCGTTTTGCTGATAGCAACCGGCGTCCTTTCAAACACATCATTCGTCCAATCCCGCAGTTCAATTACTTGAGGCCCGTGCTCTGTTACAAGTCTTTCTTCTGCTGATGAACCGGCAGCGAGATTCAAGTCGATAATCGCCAAGAAGAGGGATAGCAATGCCGGTAGTACTATTGGCTCTGTTGATACTGCTGTCCCGTGCAGTGCGAGCACCAATGTCAAGGTCTCCTGACTAACACTCGGAAGCGCCGGTGTATGGGGGCCTAACGTAGATATCACAAGAGTTACTGTCTGGAGAAATAGTCGCAGGATGTTGGCGGAGTAAAAAGGATTATAACCGCTTGAAGATAACCTATCCTTCGTGGTTAATACTGACGAGAATAAACACTATTTTCTCTCGATACACTTACGAACGAGATTGCATCATGACGGCAAATCTCCCCACCAATGGGTAGAAGAATCCTTCTGTCAGATCCTTGTGCAAATCTTGTGAAGTGAATTTCTTTTTCCTCTGAGCCTCTCGTTGCTGGCGCTGGCGTTCGACCTCCATACGCGACGAAAATGTTCGAACTTTTAGCACGTTGGGCCCTGATGCAGCATCTGCTGCATCGAGTGCTAGGGGTTGCAGTGATGTGCGAGACAGTCGTTCGGTAAGCGCAGAGACAGGTGATTCATTGCCCTGAGTCTCATAAAATTGTTGCAGGTGGCCGGGTAGTTTTTTGGATGGGAAATCGGCTTGTGTGGTCATCGACGGCAGACCCATGACCTTGGAATCCTCTTCTCCGTAGCCCGCCAGTTCTCTGGCACCTAGCCCCATAGCTGTGAGAATGGCAGATCTCTGAGCCTGGGATAAATCTCCATCAAAGAATGTCGCTGTGAAAAACCGGCCCATGCGTATAGGCTGCGCTGTAAGTAATGCAATCATCGCTTGCAAACGGTGTTCATGAAAGTTGACTAATGAGTAGGTATTCTGAAGGCTTAAAATGACCAACGCAAGCCCGTCAATATTCTCAAGCAATTCAGTCCCAAATCCAGCTTTGCGTCGGATAAGCAATGACGCGTTTGTTATACCCAAATGATATCGATCCACGTTTTCGCTGTCTTTCAGATACGCAACTAAATCACGTATATAGCTATGTAACTTAGTTCATTTGCTTCTTGTGAAATAGGAGAAGGAAAAGAAATCAGCAAACTCACACTGGAGCCGTGGGCTTGCCTCTTTGCACTAAAGTAGGATCCTCCTCTGAGTCAGACGCATCGCTGTCTGGCTTTGCATACGGTATAAATCCATCATCCTCCGTATCAAGATCCTCATCGGACACCTCTTCAATTGCAACAATTTTAGACCTTTCTCTTTGAATGTTAGAAGCCCGCGGACGATTTACTCTTCCAACTTTGGGTGTAGCAATCTGCCTAGGCCGTCCAAGCTTTTCTTTCTCTGAGGTCAAGTTACGTAAACCCTCGATAGAACCCATTTTGTCATTGATACCAGTCAATCCAAGATACCACTCTGCTTCCTCGGTTTCAAACTCCTCAAGGTCAAATTTTAATGTCTTTCCCGTTGCCTCAACCATGTTTGATATGGCCATCCCAACAACCATGCCTAGGAAACGAGCCCTAGTAGAAGAGGCAGATAATCGATTTGAGACTGCGTTCAGATAAAGTGATGACCGCCCAAAAGAGTGTAGCTCCGCAGGTTCAAGCCGATGAAGATATCCCGCCGCTAATAGAAGGACTTGGGCATTCGCTGAGAAAAGGTTAACGGGACATATCACGTACTTCGCAGAGAAGGCTTGACCTACCCTCTTGAGATTGTAATATGGTGTGCTTAATGTTGAAGCTGTCGCCAAAATCACGAAAAGCCTGAGATATGAGTTCCCTTAAAGAATCTATAGATCATTAGATATGTTCGGCCGGTGATCGGAATGGACCTACTTATGTCATTTATTATTAGTAATAGAAGAGCTCGGCGCATCCCAAACGTGGTGACAACGTTATTATTTGTTGGAGAAAGCCAATCTCGAAGCATTTCTTGCGAACTATCAATGCCTTGAAGGAATCCAGATAGAAGTGCAGCCGTTCCACCCACACTGCTAGTTAAATCTTCATGGTTTCTCTCGTTTGTGGCAAAATATCGCTTTTGAACATCCTTCAAGATACTGTGAAAAATTGCACTCTTCTCGTGCTGTCGAAGATGTTTAAAATATACGCCCCAAGATGGAGCAACAACAGAGTCTACGATGACCCCCGTATATAACTCGTGGATAAATTGATCAATATATCCGAGGCCTACCGCACGCCCAATTATCAGAGACGCAGATTTCGAGAAGTCCTCGTCTTTAATAATATTTTTTTGAACTATCATGTAGCTCAGATTTTTACCAAGCCATGTAGCAAAGGAATGGCCTTCACCAATCCATGACTTTGTATAAACATCTTTGCTATCTCCGCTGAGAGAAAGGCCTTCCGCAGCTGTGGAAAGTAATTTCCCCCCTGAGAGAAGGGAACAAAACTCTGTCCAAACCACACGACGTTTGGTGGTTGTGTTGTAAACAATAAGATTACCGTCATATACTCGAGAGACAAAATCGACGGGTTTCAAGAGTGCAGAAGTGAACGAAAGGAGTTCTCGGAGAGCTAGTATGTTACTAGATTCTTTTTCCTTCACCGGTGCAGAGCGTATAGCGTTGATCAATATCTGGAGATACCCTACTAGAGCACGTAGTCCGACAACGCTGGAGAAGCATCTTAACAGAGTTCCACAAATTTTGGGAGATCCTTTTTCCACGTTTCCCCAATGATCAGGAATCGTCTTCTTGACTAGTATTTGAAGAATTTGTCCACTGACAGGGTCAGAGAACCTTATATCGCAAGACGTTCTTCCGCTTTCACTCCGCGCTGGATCAAAGCATTTTAAAATCTGAGACAGCTCGTGTTCTGTCGGCCCTTGTTGCAGAAGTTGCAAGAGAGCTTCAGGCTTAGTGTCCGCGATGGTCTTTGTGCTTGACGGAGCTTCTTCTGCCATGGAAATGCCACTTGGTTTCGTCAATTGTGACACATCATCGACACGTTTTGTCTGAACAGCGGTTAACAGGCCATCCATCTTGGTCCCAGCATTTCAGACGAGCAACATGATGAAAGTCGCGAGTTGGCCGTCTTCGTGAGGTTGTTTGCAGGAGGCAAGTGGGAGCTTCCCTTTCTGGGCCTGTACCGTCACGTGCCGCCACAATCCAGCCCCGCCAATCGGAGGTCTTGAAGGAATCTCGTCTTGTTCTCTCAACAACATACTTGTAACACAAGGTGGTGTTAAGTGACCCCAGAGGAAGAAAGGGCCTATATCATCGCTGCTAAGGATTATACTTCCAGCATTTTGCCTATCCGTCTGAAAGCTTCGATGATTACAAAGAAACGCTGATTTGAGCCATACATACATACCTTGCCCCGCAGCTCAGAGTGAGGAAGACAAGGCAGCCAGTATCGATCTTTCTCAACTTCATATCACACATCTTTCACCATGGCTTCACTCTATGGAAGCACGAACGCAAGGTGGTAAGTTTACTTCGGAAAAAATAATCATAAGTGCCGCAGAGGCTCTGACATTTTATCTATCTACAGGAAACATTTATATAAGGCACTGAGCAAGCCAGGACCATTCAGTGACGAAGACTGGGTACCAGGGCCGGAAACAATTGACGCCCTTGAAACATCGAAGATTCTGTACGTTCCTTCTTTCAGTAACTATTAATGTACCAGGAGCTAACCATGTCAGTGTCATGTATGTTTTATATCGAACCAATTCATCAGCTACGTCATGATCTGACATTTCGCAGTGGAGCTGGAGGCTTAGGCTGCGAGATATTGAAAAACCTCGCGTTATCTGGTTTCAAGGATATCCATGTTATTGACATGGGTACGTTTCAATAGTAATGTTGCCGGCTTTGACTAAAATCTTCTAGATACAATCGACATCTCCAACCTCAACCGCCAGTTCTTGTTCCGTCAATCAGACGTTGGAAAGCCCAAAGCTGAAGTTGCGGCAGCATTTGTTCAGAAAAGAGTCAAAGGTGTTAATATTACCCCGTATGTGGGAAAAATACAGGATAAAGATGAGGACTATTACATGCAGTTCAAACTCGTTGTCTGCGGGCTGGATAGTATAGAGGCTCGTCGATGGATCAACTCAACACTTGTTGGCATGGTTGACCCAGAGAATCCAGAAAGCTTAAAACCACTGATAGATGGTGGTACTGAAGGTAAGAGCTCTCGATGTTTTATAACAACAGTTTTCTCTTAAGTGATCATCATATCTAGGTTTCAAGGGACAAGCTCGCGTTATTTTACCAACGCTCACATCATGCATTGAATGTCAGCTAGATATGCATGCCCCTAGAGCGGCTGTTCCTCTATGTACAATCGCGACCATTCCCCGACAACCGCAACATTGTATTGAATGGGCCCATCAAATTGCGTGGCAAGAAAAGCGGAAAGATGAACCATTCGATAGTGATGACCTCGATCACATCTCCTGGATTTATCAGCATGCACTCGAACGAGCTAAGCAATTCTCCATCCCCGGAGTTACGTTTCAGCTGACACAGGGTGTCGTGAAAAACATTATCCCCGCCATTGCTTCAACCAATGCTGTTATTGCTGCATCAACAACCTCCGAAGCCTTGAAGATTGCAACATCATGTAACCCATACTTGGAAAATTATATGATGTACGCTGGCGAAGAGGGTGTATACACATACACTTTTACCGCAGAACAAAAGCCCGACTGCCCTGTGTGCGGTAACCTAGCACGGACAATTCACGTTAATTCCGAAACCACCCTGGAAGAATTCATAGAAAGTTTGGGCGAGCGAGCAGAGGCGCAGCTTAAAAAACCCAGCTTGAGGTCAGAAGAGAAGACCCTGTATCAACGATTTCCGCCACAGTTGGAAGAAGTAACACGGCCGAATTTGCAGTTGAAATTGAAGGATCTCATTTCCGATGGGCAGGAGATTGCCGTCAGCGACCCTGCATTTACCATTGACTTCCGATACAAGCTCGTTTTCGCATAGAGTTATAGGCGAGAATGAGATCTTGAATCAGTACCCTGACCAGACCGCTTGCTTTTTGTACTTGAACAAAACGACAGATATAATGCCATGAACTCCTAGACTCATCCAAAAACTTTCTTTTTTCGAGCCGTAGACAAACAATTGGAATCTATATTCACACCGAAAGACAGAACGCCAAAAATGCAATCGCAATTCGCAGGTAAATGGATTAAGACATTATTGCATCAAATCGGCCAAATTCCTTTTGAGACGTGCACACTTTAGCTTCAATACCTTGACGCTTTCTAGGAAGAGGGTGTCGCTCGGAAACTGGCCAGTGCTTTCCACGTTAAAAATGAAGTGGTCACGAACACGGCCAAGTTTGACTTTATCCTTGAATTCATCGTGCCGTAAACATTCCCTACTAACAGTATCTTTGAAGGGATCTACCACAACGGCTTTTTGTTCCCCAGCGTGACCCTCATAACCGCTGCCTCTCTGCGCAGCTTCATCAGAGGTGATCGTCTCTAAGCCGATCACGCCCTTCGGAAAGCATTTAGCGAACTTCTTTGCATCTTGGCCAATGATGGGACGTAAGATTCGGATTTCCGGGAGGAGACGATAAGTTGCAGTTGCAACGGGAGAAAATTTGGCATGATCAGCACCAATACCTTTGATGCAGTGCATTTCGAGATCGATAACTTGGCCCGGTCGAAGTTTAGCAATTAGGATGTCCGGATTCACGGGTGCGATTTCATTGCCGTTGGTGAAGAAACTCTGTTGACGGCCGCTGGGGATAAAAACCATGTCACGCGCGTATATGTGAGCATTGTGGTAGCGTTTGCGGGGATCGTCCTCATCCGGCGCCGCATCTTCGTTCACTGTGCATTCCACCGAAAGCTTTAAAACTACGGTATTGAAATCACTGGGCTCGCTGCCTTCCGGATCTTCGTCGGTGGGCTTTTTGAACCATCGCATCCAGTTCAGGCCGTCTATTGAGCCCTTCAGTGGTATCAACCCAAGACGCGAGGCGAGGACCTCGTCTTGAATGACGGAAGTGTTGTTCAAGATGTAAACAAACTCTATGGCAAGCGTAGGGACTTCGGCGATGAGAATACGGCGGAATGCATTGGCAATGGAAGCGTCAAGACCAATGAGAGAGAAGGAGGCATCCAATGCTTCACTTTTGTGAAACTCGACTTGAAAAGCCTAGATAGATTAGTTAATAAGGCTTTGAACGCTGGGGTAGAAGATATTTCAGGAACACACGTTTTGAAACCTCTCTCGCGACCATTCATGCGATTCTCCAGGCCAATGGCCGGGGAAGTCTGTGGAAGGTATATTTGTGACGGTTTCGGCGTTGATGTTGATGATCTAACACAGTCAGAACTAGCGCACAGTGTTGGGGCATGCCATAGCTTACTCTCCGGCGAGAAGGTTCCTCGCTTGAGGTCGTTATCGGAGCCATAGTTGCTGAAATATTGGAATACGATGCCTGGCATGTGGAAGAATTGTTCACGAACTTTTTTTTCTACCTCTTTTCTTATCCGTAGCCACTAAGCTATTTTGGGCAAAGAGCGGGGCGTGCATGGTATATTAGCCAATGAGAGAGCGTTCAATCCCGATTAGTACATCTTCGCGGGATTGGCGATATGCTTCGAAAACCGGCGTTGCATCCAATTGCTTATGCATTATCTTTTTTACTGTTCACGGACTCAGAAATCGATATAGAGAGATCTGGGGACTTACTTAATGGGCTCTAGCAGTTTGCATAGCACGTTAGTAGCCCCAGCGTGTGATTTTTATATAGAGGTCACGTGACTCGCAGCCGCCGACACCTCAGGCCACGAACAATTCCTGCTAAGTTCGGAAGCACCACACCAAGTATCCTCCAGTCGTCCCGACGCTCTGCATCTCACCTGGCAGCCATCCTCGAGCCCTTCCCGCCTCATCCCGCGATGGCATCTTCACTTTCTCGCGTCGTTGGCCGAGTGCCGAAGACGCTAGGCCGTCATCAATTGCCCTTCACAGCGTCAGTCTCGTGCTCCCGGCATATGAGCACCACCTCCCGACGAGCTGCCGAACCTCAACCCTACCAAGCGACGAGACTGATCCCGACTGATCCCGCATTTGCGCACCTTGCAAACAAGGCAGGTCCCCCAAGTGCTGAGAAAGGTGCGGCTTTAGAGTCCACAAGTGATACCGGCAATCGCAAGATACGCCACTATACCGTGAACTTTGGCCCGCAACATCCAGCCGCGCACGGCGTGTTGCGTTTGATCCTGGAACTCAATGGCGAAGAAATCGTTCGCGCCGACCCTCACGTCGGTCTCTTGCATCGTGGCACAGAGAAATTGATCGAGTACAAGACATACATGCAAGCTCTGCCTTACTTCGACCGCTTAGATTATGTTTCCATGATGACCAACGAGCAATGTTACTCGCTGGCTGTTGAGAAACTCCTCAATATTGAAATTCCGGATCGCGCTAAATGGATCCGAACATTGTTTGGAGAAATCACACGTATTTTGAACCATCTTATGTCTGTCCTTTCTCATGCCATGGACGTCGGCGCCCTTACACCCTTTTTGTGGGGTTTCGAAGAGCGAGAAAAGCTTATGGTTAGTAGTCGTTCTAGTTAAAAACAACATAATATCTGATTTTTAATGAACAGGAATTCTACGAGCGTGTTTCTGGTGCTCGTTTGCATGCTGCATACGTGCGACCCGGCGGCGTTTCGCAAGATCTTCCTCTTGGTTTGCTTGATGATATCTATCAATGGGCAACCCAATTCGGCGATCGTATTGACGAAACGGAGGAACTACTGACAGATAACCGTATCTGGAAAGCTAGAACACAAGGAGTTGGTGTTGTCAGCGCTGCAGATGCCCTCAACATGAGCTTCACTGGTGTCATGCTTCGGGGCTCTGGCGTGCCATGGGATATCCGCAAATCCCAGCCATACGATGCCTACGGCCAAGTCGAGTTTGATGTTCCAGTGGGTGTGAACGGTGACTGCTATGACCGATATCTCTGCCGTATGGAGGAATTCCGTCAATCCCTCCGTATTATTCACCAATGTTTGAACAAGATGCCGGCCGGCCCAGTCAAGGTTGAAGACTACAAGATCAGCCCGCCCCCTCGTGCTGCCATGAAGGAGAACATGGAAGCCTTGATTCACCACTTTTTGCTCTTCACCAAGGGATACTCTGTCCCCCCCGGTGAGACATACTCGGCTATCGAAGCCCCCAAGGGTGAAATGGGTGTATTCATTGTCAGCGATGGCAGCGAACGCCCATACCGCTGCAAGATCCGTGCCCCTGGATTCGCCCACCTTGGAGGTTTCGATCAGGTTTCCCGAGGCCATTTACTCGCTGACGCCGTGGCCATCATTGGTACTATGGATTTGGTGTTCGGTGAAGTCGACCGATAAACTATCCTTTGACACTTTTACCTTTCTCAGTCACGTCGCAATATAATTGCCTAGAAAACCAATCAAACAACGAAAGACTTATACAGCTGCTTAGGATGTAGCCCTGTACTGGCGTTTTTTTTTATCACTTGGCCTGTCATCCATGTTCTCATCGAACCACCTATGTTTTGATATGTTTTATTCGAAATTTCCTGCCAACTTTCATTTTTCATGTTATGGCTGGCCTGCTAGTCGTCTTTTTCTTTCTATTTGTATGTACAGCTATAGTGTCAATAGAAAGATATGGGTTGCGAATAAACCAATAAATTGTAAAAATAATTAGAATTGTATTATTAAATGAAAAGTGACTAATTCTTATTTCATGGTCCGGTTTATACGTGTGAATTGGTGAAACATGAACGCTTTTAGCAAGGGCCACGGTTTCCATACGGGAGTGTACTAAACGAAAGAATTAGGAAGGTGAGGAACTGAATGTTTTCGTATATCTTCTTTGTCTCTGAATATATTTCACATTCAGACGTTATCATCGTGGTAGAAGAAATCGACATCTCTGGGCCTCCGCTTGTTTCTCGCGACGAAATCATCGTCATCTGGAGGGCGCTCGTTTCTACTGTTCGCCGTCAACATGCTCTGTATGCTCATGCATACACTTTCGACGGTTTGTACTGGTGACCACCCAGCGGACGATAGCAGATCAAGGCAGATGAAGCCATTTGAGTAGATGTGCGGATGAATAGGAACGGTACGCGGGGTGCTCGATGATGGCGGCAGCTTGACGAATACTACTTCCGGTGGTTCTGCGAAAGAAAGTGAGCGCGATGTCAGTGGGGCATATATTTTCAAGGAGCCAGATATATAACATACCTATAGGATACCTTGAACTAAAGGTGAACTTGAGTCGAAAAACCTGATCTTGATACAGCGGATTAGAGTCAAGAACGCGGATTTCCATGAGCCACTCTTCAAAGTTTTCGGCTTGGACTATTTCTATGCCGGGAGGCATGTGCCCTTGCATCTGTTGTCATATTCCACGTTAGTTAGTTTGGACGCAAAATGCTTGAGAAGGCAAAAGTTGGTCATGTGAGGATGTCAATGGGCGAATACCGCGCTTTTCAGGGACGAGGGGACGAGGTTTCTGGCAGGAAAGAGCGCAAATGAGAAAGTCGACGGTTCTGGTAAGAGAAAGCGCTTCGATTTGTACAGACCTTCAGCAGCTCCTATATACATCCATCCATTAGTGTCAGCAAGAAATCGAGCAATGCCTACGGTTTGTAAAGGGGTTTACCTTGCCCAAGCGTTTCGAAGCAAACATCCTGCCCGTTGTAATTCTTCCCCCTTTCTTCTTCTTCAAGGCAGTTCCGTAATTCTCCCTGAGGCAAAACAGCCCGAGTTGATTCCAGTATGACTTTTATCCTTCTCGGCGGCTCACATTGATGACTTCACGTCGGCGCAATGGCGGGCTTCTTGATGCTCGAAGCAGACTGCGGCAGATTCAACGCATTGTGCAGAATCAAGCAATAACTCACATATAGCAAGGGGCGAACAAGCAGCTAGCTGGTTCCCTTCAACGATCGTTGCGTGTGAATTGCAAACGCTGCGTCAAGTTGGGAGGGGGCGCCGTCCCGGAGCCCCGAGCGGGTTACAGTACGCAAGTCACGGTAAGTGGGGCGCGCTCCACCGCCTCGTTGCCTCGCTGCCTGAGCCACAGGGACAACAACAGCAACAACAACCTGCATCTAGTTTTAGCATTGATTTGTGCAAGGCACTGCACGCTCAGTAATGCCCAGCCAGCCAGAATCGTTCCTGCACACAACCACCCGCGCCCCGGTTGCATGTTCTTCGGATATGTGGCAGTTTCATACTGTCATGGCGCCTCGGCAGTGTCCAACGAACCCTCCATCGCCTTGTAGTCTCCTTCATAGCCAGCTGTCTGGCTGCAGCGGTGGCCGGCAGTTCTGATTCCGAGGATCTACTGCGCGATCTATCTTTAGCAATATGCCATGAGTGTTGAGAGACACTATAGTCTGCTGGTTCTCTTGGCAGGTCTTGGTTTGTGTCATCAAGCATTGTCACTTCGAGCATGTGCTCTTCAAGTGGCTTGTGGTTGCACCCGTTGTGTAGCCACGGTGAGATGAATTCCCGGGTACCATTTTATGTCCAAAGTGGGTTATGTTGTATAACTGTGTGATAAGAATCCTCCGCGGAATGAACCCTGCATCTGCCGGTGAAGGGTTTGTTATTCAAACCGAGCGGTTGTTGCTTCGACTGAGACGGGGGGATCATGCAGACCTCGAGAGTTTATACAGTGCAACAGATATTTGTGCTCGCCATTGAAGCAAACTGCGTTTTGAGGGGATGCAGTGGAAAGGAGCCCTGCTGCTTCATAATATCCTGCTTGCTTGCCGGAGTGAAGTAGGTATCTGTACCCAGTTGTCGGGCTATAGATATCTCTATATGTCTTAATTTCCGTAAGTTCTCAGATGAATCATTTTGTTTTTAAGCACTTTTTCATCGAATCCCTGTGCTGATCGAGTCGGGTGTTTCGAAGTTTTTAAGGAAGAGCTGCATCGACAGCTCGGACCTATAGAGTGAAGTATAACAGTGGACTGCATTTGCTTGCCCATCTTCAACGTATGATTAAACCTGATTCAAATACCTCCGAGGTGCATTCCCAGGTAGAATTAGGGCATAAGAGGCCTTGATAAAACTGGGAGAGCATCCAGCTATTTAGCCTAAATGTCCAGTCCTTATATGCCTTTCTACCTCAGGCACCTTTGTATGTTGATAATTTTCACCTGCTAACCACCGCCTAGGTAGCTGTTATAGCCTAATATCTTATCCCCCGCGTCAATACAAAAGAGATATAGCGAGGTTACATGGATTCTGATCTACCCGCGCAAATCCTCCACGTCAAAGCCCTTTTACCGTGTCTCCGTTAACCCCGCATTCATTCTGACAGTGCAATGGTTTGTAAAGAACATATGCTTAGGTGATCTAACCACACTATGATTCTTCGATCTTTTGTTATTGTCTGTTTACGATTTGGCAAATACGAGAGGATCTAGGCACACCGGAACGCCGGATATGTCAAGTGGCCTCCTTTACTTTTAACACAATGTCACTAAAGCAAGAGGCCCAGGGATTTTCCACCAACAGATGACAGTCATTCGATCTGCATGAAAGCTAGAATTCATCTAAAAATGATGCAACTACTTCCCAGATTAAGGATGTTGAGCGGAGAATCCGGTGATGCCGATAGTCTCCCCGCATTGACCTGTCATCTTAGAGTATAAATACAGTCCTCGTCATTGTGGATTTACCCTTTGCGACGTATCCGTATTCAGGATTCAAAATGGTATATTCTATGAGCTTCGTGTGTATCCCGGTGTTGTTGGGCCAGCTCGCAACAATTGCTGGTTCATCGCCTCTAGATGTTCGTGGCACACCCGGCTGGAATCTCGCTCGTTTTAGAAGCTTGGTTACCTTTGGTGACAGCTATACTGATGAGAGCCGGTACAATTACTTCGCCACTCATAATGGCTCTGCTCCGCCTCCCGGTTGGGTTGACCCCCCGGTAAGTCTCCAGGGCCGTTTTGTATATATCAATTGATCTTTTGCAATCGTCTACCTAGCTAGATACTTCGATAGTATTTGCTGGCGACTTAGTAAACTCAAACTGACTTGACCAAAGAGCAATGATACCGCATCCGGTGGCTACACCTGGGCCCGTTACGTCGCTTTTTCTGCAAATGTTAGCCTCTACGACTATGCCGTTAGTGGTGCTGTCTGCTCTAATGATCTCACACCTCGTTACGTCAGTGCCATAAATGGCGACTACCCCTCGGTTCTTGAGTATGAAGTGCCGGCTTATGTTGCAGACAGCAAAGTCGTCGAAGATGGGGTTCCATTTCTGCATATTCCTCCTTCGGAAACCGTCTATTCAATATGGATTGGGACAAATGATTTGGGTGCGGGCGCCTTTCTCACAGACGCTCAAGTTCCAGGAAAAACTATCCCAGACTACACCAATTGTGTGTTCTCGGCATTAGACAAGGTGTATGCGAATGGTGCTCGATTCTTTGTACTTCAGAATGTCATTCCCCTACAGCTTGCTCCACTCTATGCAACGCCAGAGAGGCACGGAGTCTATGTCATCCAAGAAGGGAATAATAGCACCAATGTCACTGAAGTTTCATACAGGATGTGGGAAACCGTGAGAATGGTCAATGAAATTTTCAAGTACCAGCTCCCCTTTGAACTTCTCATTCAGAACAGATATCCGGGTGCCAGGTTTGCTCTCATGGATATGTACAGCTTAGTAAGAACCATTAACGGCTCCTTATTTACAGGACAGAGTTTGAGGCAAAGCCGTGGACTAACCATGATGCTTGCTCTAGATTGCGGATATTTACTTCAACCCGGATGAATATCTAGCTTCGCCGGCCAATGTAACTGGTTATATCGATCAGTGCGATGCAAATGGAGACAATTGTTATCGCCTGTCGAACCAGGATTCATTTCTTTGGTTCAATTCACTTCACCCATCCACGAAAACCGATTCAATCATCGCGGAGAAATTTATCGAGGTTGTCAACGGAAATAGCAAGTACGCTACTTACTGGGGCTGAGTGTTCAACGTCAATATTGCATGGTAGTTTACTTGATGAAAGATTAATTTGGACATTCTGTTCGAAAACCACATTTTACTCTTTTTGGGTATAGAAACATCTAAAAAAAGTTGCGACTTTCGCAAATCATATTTCAACCTCCCTTTGCCAGTTTTGAAGATATACTATACCTAGGGAATATAACGAATTCACTGAAATTACCATCTACCAACCAGTTTATCCTCGCAGCTAGCAGCACTGTCGTCCCGTACTACGTCTACCCTGAAGATATCCATGCTAAGTTTGTTTTCAGTGTATGGAGAGAATAGTGCGCCCAAATCAGTGGTCTCTGGGTCTTCGATCTACATGTATTCTCATATTTGCACTACATACAGCAGGGCTTTATTTTATCTGCCAGCTCCACTAAGCGCCATTAAGGAGGTTGTCGTCGTTAGATTTGCCGACGCCGTGATCTCCGACGATTTTTAGCGACGTTATAAAACTTCGTCGACCCTTCCAATTTTGTCCTATATACAACCAACACAATCAATCACTCATTTCCCTCTCTTTTCTTCCTAGCTTTTGTCATTCTTTACTTACGATGAACATAAACACGCTCCTTTTGTTGGCCCTGCAGGCTCTCGCCTCGGCTGCTACCACGGTAGAGATCTGCCAGGACGTCACTACCCAGTACATTGAAAATCCGCTCTTTGAGCATGGAGTGACAGAATGGACAGTACAGTATGGCACAAATGGCAATGAGTATGATGTATATTATACATCTCAAACGCCCGATGGCCACGCCGGCTACGTGCTGGCCCTCAACGGCGATCACCTAACGAGCAATATCATCTCGCAAGAAGTTTCAGGTCTTGCGAACGGCATCACGTATACCTTCAGCATGTGGTGGCAGCTCTTCCCCTTGGGAACTGGAGCATGTACTTCGTACATCTCCTTCGACAATATCAATCTCGGCTCGCAAAGCCTCACCTCAACCAGCGACAGTGGGGTCTGGAAGCAATTCACTGCCACGTACAGTTCTAATGATGAAGACGGAGAGCTCAAGATCATGGTAGATTGCACCGCTGGCAGATTTGCAGACGACTCAGAGGTCAACTTTTACAATATCACCTTGACGGGGCCGACAGAGGTATGCTCCACCGCGACGCTGATATCGACCCCAACCCCGACATCAAGATCGTCGACGAGCGTGTCTGCGAGCACTTTGGCAACTTCCTCTCCTTCATCGTCAGTGGCAATACCAGGCTCGTCATCGCAGTCGTTTCGTTGGCTTCCTCTGCTGTTACATCAGTGACAACGCCAGCCTCATCCAGGCCTACTTCCTCCTCATCCGGGATCAGGCTTCTTTCAAGCAGTTCCATGAATATCGCCAGCTCATCCAGGTTCATTAGTTCCTCACGAGTTGCAAGTAGTCAGTCCATCGGCACCAGCTCGTCTGCCATCGTTTCATTAGCTTCCTCTGCTGTATCATCCAGGCCCACTACTTCCTCATCCATGGCCAGGCCACGTTCAAGCAGTTCCATATATATTGTCAGCTCGTCCAGGTTTGCTAGTTCCTCACCAGCCTCAAGCAGCAGCAGCATCCGCAGCAGCTCGTCTTCAGCCATCGCGTCTCATCCGGCCAGTGGGACTTCGATTCAGACTTCATCAACTATGCCTTCGGGCTCACATTCGGGTACTTCCAGTTCCTTCACTCACTCATCCTTGCCAGTAACAACGTCCACATCTACGCGAACTGAACACGCCTCTACATTATTATCTGCTTCAGTCTCTACCTACTCGATAACAACGCTGCAGCCGACAACAACTGTTTCGTCTTCTTAGCATGGACCGACCACCGCAGGCGAGTTCACCACTTCTACCATTGTTACAACGGTGGTCCGCACAATCACCTCTTGTGCAGCATCTGTCACCGACTGCCCGGCCAGAGAACGCTCTACATTCCTCACCACCGAGACTTCCGTCGTAGGAACCACCGGCTGCCCGGTGACGGCTGCAGAAAGTAGTACTATTGTTCACAAGACTGCTGTGCCATCAATAACTTCAACAGGCGAAATATCATCTCAGCAGATGACGACCTCCACCGTCTTCACCACACAGCTGCACACTGTAACTGCTTGTCCGGCGTCAGTGACCGACTGCCCGGCTTCCCAAAAGACAATATACGTGAAGACAGAAACGGTGGAAGCGTATACTACGGTCTGCCCCGTAACTGCCACCGAGATGAGCGGTTCAAGTCTTCGCAAATCAGTCGTACCAGGAACCAGCAGCTATCCAGATACTCTATCGACCGTTCAAGTGTTCACTGTGACAGCGAGCGGCGTTGCGCATGCACCAACGACGTACCTGGCAACGGATACTATTCCCCTCGGGGCTGCTTCCTCCAGCACCGCTTCAAGCGATATTGTTCCTGCCGTCGCTTCATCGACTACTGCCTCTAGTTACAACATCATGACGCTCCAGTCCAGCTCCCCAGTCAGCACAGATATAGGCAGCACTGTCACCACCGAAGCTACTAGCGCTGTCTACACAGGAGCTTCCTTTTCTTTGAAAGTCGATATCATGTCCGTTGTACTTGGGTTTGTGGTGGTATTGATATTATAGTATTTATCCTTATATAAAATTTAATAGATCTATTCAACCTAGCTATAGAAAACTAAAGAGTACAATACAACCGTGTATGCCTGCCTTGGTAGGTAGATATGATTTCATCTTACTATTATGACAGAACCAGTAGGCCTTGGTTGAAAACCTGGATGTCAGAGCTATATAGGTAAGCTTTGAGATTCGCATTGGAGTCTGGGGCCCCACGGGAGATACACGAACCTAGATACACGTATTAATCCTTTCCATGGCATTGAATAAGCTTGTACGAACGCTCACACTCGGTAATTTGGTACTACGTGCGTAGGTGATGATACAGACAAATATATGTACCACAAGAAAAGTCACAATCAGATTCCATTGGCTACTAGTTGCTTGTGCTGTGAATAGCGTCAAGTGCCCCTGCCAAGTATGCAAGGAACTGTGTCGTATTGTTTAGATCCGATCAATCACCGCAGATTTTCCAAATATGGCAATCCCCTTGCATCGGCAATTGACCCGAGCTTTTTACTAGACTGATAATATGCATCGGCAGCTACACGATGTGATATCCAAATTTGATAGATATTCGTTCAAGTTATGGCTCACAGACATCTAGTCCCTGGCTTCGATGTTGTATTCTGGTGGCTCCCTCCACCTGTCGGCTTTGATGATTTTCAAAAAACAATCCATCCGATGGGTCTTTGAATGCTATCTAGGTAGGCTTACCAAGTCTTTGTATTAACTTTGTTTCAAAATAAATAGTATTGATTTTGCTCAACGACGAAATTATGCTCATGTTGATTAGGATACTCCATTGATCATCTATCAGTATCTGTAGCTAGCTACGCTAGGAGTATGTAGAACGCTGTGATATGCACGCTGGCGAAACAGCTTTTCCCATGTCCCTATGGCTTTTGGTTGACTTTTGGCCGCATTGAGAAACGAAACGGAATTTCTACAGACGGGTTTTCAGTGAGTGGTAACACAATTTATTGGACACATGTGTACATCAGCCATTTTGCACGCTTGGCTGCATGCTTACCTAGGTAATGATTGATATATCCAGATGCCCCTTGCTTGACATTGATAACGGACTCAGCACTCTGGAGATCTTGATATTTCATATGCTGGAGTTATCATGTATAATGACCAGAATCAAAACAAATCATGAGCTTGGACCATGTGAAGAGATATAAAGAGATTCGAAATCTCTGCATTTTATTTGAATCTATCATCAACAACTCAATCAACAATCCAAGCACAGTTCTTTGTTTAGCGCGGCTCCATTAACACTTGGAAGTTAATCCTTTCACCAAGTCAAGGTACTTTTGCACCTATGCACTTGACAAAACCATAATATCTAACCTCGGACAGCCATCTTCTCTCCAACAAGAAGCCAAGCCAGCAAAAATGCAGTTCTTCACCGGCCTTACAACTCTCCTCTTCGCAACCTTGGCCCTCGGAGCAGCGATTGACACCCGTGCCGAAAACGGTGTAAGCGACGTCGACCAAGACCTCAAGGAAGCCACCTGCAGCCCCAAGGGTGGTGCCTGTCTCGCAGGCCAGCTTGAATGCTGTTTCGGCCTGACATGCTTCATCCCTCCCAAGAGCGGATGGGAGCCTGTGGGTGCCTGGACCAACCAAGGCGTCTGTATCTCAGCAGCATGAGGTACTAACTACTTCTGGGAAATTGGGTAAGTAACATTCTCATAGTGGTGTCCTGGCAAGTCAAAAGAAAAGTGAGAGACTGACTAAACTAGTTCAGACATACTAGACAAATTAAATGATGAAAATGCAAGCGAAATTGGATCTTAAGACACCATGTATCAATTCCAGTGTATGTACCTAGTTGACTTGTGAAATTCCCATTGTCAAAATATAAGTTTCATTGCTCATTGAACAAGCATTGTCATTTCATTATTAATATCCATTTCTTTGACTCATATACACTTTTGATTCTTCTGCTTTATGATTATGAATCCCCAGCGTTACATTGTATGGTTGAGTTTACAAGCAGATCCCACCTTCGTACCCAGTCTAACAACATTGTAGTCGTGGGAACTTCAGAATAACTCAGAAGAATAGGACATGATTTACTTGTAAGTGACAGTGACAGTGTCGCCATCAATGCTGGCGGTGGTGATAACCTCGTTATCCTCGTTGACCAAGTCAATGGTCTCGCCACCGCTGGGAGTAACAGTTGATCCATCCTTGGTAGCATGGGCGTCGGTGAAGGTGATGGTGTCAAAGGCAGGGAAGGGAGCGAGAGATTCCTGGCCGCTGCTGCTGATTTCGGTGAAGTCCTCTACGATCCACTCAGCGTTCTCCTCGCAAAGGTCAGCCTCAGTGGAGGCAGAGGTGAAGGTGTGGGTAACACTGTCGCCGTTGGACTTGTTGGTGATGGTAGCGGAACCGCTGCTCTTGCTGGTGGCAGTAACGCTCATCTCAATGGTATCCCCGGCGCTGATGGTGATGCCACTGAAATCGTATGCATCGGCAGGGAGCCACTCGTACCAGGCATCGTAGGAGACGTCATTGCCCTGGATGCAGAAATCGAAACCAGTCTGCAAGATAGCAGAGGAGCAGGTGTCTCCGTCAATACCGACCCAGGCACTACCACAGTACTGAGTGCTGTCATCAGCATCATCGGGGAGAGATGGAGTAGGCGCAACGACAGATGCGGAGACACTGGTGAAGCCGGTAGAGACCAGGACGGCACCAGACCAGTTGGTGCTCTCGGATGTATCCTCGATACGAGCGTTGGGACGGCTGGCTGCCTGGCGAGTGGCACCACTGCGACGGGCAATAGCACGCTCAGCTAGAGGGGAGGCGGCGACGGAGCCAGCGAGAAGCAGAACACTGGTGGAGGTTGAGAACTTCATCGTAGATGATTGGTAGAGGATGAGAAGAGATGGAGGGAATGATATTTGTGGTATGAGTGAGTTGTTGAAGAAGAGGAGTAGGAGGTACTTGAGGTCGTATTTATACTGTCGATTCTCAATTGCTTCCAATGTTTACCTGCATTGATGCTGCTTACCCTAATAGGGAGGTCGTAAGGATACGACACCACTGGGAGCTACTTGTGCTTAGTTGAGTAATCCATTCGGCTGAGTGATTATCATGAGTGCAACGCTTGAACACACTAAGCCAAGTGGGCGGGGTCTCATTATCATCATGATACGAAGTTGGATACGGAGTAGAGGAGACGCATCCATGGATGCCTTGTCATTCATAGCCCGGCCATTTGGCACTGCCCCGTGACGAATCCGCAGCACAGAAAGCTCACAAGTCAGCTATTCTACGTGCTTGCGGCGCCTTCAGCTTCTTTCGATTTGGGGCTAAAATCCGAACAATGCGACTTTGAACGGGCCGAGCGACATGGAAGCCTCGAGAATACGGGCTGCCATGCTCTTTTTTTTTGCTTTTTTTTTTGGACTGCAAATCTTCATTATCCCAGATGCGACACTGCAGGAACATGGAAGTTGTCTGACCATTAAGGCCGGCACGATTGGCTTGTAGCGGAGCCATGGGAACGTGCTAAAACGCTGATCCGTTGTACAAAACTTTATCGAGCGTGAGGAGGGGAAACTGTGGAGAAAGTAGGCCAGAGCCAGGGCTTGGGAGAGAACCTTTTGATGAGGACGGACTCAGCACTGCAGCTAGTATATCGGTATTTTTTCGTCTAGAGATTCGGAACAAGTCCGAGTCTTTTGCTATCGAAAGAGCTGACGTACCGTGGCACAGTCATGATCGTGCTACTAGTAGTAGTATGTACATCATTCAGGAGCTTGAACCTTGCTCGCACAACTGAGATTGGGGATTGTCTCCAAGGAGAAAGATCAGCACCGCTACAGCGTGCTACTCGATTAGAGCTTTCCACGTAGCCACCCGGTTGCCTATTCCGGTAATCGTCCCAGTCGTCAAAACTCAAAAACATTAAAAGTCACCGAGTATTGCGATGCTTGTACTCCGTAGAGTCCCTTCTTTGCTAGATATATTTGCTAACTACCGCTACGGAGCACTCGGGCATTTTAGCAGAACCCTTGCCAGTCTAAAAAATAAATGGGTCGTTTCCCAGACGAGCTCAATCAACATTCTATAGGCAGATTGATTGTCAACTAAAAAAGCTTGGTCTCGATAGTTCCGTACCGAGGCTGTTAGAACTCGATGGCTGCGCCATGGCCGATAGTATATGCTTCCTCCTCGGCATTTTCCCTGCTCTCTGATAGGTCCATATTGGCCCTATTATTCTTTCTATATATAGAGTCACAGTTATAGTTCGTAAGGCTTGGACTTGTACTTGATTTGGCAATGCCTCCTGCAGGCCTTGCTTGCTAGACTGAGCCTCAATCCAGCCGCAGCATTGTGTGAAGCAGGCCCGGTACGTAAGACTCGCACTATCATACTATGTACGGAATACTCCGTACGGACTAGTAGTGAGCATCCCTAGGCCCGGAGCGAGATGCATGTAACTTGACTAACTACGACCACGGAGTAGGTACTATGCCGCATGGAGAAGGTGTGCTTGGGATTAAGCTTCAGCTAAACAGAATATCCGCGGTACAGCTGCCGGATGTGCCGTACATCGTTGCATCAAGCCCACATTTGTAACCCTAACCTCCACAGCCTTATCGCTGTTAATCACTCATCCGCAACTTCGTATAAGCATGTCACTTGGGATCTTATCAGCTGCATGACAAGGACGCAATTTTGATTGTAAAGGTGGAGCACGGAGACAGGCAACTGGAAAAGCACATTTTCTTGGTCTGTGCCTGGCTTAAGATGATCTACTTAAATAACTATGGTGAGCATATACTCTAAGTCTCTGACCCACAAATCTTATTTGATTGGTGGCTTCTGAGAAATCCCTGCCTGTTCCTATCAATATACTTATACTAAGGGCCAGCGGAATTAACATGATAGATAGCTGCCGCCGGAGTGAGACAGTCGACTTTACAAAGCGTTATACAATGCCATCATCAAATCCTTATCAGTAACTCGTGCAGAAAAAAGCACAGTGTATGTGCCGTTCAGTTTCCATATTCGAAGAAGATATTCGCACAAGATCCACATTTCTTCAACAATATGTGAAGCGACACACGGGACATTGAGCCTACTCTCGTATGATTGACTGAGATACAAAGATACTGCAGTCATAAGCAGGGTTGTATGATCTTCCAATAGGGTATCTCGAACTACCTAACTAGGCAATAATTACCTGGAGAATGCCTCTGACTTTGAGATATCATACAACCCTGAGAACAAGCGAATACAACGATATCCATGCCGCTATCACATTGTCCGTTCAAACACGAAAATCCTCAATTGGGAAGGTCCTTTAGGATCTCATGCATGTAATGCTATCTTTGCCAACGCTTGTTGCGTCAAATAAAAAATTATCACGGTGGCTAGTGACTAGCACCACACGCATGCTTCAGCGTTGATGCTTCGTCTAGTTCTTTCTTGACCGCGGGAACCAAGTCAAACTCAAGTTTTCCGAGGGCCTGTTTGCTTGTGTGATGTTGAATTGCCATCTTCTTTTCCCATCCTTAGAGGTAGACAAACTCGAATTAGATCTATATTGCCATGAACAAAGTCCGACTATGCCGGTTAACATTTTTGAGGTCCCATAACTCTCCGTGCTATATGAGAATGGGTTTAAATTCCCCTACTAATGTCTATGGGTGGTTGTTGGCAGGAAAAGAGCGGGGATAGTATGAAATATACTTGCAAAGTCTGTGGACGTATGCAATTTTCGCAGATCCTTGAGAAACTAATTCCCCAGATTCGACGCACGCAGCGTTTTCCATGTATATGGGATGTAATCTTCGATAGCAGAAATCATTTCATACTACTTTTTCTTTTCTGCTACACATCTATTGTGGTAATAGGTTATATCGACTCTATGAGCCAGGTGATCAGACTGAAAGGATTTCAAGTAGATTAGAAGATCCAGAATCAATTGATCGCAGTGCCAGTCCTGTCAGCCCCTTGATTGGCTTCTCTTTCCACCATGATTGCAAAATCGTCCTCGCAGCCGTCCGCTGAGTGTGATTCCGACTAACTTGAGCAACCAGCTGAAGAGGTAGAACCATGCGCACATAGGCGCAACCAATTTCAACTTGCGATAGGAACATTGCTGCGGAGAGAATAGATGTAGAAGCTTGCTCAATTTCTCTGGTGATGTCTTCATCACCATAGTAGCTTTGAATAACAAAGCAGCTGGCGGAAGATAGAGAAGAGGATAGGGTCACCGATGAGAGAATGCAGAGAATGATAATTCTAGCGGATGCATGCATAGCGATTTCTTTGGCTTCAATTGCAGTGCTGAAGCTGTACGAACCACGGTAGTAGTCGAGACTTTGATCATCGAGGTCGGTATAATATTTGTTTGAAAAATAAGGACTTGGGTTTTCCAACTGAGCTATCGGAATCTGCATACCATCTAGGGCTTCTAGTATATGACTCAATTTCTGCATGAATTCATTTTTTATGCGTTCGCTCTCGGTCAAGTCAGTAATGCACGAAAGCTTTGCTCGCAGTTCAAAAAGATAGCTAGGCATAAGAAGGAGAATATCATTGATCTTCTCCGAGTTTGATTTCAATGAATGGAAAAACGGAATTGATAACCATGCTTCCTCAGCAAGACATGTCGGATTGCCTGTCGTGAGGGAAACGTGTATCTATATAACCCAGATTTCTCATATTAGTGGGAAGCAAACGACAAAATCCCTTATTTTTTTTCCCCCTATCTGGCTCTCAGACGTTCCACAGATTGGAGGGAGTTTCACATACCGCATGCCCTCTAATTGCACGGAACAAGCCATGATATTCCGGTCTCGCAAATATTTCAGGACCCTTTGCTTGTAGCAATGCAACAGCACCTAACACATGTTGTTCATAGCCACCAACAATGGTGTCGTTGAGACTCTCGTAGAAAGACATGAGAAGTGCCGCACATATTAAAAATTTATCTTCTCTGTCATCGGATTCTTTGATATCCAAATGTTTTAATCGCTTCCGTACGTATTTAAGCCCTAGATGGTACCATTTGAGGGCTTCTTTCAGCACAGTATACTGACGGGATTGGAGTGCAAGAAGCAGCAATGATGGAGCGAGCAGAGGGGCGCGTATCGTGTGAAGCGAAGTATTTTGTGCCATATCAGGGAGCTGCATCAACCACGATTGTGGTTTTTTGTTGTGACCGTTGTGCAGTTGCACAGACTCCGAATAATAGTATACTAGGTTAGATATGACCTGAATGTCATACAAGGGAACGCAGTGGAGTTCCTTTCCAAGAGCTTCACTAAGGGATAACTCAGCACTTGAGCCGCTCCTCACTCAATATGAATTTCAAAATCGATAGGCTACGTACTGTGTGTGTTCCTCTTCTGTGCCCCTACCCGGAATTATAATAGCAGAACACATCTCATTCTGGCACGGAGGTACAGAGCTACAAGCCGAGTTTTGTTGTTTCGTCAGAGCGCGCCTTCTCTTTCGCTCTGCTGACGAAATGCTTGACTGTTTGGAAATCCTATCATTCACTGACGAGGCGTTTGCGTTAAGAAAGATATTTCCCTGAACTGAGCCAGAACATTTCTTATTGGTAGCGACACATGTTCCGCACTGGGGATATAGTTCGTCGCACTATGCCATGACTTAATGCCAATTCCCCAGCAGAGCATATTCGTTCAGCTCACCTTTTTCTTTGCGCGCCGACAATTCGCACACGCTTTGCTTCGTCCGCCGTATCTAGCCATTGTATTACCCACATCACCCAGAGAGATTTACCTCCGAAAGCGAGTAGCAAGGCTAGATGCTGTAAGAATGATTGCTAGTAATGGCATGATGATGAGGAAAGGCAAGTCGTACAAAGGCGATACCGCTGTTTCATGTGATTGGATGCTGCCTGTGAAGCGCTGCCCCATTAAGCTTTGCCATATCAGGAAATTATCGCGGTGTGGGTCCATATTCTAAAACATCTGTCCAATCAGCGTGCACGCAGCATACAAGGTCACTATTTCGCATCTGATTCTATCAATCTCTTCATATATACTTCATCCGCCAGAATATGTACGGAGCTTAGGGAGATACCTTAATTCCGAGCGTTGTCTGTACAGTCTGGATTATAAAAGGCACTAAAACCGCGCCAAAGAGGAGCAATCTGTTTGAAAATTCTCAACACTATCCTATTTTCTTTTCTGATCTCAATGATACTCATTGAATACAGAAAACCAAAGAATTTTCTTCTTGATCCAACTTCCCAATGACTTCCACTTATTCCAAAGCATGCTGTGAGACTCCTGTGCCGTCGACGGTTATGGATTATCAGGCAAAAGGAGAATGGATCGACGTAAATGATGAGAAAACTTGTGAGGCTGCTCTTCTTCATTATATTCCCCTTCTTCTTCTTCTTTCTTTCTTTTGTTTCCCCCATTTACAAATCATATCAATAAGTCTTCTGACGAAGTTGGAAACTCATTGCAGATATTGCCGGTGATAAAACTGCTACTCGGGCTATTGTCTTGGTCTACGATATCTTTGGCTATTCACCCCAGACTTTGCGTGGAGCCGATCTTGTTGCCGAGGCTTTGTCAAAATCGGCAAGAGGTCCTGTTGCAGTCATCGTCCCTGACTGGTTCGACGGGACTGTTGCAGAGAAAGCATGGGTCCCGCCGGTGTCAGATGAGCAGAAGCAAAAGCTTGGAAACTTCATTCAAACAAAAGCCTCCCCTGAACTAGTCGTGCCCCGTGTGCTCAAATTTGCTCAGACACTGCAGCACCGCGCAGTTCTCCCACAAGTCCAGAAGCTGGGTATATTTGGGTTCTGCTGGGGCGGTAAACTTGCTTCCATAGCATGTCAACAATCTGCCAGGAATATTTTTACGGTTGCTGTGCAGACTTCTCCTGCTCGGGCTGACCCTGAGGAGGCGAAAAGCATCTTAGTGCCAATGGCCTTGTTGACGTCCAAGGACGAAGATCAGGAGGCCTTGACTAAATTTTATGAGAATCTTCCAACCTCGCATAAGTTACTGGAAAGGTTTGATACCCAAATTCATGGGTGGATGAGTGGACGGTAAGTTGGATGTGAAAGATTTGGCATGGAATTGGAGGCTAATTCTATCTTAATCGTTAGTGGCGATCTTTCAGATATTCAAGTCAAAGCCGAATATGAACGAGGATACACAATGGCCGTGCAATTCTTTGATAAATATTTGTAAGAATATGTGCCACGTTAGGATTGGTCTACAGTGAAGAAAAAGAACTCTTTATATCTTGAACTTATATGGTAGAATATATCTTTTAATTGATAAAGAGTCCTTTAACCATGTTACTACCGATGAGAACGTCGTCCGTCACTTTCCGGCTGACGAAATAGAGGTTGGCAACCTGTTAAAGAATGTGGGAATAGCTAAATTTGAGAAACCAATCATGACCAGGATGCATTTTAGTATACCTATCTTAAAACATGTTGCAAGTTGAAGGTAACCAGGAGGTACCTGATTACCTAGACAAACTATATACTGGTTCACGAGTTATCTCGCATCGCCTTCTCCAACTGGGTCAACAAAATTAACATGCAAAAATACATATCACAGCTTTCCCTCCTTAAGTAACTCTCTCACGACATCAATCGTCCCTTGGACTGCTTTACCAGACATAGCCCTTTCCTTAGCGTAAAGTGCTCGCATCTCTTCCTCTGACACTCCAGGGTGTTTGAGCTCGAAAACATATGTCAGGTATAATTCCCCGTCCGCACCGTCGCTAATAATATTCCCGATATAGGTCCCACTAGGCTGCTCAAAATCGACCCTGGCATCCGCGTATGCAGTAACAGTTTCCTTCACTTTTTGGGGAGATCCACGGAATACAACCTCGCGAACAATGACGGTGTTTTCCGTGGAAGGGTCTGTGGTTTCGGATATGACAGCGGTGGATTCGATAGCGTCTGGTATGAAGGTTTCTGCGGAGCGAGCTTTAAGCAAGAGACCAGCCCACATTTGCTCTCGCTTGATGACCGGAGTTACCCCAGGAGGGTTTATAGGGGCAGTAAATGCGATGTTATTTGCAGATGGCATTTTTCTTTCTTTTCAGTATCGTTCCTGGAAGGACTTCGATAAAAAACACGCTTGAGCACGTTGGAAAATGAGATGTCTATTGTGGCATCTGCTGTCAATTTAAATTGGCTTCAATGGGGTCTGTTGTCAGCTCAGACTCTTGATTTATTCTTAATGCACATTTGGGGGATTATCAATCGAAGCAGTTTTAAGTATACCTGAGCGCCACTCCCAACGTTGAACTGGTGGAGAAAATCGGCCTCTGTTAAGAGGCCGAGGCGAACTCAACGAGGCGAGGGGTAAGTGCCCACTTGATCGCCCCGAAACTTCGAAGTCGGCCCTGCTTGAGATGAAAACTGGTCGTGAAGGTCCTTTAAAGATACCCTGCAGTTTAGTCATAAAGATTTCCGTGATCTTCCGTGTAAAGTACAGGTAGCAATTTTTACAAATCTCCTATGATTATAAACTGCATGTCGAGTTAACTAGTTATGAGATAATGGTTTACATAAGAATGGGATATCTTCTGTGTACCGATGAAAATAGAACCATAACTTCACATTCGTTTCATACTTGAGCTTTTCCTAATCATAATAGCCTTACATCCTGACGCGGGTTTCTGGATCGGAGCAGTCCAGCGTAGGATGGCTTTCGTTACGCCGTTTTTAGCTATCGACTCGTCGAATTCGTCTTATAGTTGTCGCAACATGCCGCGTTGACCATGGAAACTTTTACTACGCGGGCTCACGATAGAGCAGTCCTAACCCTAAAACCATGAGTGTGCTTTCACGATGGCATCCCCATATCCCAAATAAGCCGATATACAGTGTCATCACTGCATCGAAACCGTGCCATTCATTCATATGGATGGTATTCGACATCATTGCAACGAAAGAGTTTGCTCGAGAGTGGCTTCGGCATAGTAATAGCATCGAAGCCATTTGGCACCGAATCTATCATTATAATCTATTTCAGGTTTGGCAACAGATCTAGACTGCACTGGTTAAGATTAAATCATAAATGTGACGGCGAATTTTTGGCACGTAGGTAAGCCCTGCAACTGGATTAAATCGGCTGCTACCTGTTTAGCTGCCGATGTTCTTTGTTCTGCTCTACATAGAGGCTAGAATGTGCACATTCTTTGTTGTAACAAAAGAGAGACTAGTACTAGCCAAAACATATTGAGAATCACTCACTAGCCACTGTTGAAGCCACAGGTGCATAAATTGGCAGGTTTTCGTTTTTTTTTTCCCTTTTTTTTTTTTTTTTTTTTGCCCAAAAGATCTTTCGTCATAACAGGATGGCAGCGAATCGGCAGTGCTCATGATAACAAGCTTCCCGATTTTGGCGATCAAACATCCATGAAATACTTTGTGTATTACCGAGGGAGAATATTGGAGGACTTGAGTTCTGTCAGACGTATCAACGCATACAAACAACCGTGCCCTTGATATCGTCTTACAATGTCGAATTTGGGACCAGAAAAGATCCCCTCACAGCCAACAACATCGGCCGTTATCTCCTTTCTTAGCTTACCCATCGAAATTCGCAAAATTATTTACGAAAAAGTGCTTATGATACCCAGTCCTGTCTATATCTTTCAAGACACAGGATCTCGATTAGAGGCATTTGCGCCCGAAGCCCCTTATAGATGGCTTGCATTGTTATACATCAATCGACAGATATGCGGTGAAGTTAGGGCCGTTTTATATGGCATGAATCACTTCAGTCTCCTAGAAGTGGAAACAAAACAGCGCCGACCTCGCATTCTTTACTCATTCGTAAACTGCATTGGTTCTGTGAATGCAAGTTTACTATCCTACCTATGCATCAACTTTCCGGCGATAGAGGAAATAGAAGATCAATCAGAAAGGGTCAAGCTCAGGGAGGATAGCTTGCAGAACTTGCACCTTATCCAGACCCATTTCACCAATCTAAGGACACTGGAAACCGTCATGTATTCTCAAAACTTCACCTCCATGATAAAGAAGAACCAGAACAACGCCCGGTTCATCCAATATGGACTATTGGAAATCAATGCGCAGTTCAAAAAAGTACCTTATTTGAACAGAATCATCGTCAGAGTTTATAATGGACCTCTACTTCCTTCTATAAAAGAATTGATGCAAGGGCTTGGATGGGTTGTCTTGCTCAGCGACCGCAACTGAAGTTGGGGAAGACTGATCGACTAGAGAATAAATGAGAAATTCATTGGTGTGGTCGATGCAATCTCGCTTTGAGTAAATTCAAGAGTGTATGTCGACAGTACCGATGATTTTTTGATTGAATACTTGGAGAAAGCTTTTAAATGATGAGTACGTGTGTTTACATTATGATTCCAAAGTTGATGCTACGAATGATATAGGATGGACTAAGCGCTGGCGAGGGAAAAAAAATCCTAACTCTGTCGTGGATTTTACCAATAAGCTTCAAATGGAATAGAGTATTTTTTTTTCTTGTTTGTTTCCCTTTTTATCGGTTTCTGTAGGAGATCTACTAAACAACTCAATAATGCTAGTAACCCGCAACGCACGACCAACGATGGTTATTATAATATGCAAAACAACAACTCAAATTATGCAAAAGAGAACATAGGTTGTGCTCTTTGATAGGAGTAATGCATAAAGTGCTTGGGCGGCAACAACCTGCATTTCAACGGCACATCAATGAAAAACGGACAAATGAAACTTGGAATCACCCGAGTATTCTTTCGCTAACCTCAAGACTCGCTTCTTCATGGCAACAGCACGGCTAGGTCATTCGTGCCCACCTTAGGAGACTTTATGCTGTATCCCGTATAAAGGTAGATCAGAACAACACAGTATTCCATTAACAATCCCATAAGAATGAATGGCACAACAGGTCCAGTTAGGGAGTTCCATGTCTCGCCGGGGCGGTAGATTGAGAGAAAAGCATATGTCAAACGCACAATAAAAAAGGGCATTGCGAGGGATGTGCAGCAAAGCACCTGCAAAGAACATTTCTCGTTAGTATCATCGTGAAATTGTATGCAACGAGAAAATGTTGAAAGGAATTTTAGATTGCCTTTGAGTGGTACTGATGATGAAAAGAACGTACCAGGAAACTAGTGTGGCTGAGTTGACATCTTCTCGACCAAAAGAATGCTTGTAGTAAAAGGAGACAGCCAACAAACACTGTAACGATCCAGTAGCCAGCTCGTACGAGTCTTGTTCCCGTGGCACTGAGACTATCTGAAGTTCCTTCAAGGCAGCCACCGGTAATAAGAACAACAAGACCAGCAATAAAGAGTAATCTAGAATAAACGATGGCTCGTTCGAGCAACCTACTTTCGTGAAAGTCCACATATGTGCTAATTTCTGTTAGTAACAACGACTATAAACTATGGCTCGCCAGTTGAAGCGCATAAAAAGGGCGGGCTTACATGATATTGAGGAAACCAATAGTAGCTGCAATGCAAGGAAACACTCCCACATTCAACATAATTGATGCTGCAACAAGGAGTCCAATACTAGAGGATTGATTCTCGTATAGAATGACAACTATTCCGCCGGCTAGACGAACTATGATTGTGAAATCATGTCAGCAAGGCCATTTATTCAATGGAACGATGTAAAGCGGAGGTACATACTGATCGTGAAGACCATAAGAACAATCCATTGATAACGAGGAAGCCCTCGGATTGCACGTCGAAAGAATACTAACACAGCAGCTGCAATTATAGCTGGTACGTAAAAGGCGATCTGAGCAATGCTCACTTTCGAGTGTTCATTGAACATGTTGACCAATTTTAATCTTGTGGAATCCTTCCAATAATCAAATAAATATAGTATGACGCGAATGGGAAAGACATAAGGAAATGATTCAGTAGACCTGGAAGAAGCAAAGGTTTTTATATTACTCTCTTTCTCTTCAAAGTAGGGTCTGGGAAATTCGCAAGTTGCGTCCTAATCGGGTATAGGTTATCGCCAAGCTTTGATGGGCCGTTCGGGTCGTATGGGGCTTGGCGGCTTGGCTGTCCTGAAAAGAAGGCTTAGGGCCTGAGCTAAACCGCTTTTGGAACCAAGATGCGAGCCTCGAAATTTATCTCCAAGATTGGCGTATAGAAAACCAACGGTCGTGGAAAACTAGGATATGCGAGGCCAGTGTTAGGAGTGCTGAGAGTTGTCTTGAGGCTGAGGGACAGATGTAGTATAGCTAAGAATACGTAACCCCCGCTCCTGCAGTTTTCTCAGTGTGGCCTCCATCCAGACAATTTCTCTTCCACATCCAGGAAAGGTTTTAGCTGTTTCGTAAATCAACGTTAACGGAGTTCCTGCTGACAGTGACCCCCATACTGCGACATCAGATTGGAGGCAATATTCAATAGATTGACAGACATTGTCGACTAAATGTTTTGGATCCCCCCTGTGGCCAAGAGACGGAAGATGTGATATATCGTATTTGTAGGAGCCTGAGGGCTGTAGCCGCAGATGCTTACAATGACACATATTGTCATCAAATGCCTCGCACTCTGGGAAGCTTGAGCACTGTGCATCTCCAGCATCAAATTCAAGGCTCGCTATTCCCTGATACAGAAGCGATAAGCCAGTCCACATCAAAAATGACACCGCCCAGTACATCATGAGCGCTCGCGCAACTTTTATGCTGGGAAATTTATATGCAACTGGGAACACCTTCCCATATACTAGGTCGTCAGCTGGATTGTCATCTTGTGATAACACTGACCAGTACATCGGTTGTGGGAATTCCTTTTCGAATTCTTCATAGACGTTCTGAATCAAGGCATCCATTTGCCAACATTTAGACATGCTTCGTAGCCATGACTCAAGCTTATCAACAGGGCCAAGATGCTCAATACGGTCGTTTTCCTGGTATATTGATGATGCTTCACACAGACAATCTACCAGTCGATCCATTGCGCGCTTTGAATGCAATATCCACGGTCCTGTCATCCACTTTGTACTCGATAGGAAGCTTGGCTTATGTCTTTCCATGCTGAATAATGCCTATACATTCACCCCGAGTTAGCAGATACGTAAAGCTCTGGATATAGTAGAAACTTGCCACTTGAGCCCGGAGACCAAGAAATAGTTCGTGCGCCACGCCTGACATGTGTCGATCAACTCCACGGCCTTGGACTAGCCGCATGCATCCCTTGCAATGATTGTAATATGCCTGGCGGCCATCACCTGGACATTCCATGACCTCGTAAAGACCAAGACACAAGGCAGCAGCCAGTACCTCGTCATTATACATCAAACGAGGATTCCACAGGGATACTTGAAGCTCCCGTAAGGCATTCGTATAGAATCTCAAGCTTTCTTTGATAAGATCCCGATCGCCGTATTGCCGGCCAAGAGCAGAAGCAGCTATCGCTAAAATCGATGTTTGTAGGGCAGGTGTCTGTATAAGAAGCTGCGGTAGCGACAACATCCATGGCCCATTTTTACCGTTAGTAAATTCGGGCGTTCCATCCGCCGCTTGGGGAACGCACGTAGCCATAAAAACATTGATCAGTTGTTGGCGATGTGCTACCCCATAAAGCATATCTGAAGCCGGGCTAAGGACGATCTCTTTGCGTTCAGGACTTATGAAACCTGAGCCTTTATCTGTATTTATGTTGGCCTTTGATAATACCGCAGACCTCTGTCGGTCCACCGATGATGTTCGTCGTATCTCGTCAAAAGAGCTCGTTACAACAAGCTTCTCGTTTGTCAGGCTTGCCCGCACAGGAACGAAGTGAACTTCTCTAGTATATCCTAGGCACGGCCTATTTGACTTTATGCATTGTATACATTCCGGTCGTTGCAGCCCACACTTCGTATATAAATATTAGTAGCTCTAATGTCAGCATTGGAAGAAAGGAGCATGTCGAAACTCCAGGGGGGATCTGGGTACACGCACAGCTATCTTGCGCTTGCGGCACGTTTTGCATCCTTTTGACTTTCCTGCGACTCCAACCATCATCATATTCTAATACGCAATATTGCCACAGCTTATCTTGTTCGCTGATCTGTTTTTGGATGTCCTCAGTTGACGGAAGTTGCTGTGACGCTTACGGTTTTCAAGAGGGATCATGACCAATCACAAGCCGCTAAGGGTTCCTTCACGTGAGCAGCGACTGATTGGTGGTATGTGACCCATCTCGTAAACAGCGAGCCAATGATAATTCATCCTAGGCATCGCGGAGGCTTATAAGTGGATCGGCGTACACAAGTTTTGAAATTAGTAAGCAATGATCCCGCAAAGTGGGGCCTAGACCTAAAAGTTTTAGGCTAAAACACCCTGAAGGGGTCCCTTTTTGGCATGGTGGAAATTTGCAACAACGTCGATGAACGCAAAGTAAATAATTAAGCTCCTCATTCCAGAGCTACTACAATTTGCAAGTAATAGCCACGATTTGCTTCGAAATTTTCTTGTCGTCAATTATCCTCTAACCAAACTCCTGTTGCGCTTCTACCCATCTCAAGAAAGGGGTGTAAGGTAACAGGAGAACTACCATGTCTTCTGCCAGAGGAGGTGCGGTGAATGAGACAACTCCCCTTATCGCTTCTGAAGCAGGGCAAACCGATGCCTCAATTGAAAATGGTCATGTTGAAGAACAAAACTGGGATGACGGGGACTCTGAGGCGTTACCTGTAGCTCAGATTATGCTACTTTGCTTTGCCCGTGTCACTGAGCCCATTGCCTTTTTCTCCATTTTCCCATTTATTAATCAGATGATTCAGGATGCAGCCGGGGTTGGTGAGGCTGATGTTGGTTTTTACAGTGGTCTCATTGTAGGTGTTACTTACTCCGTTCTATTCATTTTTTGACCTTTTCTTAAATCTCAACTAAGAGTCTTTTTATCATAGGAGTCTATTCTTTCCATTACTCAGATGCTCCTTATGATTCCATGGGGACGAGCTGCAGATCGTTTTGGAAGGAAACCTGTTCTCGTCAGTTCTTTAGCCGGATTATCAGCTGCTACTGCATTATTTGGGACAAGTCGAACTTTATGGCAAATGATTATGTACCGATCTTTAGCAGGTGTTTTCTCTGGGACCATTGTGTAAGCCTGATGCTCATCACGTAACCTTTCTCATTTCTAGAGATGCTAGTTCGCCAGGCTCTACTTCTTCACCGCTTTACTGACCAGCTCTCTCTCATAGTGCTGTGCGAGCATCAATTTCAGAAAACAGCACGCCCAAAACACAGGCCCGAGCGTTCAGTTATTTTGCGTTCGCTAATAATATGGGCATTTTTCTCGGTCCCCTGATGGGTGGGTACAAGTTTTGAGAGTCCAATGAGTGTAGTTTTCTAAACCCTTTTATTCAGGTGGTGCCTTGTCGCGACCCGCTGAGCAATACCCTTCTGTTTTTGGTAATATTCGATTTTTGAAAGATTACCCTTATGCTCTCCCCACGTTTACTACCGGAGTTATTGGTGCGACTGCATGCATAACTTGTGCATTGTTTCTTAAAGAAGTCTGTCTTCCTTTACAGTTTCTGCAGCACACTATGTACTCGAATGGAGCGAGCTAATATGAATGCCATGGCAGACACTGAAGAGTGCTTCTGGGGTCGGCACAACTGGGTCACAATCTAAGCCAATCTCAACAACCGAGATTATCAGGTCGCCTGGTGTGGCGCAGGTCTTGTCTTTGCAGGTATTTACCATGGTTCTTGCCTTGGGGTATACAGCTAGTAAGTCATCTCTATGTTCTCGATGAAAGTTTTGTCTTGTTTCCTTTGCCTCCATATCTGTTATGTGTTCTCCCTAGCTAATCTATCATGTTTCTACAAGTCATGCCCGTTTTCTATTTCACCAGCGTCAAATTGGGTGGATATGGCTTAAGCGAACTTCAGAGTTCCGTGTTCATTGGATTAGGCGGTCTCTCTCAATCTATATGGCTCCTTTTAATCTTCCCACCACTCCAACGACGCATTGGAACCGGCGGTATAATGCGGCTCTGTGCCTCCGCATGGCCAATATGGTTTGGCTTCACTGCGGCTATCAACTATTTACTACGACTTCAATTGGAGACGCTATTTTGGGTGCTTGGGCCAATTTTGATAGTGATGGGAAGCGGCGTTGCGATGGCTTTCAGTACGTTCTCGATAACTACACTTTTCTCGAATTTCTTTTGCTTCCTTTTTGTTACCCTCAAAATTAAAGGAACTCAAAGACTAATCAATACCCGGTCTACTTTTGATAATAGCTGCTTGTCAACTAGCCATCAATGATATTTCACCTTCTCCTGAAACATTGGGCACTGTAAATGCAATCAGCCTGACACTTATTAGTGGAACCCGTGCTGTGGTACCTGCTTTGTGTTCGAGCTTGTTTGCAACGGGCGTCAAGAATCAGATACTGAAGGGTTACCTTGCATGGGTCGTTCTAATTATATTGGCAGTTGGTCTAAGGTTTAGTATTCGCTGGTTGCCTGCGAAGGCAGAGGGGAAAGTATATAAAACAAAACTCCAAGCTTTGATTGATGAAGACGATTCATAGGCCGAGTGGACGTACAACTTTCGGTGCCGTGAAATACATCTTGTTTCAATGTTGAAGAAGACTGAGCCTAGAAATGATGCTCAAGGGATATCGTTTGGATGGACGGAATGTTTGACTAGACTGTTTGTTTCTTATAACCCAGCTCGGCTTCGGCCTTCGCCGGATTTGTGTTACATGCAGAATAATTTTTCCATTGCTACCCTGATTTCATACATAAGCACTAATGCAATTGGCTACTAGTTAAGTAGTCGGATTGATGTGTTAGTATGACTGACACGGCAATGTGCTCACCGACGCGTGTGTTTGTTTGAGAATTCATATAGATAGCATTAAAAATAAAGTATATAGCTATTTCAATTATATACATACTCTCAGGGTAGAAGTAGAAACTTGGCTTATTGAAAACCAAGCCATACACTCATACTATCGCGAAATCTTTTTACATGTGAATGCAAATAATGCTCAACATTCGCCAACATATACCCTAAGATACATTGATATGACACCTAAAAATAGTTGTCATAATACAACTATAGATCAGATAACTCATATTAGGTATTCAAAACTATAGTTTGCCGTTATGGTATCTTCTTACTACCTCAGTCAGGAGAAGCTTAACCCAATGCATGTTTCAGTCAATGGAGATGTGCATTTGTTTAATTATAATTCAATCATAACTTGGACAGCTAGAACTAATCGGCCTCTAGTTGATTGATCATCAATTAGTAATGATTATGTGAGAATCCATGCTGGGGGGCATAAATCTTTCCATCTCTCTGTATTGGGTACGCGCCGCACACCTACGCAGTATGGTGGTCACTGCGTCCATCAATGCTACGTGCCTAGGTAGTATTTCAAACTGGCTGCTTTGCCGCAGTAATGTACACTGCACAGCCTAATCGTTAAATTCCCGAGTATTAGCCACTGGCAAGTACTGAAGTAATCAGAAAGCAGCAGATGACACCAACATGCACACACTACTACCATATCCTGCATATTCTGGAAAATACTGCCTTGCAGTGTCCTGGCTAATAGGATTGACAGCTTTATTTATTTGCAGATCACTTAGGTAGCTTCGGGTATGCGGCGTGTGTTAGAAATATTAGTGCTTACATTTGAGACCAGAAAACCTTGCATCGTTACGATTACCATGCCATAGGCATTGTGACTGTCATGGGCATTCTGGAGAGCTCTAACCTCATTCAGCTTGTACTTTTGAACACTTTATCGAGGACAACTGTAAGCGTTTGGGGCTAGGTGCATGTTCTAAATTTGAAAGCATCTCAACAACACTAGGATAAAAATGCTAAAAGCAACCTATTCCAAGTATAAATAACCCACTGTTTCCCAGCTACAAAGTTGATACCGAATGATTGATCTAAACATATCTTTTCTGAAAGAAATACGTATGTGGCTAGCCCTGAATCCCAATTCGAGAGGAGAGCCTTCATACTCGGGATTAGAGAACACGGGTTTCTCAAATCTCTTCCAAGGCTCGGCTCTATTCTATGAGTAACGTATGCTGATTGAAGAACGACATAGTGTATTCGTCATGAAGTATATCACTGCTCTCTCCGCAATCCTCTCCGCTGCCTCAGCACAAGTCACAGTGTACCCCTGGTGGGAGTTCTACTGTGGCTCTTCGGTAAGTAGTAGAACATTTGCGGAGAACTTTATGCAAAGAAAAAGAGGGGTCATTTATTGACAATACCCTTCTTGTATACATAGTGCACCGACGGAACCCTCATTGGATCAGGCACACTCGACGTTAACCTTACTGGCTGCACCGATCTTGGCACTACTTATGATTATTGCTATTTTGTCAGTGAGAAGAATACCACAATGTATCGCGTTGATCTCTCTGAGAAACCCGACTGTTGGGCGGACGCCAATCCTGTTCTCTACTCGGGTGATTGCTCTAGTGCTGGGAACTGGGGGTGGTACGGAATCCTTTATGATGCATAAAGGTCTATTCGTGGGTGCGATAGACCTTCTATTTTGACAGCATGACGAAAAACAGTTTTAAGATGCAAGGGACAAAGAGATAAGTTCCATGCTGGATATCTATGTACCGTGCCCTCTTACATCCGGGCTTCTCATCATTGTTGGCGATAAGTGTCGGCCAAGAATAAATAGCAGATGCAACACTAGCAATATTTCGAAGAGCAGGACCACAGAGAACTAAAATAACAGTATAATTGCTTGCTTAGATATATATTAAAAAAAGTAATATAAATAAACCATCATTTCATTTTCATTCTACCGTAATGCTTCTATCAATGCCTTCTTCCGCAGTCCGCTACCTAGGTAGTTGACAAAGGCAATAAGAGCAAGCATAGGTTATAATTGAACTGTTCAGAAGGCACCTATGAGTTTCAAAGACATAATCTAAAGTTAAATCTTCGTTTATACTAATATTATAATCAAGTGTCTATACCTAGGTACTATGTATGAATGACTTATTGGTCAATTAGCAACGACATTTGAAGGAGATAATTTCATGGACTTGAAGAGCTAGACAGATATTATTGTTTCTCTACTTCATAACCTAGGAATTTTTAAGAAGATAGGATTAATATATTTCCCAGGTGAAAACTTGAAGCGAAGATAAGAATCCAACCATGTAGCATCTTATAGATTAAGCTGATTTTACAACATTTATACCAGCAGAGAAAAGCAAGAATTTTGGAAAAATTCAACAGGTAACATAAGAGACTCCGTGAGTTGAATAGGGTTCCTAGAGAGCTCACCATTATTAAGATTTTGAAAGATTCTATCCGAAATCCTTCCCCAAACCCTCATAGTCTGTGATATGTTCTATAGGTACGTCAACCAACCATATGAACTAACCAAAGGAAGAGGATCTGGCTAACTACTGCGGACTCCTAAGTCCGTAATTATGAGAACCTATAGATCCATTGATCCTGAAACTTTTTATTGACATAAATACTTCTGATAGAAGGATCACTGGATAATCGACTTTGATGATTGTCTTAGTAACATCAAAAAGTAGACACTGGATATATACTACGTAGTAACTTATATTGGAACAACAATATATTCGTCTTATATCATTTAATAAAAAGCTTACTACGGGATTTGATGAAATTCTAGACAGCTGGTGGCGTTATAATACGTCATGTTCGTCTTATGCATGCGGACACAATCAACAGCAGGAGAGTTATAATTTATACATTTATTAGGACTACTTCTTGGTCATAGGTCAACGATATTTCTCTGAATTTCATATTTCATTCATCGTTATTATTGATAAATTGGATATCTCAACCAATTCTCTTCACCTTCTCTGAGTTCGAGATTCCCAGATGACATCAACTGCATCTGCAAGTGATAGTTCTGTATCAATGCAGTAGTCGTGATGATTGGGCTCTCTGCAGACTTTTCATTGACTGCATAATACGGCTCATTGACATCGGCAATCCAGGGATCTCCTGGATTATAATTGTCGGATGGCATATGGACGAAACCCGGGTGCACGTACCCATTTGTATGATCTCCAGCACTATAGGAATGGCTAGTCAGTAATAATGGCGGCGGAGTTAAAGGTCTGGCCAAACTTGTTCCTCCAGGGTGTTGGCTGTGTGGCACATTCATAGAGGTGCTGTGCCATATCGACTTGTTGGCGTCACTTGTTGGCGTAATGGGACTCAGCATCTGGCCCTCTTGGTTGCAAGCGATGAATTTTTGAGACTGGTGTTGAAGGTTAGAATGGGTAGAGAGCGTATTATGAGTGATTTGCTGATGGTAATCGAGTGGTCCGCTGAGTTTGTGACTGCTTGCCATTCTGAAAGCCCCTTCGATAGGCATATGCCACATCCGATTACCCATGTCAACTTTATTCGTTTGTGCAGTAATAGAATGGCTATCGGGTGCTGGAAATAAGTGGTCTGCCGGGGTGGTAGTTGTTGAAAGGTCGATATGATGATGTTGGCTTTGTGTTTGTATTGATCGTGTTTGTTGTAGAGACACATTGGAATCTTGCAATAACCCCCGAAAGACATTCGGCGGAGAAGGAACTGAAGAGTTGAAGAAGGGCTTAGATGGAAGATTGCCATCGGAGACTTTAGGGGCATGTGCCGTGGATTTCGGCGAATCTAGAGGCGGTGTTGATCGGGAATTTCGAGACCTCCGAGACCGCCCGGGCTGTCGAATGCGATATTTTGATCCCGTATTCCCAGCCTGGGGTAAATCTGTGATATTCTTATTCGTCATATCGTCTCTTTTGAATGAAGTGGCATTTGATGCCACTGGAACGGGACTGCTGTTGATGAAGACATTGTCTTCCTCGGGAGGATCTTCGTTGGACTGTCGGCATCGCTGTTGTTTTGATTTGTTGCTGGGTCTTCCAAGACGGCATGGCGGACTATAAACACACTTTTCACCGGCTTCTTTGCATCTTCGACATGGAGTATTGTCATCGCTAGTTGATAAACGCATACAACGCTGCTTACGCTTATGGCAGCGGTCGCAAGCCGCTCGAAGTATAAGGCCTTCGAGAAGCATGGTTTTATCTCTGTCCTTGGGATTTCACGTTCGACTAGGCATGCCAATATAAATGTAAGAAATGAACGTTGATCGTCAATAAAATGTAAAATGCGTTATTAGAGCCGCGCGGACATCAGCAATAACAGCCAATGTTAACTGCTAAGCAGTGGTGTATAAAACAGTGGAGAAAGAGAGTGTAAATAAGAAAGATTCCAGAAAATTTGGAAACAAGCTTATTAAGAAGGGCTTGGCCAGCCTCAAGACTCCCTTTCCTCTTGTGTTCGAAAGTGTTCGCGAAGAGGAGAAAGAAAGAATTTAATATTGGGGAAGGTCCAGGAATTTTCAGTGGGCCCCTGAAGCTCCCCAGAAACCCAATCTCCGAGAGGAATAACCTTCGATAGCGTTCATATTTGGAGCAAAGCAGAAAGTCTAAATCCCACGTATAACACCATCGACGTACGAGAGCTCTAACCTGCTACGGGGGAGAGGTTCAAGTGAGACGCCACCGAAAATATCCGGCAGCAGCCGCAGCATAAGCAAGAGGTTGTTCTCTGGTTCTTCAGGATAGTTATCTCTAGAGTGTTTAATGAACAGAAGAAAACCGAGCTAATGGATGCGTCAAACGTATCACTCGCCATTATAACCGCACCCGAAGATAGACACTTTAGTCAGCAATAAAAGACATGTAAATCAATGGTTTCGGGAGTGAAGGCATATGTTTCCCTCAGACTTTCAGAATGTCAATGTTGAATGCATGCTTACCCAGCGAATTGGCCTGTGGATCCTGTCTTACAATCTAAATCCGTCTCCGTCTTGGGTTCGTCTTTAGGCATTCGCTAACATAAAACCCAGTGAGTCTGGCGTTTGGGTCCATCTTGTAGGAAACAGAACAAGCTGCTAGTTATCAATAAGTGGCTGCCCCGAGAGAACGGCTCCCTATGGAGTCCTAATTCTGGAAGAATTCAGAACTTCAGGGGTGTGTGGATTACTCTGCTTATGATGACGAACAAACTAAAGAGTGAACTAGTAGCAAGTCCCGGCCGTTGGCCGCCGGAAGTCGCTCGGCTGCGATTCTACCGGGTGAGGCGGCTGTCCCAGTAACGGGCGATAAGTGCTCCGTAGTACTAGCGTGCTAGAAATCAATGCTGGAAACAGTGGAAGCTGGATTTAAACAGAAATGAAGCTATTCCTACTTAAGATCAATACCGCGAGACAGAGAAAGGCCAATCTAGGCACTCCGTGTGCGAAATTCTTACCCATGTCATAGTACTATGTAGGTTATAACTAGAAACCAATCTATCAGCCAGGACCTAACTTTTGGCTAAATTTTACTCCGCTATGCTATTGGTAGGGGGCCAAAAGCCTGCCATTCGAAGCCACAACTGTCCGCGAGAAAATACCGTACTAGTTATAGCTCAGCCATGGCGCTGACGACGTTAATTGTTATAATTATGGAATGTGGCTTGGCTGAATATACGTAGTATCTTATTTACTACTGTAATGAGCCACCGATAGTAAATTCGTCGTTCGGCATTGTGCAGCTCTTAATTTCAAAGTTAGGAGTCCTGCGCACGTGGTTGGCAAGCCCTAGTCCGTAAGTGACGCTGCAACCTAGTAAAATTCCAGCCTTACAATCTAGTCTAAATGACATTTCGGCGTCACGTTAGAGAAAAATTATTTTACAATTGATGGAATGACGAACATCCACTTTTGCTCCGTAACCATAATGATAATAGGCTTTGGGCAAGCCACAAATGCATCATTGTCAAGAACAAAATTCTCATACCCAATCTGGAATAGATAGTGAGATTGATGGCAGATGCTCGTGCTTGTTAATTGTTTTTTTATCACAATCACTTCATACTCTATTATGCATGCACTTACAATAAATAGTTCTTCCCATACGGAGTACTTCATACGAACCGAGGATCAGCCCGAGTCAGGAAACATGACCATTTTTCCACATTATGGCGGATCGTCTGCAGGTCAATGCTCTCCCGAACTGGGTTGAAAGCAGCGTATGGAGTATTTGTGATGGAAATTGAATTACGGACGTAGTATTCAGTTTTAACTTTTTAACAGCATCACAATGATAGTACTCCGTACTAAATTTATTTAATACTGTATGGTAGATTACTAGATTCAATACATCTCTAACGTGGAACCTTAATATGTTGATGATCTGTCGGTGTCAGAGCCAGGAGTACGGCGTACTCCGTACGCCGTAGTTGAGAACGATTTTCGAAATGTATGCCAAAGATATAGCTACGCTTATAATTAGATGTCCCGCGAGTCTAAAAACCTATTTCATGGATATTCTTGAATGCAGCCAACTGAAAACAGATGAGTCAATGCAAGGGCAAGAAAAAACGAGGAAGAGGTAGAAAATTATGATATAAATCTCAATGCACTGGGTTCCGTACTTCTCAAGTCGCGCCGATTCACAGGTCTCTAGAGATTTTAATACAGCATCTATTACGTCTATGCTCACCGTTCACTCTGACGAAGTACACCTCCTCGTTCTAGGTAAGAAATGCATTCCAAATATGTAACAATCAAACATAATAAAAGCCAACTGATATAGCTCCGTAACCGTTGACATCTCCTAATTGTTTACCATGATTTACGCTAAGTATATCTCTTTGTTTACACTAGATATACGAGAGTCGATATTTTCAACTATGTCGGGACGGAGTACGTAGCCTTGAATTAAAGAGTTCCTAATAATACCATTGTCCTTTATTTCCGGCGTAAAAAGATTTCATCAAGAGTAGTCCATAATGCATACCCACCTGGCGTCACGGGTCCTCTCTGTTCTCCGCCTGTAGTGGGGCATAGATCCTAGAACTAGAAGGTGGTTAACCCTTGCTGATGTTGCAAAGATATGAATTTCTCAGTGATTACACCAATGGTACTTACCGAAACTGGTTGGCTAAGATTGTATTCACCTCCAACTGAAAGCTGAGGAATCTGCGAATAATTCTGTTGAATAAGATACCTGGTGTTTTGAAGAACCTACATGAGAATAGCAAAGGTGAAACGAACAGATGAGAATAAAAATTAGCAAATTATTCTACGAGCCAGACAGACGTTCAAAAGGCCGACATACCTCGATGTAGCTCTGATGGGGATTTTGCCTCATCACGCTCATAAAGGCCCAAGACATGGCGCCCGTCGCCTGTCCTCTTATGCTTGTATCTGCAGAGGTCTGGTCGTCGGCACAACCGCTGAACATCCAGGCATCTTTAGCCTCATTACGCCAGTCCTCATGGAATCCTTCGTCCACCAGGCCTTGCTCATCGGCTTGCTCCGGTCGGTGATGCAGGCCATGAAAGAATGTTGCGGCATCAGCTACCAAGGAGCGTGCATCATCGAGCCTGTCCATACTGAACCCTCCTTGTAGCAGGCTGGTCGCCTGGACAGCCAAGTGCACACCCTGTTTGATGTTATTGATCATATTAATGTTGCCGTCTGCGTCGGGACGGAAGGTAAACGGAAGCTCGACGGCCGAGCCTGAGTGGCAGCAGTCGAAAAGAATGGTCAACCGCGCATAAGGGTTCATGGGCGAGATGATGGCTCGGTGTAACTATAAGCGAATGGTTAATTTCTCAGTAAATCCTGTTGGAGGTACTGCAAAATACAAGCATCTCTTATATCGACTTCCTTCCCTCATTTCTCACCGTAGGAGGAACCGTGAGAACTTACTATACTGCTATTGATTTGCCCATTTATCTCGAAATCAACTGGACAGATTGTGTCATTGAGCCTTTGCCGATTAGCAACAAATTCCATAGTCTGCCGGTCTGCTCAGCGCATCTACGTACCCTGACTCTCTATCACCGTAATCATCCGCTACCTGACCTGTGTACGAGATCATCAACCAAGCTTGCGATGTGGGAGCAACGAAGTAAATGACGAGATAAACATACCGCCATGACCAGAGTAGGACAGCCACACTGAGTCTCCGGGGTTATTGAACGACACCAGCCATTTAAATGCAGCAAGCATATTGCGGCCGGTAGGATAAAAGGGCGTTCCTTCATGTTTTGGCTCGTCGGTCAACATGACCATGTCACGCTGATCGGGTGAAAAGCCGCGCTCTTCCACAAGGAACTGGCGAATATTATAGGCATCGTTGATGCAGCCCTTTAGCGCATGATTGGAACCGTAGTAGTTGATTCCAATAATGAGCGCTTTTCGGCGGGGCATCCTGTTTGTTTACTCTCCCTGCTCGGTCTCTTGAGGCGCACGACAGAGAAATATTTGGCATTGACAACAAAACACCGGCAGGACAGGGGATGGCTAGTGGTAGATCTCGTTATTTGACTAAAACAGGCCTGGTATGTACCGATTTTTAGGCAGGGAGCATCCAGCTGAAATCAGCACCCCAAAAGAACTGCGGGGTATACCTCGAAGCCAATGCGGAACACTCCGATTGGCTCCCCAGAGCCGGAATTGATCCACTGGTCAGGCACCATCGACGATAAAAATAGTGAAAATATACTCCCGCTCGGTCCGTGCCTGAATTATTTATATTCTTGGAGCTTTGTACGGACTTCATACTACCAAAAATAACTGCTTATTGGCTTGCTCTACAGTTGTACGTTGATTGTAAGCTTTGGCAAGGTGTTTTTCTGTTTTTTTGCTATTGTTTAGGTTATCATCTAGCCAACCTCTACTCTCTCAATGACTTAACCAAAATCAAACCCGCTCGCAAGAATCCATCACACTGAATCAAGACTACGCGTCTTTTCAATACCTAGGTAATACAGGTGTCTCTGACTCCATATCAGCGCAAGAAACTGCAAGTAGCCGCCAACTACGTAGACCCCCTTCTGCTCACCCGCCCCCTATAAGCTTGACAACTGGTAACTACCTACGTACCTGGCCAATACACTTGCTGACAAGACTTCTAGGGCCGCTCGAGTTTGTATCCCCCGTATTCGACTATCCTATGATGAGCACCGATGAAGACAGTTTTGACACACGATCTGCTTTTGATTGGAAAAGTTGTATTCAACAATTCTTTGAAGTCTTACAAGATGAAGCAACGCTTATCACAAATGAGGACTGCTCAATGCAGGTTAGCATCTCCTGTAATGACTGATATGGATGAAACAATTTGGACGACCTGAAGTCTCTGTCCAAAGCAATCGTGTATTTCGAAGGTGCGATAAAGTCGCTCGTGCCTGAACATCGCCGTGAAAACTATTACGCAAAGTGGAACGCCTCTCCTACTAAGACTACAAGTACTACTGGTAAGAGCAACATCTACTTCGCTCCAAAAAGTGATTATCTGGGTTGCGTGAGACTTATCGATCACTGCCATACTGTGAGCGACTTTAGTTGAGCTGATGAACAACGGTGAGAAACGTTGGAGTTGGGACTTCGTTCATATCAATACCGATACGATGGAAGGGCGTGTGGAGTCCCGAAGCCCACCAGACGTGGATATTTGTGAAGACTGATTCGCTTGGATACACTTTGCTGTGGAATTTGTTCATGCCTCTATATTCGAGGTAACTACGTTGGAATGGCTAGAACTGTTTAGTCGTGATTCCGTTGGCCCATCAAGCTTCCTTGACTCTGTTCCTTCGTTCCTTTTGGAAGATGAAAAGAAAAATTATCGCGATAGCCTGTAGAACAACGCTGCTTAGGATGCAAATTCCAGGTTCCACACGCGTTCTTCGTGAAACTATGGAGGAAATTGGTATAGGCTATGATATAGGTACAGCCTGATCATTTTACTAGATTGCTACGTCTATGTATTTTGGGACTTAATGAAAATGACCTGGGTTATAAAAGTCAATAGTGAGAGGTTCATATAGTGACTGATAAGAAAAGATTAGATGCGCGAGAATTCCCCTTTTCATTTGAAGACCAAGTGGTTTTATTACATCCAAGGTTGACTTTACAAGCAACATTCAATATAAACGGTCTACCTAGGTATAACCTAAAGCAAAATGGACGTCGTATCAATTCCACCAACCATCATCACCAAGTTCGTAATCGCCCTTGGCTTTGAACTCGTTCAAAATATCTTCGAAAGTCCACGGCTGGTACGTATGGCTTTCTGGGATATTGGTGTTTCGAAAGGGGACACCATCCCTTAATGCAGATAGGGCCTCGTGATACTTTTCTGCAGCATAGGCCTCTGGATCTTGCTTCCAAATCCATGATGCCATCAATGCTCGTACGTATTTTGGAACAGATGAGGCACTTTTGTTCCCTTCCTGTCCGTATTGACTTGCTTGGCTGCAAATGCCGATCTTTTGGAGGCATGATACACGTTCAAATCTATACTCGGATGTTAGTTTCATTCATAACCACATTTATCCATATATGCAGAAGACTGTCAAGAGGAACATTGTATACCTAAGCTTGTTGTGCACCTTGGTCGCTTCTGCGACATGCTCCTTTCCTGCAATTCTCAAACACTTGGCAAGCGATATGGCATCTTCCAAGCCCTGGTTTGCTCCATTGCCAGATGCAGGGAAAAATGTATGGGCCGCATCTCCAATCTGGACAATTCGTCCGCTCGGGGACGTCCATACGGGCTGCGGATCGCGCCAGACAAGCTCAAAGTCAATGAGCCTGTCATCGGGGGTCAAGGATATCAGGCGATTCACATAGTCTGGCCAGCCCTCAATTTTCGACGTAGTGTCGTCAATTACCTGCTGCGGTGAAACATGCTTTGTCCATGACTCGTTCGCTTCCCATGTTGCCTGTGTGGTTTTTCTATCAGTAACGAAAGCGGTTCACGGAGGTTTCAGGCCAGATTCAAGGGCAGCATTGCTATCACCTTATGATTAATGGTCCACGATATCTCCTCTTCACTTCTTGAGAACATTGCATTTATTTCGTCCCTAGATCAGCAACGTTCTCGTTAAAAACCATGATGGGCGAATAATCGAAGAGAGAAACAATGAGTCTTGAAGACTTACCCAAACCATAGCTGCACTAACCCATGACCATTGGGGAGGAGATCGAACTTCTCCATGAGCTCTGAATCGGAGCGAACAAATTCCACCGGAATTGTGGCTCTGTATATGGCGAAGCCCGTGGAACGTGCTCTCGCTTCGTATCCCAGGGTGGCTTTTGTGGAATGACTGCCAATTCCGTCCGCAGCAATGACTAAATCGGCTTCTGATACTTCTCCGCTGTCCAATTCAACGCCTGGGCGTTTGTTGCCTTCCGGTTCACCGTCAAAATACCTGGTGACTCGCTTTCCGTACTGTACTTTTAAGCCAGTCTCTTCTAGTTGTTTCTCAAGCATGAGATGAAACTTAGGTCGACTATGGCGGTATAATCCTTGGGATGAGTCTCCTTCTTTGTCATCTCTCTGGCTTTGGCTCGCCGCGTTGTCTTCAATGCTCCTAGGCTCAGTAAGTTGTTCACCTTTGAGGTTGAACCATGCAACCCATGGATGAAAGGCAATTTCTTTATTTTTCTCGGCCAAGTAAGGCCAGTTGCGAAACGAACGAATGACTTGATGAGCGATAGTAAAGCCATCCCCTAGCCAAAGAGTTGGCTCAAAACCTGGGACAGAGTTTCGGTTGCTTCGGACATATACTCACCTGTGGTAAGTCGAGCTGGGGCTCGTTCGATAATTTGGACATCGATGCCCTGACGCCATAATTCAAGCGCGGCATATAGGCCCGCAATACCAGCTCCTACAATGAGGGCAGATACTCCGATAGGCGAGCCTCGTTGTGGAACTGTGTAAATTTTGTTTGAGACCATGGCTGTTCACTCAACAGTCATGGAGTGGCGACGGAATATTGATGAACTTGGTGAAATTGGTTGTAAAAGACCGTCGAGCAATTACTTGTAATATGGAAAGTTCTATGAACTTGAACAATGAAAATGTTGCGTAGGGAATAAATTCTTAAGAGTCTCACGTTGACTTTATATAGATACGTCAAGTAGCTATTCCGTAAAGGGAATACGAGGTGCGAGGTACAAAACAAGCATAGCGTGATCGATAGTATATATATGTGCGCTCTCGTTTAACCTCGTTTTCTCTTTTATATCATTTCTATCTTTGGATTCAGCTCTTGAGGATCTAATGCTGTGAAAATTCATGCTAAGGAGTTGACGATCCGCAAAACGGAAACCTCGTTCATGCAGACGTATGTAATGCGAGACGGATCCAGCCATAGTCCGCGCACGCGTGTAAGATCAACGTTACAGTTGCTTTCATGTTTCCAATACTTAACGTAGCAACAGTCGGTTCTACGGCTTCAAGTAATTCTCATTCTTTCTTTGAGAGGAATTTATAGTTTATCAACTCCAACGAAAGGCATTGACATGCGTCCCTGACGGCACCTCGATAGCTGTGCATGTACATCAATGACAACAACAATCAACGCATGATTTCAGCAATCCCAGATATGTTCTAGAAAGCTGTTCATTATTCCTTCACCCGGAAAAATCATACTTTGGTGATCCCAATGTCTTGTCAAGGATGTAACAAACTTCCTTGTACAGCCCAGCCCCTCGGGTGTCGTTCAATTCAAAATATTGGATCAAGCATTTCAATCAGTAATATTAAAAGTTTTCACTTAGACCACCGGTCTGATCAACACCGAATTAGAAAGAATCAAGACCATACATATGTCGCAACACTTTATAAGACAAACCCGTCAAAAGCAAGTGTATTCAAAATTGTCCCCGATGCAAGTCAGCCTTGTTAGGCAATGTGATAGAGGTATTATATATGAAATTTCGACAGATTTAAGCCAGTAAGTTGCGAGAATTCAAGTTATGGTATAGGAACGATCAGCAGAAAATTGCTAATAATGAGGACATCCGGATTAACATAGGGTTGCCAGTCGGCATCCAAGATCTTGTAATGGATTCAGCCTCAAAACTATGAGTTCCTCAACGGAATTTTATGATTTGTGGGTATATCACCAGTATATTACCTTTACTGAAGTGCTTGACCATAGTAGGCTTCGTACTTATATGGCTGCGCCATCAACCCTAGGTTGGCTGCTGGAAATTTTGGACAGGGAGATTGTGATAGAAGACCATGATCTGCATCACCGAAAGGTGTGGCGAGGGATTCATGACTATAGTTAGCAAACGCGTATCTATAATAGACTTTTTGGGACTTCTCATGATTGAATAGAGTCCATAAACAGCAATGTTGACTATGTGAATACTACTCATATGCCCTTATTTTAGTTTTGTTCTTATCAATGATGCTTTCCTTTTTTCATACAGTCAATACGCATTTGCGTTATTGGCAAGTCTACGACAAACTGAAACTTATCAACCAGCATAATCTATGTGATGTTGAGCGAGATATGGAAGTGAATTTTTCTTGCAAATATCGAGAAATAAAACGTTAACCAATGCAGTTAAAGCAGTTAAACCTCCCAGCTTCCTCATGCCTCTTCTTTCATAAGCGTCTTTTACCTCGATGCAGCCTTTATGATCTGTAATAACCCTTTCTCTGCGTTGTTTCAATTATGAATAGCGCTTACCTATGGGTATTTTGAAGCTAATTCCTGATCTACTGGGGCCTCATCTAGGACAGATAATATACAAACATATCATGAAGTAGTTACCTTTACATCATTTTTAGTTTAAGGCTGTGTTGCACAAGCCACCTAGGCAGAATAAGAAGTTTTGTTCCACATTGACTACAGCTATTTGTTTTCTATTGGACATCTAGATCTTTACTTAGCACTATTAATCATCGTTTCATAACGAAGATCTTGACACTAAGAATATTCATGTCCCATCTAGTGCAAGCAACAACTGACCTCTTCTGGCCTATGTTGACAAGACTTTTTCTAGCAGCATACCTAGGTATCTTCACTTGTTATGAAATGAGTAACGCCTAATGACACCTAGGTGGTTTGACAGTTTTACTAATTTTACATTATATACCTAGGTATATTTATATTGCGTTACTAGTTTTCATGGTTTCAAATATTGATAAGTATACTTGATATGATGACTGCAACATACTTGGTCATTTTTGTATATCAGATACAAGCTCATGATTATGACTTGCCGTGAATCATACTCTCTTTCCCTACACTATAAAAGCTACTCAATCTTAAAAGAAATGATCCTTCTAATAATTTATGGCGAAAATATTGCGCATTTACAGCTTCTATCCGAGATTCGATCATCCTCCCTTTCTTTTTCCAAAATGTCAACCTACAGAAGCACAGATTATCAACACAAGCCCTATGATCAAATCTCTCTTCCTACGAAGTTTCATGGAATCAAATCTAAAGATATCAAGCCAGAGATATTCCAATTTGTGAATGACCATTTCTATGTTGTCGTGGGCTACAACGATAACAACGAAGAACCGAGTGAACTCCTTCACTGTGGGTTCTATCTATGCACAAACACGACACAGGGCGAAGGGAGACTCTGGAGTTTACACAGAAGCCAAGAAAGAGGTGGGCAATGGGAGATTTCAAAGTCGGTCCTCGGGGGGCAGCAGCCTCCATGCTGGGTTGCGATGAAAAATTTGCTCCTCGCTTCTTATCTTTGCGAAGTCAATATGAACTACTGGGAAGATCTGGATAGGCAGATCAAACTTGCAGAGATCGATCAGTCGGGAAACTGTATGCGCTGGATTGATGCAGTCCAAGAGAAACTCAAACCCAAGTACTATACCTACAACTCGCTCAGCACGATCAAAAATGAATTTAACAAAAAAGCCTACCAGCTCCTCACAGCCAAGAAAGTAGCCATTCTTGACAAGGACCATGCCGGTGCGGAATGGCAGCTCCAAACGAAAGCGGATTCGGGAGTTTGATTCGCTGTTGCTAGAGCTCATTACTGGCGCTATAACTGGGACTTTTGATGTGTTGGAGCAAGGGTTTGGATGACATGATGGCTAGTTGCAGGGCTGAGAAATGGTGATGGATTAGTGGCTTCCTGGAGTCTGATTGTGAATATATTTCAATAGATAATCTATATCATATAATAAGAAGTTTCAAATCTGCTTCATCTGTACTTATATAATTAGCGGTAGATACCTATTGCTGTTATCCTGTTCTTGTCTTGGTTTATATCATGTATTAAAGCAACGTTTTCAGGCAGCAGAAAAGCCTTCCGTAGTGTCATGGGAGATGGGTGAGTGCTTGGTATTGAGTCAGAAAGGAATTCTAGCCACGCCACACATCTGTACATTTGTTAATGAGATAACGGCTTATTGCCTAGATATGTATCATTGGATAGGACATATTTCTGCTTTAGTCAGCCAATTTAGCGCCTAGTCTCTAGTCTGGATAGATAGTCTTGCATATTTCTTTCTTGTAACTTGAAGATTGAATCATTCAAGTTGCAAGACAAAATCTATAGGAATGTTACGGATAAATGAGGGGTCTATCAACAAAACATTCATCTCAGTATGCGCGTTATGAGATGAAAAAGTAGATTCCTACTTCGTAAACATGCTCTATATTTTCACAATCGGGTTTTTGCTCCAGCTCTTCCAAGATTACGCTTGCAAATTCACTGACCCAGGCGCTTACTATCTAAGTAATTCCTTATCAAAACATCTAATCTCTCAGCGCCTCATCTTTTGACCATAATAAAATCAAGATGCGATCGCTAAATTCCTTACCCAGCCCATATCCCCTCACTGCATCAACTCGATCTTTACGAGTAGGTAGTTTGATGCTTCATAAATTCGGGGTTCATTCATTCCATTTTGGACTTGGTGAACTACATCTATACTAAACGTGAAATGGTTTCAACTTACATTCTTAAACTACGCAGTCCTCATCCCGGCTCTGCCAATTACGGAAAATACTGGACGGCCGAGGAAGTAATCAAGACTTTCCAGCCATGCGATACAACAGTTGACTCAGTGAAGGTTTGGCTCATTGATAATGGTCATCTCCTCCGAGAGCATCACAAACTCTGATAACAGAGGCTGGCTGGCATTTTACGCCACTACAGACGAGGCGGAATATCTCCTGAAGACGGAATTTCAAGGATTCGAAGATTCCCTTACTGGATGCATTATGCCGGCTTGTGATGAGTATCACGTCCCTCACCAGATTAAGGAGCATAATGACTTCATTGCCCCTGGAATCAAGCTGCTTGCACCGATTGATATCAAAGCAAAGGTCAAGCGTAAAAATATGAGACGTATTGTGAACAAAAACCGTTCCTGGCCTAGGAACCCGAATTTCCCCAAGATGTTGGAGTATTATTTGAGCTTGCCCTAATGGATGCTGTCGAGTTGGGGATGATGTTGTTACATCATTTAGTGACGCGATCAATGGGCAAATAAACATAGAACACAAATTACTTCTTTTCATGGATAATTTAGAACATTGAGAGCTGTCGTATCCGAGACGGTAAATCTTTGCAAATTGCCATTTCTGGAAATACATAGGGCTACAGTCACGTGCAAGATCCTCCAGGAGTGTACGTAGGAAGAAAACTAAGCCGCCATGTTTCAGTCCATATTAACGGAGTCTCCGAAAAGTAACCTGATTTGAGTTTTTAAGCAGCAGACCATCACCTGCTAGCCGTGTAGTAGTTAGTTAACTAACGCTGGGCAATCGTCAGTTTTACGAGGTACGGAATGATTATAGCGAAATGCGAGCATAGGCATCCTTCCATGTTTTGCGAGAATGCCAGGTTCGTGCAGATAGTCCTACCAGGATAAGTTGCTCCAGACCAAAGCTGACGCTCTGCTGACGATAATAGGGACCTGACTGGGAGAAAGAACGGCATGTTTCGGTTGCGATGAACAAAGAGCATAATTATGCATTAGTTATGCTTGCTGTACAATTTATGTACTGTAATGTACGCAATCGTGCACCAAAAAAAAAAAAAAATAAAAAACGAAGCAAGTGATGTCATGCCCGATCCCGGCTTGGCACTTGATCTGCGACGTACGTACGAGTTACGCTACGCTTCCCTTCGTCAAAAACAATCAGATCATATCAATCGAGCAATCAATCAGTCAGTCAGTCAAGCCGAGTCAGTTCTTCTATCTATAATCTCCTCGAATTTGCTCTCCATTTCCTTCGTTACGTTCGGCCGACAATCTAATCCTACTTCCCTCGCCGAGCCCGCTGGTCTTTACTCCCGACTCTCATCCACCACGTCCACCATGACGAGCTGCCGGAGGCAACATTGAACATATTGAATAATTGATAGCCGGATTGTGTTTTCCTCCCTACTCCCGCATCCCATCTCATAATCTTGAATTCACATACCATGGCCGACGGGCCTCCGCCACTCCCTTACTCCCTCCGCCAAAGAAAGCGCTCCATTGCGTTTTTCTGGACACTTTTCGTGATTGACACACTCGCCCAACCGCTAATCCTCTACTATGCGCTGCGATACGCGACAGACCTATCACTCAACCTTGTCTTCTCCATCAGTACGGCGGCCTTGGGTGGTGTTTCCGTCTTCGAGTTTTTCTTCCGACTGTATAATCTGATGCGAAAGAACTCGAGAGCCAGACCGCTGAATGCACGCAAATCATGGGTGAGCTATCCACATATATGGAAACTGACAGGGACAAAGGCTGATATATGAGCAGCTCGACTTTTTTCAAATCAACTTCACTGTCGTATGGTTGATCCTCGCCGTCGAATTGATTGTGTAAGTCTTACACAGTTTAGGATAATGCTCCTAGTCAACAATTCCCGACTAATATATCTTTTTCAATATTTCAGTGGTACCATCCCGACCATTCCATACAGTAAGCTCTCGTGTCCCATCTACCTGAAACTCGAGCAAACATGCTAATCACCTTCACTCTCCAGTCCGCCTACTCGCAATGCCCCTTCCTACCGTCATGTTCTACTTCGGCGGTGTCCACCTTACTCTGGATATCCTTCGCATGTTTGGCTACAAAGCTCCCTTTCGCATATCCTCAACTCCACGAGGCTCCGTGATGCCTACCGCCCTCTACGTCCTCGTCGAGGACATTGTTGCCGTAGACGGAGGCGGCGGCCAGAGTTTTCGCTTTGCCCTTCGCACTCGCTACTTATCTAGCCCTTACTTCCGCCGTATGCTCTTCGAAATGAATTGCTTTTGGGCCGGTGGCTCCCTTATCGCAGCTGCAGCTATTACAGCCATCATTTTTACAACTCCGGAAAATGTCGCCTATACTGTATGTATATATATTTTTCCATATGTTAGCCCACTTGTCCGTCCCATGTCCTCAGGCTAACCATTTGAATTATTGAACAGCTTGGCTGGTCCCTCCCGTTTGCTTGGGCCGGTATTTGGACTTTAATTACATTTCCCTGGGTGCAAGCCGAACTTCGCCGTGAAAAGGAAACATGGAGTCTTGTGCAGCAAAACCACGGCGGGGAGCCTTTCACCGATGACATCACTGCTAATCCACGCACACGAATGAACTCCATCCAGGCACGTATTCTGCCATCATTCGCACGCGAAAAACCGACTTCCCCCGAGAGCTTGTCTACCACGGAAGATAGACATAGTAATTTCCCTGATACCATCCGGCCCGATGTTGCAGAGGAAACCACAAGAGCTACTAGCCATGTTGACTTTGTGGGCGCAGCCACCGCCGATGAAGGCGTTATTGGTGCTGGAGGGCTCGAGCGAAGCGCTTCTCGTTCTCACAGTCATGATCATGCCGCCATCAGCAACAGCAGCAGCAACGCTGATCCCAATCGAGACATTGAAAAACAAGAAGATCCCACAGAATTCCCAGACAGGATTTGAATATTACATATCTACCTGGCTCATTGATATCAACCGTTGCACTTAGATAATGTGTCTCTTTCTATACCCAATTCCCTCTTTCTTCCCTCATTTCTACGCGTATACTTTTGAATCGGGCACTTTTTTTCAGGATGGGAATACCAGAGATCATGGTGGTTTTGGAGTTTATTTGATGTGGTAGGGCTGTGGGATCATGATGTTGTTTTTTTTTTATCATTGTTATCTAGCGTTTTGTGCATTGTAACTCTTTTTGTATTCACCCCTGTTTCATGAATGACCGGTCTATGAGGATATGTATGCATACATCGTTTATTATCATTTCATATTTATGTATCATTAACACTTTACATTTTGCACATATACATAGGTATATCCTTTTTAACTTGAATTTCGATTTTATGGATTTCTGTCCCGAATATCTATCAATGTATATACGAATCTAGCCAAACGGAAGCCGGTCCCATGGTTTCATTAGTTCTATTATATCCCATCTACCATGGGTCAGCTATTAATGCATTCGAAATAAAGAGAACAAAAACAAAGACAGAAAAGGTATCTCCAAAATGAAAAAAATGAAATGAACTTGAATAGGCTCCTCGCCTCCCCCTGCGCCAAGACCGTCACGTATGCAAATCATATACACTGCCCACGTTTTGAAGACAGAACGAGATAGAAATGGAGATCAAGATAAAAGACAGAAAAAGCTAGAAAAATACATGCAAATAAATAATCGAAGAGAAACGAATATGATGGGGCTACTACATCGTGTATTTCAAAGGTAGTTCGAAGACAATATTATCGAATATATAATATAAGTATAGCATGTGGTTGATTTTACAGGCAGTTCCAGGTCAAACCAGTATATAGGGCTCACTCATTGAAGGTATGGCGATTAAGAAATTTGCGGCCAATGCTGCGGATGCTTCTCCTAGAGCTAGGAGAAAATCACTTAATTTTTGTGCAGAGGGAAAAATTGTATCGGAAGTAAATAAACATGACTTACCTCTCATCTTGAGAGTGAGCACCGAGGCCTTGTGAGGTCTTTGGACGCTCTTCTCTCAATTCTTGTTTTGATGCTGAGCTATCGTTGTCTCTTGTCACTAGGGTGTCGTTGATCATAATGCCGGGCTCCCTCAAACTGCTGACGTTGCTTGAAGAATAGGAAATGGATTTTCGGAGAGGATATGTCCCTGAGCTCATCGCTGTGGAATGGGCGGAATGGGGGGAAGAAGGAGAGGTAGCGGCATGGTTGAGCTGAAAACGCTTACTGCCAGTTGTATCCCGACTATTTATACTTTGCGTCGCCGATGTTGGACTATAGCCACTATTCAGAGCAGTATCTGAAGCAGGGAGTATTTGAGATGAGGATGCCAGCTCTCGCAATCTTTGCTGTTGTTGTTTGCTTGGGCGCGGACGCGAGAACTTGTTGCCTAGGATAGCTGGAGCGTGAGATATCAAAGCTTTGATGACATCCGTCTTCAGGCGTAGAGCAAGCTCTAGATTTGACCACGTCTTGTTACGGTACTCGAGCACTGGTAGACGGAACACGAAATTATGCACATCTTCAATGTTCCGATCCCCCCTGCCTTTGTAGCTCAAGCAAAGCACAACGTCATTGATTTTGACATGGGCGAGGATCATGTAGTTAGACGCCCTCGACATCATTTGTGTGAGGTCATCTGTTTGCTCTTTCTTTGAGCTCTTAACAAGTGAAAACTTTTTACTTTCGCCTGTGCTGCCTGACGCAATAGATCCCGCCGCAATTGATCTTTCGGTGGACGTTCTAGTCAACGCTCGCATACTCTCTGCAGACTTCTTTTTGTTAAGGGCAGATGACCGAAGACCTACGCCTGATTTATCTGCCTGCGAAGTGCGATTACCGTCTCTGTTCATTCGTGTCAGTTGCGGAACTTTGAGCCTGTTTGTGCGCGAAGATTGTGCCGTTTTCCGGTTGTTGTCCGGTAATATCATTGTTGGCTGCAGTCTCAATTCAATAGAACCAGCACCCGTAAGAGCTTGCGGATCTTCCCCAGTCCAAGTACTGCCTTGGCTACGTGGGGTGTGGATAAAATCGGGAGTCCCAATGTCATTTGTATCCTCCTCGTCTTCCTCTTCATCCATGGGTTTTATGTGTTTGACCATGAACGGTGAGAAGGCGCCATTTTCAAAGGCATTAGAACCAACGCCAGGGAAAATGTATTCGAACAGTTTCTTTCCAAGTTCTCTCTCTAATTGAACTTTTAGAGGGAACATATTAACTTCGAATTGATCTAGCACCGGGATACCCGCAACGGCTTCCAACATGTACCACTGAACACGAAACATCATGTCTCCGCTCATCTCAGTCCGACTTTTATGGTCCATATAGGGAACAATCATTTGAGGATAGACGGCATTTTCCAACAAATTCAGTGCGTACAACCGTTGGATTTCCATGACATTATGATTGGAGCCGTCCGTGTTGTCGGTACGCTCGTATGAAGCGTTGCGCAGCTGAAATTCAACCAGCGGCTCATTCCTGTCCCTCATAAGATGCCAAACAATATCAGAAGCTGATAGACAATACCGCATAGAAGCCCTGGACTTAGATAGAGATCGTTCATCAGTCCGCCTTTGCGATGTTGTGATAGCTTTCATAATGAAAAACAGCTCCTCTTCGCAATTGGCCAAATCTCTTTCAAGAGTTATTCTGTCTTGCCAACCCTTAGCGTCAAGGCGATGCGCTTGCACTTGGAAATACTCTTTTATCTCTTCGAATTGTCGAATACGTTCTTGCAGCCTAAAGACTGTTTCCGGTGCGCCTCTTAGATCACTGAAATCAGAAGCATACATAATCTTCTCCAACTTCTCACTTCTGACCTTTTCCAGAGGTTCATTGTAAAGCAGCAAATCCAACACAATAATATACGTTGAGTAGTATTCGGTAGAGTCGCAGATAGCCCTGACATCTGGAAATTCAACCCAAACTTGGTCTACACGCCCCTCATCAGCATCGTGGTAATTCTGCGAATCATTATCGCTTCCCACTACTTGATCATTATACTTGAGACGCAGATTGTTGTATTTATCGTATCGAAGACTTGCCGAAGTCCTCTGGATTATCCTCGAAAACCCAAATGGTAGAAGCTCAAAGTCAAACATAGCTTCCAAGGTCAGCCACGGCGGCCAAGCTGATCCAGGGGCATTTCCATATTTGTTGCCGGCATAAAATTGCAAGTGGGCTTTAAGATTCTTCTGTGTCGCAACGAAAAACTGAGCACCATCCATGTCCAGTGAGAATCTGCGCTGAACCAATCCGCTAACGTCATCACTAACACGGCGTTTGTCCATGATAGACAATACTTTAAGCGACATGCCTTTCGCGGTCACAAGCGTGACAGATCGTGGATTTTTATCACTCTGTAGCTGAATTTGAGGAGCAATGAGACGGAGATGGTAACTGCGCTGCGAAGTGAATTCTGGTGAGATATTCTCAGCAAAATCACTCGAGTGCGGTCGAACTCGATCAGTAGTCGATGCGGAAGACGGATCATCCGCATTCACATATCTCTTCGCATCATGTAGTAATTGCTCGATGCGATCCTGAACGCTGTCATCGTCATCCTGCTCTTTCTCACCGCCGCGACTAGGCGAATGATTAAAAAGCCCTTTCCGTCGTTGATTATGTTTGTTTTGTTCCTCAACAATATCGGAGATGAATTTGACAGCCTGCTGTGACATATAGTACACAAATCCCCGCCGCTGGCTTACTTGGTGGCCATATCTCACCATGATATCTCGCAACGCATTGTTCCATTTTACTTGCGGATTATGGATCGTGAATCGATTGTTGAAGTCGTTAGCCGAGTCAATATCCGGGGGTTCGTAGTTCCCGTCCATTTTCTTGTGATCATTATCGCTTTCCGATTCCACGTCTTCCCTAGTTCTTGACGATGCTTCGCTGCCATGGCAGTCGTCATGCGTATACTCTTCTCCGGATACAAGCTTTTCAAGACGGCGAAGTCCTGAATCCAGAAATTTGTGTCGTCTCGCCAAGGATTCTGCCTGACGAACTAGTAATTCATGCTTGATTTTCAAGTCGTGGTTTTCTCCGTCAGCTTTTTGTAGTTGTATCTCATGCTCACTGAGCTGATGCTCATGGTTTGCCGTTTGTATTTCAAGAGTTTTCAGACGATCTTTTATAAGGTCCATCTGCACCTGCCAAGGGCCATTTCCTTGAGACATAACACAATTATGCGTTGGCTCGTCGCCAAATTGACTATCTGCATGGTCAGATGTTGGCGCATTTCCGTGGTCAGTCTGTCGGAAGTAGGTAAAGCGTGGGGTATATGCAAGAGGCAAGATCTTGGTTTTGGGATTGGACTCTTGAGGGAGGATCCAGTCCAATTCAACAAAATCATCCATATCAATCCATGTATAATCCTGGTCGGGGATATTGAAACGGGACATATCAACCGAGCCAATGGGCTGCTGGAATGATTCAACAATGTTGTCGTGATCTCCCAAAACCTCATCCAAGGTGGTCCCTTCAATACTAGCGGATACTGCCCTGAAATCGGCCGCCTCAAAGTCCAATTCTGCACGGTTAATACGCATCGCGCTAGACTTCATTTGTTTTAGACGGCCTTTTATCGGGGTTTTGACTCGTTCGCGTCTTTGATGAAGATCAAATTTGAAATTGGCAAGGCGAACCTTGAGGCCAGTGGCGGTAACTACATCTTCCCCATAATCTTCTGGGTCTTTATGCTTGTAAATGTGTGAAGCAAACAGAGGAGAAAGAAGTAATTTATACTTGACGGTGGCCAGGTGACGGCCGAACTTCTTACTTGTCTTGGTAATACCCGGCCAAAGAGGTCCCTGCCGCACAGGGAGAGACATCACCCCGGAGAACAGAGACCACCAATGAAAGAAATGAGTGAAGAGGCGGGGAGTAAGATGGACGGTATTATAGTTTGACATCGGCTGCTCTGTATTGTTTGGGGAGATAACCGCAACAGAGAGGTGGATATGATTGCTCCGAAACCCGCGGTAGGCGTCGTAGTCCTGTCAATATAATGTTAGTATTGGACTGGCGGGAAACGAAAAAGAAGGGGGGGAATATAGTGCTAGGTGTAATGGTTTACCTTTCTTTGAGACTCATCAATATAGTGAGGGTTCCTAAGCACCACATGGAAATGTGACTTGAAGTCAAAGGACCGCCCAGAGTCCACATTGCGCTCAAACACTAATCCTGCAATCCACTTCACACTGCCTGACAATTTCATCATCACTTTCTTGAAATGTGCGGCATTCTTTGCCTGGCCGCTAGGATGCTGGGAGCTGGGGACATCTAGTGCATACGCATACGAGTAACGGGCCTCGTGGCTATAATCTGGCACAGCAAGCACGTATTCCCCACTGGTAACGGTCATAAATTCTTTGGGGTCGTCAGTAGGGTGAATGTTCCATTGGACGTCTTTCCGCCAACACATGACGAAACCAGCCCCGAATCCCGTTATGATATACGGGTCGCGTGACCCTTTCAAACGCAGGTGAACATCGCCATCACCCTTCCATCGTACTTTGATTCGAGAGTGAAAGCTCAATCTAATCTTATCCCAAAAGCCAACCCGCTCCGATGGATCAAGTTCGGGTTTAGTAAACCCTTCAATTATTTTCATCATGTCTTGTATGACAGGCTGGTACGACATACACCAAGTAATGCTTGTTGGAAGACTGGTGTTGATGTCAAAAGTGGGCTCCGAATATGTCTTTACAGGTGCAATAGTTCGCCGCACAGTGATATATAAGCCTTGAGTTTCTTGGCCATCAGCAAGTTTAGTCGGGGGCACAATACAAACAGGCACGTCTCTTGTCGACTCGCGGGTACGGAACTCCTCTGCAATGACAAAATTTGTTTGTAAAGACCAACTTGGCATTCGAGAAGACTGGCCGGGACGAAGAGCAGGAATGTGAAGAAGATCCAGAGGGTAATCACGAAGTGTGACCCGGGCTTCCCCCATGTCCAGATGAATGCTCATGGGGATCAAAAGGGAGTATTTCATATCGAGAGGCATTCCCTTGCCAATTCTATGTAAAAATTGGGCATATTCATTAACCGGGAAAGAGGGTTTATCAATGATAAGGTGCACGTCACTGATTAAAGTAGACATCAATGCAGGCCGAGTGGGAAAGGCGAGAATTGGTTCATCGTCCTCGATATCATCTGGAGGCTGATCCCCCCCGCTAAAAACATTTCGTAGTTGATTGATGGATTCAGATTGAAATTGAATTGCGGCATCTATTTTTGATTTCCAATTTCGAGAGTTATACTCTTGCAAGCGAGTCCAAGCTTCCTCTTCTGATACTTTGGAGCTGGATGAGATGTTTGCAGCACCATCGGTGTCGTAACGGGCTCGTCCGTAACTTTCAGGCTTACCATCAAACGATCTCCTGGCTTCCCCGGGGCCAATGCTTACACTTCGTCTTCGATCGTCACTCCTTCTTCCGCGATGAGGGTCTGGATGAGCGGAATGAGTGCGGAAACGGGATGGGGCTCGCCTATTTTGCGCTTCCCTTATCTTTTGGGTCTTCAACCTAAAGGCTTCCTCTCGAGCAATACGATGCCGTTGTTCCACAAGTCCTGCACGGTAGATGCAACCAAGCTTCCATTCAAAGGCATCATCTTCCAGTTGGAAGGCTAGTGTTCTACTGCGCAGAGATATTCGAGGTACCTTTTTGGGTCCCTCTGGTTCTTTCTCCAGGACATCTATGTCGGAGTTTGTTTTGAATCTCTGATACAGCGTTTTCAGCGACTTGAAAGTGACATTGAAATTATTGAATACTTGGTGCATAACCATATGGCTTGGAACACCTATGCGAATCCATTCAGCTGAGATATCAATAGATCGTTCTTCTCGCAGTTCTTGGCCATGTCGACGTTTGCTCTCTCGCAGGTCAACCCTAACAGTGTTCATTGAAAGGAATCGTGCCCACACATTTCCGAATTTAGGTGACGCAACATGTAACCGAGCCGATTGCCATCTAACGAATGGAGCTGACCAGCGATGACTACCTGCTGCTAAGCCGTATACCTGCAACATGAAACGTGGATCATCGGGCATGATACCCTTAACCCGCACAAGTCCCACACGAACGTCAACTGTAGTCAACTCAGAGCGCTGTGAAGGGGGCCGTGGAGGAGCAGGTAATGTAGACGATGAGTCCTCGGACTGAAATGCGTGCGAAGAGTTCGTGGCTAGAGTTTTCATGAAAGTTTCAGATAAAACATTCAGCGCAACTCCCAATGAATAGGTCCGATATAGTGAAAATTCCAGAAAGAGGGCCTTGATAGAAGAGTTTATGTGGAATATAGGACCCTGAAGATCACTATGTGTACTCAATGCAACTTCACATCTGGGTAGCGAAAGAAAAGATTCGGATTCCATGTAATCCTCGGATTCTATCACGAAGCCTTCCAGTCCACGAATATGAACAGCTAGCCTTCGTCCGTCAGCATGGCCAGTACCAGATCGTCGCGGAGGCGAAGTTGGAGTAAAACGAAAAGGAGAGTCATCTCCAAGAGAGGAATGAGAATGAGAATGACTAGATGTCCGTCTTCTTAAGGAGCTCTTTGTGGGCTCGAGTTTCTGTGCTCGATAGTCAGCGGTCCATGAGTCCAGTTGAAGTGCGACTCCACGGTTTGTCTTGGATGATCCGGGAGGAAGGCCCGCAACCTCGAAGGTCAACTCATTTGCCTCAAACTGAACTCGCATCAACCAAGGAGGTAAACGGCGTAGGAAACTTGATTTTTGTTCGGGATTCATGCTTGGCATACGATTCCTTGGCTGTAATTGCGCTCGGACTTGTTCAACAACTTGTTTAATTCCCCGGTTGACGTTTGGATTGACCATATGAGCTGAAAACGAATTAAGGCTTCCCGACACAAAAACACAAATATCCGGTGTTGTGTTGAGATGCACGCGAATTTCCATATCTTGTGTTTGCAATAAATTGTGCTTGATACCAGCAGGCGTTTGGTAGTAAAGCTGGTGGGAAGCAACACGATAAGTAGAGGACAAGGAATAGTGAAATCCACCCTCAGACGAATGAAAAGATTCGATATCGAGTGATATAGACGAGATAGACGATATGAGAAGATTATAATCACCACCATCGGCTGGGGCTTCCTTGGGGATAGGTAGCACAAAGCGTACCACAGGTTCGTGCACAGAAAAGTTGATCCTGGCCTTAGGTAGCAAGCGGGATATGATGCGATTGTTATCTCGCTTTTTGCCCCGAGGAGATGGTGTCCTTGTTTCTGCTAGCTGAAGAACTTGCGAGACATGGCGAGGCTCCATATCCAAGGATGGCGACGTGATCACGCAATTTGCAAATAAGACATTGCTGTTGCGTTCCGCGGCGTCGCGTTCATCAGAGACATATACAGTCTTAGAAGGGAGAGTCGTCTTAATAGTAGTCGTAGCCATGGGTATGTAAAGAAGCCTGTCTGTTGCACCCGAACCGTCTTCCATGCTCACGGATATAGATATTGCGGCCAACAAAGCCTGGTGGGCAGTGTCACGCCTTTGGAAATACATTCGGTGAGCAGGTGAATTCGGATCCATACGATGAAGGTCAATACCGATTTCGTGAGTAACCAGGTTCAGTTGCATATCTTTTTGCCCTGTTGAAAGCGACTGGAAGGACCTTGAGATTCGGAAAAAGCTCAACGCGAGCTGTATTTCTTCTATACCTCGCAAGATTGAAGTAACGAATTCCCTAGAATCGGCGACGGTCTGTACAATAGCTTCCTCCCTCGATCCAGGCTTATCCAGCTCCTCCACGAAATCGGCGAACGATATCTCATCATCAGTCTCGCTCGGCATGTCCAGTTTGGAAGACGCCTTTCGGCTTTCTTGAATTCGCTTGCTGAGTAGCATCAAGGTGTCGTATGGGAAGTGAAGTCGGCCAATCTTAACAGCGACAGAGGTGTCCCTAAGCCCCTCTAAATCGCGATATAAATGGCCGTGAATATTCGACTGTAGATTATCCATTACTTCCATGGGCTCCCGCCCATCAACCGCAAGTAAAATGTTCCGAATGTTGATAATCCACTCAGCAGAGCGTGGTGCCTGTGGCTGCTGTTTCTTATGGCGGAACAAACGGCCTTGTTCCACCATATTCCGCCGAGTATCAACCGCCAAAGTTAAAGATCCAACTTGTATAGACCCAGCGTCAACAAAATACACGGAGGTATTTGTGGCGTGAAGGTCAATTATTGCCAGCCATTGTATATATGTGTGCAGTCGTTTCAAGCTTTCCTTCCAGCGCGTTAGCCGTCTCCACGTCTGGCTGCGTTTTGAGCCTTTCGCTGAGCCGAATGTCGCACCTTGATGCAATTCTGGAGAGCTATTGTTAGACACCGTGGTCGATGAAGACGAAGAATAGCTTTCGCGGGTGCCATGATTGCCGTTTTTCAGTTTTTGGGGATCAATGGTGACTTTAAGGTCGGTCAAGCGAAGCCTAATCCAGGTTGGTTGCGAGAAGGAGGGCCGATGTAAAGATAAACCCAAGGCCCGGATGTCAATTTGCACGCCATCTTGCGGTGTATATGATATACGCCGCAGGGAGAAGTAACCAACTCGCTGAATGGACACACCAGTAGCCACGCGTACAAAGGCAAAGAGGATAAATGTGGAGATGTACAGCAGCAACAAAGCCACCAGAACAGTGGTGGGGTTGAAAAGCGACATAGTGACAAGTCCAGTGCTACAAGTTGACTGCGGACTAAACAAGCCTCCTACAGGCTCTTGCACACGACACGGTGTGTTGTATCCATTCAAGCCGCAAGACCGCCCCTATTCAGATCTCATTTTGCAGAGAATACAGTTCCTTCCGACGACTCAGGATTATCATTCTATAAGGGGGTAGAAAGACGACGGCTGTCGAAAGCAGGATGATGGGTTGGAATTGAAGAAGAATGAATTTGGGGCTGACAAGCGCCGACTGTGTGAAGAACCCGAGGGGGGAGGCTGACGGGATGGGATCGCAGGCTATAGGGAGACGCGCATCTTTCGATAATTCGTCCGTCGAGAAGGGCCGGCGGAGCAACGAGCGATTGGAGGTCAAGAGCTAGCGCTAGCTTCAGCAAAGCACTCCGATATGAACTCGGTTGCGGTCTCTCGAAAGGTTGGTCGCAGGGAGTGCATACTTCGGGGTTGCGCGGAGCATGGGAAGGTGCACTGCCACGATAAGTTACACCCGGATTGGGCCAATGGCAAGCAAGGGGAGGTGCTTAGCTAAGCATCTGTGCTCGGGCAGTTGACGTAATGTAAGAAGCTTGACTCGACGACGCTGTAACTACTATATAGTTACTATGTACTATATATGTACATATAACAGTCCAAGGAAAAGAGTACTCGGTGACAATTTGTATTTTTTCGATTATGGCTACTAATGCCATCAACGAAGCCAACCTGCAGGCTATCTAACTAACCCGCTCATATCTAGTAACTCCAGCAAATGCCCAGGTGGGAACGTGAATTATATACAGAAATGCCAAGCTATGCGACTTGCCAGGACATCATTAAGGAATTAGGTAGGAGATCTGAAGAAAAGAAAATAAAGGTGAGGAGTGGGGTGTTTAAGGAGTTCAGAGGGAAAGGAGAATAGGAGTCTCGCTACAGCCTTGGGTTGAAACGGCTGAGGCTGCGGATTCTGGCGCCATACATGTAGAACAAAACTGGAATCGGCACCATAGCAAGAGTCAGAAACGCGAGAAGACTAGACGCCCAGGGAACACCCAGTCTTTCGTACATCTGATCAGCAAAGAGCGGGAATCCGCCGCCTACCAAGCTACGGACCAAGGTGTTGGCGGCAATGCCCGAGTTAGCGAACATCAGATACACATCGATGATGTAGTTGAGACCTTGCATGAAGATGATGAGGATGCCGAAGCCAATGGGTATGGCCGAGAGCGCTTGCGGCACCCAAATGATGTCCTTGTTGGAAGTCCAGCCGAACCAGAATAAGCCGATCGGCAATGCGATGCTGCCAGCGAACATAGGAACAAGTCGTTCCTCCGGGACCACACGGCCTTCCTTTTTCAGCCTTTGTGCAAACCTGGTCTTGGTCAAGTAGGTGATGTAGGCACATCCCAAGATGACTCCGATCAGGATGCCCAAGAACGGCAGAGCAGCCACTCCCGCACTCTTCCAGCCGCGGATTTCTTGGTAGGAATATGGAAACGCCTCAAAGAGCAAGTACATGATTCCGTAGATCAAGGCGAGGTAGATGGTGATGCAGACCAAAATAGGCTCCAGCATGAGCATTTCAAACGGGCGCATCGCGTATCGGGTAATAAAATCCTTTGGCCTGGGAGGGTTCTCGTCTAGTGTACTGTGGTATGCCCAATTTTTGGTCTCTACCCGTAGGCGAGCTGCGCGCTTCTGGAGAATGACCGGGCCAAACGTTTCGGGGACGATTATAAAAGCAATACATGCGAAGAACGCAGCCGCGATCAATGTGATCCAGGCCGTCCACCGCCAGCCGAGGTAAGAATCAACAATAAAGCCACCCCTACATGATGCATTAGCACACACACAAAAAACGGTTGTTTGAAGATACGATCTGCAAGATCATAGTCCACTTACAAGATAGGGCCTAGAGTAGGACCGCCAAAGGTAGCGCCGGCAAAAAAAGCCATTGCAACACCACGATCAATAGGGTTCCAGATATCAGCTAATACTCCTCCGACAATAGCCAAGGGAGAACAGCCAAAGAAACCAATAAAAAACCGAGAAAGCATGATGGTCTCCACATTCTGGGCCACAGCAACGGGGATCTGGAAGATGATAAAAACGACATAGCCAAAGAATAATGGCCTCTTCCTGCCGTATAACTCAGAGAAAGGTCCCCAGAGTAGTGGGCCCATTGCGAAACCCTAATTTGACAGATAATTAGTTACCTGATCAACACCACACTTTAAAAAGAAAAAGCGAAGGGTTCTAAAAACGTACAAAAAGCGGAAGACTGGTTGCCAAAATCATAACCTCGGTTGACACGCCGTACAAGACAGCCGTGACCTCGGTGGCCTGGCTGAACACACTGGTTGAGAATGTGATCCAAACTGTCAGTGAAGAGAGCAACATGGTGATTGCCCACTTCCTCGCAACAGGTAAGTTCTGAGGGTTTTCAGGATCGTCAGGGCCGTCCCATTCCACTAGATTGGGATCTTTTGCGGCAGGCTTTGGTTCTTCCTTGCCTGGATTGTTGTTATCGCTTGGGCCGGCCTCCAGCGCCACTTCTGCCTCTACATCTTCTGCCTTGGTTCTCGAACTTGAGCGGGATTCGGGGCGTTTTTCAGGATCTTCATTGAATTTTTCGTCGTGTAGACCACTTGGTATTGTCTCTAGACGGCCGGCCTGGCGCGTGTCATAGTCCAAGCTAGTCCTGGCAGGCGTCGTAGATTGCGAATCGAAAGTCGACATGTTATCAGCGCCGCACCCACGGGGTGACCATATACAGCGTGTAATTGATTTTCGCAAACGGAGAGAGTCTTCTCGCGAGGCTGTGGAAGCTTCTCACACTATATAAGGGATAGAAAAGCTTGAAGGATCTAGTGGGGCAGCCAGACGATGAATCGCCACGGTTCTGATGTATGGGTGTATGGGTGTATTAGGTTATTAGAAATAGGATTCCCCCCTTTTTTTCTTTTCCTCGTTGAGGCTTATGATACTATATATATGGGACTATGTTAGCTTCAGACCGCGAAGATCATTTGTCACGCATCGGAGGAACGGTCTTAAGAGGAAGGTTTCGCGCTTCGGGTCACTTGAAGCAGCCCTACCGCTGGAGATAAACGAAAAAACATCCAACTCATCTGGCAAATTTGTAAGCCACTTTCTTGTTTCATTAATCCAAGTGGGTACTGGCCCACTGTGTTGGGTTGGGCGATTGGCAATTAAACGTTTACAAATTACAGCAGAAACTTCGGGTATAAATTTAATGACCAGTCACGATGACGCCATCCGTCAAGTGTTCATCATCTTGCAGCAGTTCTGGTAGTCTAGTATTTTACAAGTATAGTCCAAGAAAAGTCTAAAGTTGTCTCATTTGGTTGGTAAAAATCATTGGAAGAAAGCGAGGGCTGGTATTTATTCTTCCGGGATTACTGATCGGATTAGGGCATGTTACCTCGTGGCTCGCCTTTCCGGCGCTAAGTCGCCTCAGTAGCCAATAGGATGCTTTTCGGGGGCAGGATGGAGATTTTGGAGCCGCTAGAGAGTGGAGACGGTGGAATCGGCCTCGGGAAGTATCTGCAGCCGACATGCTCTTGAGTGGACGGAGTTAAAGTACGCGGTTCCTTCGTCTAGGCCCGGATTTAGCATAGCATCGGCTTACGTGTTATATCCGGGCTGTCTATGACTCGTCACTCGTGTTTATGCATCGCTCAAAGAGCGCTCGGTGCCTTGTGCAGGCCACAATGGCTTTGTTATCTTTATTCAAGTATAGATAACCGTAATACTAATAGTAACAGGGAAAGCATCCACCGAGCTTGCTAGCAGCATGCCAAAGTCTTCCGTATTTATCTAAATTGAAATGCAGTAACCGATAACTTAAGGGCCCTGCTTAGATCAGAATCACGTGACGCGGCTGTACATGATTCATGTCACATCGTTTTTATGTCACACTAACAGTACATATATAGCTAAACATACCTCCATGTGTTTGACATGTGCATGTGTGTACTCTATATCTACAGACCTTCCCAAAGTGTCAAGATGAAGTGCATATAAGCATGTCATCCCTACAGACTCCAGAGAAACCCCGGAAACACTAGCGCCCAAAATGGCAAGCGGGGTGTGGCCCGGATTTTTTCTCCAACAGATCAGATGTCACGTCAGGGTCTCCCAAAGCCCCAAGGGGCAAACTCTGCTCAGCAATTTGGTCTTGCTCCTGGCTCCGTCCCTTCAAAATCCAATGTCTCTTTTGTCTAGGAGCCATATTGTACTGTAAATAGGTTCACCTGCTGATGAGTGACTCCCGGAATGACATCGATCTTCCTGAGCGGATCCATGCCGAGGCAAGGTAGGAGCTTCATTTTCAGCCCAAGAGAACAGTTCGTCTCATTCAAGTCCGCTGATTTCTTAATAAAAAATCCTACAGGGCAATTCACAGCTCATTACACCGCGCCATCACTGGCCGATTGCCCCTTGCTCTTCCTCCAAAAGCAAACTCCCCGCAACTCTACGCTTTGGGCATTTCTCGCTTTGCGCAGATCTACTCCGCTTTAGAATCCGCATGGCGTGACTATCTCGAGGTAGCGCCGGACAGCACAAAGGAAAGGTATCGCGCTTTACTAGCTGAAGCCTACATACCGGCGATTGCCCGCAGCCAACGTCTAGAATCCGATCTACGAAACTTGAAGGCGGAATGGGGTGGTGATGATACTTTTCTTCCACAGGGCAATGATATTGCTGTTCGTGTGGCAATCACCCATGTCCTCGAGACCATCCGGGCTAAACCACACACCCTCCTAGCCTATTCATGGGTCATGTACCTGGCTCTTTTCAACGGCGGGCGCTGGATTCGCCAACAACTGCTTGACGCCGGAGCCCAATTTTGGTACAAAGATTTGTCCGAGGTTGAAAAACAGGAGTCTGCGGGTGCTTCTCTTGCGCAATCATTTCTGTCGTTTTGGCATTTTGATGGCGATCAAGATGGTGAAGATTTTAAGCTCGCCTATCGTGCCGGCTATATTGAGGCTTCCAAGCGTCTCACTAAAGAGGAGTGTGAAGATGTGATCTGCGAGGCCAAGACATTGTTCCAGCATTGTCTAGATATGGTCTCGGAGATTGATGTGGTGGTGGCGCTTGAGAGGAAGAAACGTGCTCACAAACCTGGTAATGCTTTTGGAGCATACAGCACATATATAATGCTCAGTGTTCTTACTTTAGGCGCCCTTTTAGCATATATATTGCGGCCCTAAATTATATTATCTTGTATATACGCTTTGATTACGATAGAATCGTGGAATATAACCCCCCGTCCGGTATCACTCATTACAGTCGGAGATGAGCATCGTGTCATGGAGATAAGGTGGATCAATGTCTGACAGACCTGCGTAAATCAATGAACATTTAATACACAATGTGCTAGCCATCTATGTCGTCCAAAACTCCTATCCGTGATATCCAATGCCCGGACACTAGATTCCCTTTTCCCATTTATATAGTCTCCTCTCAAACGGGGAACAAAATCAAAAGACCAAATAAACATTCCCGAATTGCCCTCTCCAGAAAACTCCAAGAGCCAATGCATAAGTAGATTCGTGTTTCGTAAGGTTTCATCCTAGATTTTCTTTTTCCATCAACAATTGATCAATTCCCTGACCCTCTCCACCCTTGCAATCGCTTTTTCCAATCGATCAAGCCTCTTCCGCTTCTCACTGTCCCTCTTCTCAAGCAAAACCACTCTCTCCTCGAGCTTTGCTCGAGCCTTGCGCTCCTGCGCAACCATCTCGTTGGCTTGGCTGAATAACTGAGCAGTGAGTTCTTCCAGTTCGGAGTGTGCCTGCGATAGTTGCGACTCAGCGGCTTTTCGAAGCGACCGTTCGCGTGATAGCGCTGCCTGAAGTGCAGCGGCATTGTGGTCAGTTGAATCTTGCTGTGATAGCGATCGCTGAGGGTAGTTTCTGGTGTGGCTGGTGGGACTGATATGTGCCCCCGGGCTACTACTGGTGTGATTTGAATGGGATGTGTTTGGCGGGGTACTGGAGTCTTTGGAGCCGGTACGAGAGTTGGTGCGACGATAGGGAAAGTAGGAAGCGAAACCGGCAAAGCGACCTTGTTGTTGCTGGGCGTTTGTATCGGGTGTTTCAGAAGTAGGAGACGCCGTAGATGTGGAGCGCACTCTTTGCAAATCGCTATGGTTATGCAATGCTTGAGTCAAATGTCGAACCTCGTTTTCGTAGTCGACTATCTTGCCCGCTGTCAAGGCCACACATAACCAGGTTAGCGATCGAGTTTTCGCAGAATTAGTAAAGTATGAAAATGGCATTTACCAGCCTCGGACGCCTTCACCGTTAATTCCCTGACCTGTTCTTCCAACCCCTGTATTCGTTGCTGCGCGGCCATCGCATCTTGGGAGGTAAAAGCGTCATTGCCGCAATGTAGGCAAGCTGTGCCCGACACCACGCTGCTCGACAAAGGTTCCTTCATCGGCGCGTAATGTCCACCCACTAGCGTTGTTCGCGTGTCTGCTGTCTTCGACGTGGAGGTATATACTGATGTGGATGTCTGCATGGCGGACTGTTGACAGCCTTGCCCTTTCTTCCTTGCACTTTTCGTCTGTTCCCCCGCTGTTGCGTTCGCTAGTCGGAGGCGATGTTATACAATCTCGAGGCTTTTCGGGCGACTTAGAAGGTGTATATGTGCAGTGAAAATGAAACAGCAGTCGGTATGCAGCCGAGAGCAGGCAAAGAAGCACCTCAAATGTCTCCGGATGGCATTGCAACCAACCGGCGGCTGACACAAGGCAAGAACACAGGGACAAAACACGAGACAGTCCAACACAGATGCCACCTCATGGCACTCGCCAGGCAAGCGACAACTAGATATATACTACTACCTCTAATGGTAACGGTACTATATCGGTGGTTGTTATGAGCCACTCTCGCTGGTGGTCACTTGATTCCTTAAAGGGATCAGGGCCCGCCCGCGCCTTCCTTCCCAGTGGCAGGAATAAATTACCCCAGGTTTAGGCCCCCCGTATTTAAGGCATGCATACCTCCGCGTGACGGTATTTATTGTTCTACCTCTGCTCGATCTGATACTCTCAACGTCTCACTTTGTCCTGCATTCTTCTTGTTCAGCCTCCCTCACACTTGTCATCTCTAGACTCTCCTTACATCACGTTCAAGATATACGATCTAGTTACTGTAAGTATGAAGTTCTATCCGCCACAATGCCTCCGACCTCCATGACCAGCCACCCGCCCCTTGATTCAAGAACACGGCGGTGCTGGCTCGTTGTGACCAACCATCGCAAGTTTCTCACTTGTACAAGCAAGCATCAAGGCTGTCAAGCCGCTTATCACAGCCAGGACAATGTTCATACTGCGCCATCCAATCGTTTGAACTAACGCCCCTGCCACAATCGGTCCCAGCAGCTGTCCAGAGGCCCATGCCATGGCATGCAGGGCATATGCCTGTGCATTAGCGCCTTTCGCCCCAAAGATGCCGGGGGACTCTCGCTCCTTACGCTCAATAGGTTCGCTAATCTCGACCATGAGCGGGAGCATTACTGCCGAGAAAGAAACCCCGGCTCCCATCAGTAACGAGACGAAGAGGACGCGCGAACGTAGAGATTCGTCGTTCACCAATGGGAACATGAAAAATATCGGAACCAGAGACGAGAATGATATGACCGAGACAATACGGGGACCGTAGCGGTCAATAAGCGACCCTGATTGCCAATTAATGAACACGACCTTTTTCCCCTCCTCCTTAGTGTGGTTCAAGCTCACCGATAATAGGAGATATAATGCTAGGCAATGTCAATACCAAGAAGCACATGCCGATCTCGAAAGATGCCCACTTGAAGTTCTTGATGACAAACACGGGGACAGTCTAAACCAGACATAAGCTTCGATCTTTGGAAAGTTAGCAACCGGGGAAAGAGAGAGTAGTCAACATACAGCCTCAAAAGCTGTCCAAATTGAAGCATCCACGACGCTTGCAACCAGCAAAGCCAAAAGCTGTCCAGACATAGCCAGACGGACAATTGGTGGGATACGGCTAGTAGAGACAATGTGTGGAAATGCACTCTGCTCCTCGTCATGGTTATGGTCTTGTTCTGCATCACAGCCCTGGTAGTCTGGCAGAGATGCGCGTCTTAGCAAAGGCTCAGTTTCATCCTCGGGGCGTGATATGGCTTTCAATTGCTGCTTCGCTTTCGGTTCGATCATGAGACACCGGAGTACGACGTCAATGCTTATTAGGGCTAATGCCACCATGAAAACAGAATCATAACCTGCTCGGTCCAACCTTCATACCATAGGAAGCATTAAAAAAAAGGAACTTCTGATACCTTGAATGATTTCAATTGGAAATTCTGGTACTCACAGAATTCCACCCAAGGCTGGGCCAGCCATTGTTCCTATGTTCATCGCCATGGAAACGTATCCCATTGCAGTTCCTAGCTGCTCTTTTTTCATTGAATCGACCACGAGAGCATTTCCAACAGCCCATACGGCAGCCCCAGCCACTCCCTGCATCATGCGTGCAATGACCATTATCGCGGGGGATTTTGCAAGCCAAAACATTATCGTCGCACCAGCGACTGCAACCAAACCGACTACAAAGGGAAGTCTTCGCGAAGTGCCCCTGTCAGCGAAATACCCAACAATAGCTATGAGATTCAGCGCACGTCAGTGAACTGGTAAGATATAGCTATAGACAGCTCTAGACTTACGAGAGCTTATCATCAGCGCACCGCCGAATGTTGCTAGTGAGACTGCCATCCATGTTTGAACTACCCAAAATGTCAGAGTGGATTTTCCATCAAGTGCCCCCAAAACTCACGCTCATCGTCAGGTAAGTGAAGTCGGTCCCTCAGAATAGCTGGGATTAAGGGGATAACCTAGCCATGCGATCGAAGAACGTCAACAGCCTGCAATTATGCGATCCGGGGCTCATTTCTGTATTCTTTACCATTCCATATATGAAAACATCCTATCCATTCTTGTCAGCCACAGACTTCCATCTGAAAACATGTCTTGACTAGTAGCTAGGAGCCTACCGCAAAGATCGCAACAGACACCACGCTGATGATAAAAGATTTCGACGAGCGGAAACCAGCGGACCATGGTTCTTTAGTGTTCCCCATGTCTGCTTTTGTTACTGGTGCATTCGGCTCTTCGATATCTGCCATTTCCTATTGTCTGAATTGGTGATTAGCCTCTAGACTGGGTGATAACACCTTGGAAATAGCTTGACAAGCTTCAATCGTAAGAGCCTACGATCAACCACTTGGTAAGATCACAAACTTGGGAAACACGGCAATTTAATCCTGAGAAAAGAAATAGATATATGAAATATAAATATTAGTCAACGCCCGTCTTTCTAACTATCTCCAGCGAGATCCATAGATAAGTAGACAGGGAAGTTAGGTGGATCAAAGATTTTGAAAGGAAGCCAGCCCTAGCTTCAAAAACCGAGCGGTCTGAGTTTGGCGGGGGCCGTAGACATAAGCAGGTGGACCTCCAGTCAGAGAGATAGATTCAGATCGATATGGAGGGGTAGATAGAACATGCTCGTTCGACTTGACTTGCATATGATACCTAGGTATTCAGCTTAAAAAGTATATACTAACCAGCAGATCTATGCAGACTTTCTTGGTTGATGGCTCGGTCGATCCTGAGCAAATCTGCAAATACGCAAATCCCGATTGGATGGATGTATACTACTTAAGTAGTAATAGCAGTGGGTGATCTAGAACTTGACTTGGAGAGCACAGGGAAAATTATCAGTACTATGACGATATCTATGCTTCTATACTGACTGGACATTCGCCCGGCCAGGCGCCTATGGTAGTGTGCATATATATTTACTCCTATCAAAGGACCGCGTGGAAGAGGGTATAAGGGTGAGTAGAGAATCTAGTAGTATAGGAAGGAAAACTTCTGAAAGGCTTCTTTTCTTTTACACACAGATACACATAAAATTCTCTTTCGGCAGCAGCTCACGAGCAAGTAGATGCAACAGATAGAAGACAGGGATACCCACCCATACGTGGATGACGGTTGAGTATCATATCGGGTACATGGAAGCAAGAGAAACTTTTTTGAAACCACGTTTTCGATGAGAGGGAGATGGCTTGAAAAAGAGGAAGAAGAAAAGAGAAGCAATTAAGTAGTCACCAGCGAATCAGTCCAGGAATGAGGAAAGGGAGACATAGGGGCAAAACAAACTAAAGAGAACAACACCATAGTACCTGAACATTTGGGAATGGATGGGGAACAAAGAAAGAAAGTAAAAAGGAAAGGTTGCGCAGATCAAAATAATCTAGAAGAAGAATTCATATGTGCGACCGCCATTATAACCAAAACAGCCTTCAAAGGGGTTCCTGTGGGAGTTTCAACGAGTTGCCATCATGGGGCATGTAAGAAGAGAGTTAAGGAAAAAAGGGAGTTGCATTATGTAAAGGTCATTTTGCGTAACTCGTTGCTCATGTTCCAGTCGTTCGAAAATACCGACACACTGTGAGGGCGCGGAGAAAGCGAATACCATTTCTGTTTGCATCTTTAGTAACATAGCACAACGGGGAGGAGAGTTTATAAGAGCGAGCCTGATTTAGTAACCACGGCCACGTCCCTTGTTGCGCTTGTTGGTAGAAACGGTGCTCCAGCCTTCTTCGTCGGCTTCAGCGGCCGGGGTAGCGGCAGGTTCAGCCTTTCTCCAACTGCCGTTCGTCCTACTTTCAGGAGCCTCCTTTGCTTGCTCCTTGGTTGCGACTGGCTCTGCTTTGGCTCCCTCTATTTCCTGATCCGCTGTCATACCACTCTCGTCATCTCCGGCCCGACGGAGAACCTCGAAGTTCGATTTCTTCGGCGCATCCGGGTCCGATTCCTTCGTCCCGTTAGAATCACCGGCTGCACTTTTCTCGGCCTTAGCCTTCTCCTTGGCTTGGCGTTGTTTCTCTGCCTTCTCTGCCTTGGACTTCTCTTCAGCCTCCTTGCGAGCACGATCGCGTTTGTCTGCTACCTCTCGTTCTCTGGCAGCGGTATCGATAGGTCGAGCAGCACCGAAAGGATTGGCTTTAGGGTCACCTGCATCGGCACTAGGAGGCGGGCTCTGGACGTTCTCGGACACAGTCCTCTTCTGCAAATTCAACTTTGGTCGTACAGCCGGTGCAGCGGGAGCAGCAACGGGAGAAGGCGGGTTGCTGGGCTCCTTCGGGGCAGCTGGGGCATCCGGGCGCATCCTGGCCCTCCACTGGTTATCCAGCTCAGCTGCAGTGGGCGTACGCTCTGGTCGTTCCGGTCGCTCTTGGAATTCACGGCGCGGAGGGCGCGAGCCGTCCTGCGACCGGCCTTCTCCCCAAGCCGGGGAGTTTTTGCGGAAGCTAGAGCCCTCGTTGGTTCGTGAGCGGCCACCTTCACGTCCGGCAACAGGAGCGACAGGCGACAGTGGACCTTTCCGCTCCCAGTTACCAAAGTCACGGGGCTTTCCGTCGCCCTCGAATCGACGTCGTTCGCCACGGAGGCTACCAGTTTCAGAAATGTTGTCTGAGAACTCTCGGTTGAAGCCAGGGCGATCGTTTCCACCACGGCGGGGCAAGTCTGGGAGAGGGCCTTTCCGGGACCAGTCGCTGAAATCCCGAGAAGACTGAGAATCCTTAGCTAAGCAAGATGTTAGTTATACCGGGCGGATTACCACATTCCTTTGAAAGGCACATACGCGGTTCTGCAATGCTGACACGAATGGCACGCCCTTGAAGAGTTGTGCCAGAGAAAGTGAGTGCTTTCTTCAATCCTTCGACGCTAGCAAATTCGACATAGCCAAAGCCTTTGGGGCTGCGGTTAAGCTTGTCTTCAACGATGCGGACATTGGTCACTTCACAGTCAGCAAACAGCTGGGAAACATCGGTGGAGGTGGCATCGAAGGAAAGGTTGCCGATGTGAGCGGTATACGGGGGCTCGGTGGGTAAGGGGAGTTCGGGTCGAGACGAGAATGCCGGACGCTCGCGGTCTTTTCACATGTCAGAAATGCTATTTTCCAATCTTCAGAGGGGACGAGCTCCTGGGTTGTATATATACCATTGAAGCCGCTACCAAATCCTGCGGTCGAGCTAACGGCACGACGTTCACCTCCATAGGTTGAGCGTAGTTCTGGGGCAGCTGGAAAGATAACTAGGAATTAGTTGATGGAAAAAAAAAAAAAAAACACCACCTTCGTATCTTCGTATCCATGCGACAGCATAATAAATCAAGACAGCAGACGCGATCTGTAGCCAGAGGGGGGGG